TCTTTGAGTTGGGCTAGTTATTAATAGTCATGAGAGCCACAACTCACTAGATTTCTAGGAATACTGCAAGGATAACAAGATTATTACTGTATGTATACCTCCGCACTAGGCTGGCGGAATGGGTATACTCCAACGTCCTTCGTGGGTACCCCCCAAAACTTTGTCAATAATACATGGATTCTAGCAAAATAGGGCTTAAAAGAAAGAGAAAAACCACCTCTACATTTCTGTAGTAGAGGGTTTTGTTATAACTATTAAACTGCACAAGCTAGAGGCTAGAAAAGGTCAAAAAAGGGGGGGTACCTAGCGAGCATACCTATTAATAGGTATACTTTGCTAGGTAGTGTTGATAACTCAGCTAATACTAGGCAGAATAAGCTAATTCTTTTTTTATTAGAAGGCGCAATACTAGGCGCTTCTATCGAATAATAGATTATGTAAGCGTATCTCTGCTAGTTAAGAAGCTATAAGCCAAAACGTAAAAAAGCATACCCTACCCATCCGCCAGCCTACTCCGCACTCGTCGCATCTCCTGCAGCCACTTAATGTGGGCTGTTTTGCCCCTCTGAAGAAGGCGTATGGGCGCCAAGCTAAAGACCTCATGCGTAACTAGATTAACTATAACGTAGATTATCACCGAGCCGGCCATATCACCGAACCAGCCACTTTCTCTTGGCACGACCACCTTTTACCCTAACATAATATGCCTCAACAACAACAACTTCAGAATACTACTAGAGAAGGCAGAGTTATCCTTGCTATCTAGGCCTTCTATGCTAGCCAATTTTGCAGTATCCACAGCGCTGCTAGAGCGTTGAACGTACCTTATTAGCAGGTCTCTAATCGCCTTTGCAATATTACGTTTTAACTAGACATACGCGCTAATTGCTAGAAACTTACTATACTAGAGGAGCAGATAATTATCTAGTATATACTTAACCTTGATTTGTGAGGATTTGCGCCCTAGCTATGTAAGGTGGCAGATATAGCTAATAAGATACTTAGTGTGCGTAGTGAAGAGCCTGTTAGTAAACTATAGGCTAGCAGGCTTGTGACATGTTTAGACAAGCTTAAAATAGCCTTTAATTAAGCTAAGGATAGACAGAGGATACTATAGGAAGATCCTAAGATAATTAGCGCGTAGTTTAAGCTAGTAGAGGATACTTAAGTTAAGTAACGTGTTTCCCATGCGAGCGGGCACCCCAAGCGAGTCGGCAGCTCTTCCCCACCAATACGCCTGCGCGGCGACACTACGCAACGCTACAACAATATTTTCTTTTATACGCGACAGTAGATTATACTTCAGATTCTTCGCTATCATCTGCATCCTTTATCTCTACCTTGCAGGTGCGGGAGTTATGCCCAGTCTCACCACAACGACCACAGTGCCTCTCTGCGCGCACCCTCTTCGCAGGCGTTTCGCTATCATCACAACTGCTACCCTCTCTTTTAGCAATTAAGTTAGATACCTCACTAACTATTAAGGTCTCCTCTACCTGTACATACCGCCTTTTACAGCCCTTGCGCTTTGTAAGCTCTTCAATTGCGCTTCGCATGCGCGCCTGTTCCTCCTGTAGCAACACCATATTATGCGCAATCTGCTGAGCGCCTTTACTCAGCTGTCGTACCTGCTCGTCAAGGGAGCTTGCAGTAGAACCTGAGCGTCTTTGCATCCTCTGTTGAATAAGCGTAGTTTAAGCCTCTACCTCTTTAGCGTTGCGCGGCGTCTTCGCTTCCCACGCGGCGTCGTCGCGCTGTGGTGGAGTCAGCGTGCGCAACCTCACATCAAGCTTCAACAACACTGCCTCTGGGTTTAGTGGAACTAGCCCAGCACCTCTAAAACCTGCCTGAGTGTTCTCCTTTGTAAATGTCTGCTCGTATGCAGCTTTAAAGGCTGGTAGGAAGGTTTCCTTGCTGATATGGTGGATGTGGTTGCGCGCCAAGGCTGAGATGCCGTCGCTGTAGCTGCGCTTCAACGGCGAGAAGCAGGCGACGTCAAGAGGCTGCAGTAGATGCGATGAGTGAGGGGGCATGCAGAGGGCAATTATCTTATTCTCCTTGCAGTATTCTTGGAAATCAGCTGAGCAGTGGCTCTCGTGGCCGTCGATAATCAGCAGTCTCCACGCTCCTACGGGCTTCGCATGCGTATCGAAGTGTTTAAGCCAGGCAAGCGCTAGCTTGTTGTTTGTCCAGCCGTTTGGGCTTACTTGGATGATCCAGTCGCGTGGTATACCTAGCTCAAACCAGGTGGAGATGAGCACCTTGCCAGCAAAGATGATGAAGGGTGGGATGCGCTTCCCTGTCGCGCTGACGGCTTGTACCAGGGTAGTCCACTTGCAATCGCCAGGCTGTAGCTTCTTTGCTTTCCTAGGCTTATCTGAGCCTGTTACTACGAGCTGAGACGTGATCTTGCCCATTAGGAAGCCAGTCTCATCAAAGTTCCAGGTATCCTTATCAAGGATGCCATACTTCGCCTTCATCGATTGAACAAGCTCGAACCAGGGCCGGATTAGCGCTGGGTCCTCGCAGGCAGCACGCTGGCGATCATACGGCCGGCTCCAGCGCTTCTTAAGCTCAGGTGTACGCTTAATGTGGTTGTCTACCCAGTGCTTGCCAACAGGCTTCCCATCCCGCTCTCTTAGCAGTCTATCAGCCATATCTCGCACAAGAGCCTTCGTTGGTGGTAGTCCGCGTAGAGACGCGTCAAGTATATTGTGTAGAACCACCTCCTCTTCTAGCTTTGTAAGGCGCTTCGAGTTCAGCTCGCAATCGCTTCAGGCGCGTCGTCCAGCGCGTCGCGCTTGGATAGTCGTTCAAGGGACGTTATAGATCTCTGCAGCGCGTTTCTCGCTCTGTATTCGCTTTGATTTTATATCAGAGATAGCAAGGAATACATTTCCTTCGTTATAGGACTTTTGGACGTTGCGTTGTTGAGACATTACGCGTTGTCGCCGCGCAGGCGTGTTGGTGGGGAAGAGCTGCCGACTCGCTTGGGGTGCCCGCTCGCATGGGAAACACGTTATAGCATTTGTAATAATAACATGCACAACTTTAATAAAACTAGGTTCTAGATAGGCATTGCTTTGTCTTTAAAGGTTGTAACAGGCTTAGAGAGACGTGCTTGGCTAGAGCTTGTTTAGCTAGGTGATCGCGAGTGGGTTACTGTTATCTAGAGCATCTGCGCTGCTGGGTATGCAACCCTGCCTTTTATTATCTACAAAGGACGCGTCCACATCTCTGCCTAGTATAAGGAGACAGATATACCCTACAATTAGAAGCTCTTAGTCTCTAAGAATAGTTAGACAAATAATATACTTAGCCTTAAGTAGTTAAAGCACTTTAACACGTATATAAAGATGTGTTAGGTAGGAGTGTATAGGTTGCTTATCTTAGACAGCTATAAGAGCTATCTTAACTAGGAGTTTAAGGACTATTACCTAGAGAACTAAATCCTTACTCTCTATATACTACCTTACTTATTACACATCCTCTAGCCACTTAATATAGTCTATTTCTTGCTATTAAAGCGCAAGTACTCCTAATATATTTAAGACTTAGCACACTAACACGTCTTCTATATTAATAAGGAAGGCTTCCTACTAGCCTTTAGGGATATATTCCTTAATATATTTACAAAGGTTAACTGCTAAAAGGCCTTTAAGGTATTAGGGCTTGTTCCTACTAACGCGTAGGTAGTGTTAGATTACCTTAAAGTGCAGCTGCATACCCTACTAGCAGTACCTCTACCTAAAACGCTGTGGCAATCTAAGACGCTAAGCAATACACACAAGTTTAGGTCTTAATCTAAGCTTATAAGCAACTCCTTCTAACAATTACTAAGTATAGCGCAAGAGGGGTTCTTAAAGCTTGTAAAAGGGGCTAAAGAGATGCTACACAAAAACATCCTTATTAAGGCCTATGTGTGAGAGCTTAAAGAGCAATTAGCAGTAATAACTAAGAGAAAATCGCGTAAGAGAAAGCAGATTCAGCATAGTAGCACACTTAAGTATGGCCCAGCAGCATCGCAGGTAGCTGCTGAGGCGTGTGTAGCAGCTTAGCTATCTAAGAAGACTTAGGGTAGAGGTGGTTAACTAGGAGCTTAGTCAACTATTCAGCACTGTAGGAACTGCAGCAAAACTAGACACAACGCACGAACGTGCTAGGAGGGTGCAGAAACATCTTCTAAATCTAATGTAAGCACACAGTATGCTAGGTCACTATTTAATAGTAAGTAGTTGTAGTTGTAGTAACTTGTGTTAGTTGTGCTAAGAGAAAATGGCTGGTTTGGTGATATGGCTGGCTTGGTGATAATCTACGTTATCACAAAGCTTAAGTTCCTGCTATGCTTTAAAGCAGCCTATAATGCTGTATTCACCTTATGCAATATCTAAGGAGGGTTCTAAGGCGTTAGACTAGTCCCCTTTAACCTAGAATAGGTTATAATAGGGCTTAATGTGAAGCTGCGCACTCTATCACCACAACTCCCTAATAATAACAAGCCCTAGCAGTTGCAAACCCCTAGCAATACCCTAGAACTTTAGTCGCAATTAACTCTAATTCAAGAGAAGTATAAGAAGTAGCAGGGTAGCTCACCCAATTCTGTGCTGAGCGCGCTTGAGCACTACGCAAAGGGGGGAGCGATTCTATCGCACAAGCTAGTTTTGGCGCAACAGGAGAACGCTGAGCTTCACGCAGCTCTAGCAGCTGCCACAGAACGTAAATCGCGCAAAAGAAAGCGAATCTAGAAGGAAGGGACCCTTACAGTTAAGGAAGGGACCCTTACAGTTAAGGAAGGGCAGCGGATAGCAGCTCTAAAGGAGTTTGGGGCACGTGGTGATGGAAAGAAGTCAAAGAAGCGGGTGCGCGCTGAAGTGGGTGAGCCCTCCCAACGACGCTGTGGACGGTGCAATTAGACTGGGCACAACACGCGAACGTGCAAGAATGATACAGAAGTAGTCTCTAAATGATATTCTAAGCTGTACTGCACCTTGCAGCGCCAGAGTGTGGTGTTTTGGGCCATAATAGGGTGAGGTTTAGTAGGGTCTTGGCAAAAGTGTCCGACTCGCCCGTGTGTCCGACTCGCCCGTGTGTCCGACTCGCCCGTGGGGTACGTTACAGATAAGATAACAATCCTAGTGCTCTTCTGAGTCTCTTATCTGCGGACAAACTCCCCTCTTACAGCCTTCACACAATTCAATCTCGTGCGGCGGGCCTTTCTTCGGCTCGAAAGGAGGCTGCTCCATGTGCACTCCTGCCCATTTCTTAAGTCTGTAAGCAACACGCTCAGTATAGCATTCCTCGTCCATCTTAAGATGCCCTAGAAAGCCACAAGTCCGGCACTTCTGGTTATACACTACAGCGCTGTAATGATTGCGAGCATGTCTTTTAATCCAAACTGCGACTATCTTGCTTCCCCATCGATTTCTGCATGATGTTTTCGTACATGTAAACTGTCCTATAACCTTTGTAGAGTGATTCCTATCATACCTGCTGTCGTGGTTGGTTTCGTAGAACCACAATGAGGTTGTGTGCGGTGCGATGGCCTCTGCGACGCTTTGGTGGAGCTCAGGAAATGTGAAGAACTCTTGGGTCTCTACTTTTCGGTTGGAGGATTCCTTCTTTGTGGGCTTGTTCGGGAAGACTCCCGAGTCTCTTCGGAAATCACCACTGCCCCGAGGGTGATGTCCAGTCTTCGGATCGGGCGACTCGGATGCTTGAGAAGATGACCTTTTGAGATCGTCAACAGCTGGAGTTTGCGCAGGTATCCTGTGGGTTGGAGAGTCGCTTTGATGCTGTTTCAGAGCACCTGCGCTACCAAAGAAGCGGTTGCAAGCCTCACAGTCGAAGGTCCCTGTGTGCGCAGGCGCGTCTCGTCGGTGTTGTTTAAGTGCTTCCTCACTTCCAAACATGCGATTACAGATCTTGCATTCCAGGCTCTTTTTGTGCATAGGCGAATCGCGTCGGTGCTGTTGAAGTGCCGTTTCGCTGGCAAATCGTTGATCGCAGAGTACGCAATGGTGCATACTGGGTGCTGGCTACTTGATCAGTCGTTGTGCGTTAAGGTTGAGATATGGGTCATGGACCGACAGCTGAGGGTGGCTCAGCACTCTATTATAAACCGGAAACTGCTCTCTCCATTCCCAAAAGTGACCGGAGATAAATTTATCAATGTGACAACGCACTGTTGCTGAACTTGTCTGCAAGCGCCATAATTGTTGGTAGGCTGTGTCATTGATCAAGCCGCGAATTCCATTCGTCAAAAAGCCACAGTGAATCCTTCATAAATTCAGGGCGTTTACGCAACATTACTGGTACTCGTGCAAAACACCATGGCCACCTCTGGGTTCCTGACCACGTACATTGGCCAGCTGTTGTTACATAACTCTACCGAATCCATCCAGTAAGTTGTCGAGCCTCATATTCAAATTAGCCAGTCTGAGAACTTGGCTCAAACTACCGTTCGGTGATCAAAATAAGTTATCGTGCTGCTCATCAGCCGTTTCCCTGCCAGACTACCTACCAGCCACGCCGCACTCGCACATCGCGCTCGCATACAAGTAGTGCGAACTCGGCTATATTGGCGAACCCACCCTACTTGACATGTGGCGCATTCGATTGGAGTAGGCCCAATTTTTCGATCCGAATGACTGGATTCACCGGAACGCCATCTGCAAAGACGGGCATCGTCGCCAAAGAGACTATGCGGCCCTGCGCCGATAAGGTATGATATAAATTCATAGTAGAGTGAACTCACGTCCTGCATAGAACGGTCCACTTTGCCTGGGCCCACCAAGCTTGTGATTAGTACTGCAGAAGTTGCATCGGGCCGGAGCGCAGACGTATCAGGCATCAGTTCTAGCCGCCCGGGAGAATCCATCCACTCGCGTGATGTGGATCAGAGCTGCAACACAGACATGGTGAACTTCTATCGTCTCTATTTCTCTATTTGTCTTTATGTTCTGGATCAAACCTTGCGTTCGACCCATCACGTAGTGAGGTTGAAAAGTGCAATGATCTGAGGCGGCCGGGAGATGAATCGTTTTAGGTACGAGCCAGCACATGCTTACCGTAACGTTCCCTTCGACATCTAAAAGGATAAAATCCTCCATCATTAGAGCGAATATCTGCGACATCGTGTCAGGTTTTGCCACGTCTGCATTCTACGCGTCGTTATGACTGCCCTCCGACTAATAAGTAAAACAAGTACCCTCTCATGTATATCAGCTCATAGTGTTTAGCTATGTGTGTCTGGGGAGAGCACGTACTGACTACAATCTCGAAATCGATCAATCACATGCGGAAGTGACTAGCGTACAAATGCGGCTGGATCCCGATTGAGAGCCATTTGCATAGGGTAAAGATTCTACAAATGTCACGTGCTGCTCAGCAAATAACAGAGCAAATTTCATCCCCGATTTATCTCGATTACACTGACGGCTGGTATATTGAGTTTAGTATTGCATAAGGGTGCCAATGCGGAGATGCTAGCTCGTGGATAGAACCCCTTTCTAAGCTCACAGCTCAACATCCAATATATTACATGAACCAACAGATATAACGTTAGGAGTAGAGCAAGATCAGCAAACTTAGATAATTGCCTCTATTTACAGATTAGCCAGATAAATATTCCATGGGATCAACAGCCACTCAGCGCTGCCTATGGCCCCTGTCGGCCTGGCAAGACTTATTTGCATCTGTACGGTACTGTCGGCAAGCTCGAGCAGTGTCCATGGCTTACACTACTCTCTTTCAGGTGTCAGCGCGAACATTACCTGCAGTGTCTTCATGCACTCGGATCAAACGGAAGTGGACGTATACTGCTCATTAAAAGAAACGCATTTACTAGTCGAAAAGAAAAAACCTTGTCCACATAACCCTTTTCCGACCTTGGTCGTCTTCCATCAGTCTTCACATTCGCCCTACAGTGTTGTCGCTTCAGGCCAACAACTACTAAGAGGACAGCACAGACAGCAATCGATATCTTCCAAGCAGTGTTGCACTAGATGGCCACACTCCAAGATCTAAAGGGAACCCTTCGGTCAAACATTGTTCATCACGTATCTTCAAGACAAGTGCTTTCAGACACACAATATGAAAGTGGTTTCAACGTCATATTGAAAGGCTCGACAACCTATCAGAGTTTCATACTCCCACAGCTATCTCAGCTCCTGGCCCCTCTATTCAAGTCAAGAGGCCGAATTTCTGCACTCGAAATCGGACCTGGTCCTCGGAGTATGCTAGGACAGCTTACGTACCACGAAAGGAGCAATATTCGGCGATATACTGCATACGAGCCAAATGTCTTGTTTGCAACGAGAATAGAAACGTGGCTCCTCGCAAACTCAGAGGAACAGCCACCGTTCCCTGCTCTCGAAACGCCACCTAATATCCAACGCAACCCGTTCCCTCGGCAGCACGGAGATAAAAACCACGGACATGGCGATCACATCGAGAATGAAGTGGAAAAATACGACATAATCCTGTTTTGTCACAGTCTCTACGGCATGAAATCGAAGCGCGAAGCCATAGAACGGGCGTTGAATCTTCTCGCTAGGACAAGCGACGCGATGGTAGTAGTTTTCCATCGTGATGGCGTCCTCGATCTTGACGGTCTGCTCTGCCAAAAATCTACTTTGTTTCCGACTGGAGTTGTCACAGTGGCGGATAAAAACGAGGTACTAGACGACTTTTGTCCTTTCATTGCAGGCTTCACGATGAAAGGTGAAGGCTCGTATGAAACTGTCAAGATTAGGTGGCGGGAGGTGTGTCGTGCCATGGGCCGCCGTGAGGATGCTACCGCAGATCGTCTAGTGTTCAGTTCACCAGATACCATGGTTGTTTTCACTCAACATGCCACCGCGTTACCCGAGTTGCTAGCGCAGGTATCTATTCTGACAGGCGGAAGAACGATCAAGAACCGACAGGCTTGTATCCGTCGCCCTGCTTCAATTGTCCAACCAGCAACAATCCAACACGTCCAGTCTTGCGTTCGATGGGCTCTAGAGCACAATCTCAGCTTGGCTGCCATTGCTGGGGGCCACGGTGGCCATTGCGTTGTAGACAATGTTGTCTCAATCGACCTGAAAGCGTTCAATGAAATGCATATCGTGATGACAGACGCGGAGAAGGCATCTGACCTGGGTTGTGATGCTCTCGTTGTCGTTGAGACTGGCTGTACAACGGGAGACGTGATCAGCAAGACCATGGCATCAGGCTTGACGGTGCCTTTGGGTTCTCGTCCAAGCGTAGGAGCAGGCTCGTGGTTACAAGGTGGTCTTGGACACCTGGCACGTTTGCACGGACTTGCTTGTGACGCTATTGTTGGCGCTGTCGTGGTTAGTGTCAGTTCCGGTCAAGTCTTGTGTATTGGATGTATACCAAGTCATCATCAGCCGGCTGCATCCACTCGCCCAGATAATGAAGCCGATATACTGTGGTCAATCAAAGGCGCAGGGACGAATTGCGGTATTGTGGTCAGCGTGACCTTCAAGGCTTACAAGGCACCACTCTACGTGGTTCACAACTGGGCCACTCCGTTAAGCAACGGCCTCGAAGCGCAGCTCAAGCTCCGCCAATTTGACGAGCTTGTCGCGCGTAAGTCAGAACGAAACACCTCTGCAGATGCCTATCTGTACTGGGATAACGGCCAATTGCACTTGGGCGTATCCGTGGTTCAGTCTATCACAGCCAAATCCATCGATGTAAATCCTACTTGCGTAGCAGCGACTACTATTCTAGGACCAGAAAGCAGTGTTGCTACTGTGGACGGTGTCGAATTGTTCGAGACCGAGCTGTACGTCTCAAGCATGCACGGCGGACATGGCGGCGGCAAAACCTCGTCGTTCAAACGCTGTCTCTTTGTGAAAGACATTGGTCATCGAGGTGTTGCTGTGCGCCTGTTGGCGGCGATGGAGAGCCGTCCAACACCGCTATGCTATCTTCACCTACTGCACGGCGGAGGTGCGATTGGCGACACTGCGATCGAAGATGCTGCCTTTAGGCACCGAGATTGGCACTTTGCGTGTGTCGTAACGGGTGTCTGGCCGCGTGACCAAGATGGCAGCAAAGCCGAGCGGGCTGCGGTGGACTGGGTTTACAGCGTTGCAGCGGATTTACTCCCTCTCAGTCGCGGTGTTTACGGTGCCGACCTTGGACCAGACCCTCGAGATGCTGCGCTGGCCTGCCATGCATTCGGGCTGAACCGCCGACGACTCGCCCAACTCAAGCATGTCTTGGATCCCCAGAACGTGCTGGCTCACGCCTGTCCGCTTACGAAAGTCCCTCCCGGACCAAAGCTTATCATCCTTGTTACAGGTGAGAGCTGTACCGGTAAAGACTATTGCGCCGGTCTTTGGTCCTCCATGGTTACGAATCGCCATCTCGCCTCGCGCGTGATGAGCATAAGCGATGCGATTAAGCGGCGCTATGCAGCAGCTTCTGGCGCCGACATTAGTCGCCTGCTTTCTGACCGTGCTTACAAGGAACAACACCGTCCATCGTTGACAGCGTTCTTTCTGGCACAAGTACACCACGATTCTCAGCTACCACAGGAGCAATTTCTCAACGTGGTTCGTGACGCCGGAGATGTAGATGTGCTCATGGTAACTGGTATGAGAGACAAAGCACCTGTTTCAACCTTCTCGCATTTGGTATCGGACTTTAAGCTAGTCGAGGTGTACATGCAGGCCAGTGAACGAACGCGGCAGGCCCGTAAAGGCTGGCATATCAATGGCAGTGATGGGCGGACCGGCCTCGAGCAGGACCGGCCAAGTTCAATGGCCTTGGACCACCGACCGTGCCTCATCTTCAACAATGAGGTGGAAGGAAGCAAAGCTGCCGAGGACTTCTTCCAGGAACATCTACTTCCTTACCTTGATGAAGACCTGAGGCGACTGGAAGACATGGTGCATCAAACATCCGATTTCCCACGTCAAGACATTGTATTCCGCCACGTTCTGGGCATCTGCCAGCAACCGGGTGGGTTGGCACTTTGCACGTCGCTCCTGAAGAGTCACTTCACTGGCGATTGGAGCAATGTCGCGGCAATAGTCTGTTGCGAAGTCGGTGGCATAGTCTTTGGATCCGCATTGGCCTTGCAGGTCAACCTACCCATGGTGCTCATACGTGAAGCTGGTAAGCTTCCTCCACCTACTGTTGGTGCTCCAAAACTACAATCGTATGTCTCATCTTTGGTCGGCAGTGACGCGAAAGAAAGGCGAATTGAAATGGAACAAAACGCCATTCCCAGGAATAGCCCAGTCGTGGTGGTAGACGACGTTCTCTCCACGGGGGAAACGCTCGGTGCTGTGCTGCAACTCTTGCACGAAGCTGGCATCGGAAGCGTTGACGTCGTGGTTGTAGCAGAGTTTCCAATTCACCGTGGACGGGAATACGTACGACAACGTGGTTATGGGAAGGTCAACATTCGAAGCCTCCTCACGTTCGGTGGTGCTTAGCAGATAAAGATGTAGAATAGGTTTCGGACATTACGCATAAAAGCGTACAGGGTCTCTCGTAATCAGCGGATACAAATTTCCTTAGACGTACAATCAAAAGGAAGATGACCATCGCGCTCGTAGTTTCACGTGGCACCCACTTTCCGGAAATGCCAATCATACAGCCGCAGTGGCTGACGGAAGGAGAGATTCTGTTGCGGCAGACGTAGCCGCTGTATAGCTGATGGAGACTGCGCCGAGTTGCTTGCTAGCTAGGAGGCGACCATATATACATGCCCTGAGACGTGCTAGTCCAAGGTAGTCAACAGAGGTGACGACCAAGGCCTATAGGACCGAATTGCACCGCAATGAATTCATTGTTATAGATGACTGGTTTCTCGCTAAACATGGAAATGATTACTTTGCCAACCGAATGCTGGCATTGATGCTGCACACATTGCACAAGTACGGACAATCGATGCATTGCTTCCCGTAAACCCATTGCTATCGCCGCACCGTGTCAGCCTGTCCATCTTTATAAAAGGCTTGAGGCTGTAGGACCGTAGTGGTTGCACTTGGATAGATGAGAATGAAACGTCCACTGGGCAGTTTCCATCCTCTGCAAGGCCTTCTGTCAGTGAGTGGGACGAAAAGCTCTCCAGCGGTACTCACGCGGATAAAGTCGAGTATAGTAGAGCCGCTGAGCATTGTCAACGTGGCTGATCGTCTGCTCGAGTTCCGTGGCTGTAGAGTCCGCGCTCCAAAGTCCCAAATTGGATGTCGCAGATATACTGCTCCACCAGAACACCAAGCAATGTAAAGGACTTTGGCAGGTGGCAACATGTAGATGAGGTCGAAATAACGTGGGAAGATCAAGTAACTAAAAAGCTCCGCCCTGCGCCTTGAGAAGCTTGTCACTTTCCACCTCGTCCATCACGTAGACTTCCAGTCTGATTCGTTGTCAATATGTTGCGTCAAGCCGCTCTTTTTACGCTTGCTCTTGCACCACTTGCCGTTGCTCAGATCTCCCAAGGCTTCGAGGATGGCTAGAAATAGACCACCTAGACTACATGTGCACCTGATTGCAACCAAGGTGGACAGATGACGCTCGACAACACGACCGCTCACACAGGCAAGAACTGCATTAGAATCGACGGCGCTGACTGATACCGCGGACACGCATATTCGTCGGCACGACCAAAGTACCCACAAGCAAGCTCTACGCTCGAGCCTAGTTGTGCATCTCCGAGCCAGCAGCAACAGACGCATCACGCGTAACCGCCTTCACCGACTCCCACGTCCCCTTCATCACGCAACCCTCCCATCACAGGCCAGCAACAAGCACCTGCGCATCAGCAGACAGTCTCAGATTCTCACGTACAACCGCGAGTCTGACGACGCGACGCTTCTGCACTCCTTGCCTCAAGGCATTGCGACATCGGTCTCGATCTCGACCAACAGCCGGCGCTGCCTCGAGTACCACGGCGGCTTGATGGAAGCACGAGACGTGGTTGAACGGCGCGGGTGTCGCGGGTTTAATATCAAAGCCGGGCGTTAGTAACGCGACTGCAGCGCAGTGGCGGAAAAGCAGCGTCGTGCCCAAGCTGACGGGTGTGTATTTTGGCTGGGAGGAATATGGCGGTGATACGAACACGTTCTGGTCCGATGACTTTGTGGCCAGCGATGGGAGGATTGGATGCTAGGTCGATGGGAGTGGTCCGGCTTCAGAGGCGCGAGAACGGTCATGGTCGAGGTGCTGCAGAGGTGACTCTCGGATATATGCGCCTGCCCGTATGCTGCAGATCAGGTCATTGTGAATTTCAGCTTTGCAATGAACGCCCTGCCATCACTGTCCCGGCCGGGACGACATCTCACACGCAGCGAAAGTTCAGTGCGTACAATCGCAGCGCCGATGGCAGACTGCACGCAAGTTGTCATCAATGGCTCGAAATGGTCCATGCAATTGTTGCACGCGCGCTAAGACTGGTGCACTTTCTATCGACTACGGTACGCTGATCCACCGACGCTTCTCGCCTCGCGTCTCCGTCTGCGCGTGCGAGGACGCACAATCCCCGCGGTATCACTCCGAAGCCGGTCACAGAAATGTGCACATCGAGGTGCCCGCGTCCGCTTCTTCCCGACCAGCAGGACGCGCAGAAAAGTGAGCTCCTCGTCCGTCAAGGTGCTATTCTGCCGACACGGTCTGGGGCGATGGTGTCGGTCCAGCGTCCGCGAGCGGGCGTGGAGAATTTTGCGCGCGCTGGCAAGCGAGAGATGTGGAAACCGTGTCAGCGATGATCATCGGCACGGCGGGATCACAGCAGACATAAAGAGCGGCGCTCATTTCGTGTACGCGTCACGAGTACACAGATCCGCCGTGCCGACTGCTCAGACACCACCCAGCGGCATGCACGGCTGCACGCTCACTGCTGCGCGCCACCCCCCTGCTGACGCGGAGTCGCATGGTGCGTGAGGTCCAAGTTTTCGCTCTCACGCTTGAGTGTCGTCTCCTTGCCAGCCTGGTACGGGAACCCCGCCTTCTCCCTCGCCATGTCGTTGATCCAGCGAGAGTTGGGCTGCACCTTCTTTTTGCCGTTGGCAAGCTCATCGGCGAGGTACAGCCAGCTCAGCGCGTTGCCGACAGTGCTCACTTCGTCACTGACGTGATTGGCAGCGTAGTTGGCCATGGCGACATAGGCGTCCTCGTCGGTGAAGAGGTGGTTGAGGTAGTTGGCCACCGAGTCGTGCTCGCCGACGTCGACAAGAAAGCCGGATTTGCCGTGCTCGACCTGCAGGGGGATGCCGCCGCGGCGGGTGGCGATGATGGGCACGCCGTGGTGCAGGGCCTCGGAGACTTTAACTTCGAAGCCTTCGCGGGTCGAGAGTTGGAGGGCGACTCTTGCGTTGGACATGAGGATGTTGAGGATCTGGTCGGTGGGGCCGACGCGCATGACGACGATGTCGCCCTTGATGTCGGCGTACTTGTCGTTCAGAGCCTTTTCCGTCTGGTCGAAGATGATTGTTGCATCGGGATCGTCAATGGCGCCGTGGCCGGCGATGACCAGCTGAGGAACTTCGGCAAGGGGCCTGTCTTTCATGTATTTGCGTCGCAGGATGGCGTACGAAGCAAGGACGTCTGGGATGCCCTTTGCTGGATCGAAACGGGCGATTTGAGTAATGTACTGACGGTCCGGGAAGGCAAGCTTGTTGGCGCCCTTGTCCACGCACGACATCTCAAACGCATGCATGTAGTACTGCGTGTCCCAGCTGTCCAGCTGCTTGTTCAAGCCATCGAGCCAATCTGTCGTGGCGGGCAGGTAGCCGACCTTTTCAATCGTGACGTTCTCGGGGACAAACTCGCGAACAGGGTGGCTGATGAAGACATCACACTGCTTGACGTTGCCCCATACCCAGTTCCATACGCCGGCGGTTGGCGTGTCTTGCTGGTCAGCCAGACTAGCACGTACCTGGATGTGGCTCCTGAAGATGACAGGGCGTGTGGGATCCTGCTCTTTGGCGATCCTGACAAGCGAGGGCATCTGCGGATCGTCGACAATGATGACATCAGCACCGCCCTCACTACGGGGAGCAAGAGGACCACCTCGGGCGATCCAATAGCGGTCGGCGTTTTGCCTGGCCCACTCTTCGAGCATGTCGATTGACTTTTGCTCCAGGCGAAGGCCGGTTTCTTCCACGCCCTGGAGAATGTTGTGGTTGTTCTTGGTGATGCGGAAGACGGCGGGCTTGGGCTTGGGGACGTACCTATCGAGCGTGAGTCGAGAAGAGGGTTGCGATGAGCTAGAAACTCACCACTTGCAGTCAATGTCAATCAGTCGTAGGAAACGGATCAGAGCGTGTCTCATCAGAGCAACACCACCGCCCTGCGGGGTACTGTTGAAAAAGGCAATCTTGGTGCCGTTCTTCTTGAGGCTGTCCGCGTAGAACATGGTAGCTGCGTATGTGTTGGAGTGGACGCTCTTTTGGTAGCTGGACTCGTCTGCAATGACGGCGGCGCCGTCGCTGTCGACGCCAACTCGGTTGCGGTGAACGACTGTTAGGCGGGGCTGGTTGGCCTTGCCAAAGTACCTGGACTCGTTGGTATGCGTGCATCCAGAGCGGTGGACAGCCTCAATACTGACCCAAGAGCCTTCCTCACGACAGCATCTGCTTCTTCGTCCACCAGGTTGTACATGGGCTCGTCGGGAGTGCCAGTGTTGTCCTTTCCTGAGCTAGGGTCCAACACAAGAGGTACAATGTCCAGCTCGAGCCACAGACGAGTCGGCAGTTGAGGGCACACTTCAACAGCCTTGGTCGTCAGGCCAGCACCGACAAACTTGTAAAAGTGCTCATCACGGTAGTGGGTGATCTTGGCGATGATGTCGTCGGCCAGGTACTCGGCGCGCTCCTGGGCTGTTGCAGGAGTCGCAGTCCCAGAGTTGGCACCAGAAGACGTGGCCGAGGCGTCAGAGTTGGCACCAGAAGACGTGGCCGAGGCGTCAGAGTTGGCACCAGAAGACGTGGCCGAGGCGTCAGAGTTGGCACCTGAACCGCCACCGATAGTCGTCGTTTCAAAATCCATCGAATAGGTGCCGTCGTGGATAACAAACGCAACGTCCATTGCATTTCTCAGCCCCTCAGCGACGGCGATGCCAATGTACACAGGCTGTAGACGTTAGGTGCTGGTCCTGGGCATCTCCAGGCTTCCAAGACTCACCTCGAGACGTGTCGAAGTTGTCCTGTCCTCTGCAAGCAGCCTGGCCTTGACAGACGTCTTTGCCATGAAGGCATCACGTGTCGTTTGACGGACCATGGCTGGATGGCGAAAGAGAGATGTATCTGCATGATGGTGCACGGTACCTGGCATGATGGCGGTTTTGTAGCGAGTGGTGTTGATTTATGACGTCGATCTAACGTGATGATTCCCAGTGAGACAAGCAGAGGCGAGGTGAGCTTCGCAACGGGAACGTCGAGATGGCGACGAGCCGAGTGATGGGCTGAGTGACAAGCCGAGTGATGGGCTGAGTGACAAGTCGAGTGATGGGCTGAGTGACAAGCCGAGTGATGGGCTGAGTGACAAGTCGAGTGATGAGCCGAGTGATGAGCTGAGCGATGGGCTGTTTTTGGTAATTGACCAAGCCTGGAGGTAGACGCAGACGCAGACGCCGACGCAGACGCAGGCTTTATATGCTGCCATGTGCTGCTGTGTGCTGCTATGTGCTGCGAAATCGGTGGTGACTGTGCGTGTTCCATGGCTGCTGCGTGCTCCATGGCTGCGTGTTCAGTTGCTGCGTGCTCCATTACTGCTTCGTGCTCCATTGCTGCTGCGTGCTCCATTACTGCTGCGTGCTCCATGGCTGCGTGTTCCGTTGCTGCGTGCTCCGTTGCTGCTGCGTGCTCCGTTGCTGCGTGCTCCATTACTGCTGCGTGTGACTGCGGTGTGGAACAGTGCGTTTGCGGACGCTAGCTGAGCGGTCGTCGAGAGACGACAAGCCGTGTCTACCGTTGCGAGACACTGCGAGCTGGTGCGCGGCGCGGGATTGGTCGGTGCGTCAGTGCGTCGGTGCTGGATTGGTCGGTGCGTCAGTGCGTCGGTGCTGGTAGCGCAGAGTCTATTTTGGCCATGGTGTTCTGCGTCCAGGGCGGAAGCTAAGGAGAGAGGACCCACAGCCAGCTAAGGAGAAAGGACCCACAGCCAGCACTGTCCGTCCCATCTTTCGCGCGCCGCCGTGTTCGTTTCGCCCGCCGCCGTGTTCGTTTCGCTCGCCGCCGTGTTCGCTTCGCCCGCCGACTCCCACCACGTCTGCATCCCCACGCCCGCGCACCCGTACCACCTTCGACACCGTCCCCGGCGCGCCCATCTCAAGGGTCGGTCCGCGAGCTGCTCCCCCCCCCCGCCCGCTGTTGTTGACCGCTGCGCGCCCCGGCTGCCAGCCTTGCCCGCCGTGCCAGCCTCGCCAGCGCTCGCCCGCCGCCCAGGCCTCACCCGCCCGTCGCGTCTCGTCCAGACGGCCTCGCACGCGGCGACTGTCCCGACCACAGCGCGGCCATGAACCACGGCTACCCGCCCCCGCGCGCCATGGTGCCCCCAGGCGGGCCCAGCCAGCGCCTGAACGAGCTGCTGGACAACATCCGGACCGAGTTCGAGACGGAGTCGCAGCGCAGCGTCGACTACGAGGGCCAGAGTAAGTGCCCGCGTCGCATGTCCCGCGCCATGGGCGGCCATGGCACAACGTCCGGCTGACGCGCACAGTCTCGCGCCACATCCAGGAGATTGAGCTGATCCGCAGCAAGGTGTACTCGCTCGAGAGCCAGCACAACCAGATGAAGGCCAAGTGCGTCTCCGGGCGTCTGCCTGCGTCGCGTGTCGGATGCTGACCCGCCGCCAGATACGAGGACCGCATCGCCCAGCTCGAGCGCGAACTGGAGCAGCGCGGCGGCCCTAGCCAGAGCGCGCACCACCACGGCGGCCCCTCGCAGCCCCAGCCGCCGCAGATTGGCCACGGGCCCAGCAATCTGTTTGGCGGCATCATGGCCGGCAGCGCCAGCCAGGGCGGGCCAGGCCTCGCGCCGCCGCCCCAGGACGCGAACCCTGCCCACGGCATGCCTCCACAGCTCGGCGGAGGCCCGCAAGGCCCGCCCGGCCTCAACCCAGCGCCAGGCCCGCCGCAGCACTTTGGCGGCTACCAGCCTGGACCCGCGGCCAACGGTGAGCTCTGCGCGTCCGGCGCTCTCTCTCGCGTCCGGCGCTCTCTCTCGCGTCCGGCGCTCCTTCTCGCGTCTTTGCTGACAGCTCGCAGGCTACGGCCAGCCCCCGCAGCCCACGGCGTCGCCCAGCGGCAAGCGCCCTGGCCCCCCTCGCGGTCCTCCGGGCGGCCCTGCGACGCCGCAGCAGAACAACCCGGCCCCCTACCCCGGCTCGCCCCAGATCCCGCGCCCCACGCCTCCTCCGCACCACCAGCCAAGCGCGCTCATGGCCGCACACCAGGCGCCGGTGCCGCTGGCGCAGTCCAACTGCCTGGCGGATCTGGACGTCGAGCAGCTGCCCGCGCAGTACAAGCGCGAGGGCGACGACTGGTACGCCGTCTTCAACCCGCGTGCCAGGCGTGTGCTCGACGTCGACCTGATCCACAACCTGCCGCACCAGAGCGTCGTCTGCTGCGTGCGCTTCAGCCTCGACGGCCGCTACGTCGCCACGGGGTGCAACCGGTCGGCGCAGATCTTCGACGTCGAGACGGGCAACCCGGTCGCCCACCTGCAGGACGGCAGTCTGCCCGAGGACGGCGACCTGTACATTAGGAGCGTGTGCTTCAGCCCCAACGGGCAGTACCTGGCGACCGGTGCCGAGGACAAGGTCATCCGCGTGTGGGACATTCAGACGCGCACCATCAAGCACCAGTTCACCGGCCACGAGCAGGACATTTACAGCCTGGACTTTGCGCGCAACGGCCGCATCATCGCCTCGGGATCGGGCGACCGCAGCGTGCGGCTCTGGGACCTCGAGTCCAACAGCCAGATTGCCAACTTCTCGATTGAAGACGGCGTCACCACCGTCGCCATCTCGCCCGACAACCTCTACGTCGCCGCGGGCTCGCTCGACAAGAGCGTGCGCGTCTGGGACATACAGAGCGGCCAGCTCGTCGTGCGTCTCGAGGGCCAGGAAGGCCACAAGGACAGCGTGTACAGCGTCGCATTCGCTCCCTCGGGCGGCCGTCTCGTGTCGGGCTCGCTCGACAAGACGATCAAGATGTGGGAGCTGACGACGCCGACGCGGTTCGTGCCCGGCAACGCGCCGAGCGGCAAGTGCGTGCGCACGTTTGAGGGCCACAAGGATTTTGTGCTCAGCGTCGCGCTGACGCCGCACGGCGACTGGGTCCTGTCCGGCTCCAAGGACCGCGGCGTGCAGTTTTGGGATCCGCACACGGGCGTCGCCCAGCTCATGCTGCAGGGCCACAAGAACTCGGGTACGTCTGGTCCGCACTGCATGCAGCACCCTCGGGCTAACACCAGACAGTCATCTCCGTCGCGCCCTCGCCCACGGGCGGCGTCTTCGCCACGGGCTCCGGCGACATGCGCGCCCGCATCTGGAAGTTTGACCGCTACAACGGCCCCTAGGCGCGTCGCCGTCGCCGTCGCGGCAGCACACGCAGCCACCGTCGCCGCCGCCGCGCTGGAAAAGTGGCGCGCTGGCATGCGCAGCGCCAAGATGGCGAGACGATGCCAGCCGTGTACATGGGCGCAGCAAAGAAAAGGTGCTTTTCGACTTGGTACAGCGGTGCGATGGATGCCGTCTCAAAAGCGCACGGGAGCGGGGATGGAAGGGATGGGATGATATGGGGGTTTTGTAGCTTGCTCGTGTTTGGATGCAAGGAATCACCTTTGCCGGCATTTAATTCAGCCTTTTTCGCGTCGCTGTTCGAGGAAGTCGTCATTGCTCGTTGTATTGGACGGCCGCTGCGGCTCTTTCATGTGTGTGCTTCTTTGTCCTGCATGTGCATCTATGTGCTTCTTTGTCCTGCATGTGCATGTATGTGCTTCTTTCTCCATCCAGCATGTGCATCTATGTGCTTCCTTCTCCAGCATGTGCATCTATGTGCTTCCTTCTCCAGCATGTGCATCTATGCGCTTCCTTCTCCAGCTTGTGCATGTGTGTACTTCCTTGTCCATATCCGTGTCCAGCTGTGCTCATCTGCAAACCCATCCGCACCGCCACCGCTCCTCGCGCACATGTCCCAAAAGAAGAGGCTAAGCACCCCAAAACTCCGCCCAACCTATGCCGCGCTGGGCATTCCTCGAGACCGCGCCACAGACTTCCCAAAACGCCCCGCGCTAAATTGCAGAATACATTAGACCAGAGAAACGGCTCAGAGGAGGAAACTCCACTTGAGATGCGCGGCAAGAGCGCCTGAGCGTCTAGCCCCAAGAGGCGAGATATACGACGTGTTAGGCGAAGAACCGTACTATGACGCTTCAGACCTTGCCTGAAGACGATAGCAGGTTAGCCAGCGACAAGAGAAAGTGTACAAAGATTCGCACAACATGAAATCAAGGCGGGGAGTCGAGGTAGGTGGGATATCGTGACGAGCCCGTGTGGGGACCAGAGTAAGTTGAGGAAGCATCATGGTAGCCTGGAGGTGGTGGCCTATAGCGGTCCAGATCCTCACGAGGTGGCCCGTGGGGAGTGTACGGACGGGGGGGGAAGTTCAACCGCGTCTGCGAACGCGGAGGGCGGTATGAAGAGGAGCGGTGGTCATACTGCGAGGGACGGGGAATGGGAGGGGGGAGTTCATAACGACAGGGCGGCATGGGAGGGTCGGCTGGGGGTCGGTACGCTACCTTTTTGGCGGGCCGTAGAGGCTCATCGTCATCGCTGAGCGTCAGGTCCACCACCTCTGATGTGCGCTTCGTCCCTGATCGCGGCACTGTCGACGGTTCCCTGGACGGCATCGGTGGGGTGCTGAGGTAGTTGGGTGACTGTGCCAGGTGGCTCTGGATCGAGGCGACGCGATAGTCGGGGATTTCAATCAGGTCGTCGTCACTGTCGTCTGCTGCAGCGGCGTTCCCATTCTTCCTCGGTGGCGTCGCCTCTTTCTTGGTCGACCATTCACCGGTGGGGGATATTGTGACCTGGTCCGCGTTTCTGACCTTGGCCAAAATCTCCTCGACATACTGGTCCACGGCGAGGCCGTTGAAGTGGACAGTCTTGCTGCAGATGGGACAGATCCACGTGGGCGCTTGCTCTTGCAGCTGCAGGAACGATTCGGCGTCGAAGCACTGGTTGTGCGTGCAGATTGTGGATCGACAGGGTATGTTGATGCGCAATGTGGAGATGGGGTCCTTCAGCGACATGACACTCGACCCGACTTCAATGTCAGGGTCGGCAGCTTTCGCCCTCATCTCGTTCAGCACCGACTGCTTCGTAATGACCTGCTTGCTGACGATCTTGTGTACGAGATCTGCTGCCGAGTGCTTCTTCACCATGTAGACAAACAGATTGTACTTCTGCGGCGAGAGTCAGTAAGCGGTCGTTGCAGGAAGAAGAAGGGGAGAAAAGAAAACCTCTTGACGAGCTGAACCTGCCTTGTGAGTGAGAGCGTACGTGACGACGAGGTTGTTGCGGTAGTTGGCAGGCGAGATGCGGACAAAGTCGGTAATGTCTGCAGGCCGCGTCGAGCCGGGCTTGTTCTTGAGGCCCTTGTAGTTTGCCTTGACCTCGTCGCCGTTGATGCGGACCTCAAGCTGGGCGGGGAAGGTGATGTCCGTCCGGGCATAGGGCGGCAGCGGCGCTTCGAGTGATGAGAACAGCAGCAGCCGCAATGTCGGGTCGGCCTTCATGCGCGCGTTCACGGCCTCGTTGATGATGAGATTCCGGGTGCAGTTTTGGCGGTGGCTCGGCGATGCTGGACAGCGTCAGTACCACTGCGAGAGCTGAGATGCGAGAGCTGAGATGCGTTCGACGTGCCTTCGAGTGTCATGTTGCTCAGGATCAGCTCGCGGACCTCGAAGAACGGGCTGTCCCTGAAGAAGAAGGCGGGTGCAGCAGATCCTACGTCTGTCAGTCTTAGTGCCCATCTGGAGAGGCAGCTGCGCGGGAGGCATACGGGCGGGGAGTGGCTGATGCAGGGCGCCGAACTGGGTGCTGCTCGCGTAGCCGTTCGGCTGAGCGCGCCCGTTCATGGCGGCTGGCGGCGGGTTGGGGAACGACGGCGCGGTGGGACTGCTGCTGCTCTGCGGTGTGGGCGCTTCGCCGTGGTTCTGGACGCGGAACTGCAGGCGGCGCAGCGTTTCGGCACTGCCATACGTTGCGGCCTTGTCGATGACTGGTGAAGGTGAAGGTTAGCATGCGGCGCAGGTGGACGTCGGCCGCGGCACGTACGGGCGAAGACGCGGGCCTGCAGGGCGGCCTTGTTCCCCGTCTGCGAAAGGCCCTCCTCTTTCAGGATCTTCTTCAGGTCGTTATTAATCAGCGTCTTGCAGCGGTCGGTCACGGTGGCAGCCAGATGCTGCAGGCTGGACGCCATTGCCGGTGGGAATTGCGGTCGTTGGGAGCGGTGTTAGCAGGCAGGCTCTTCCCGGCGAGACATGGATGGCTGCGGTACGGGGGACGACTGGCGCACGCAGTCGAGGCGCGGAGACGGAGAGAGAGTGGACGAGCAAAGGCTGCGGGCGCAGGGTGCGAAGTAGGATATCTGAGGTTCCGTGGCTCGCGGGTATATTGGGTCGCGCCTTCCTCAGCCCGCGACGGTGCGCAGTGCGTGGCAAGCTGATCTCACGAGCGATCGGATAGAGGACGAGCAATCGAGGAGAGGAGCAAAGCGTCACAGGCAAGAGGCCATCAACCGTTGCCGTCTGCTCCGGCGGCTGTCGCGCCCGCATCGCCAGCTTCGTCGCAAAGCCAGCGTCACTGCGGCGGCGAGCTGGCGCGAGCACGGAGCGTCCCTCGAGCCGGCCGGCGCTCGCTGACTCGGGCCGCGCCTGCAGTGATCATTACGGTAATCGATTGCCACAAAATTATTCTGCCTGGGTCCTTGACCGCCTGGACTTTTTGCGACATCGAATGCAACGCACGAGCAGTCCGTGAAGAATTCCTCCACCACCCATTCCCTCCCCAAACCCCGCGCGTGACGAGCAAAAATGGCAAAGGGACTCCGCGCCTCCACCGAGCGCACGAACCGCAGGAAGCTGCGCGCCAACGTCTTCGGCCCCGTCGAGAAGGCGCGCGCCGAGCGCCTGCACGCAAAGCTGCTCGCGACCATCAACTCGGAGAAGCCCGCCCGCCCCGCAAAGAAGGAGATGGACGTCGACGTCGACGTCGACGAAGAGGGTGCGCAGCCAAAGGAGTCTCTCAAAGGTTCATTCCACCCTCCCACCTGCCGCCGCCGACCAAGGGCTGACTTTTTTTTCTTTTCTTTTTTTTGTAGAAGACATGGACGTAGACGATAAAACGACCAAGAAACCACACCGCTCGCAGAGCGAGAAGAAGACTAAGAAGGAGCGCGCCCGCAAACCGCGGAACAGCATCACCTTCCCCAAGACGCGCGGAAAGGGCGCCCTGAAGCCGTTCACGGGCAAGAGCAGGGTCAGCAAGCGCAAGTGAGGAAGGTGGACAGCGAGTGGGCTGGTGGCACTGGCGTGGACTGACGTGGAACGATATCTACATGGCGTTTGGGATGCATTGCAGGCGTTACATTGCTGTTGCTGCTGCGGGGGAAACGCAGCGGATTGGATGGTACCACGGCGTGTAGAGCGCAATATCAAAAATCCATCTCCCCGACTCATCCATTTTGCTTGCATCCTCCCACGCCTTCATCAGCAGCCAGCACCCCGTTCCGAAAAAAAACCCACTCTACACATTGACTTGCTCCAACAGCGGCTTAGAAGAACCACGTCCTCTATCCTGTCTCCCACGGTACTCGGCACGGCATCGTAGAGGCTGCAAAGGCATTCGTCAAAGCACAGCCGCAGCCCAACATGATCCATTGCACATGCTACATCTTTCCGACATGACGCGCCAAATCCGCAGATCCCAACCGCACTGCTCCCAAGCCCCAGCGCCCGGGGGCGGCCTACAACTACAAGTACTCATATGCCATGCCATGCGTCGTTCGTGATCTAGTAAGTATCCGTCTACGCACCGACCTCCTCCATAATGGGCTGCTCGCGGAACCCGTTCGCGTGCCCGTTCTCCGACGGGCTGGGCGCGTCGAGCTCCATCTTCTCCTGCTGCGCAATGGCCTGCTGCGAGACAATCTCCGCGAGGCGCTTGAGGCGCGGGGTTTGCAGCCCTGTGGGGGTCAGTACAAAAGTCACATAACAGAAAGAGGAGAAGGACTTACAAGACGGCGTGTACGTTTCCAGCGCGGTGATGACGCGCGGCTCTGCGATCTCGTACGGCCCAGAGTCCTCCATGTCGACGGCGGTGAGCAGCAGGACGTCGCTCTTCTCCGTGACGCGGCTGGCGACGGCCTTCATGATCTCGCCGTTGATGGGCTGCTCGTAGTCGGCGACGAGGTACTGGTTGAGCAGCTTCTGGATCTGGTTGGGGCTCAGCATCCAGCAGATGTCCTGGATGATCTCGATGTCGTTGAGCGTCGCCTTCTTCAGCTGCAGCAGCTTGGTCGCTTGCATCAGGTGCTCCAGCTGCAGCGTGCCCTCGGGCATGTCGTGCGACTTGCACCACTCTTCGATGCGCGTGATGTTGTAGTTGATTTGCAGACCACGCTTCCAGGAGAGGAAGTTGCGACGCATGAGCAGGTCATTGAAGGCCGTGACGCCGACGAGGCGCAGCAGCTCCGTGACACACTGTGTGATGATTGTGTCTTCGAGGTAGAAGGCCTTCATGGCCTTGTAGACGCTGTTCAGCAGGCTGAGCAGATTGTCCATGCTGTACGCGGGCGTGTTGCTGCCCTGGAGGAGCTTGCCGAGGAAGCGGTTGCTCTCGTTGGTGACGAAGCCGGGGAGCGATTGCGACTCGATGATGGCGGGGATGATCATCTTGTGCAGCTTCTTCTTGAGCACCTTCATCCACGTGTGGTAGATGTTGAACTCAAGACTCTCCAGATCGTGCTTGACGATCTCGAGCAGGCGGTCGTACTCGTAGTTGTCCGTCTTCTGCTGCTCGTACCAGTCCTCCGCAAGGAAGACAAACGAGAGCATCTCATGGACGTTCGACAACCAAAAGGCGCCGGGATTGATGGCATCGTCGCTGTCATGCTGCATGACCTCCTGCTGGATGGACTGCATGACGTTCGCAAGGAAGCGCTCAGACTCCTTGACAAAGCCGTTGTTCCACATCTCAGAGGTGACGAGGTTGATGAGGTAGGCGGGGAAGAGGACCTCCTTGTCTGTGGGAGGAGGCGTGGTGGTCGGGGAAGGAATCTTCAGGTTCTTGATGAGACCCAGAGTAACCTCGTCGTTGAGCATGTCCTCATCAGCCAGGATGTTCTCAAGCTCAAGCTCGACGTTATCGAGCTGCGCGAATGTGGAGCCAGACAGGTTCTGCCTGTGGGCGGTCGAGCCAACAGCCATCGAGACCGGTCGAGGGTTGTAGGTGGCGCTGAAGCGGTCTAGATCGCGAGTGTCTGGTCCAGCACTTCGCCTCTTTGGCTTCTTCGATGCGACGAGGTTGATGAGGCTGCTGGCGGCAATGGGTATGTTGCCGTTCTCCAGCGTGCTGTGGATTGGTCCAGCGCGCTTCATCAACTCCACCTGCTCCTGCAGCTCGGCGAGCTGCTGACGGAGAGTCATCTTCTCCGTCTCGGTGACATTGCTCCTTCTCTTGGAGTTGTCGAGATCCTCGGTGGTCTGCTTGAGGGACGCACGTAGCTGCTTCTCCTCTTCCTGCAAGTGTCGCATCTTGGCGGTGCTCTCCTCGTAGTTGGTCTGCAGCTTCTTGAACTCGTCCTCCATCTGGCTCAGCTTGGCTGCGGTGATACCGGCCTGATTGGCCTCGACCTGCAGCTCCTTCTGCCTGTTCTCGAGCGCACGGCTCCTCTCCTTGTAGGACTTGATCTGGTTTTCGTAATTGTCGACCTGCTGCTTCAGAGACTTGTTCTGCTCCTTCATCGAGCCAAGAGTCTGAGTGAGTTCGACAACCTTGTTTTCCAACTTGTAGGAAATGTTCTTCAAGTCGCGAGACTCGGCACGCAGAAGCTTGTACTCCTTTCGCGCCTTCTTTCCTCGCCACAGGCTCTGGATGAGAACAATCTTCTTGCGGTATTGCCTCCAGGCTTGGAGCGATCTTTGCGACCTCCAAGTGCGCTGGATGATGCGAGCAGCGTTGCCAAGCCTTGTGTCGAGGATGTTCTTTCGGCAGAGGAAACCCTTTGCTGCGGCCTCGAAGAGAATGACGGACTGTCGCACGACGTGGAATCGCTTGCGGTCTTTCGATCCGCGCCACACCCTTTGGATGGTAGTTGCGGCTTTGACTTGTCTTTGTTCCTCGGCACGCTCCCGGGTCATGAAACCTCTAGCCAGAGACTGCACAGCGACAATGGCATCACGCATCTCCAAGTAGATGCGGCGGTAGTACTTGGCCCTCAGATTCTTCTGGATCATGACGGCGGCATCGTTCAACCTTGCTGTGCGGAGGTTCTCGAGGAACGCAAGCATACCGGCGCGGAAGAAGATCTTGGTCAGACCCATCTGGTACTTGTCGGTGCCGTCATTCTTGCTGTTACCCAAGGCCTTGTGGAGAATGGCCTTGGCCATGTCGCGGATCTCGGGCGTCCACCCTGACGATGGCACCAACATGTAGTAGCGGAGGGCAAACTCCTCATATGTCCATCTTGTGGGGTAACCAGCGCAACTGATTCTGACAGTCTCGAGAACACCACAAGCGCGCAGTTGGCTGAGGACCATGGGTCCATCAAACTGCCAGGCCGCCTTGGCCTCGTTGGGCTTGATGCAGCGAATGTAGTGAACATCGGTGGAATTGATGGTCGCCATGAGCTCGATGAGGGAGGACTTGAAGATGCCTCCCAGTGTGGGTTTCCTGTTGGTTGCTATCCGTCGGCCGGCGGACATTGTGGTTCCCGGCTTCGCGATCGGGGCGGTCTCCTTCTCGCGGATGGACGACGCAACATCCAAGATCTCAATCAAGAACTTGTTGGAAGACGACCTCAGCACCTCCATGTGCTCATCTGGCACCGTATCTCTGTTCTTTTCGATGAAACCATCGGACTCGTATGTGACGTCGACGGCGTAATGGCAGACGGTGAAAGCAGACTTGCCGAATCGCGGCTTCTTGTAGAACTTGTGCTTGTCGCCAGAGTAGTTGTGGTGCAGCTTGGTGACAAACTGCTCATCGGAACCCATGGGCAGACGAGACTCTTCGTCAAGCAGAGACAGAATACCAAGCTTGCCTTCGATCAAGTCGATGCAGGGCTGGTTGTCCGCGAAGTCGATGAACGTCCAATCAATCTGCTCGCGCATGTACTCCTCCTGCTCGAGCTTGAAGACGTGAGCGTTGAACTCTTGCTGCAACTTCTCGTTGGCATAGTTGATACAAAACTGCTCAAACGAGTTTTTCGCAAAATGCTCGAACCCGTAGATATCCAGGACACCAATGAAAGAGCGGGCCTGCGAGAGGACCTCCTCTGTGGCCAGACTCTCGTTGGTGCGCTCGACCAGCCAGTCGAAGAGACTTGAGTAGATGAACTTGGCGACGGAGTCTCGGACGACCACGGCTTGCTGTTGTGTCAGGTTCGAGACGATCTTCTCTCCTCTTGTGATGAGCTGCTTCTTGACCGTCCATTTCGCGAAGTTGGCGGCATCGATTCCGAGGAGGCCACAAGCCTTGACCAGTGCAGGCTCGTCAGGCGCCAGATTCGAGTCTGTCCGTGTGGCGGTGATCTTGACGTCTCCAATGTGCAACAGAGCCGCAAGCAGACGGAAGATCTGAGCCTGTGTCTCCTGCGCAACACCGACCTTTGTCAGAGAGCTCTTTGTTGCCTCGAACTCGGCCTTGTCGTCCATGCCGTCGATGACGGGCGCGCTACCCTGGTTGAGGTAGCTGAACTCCTCGACGGGCTTCAAAGACAGCTCCTGGCGCTCGGCATCAGAAGCACCGGCGACGAGCTGGTAAAAAATGTGGTAGTTGCGCTCCTTAAGCGGCTGAAAGACCAATCTCGAGCGCTCGAGCAAGTAGGTCCTGATCTTGGCGCCGATGATGTCCGTCTGCTTGTTGAACATGATCTCAATGTATTTGCCGAAACGGGACGAGTTGTCGTTACGCGTGGTTTTGGCGTTACCAAAGGCCTCCATGATGGGGTTGGTGGCCAGGATCTGCTCCTCGGTCTCGGACATGGAGTCGATCTTGCCGCGCCGCTTGCCTGGGTTGTCGGGCGACTCGCGGGTTGCGAAGTAGCGCATGATGTACTTGGCGCTGACCGTCTTGCCGGCACCAGACTCGCCGGAGACGACAATGGTCTGGTTCTTCTGGTCGCGCAGCATGTCGCTGGGCGTGTTAGCTTGGAGCAGGGCGTGTGGAGAGGGCGACATACGCAAAGGCCTCCTCGGCGATGGCGAACAGGTGGGGGGCGCCGTAGGAGCGCTGCTTGCCGGCGTAGACCTGCACCATGCCGGGCACGTAGAGCGAGTCGACGCGGGCAAAGGGGTTTGTTGCGATCAGGACGATGCCCGAGTAGGTGTAGATTTCATTCTGCAGGTAGCGCAGCTTGATAGCCTGCAGCACGGCGGGCTCGTTGAGGTGCGACAGGTTGGTCAGGTCGTCGCTGGCCTCGAGCATGGCCGGGTTCATCAGCGGCGGCAGATTCGGGTCGTTGCCCGTCTGGATGGCGGCGAGCGTCGTCTCGATGGTCTTGCTCTGCGCGCAGTCAGCAGTCAGTTCGGCCGGCGCAGTGTCCTGCCCTGGCTATGCGGCTGCGTACCTCCCCGTTCTCCAGCTGGAAGACCAGCTTCACCTTGTCGCCGTCGATCTGCTTGTCCACGACTTCCGAGGCCACCCAGCCCTCGGTCGTGTCGGGCTGCCATGCCCGCGTCCCGATGTCGAATATGTGCGCCATAGCGGGCGGTTGTGTGCGTCCCGTGCGAGTCCTGGCCCGTCTGCTGCGCGGCCTCTATCTGCCAGTTCTCAGGGTCCAGTCCGCCCTGTCTCGCTGTCTGCGGCGCGGCGGGCACTCCAGCGTCTTATTTGTTCGCGTGTGTCAGCGGGTCGACGCGGGAGCTCACAGCGAGCGGAGCATTCCTGCGTACGGCGGTGCGGGCTTGGGGGTGTGGTCGTTGTTAGTACTGTTGTGTCGACCGACGTGCCCGTTCCCGCAGACAACAATGTTCGCCGTGCACAGAGCGGTGAGGCTAGTGGCGGGCAGGGCTGCTGGCCTACGTGGGCCGTGGACCAACCAGCCGGCCGCTCACCAGCCAGCGCGTCTCAGCCTCTCATTCAGGGTGCCTCCAGCATGCAACGGCCCACGCAGACCGCTGTGGCATGGGAGCCTCTGCATGCGCGCTGCAGCCATCACGGCTTGTGCGACCGCGGCAGCACTTGATCGCAGGCACGTGGATTTGTCACTCCAGCATTCGCAGTGGCAATGTCCACGTCGACTCGGCCTCTGCAAGCACACCCCGTGCAAACGTGTCCCGCGCCGATCACTTGCTGTCCGCCGCATTGCAGGCCAATTTCGCGCCTCCTGCTTCATCACGCTCGAACGTGTCACGCCAAGCGCATACTCTGGTAATTAGTGATATGCACCCCTATTCCTCGCACCCATGGATTGTCTTGAAGAATGCGAATGCGAATGGTTTGAATGGATATGTGCTGATCGAATAGTTATATTTTGAAAGAATATGTTTTGGACGATTATATATTTTGAACGACTATATTCTGAACGATTACATTTTGAACGACTATATTTTGAACGATTATATTTGAACGATTATATTTTGAACAAACACATGTTGACCAAACACACTTTGAATGAAAACACTCTAAAAGGAATATATTTTGAACGAACACATTTTGAACGCCACGTTGATGCTTTTGATCTTCTAGCCGGAGTCTCTACTAAGAACCGGAACACACAAAGTCTAGCCGTACAGCACACGCGTGCGGATGCACGACGATAGCTCCTGCAGGCTCTGGAACAGATCCCTAATCTCATCCTCCTTGACGTCGCTGAGGTCCGCCATGAGGTACGCCACCTCGCCTCTCGAGTCGGACATTTGCTTGTCGATGTTGTGGTTGAGCAGGATGCCGTTGACTGCGTCTTGTTAGCTTCGTGCTCATTGTCAGATATCGACTTGACGTACCCTGTCGCAGCACACCGGGCACGTTCTTGTGGATGTAGATGACGCGCATGCAGTTCGCCTCCTCGAGCGACAGACCCCTCAGGTTGACCTCGGGCATGTTGACGGCTCCCAGTGTGGCGCCCTCGTTGACGTACCGGACGAGGGCAGTGGACACCTCGACGCCGATTGCGCTTTGCGCCTCCTCTGTGGACCCACCGATGTGGGGTGTCAGGATAATATTCTTGAGGCCGACGAGGTCCTTAGTCCACGAGTTCAGGTCGTTGGTGAAGTAGTCGCCGTTGCCGGCAGGCTCGTGGGGGAAGACGTCGATGGCAGCGCCGGCGAGCTTGCCAGAGCGCGAGGCCTCGATGAGCGCGGGGATGTCGACCACGGTACCGCGGGCGTTGTTGATGAGGTAGCTGCCCTTCTTCATCTTCTCAAACTGCGCTGTGCTAATCAAGTTCTTGGTGTCCGCTGTCGCCGGCACGTGGAGAGAGACGAAATCAGCCGTCTCGAGCAACTGATCGAGTGTCTCGACCTGGTGCGCTGTTCCTAGACCCATCATGGTCACGACGTCGTAGTAGATGACCTGCATGCCCATGGACTCGGCCAGCACGCTCAGCTGGCTGCCAATGTGTCCATATCCAACTATGCCCAGTGTCTTTCCGCGAACCTCCCAGCAGCCCTTGCTGACCTTGTTCCACACACCGTTGTGCAGTTCCATCGAGCGGTCGGCGAGCTCACGCGCAAGCGCAACAATCTCCGAGATGACGAGCTCAGCGACCGAGCGGGAGTTGCTGAACGGCGAGTTGAACACGGCGATGCCCCTCTCGGCGGCTGTCTGGAGGTCGACCTGATTTGTGCCGATGCAGAAGCAGCCGATGACAATCAGGTTCTTGGCCTCGTTGAGTACCCTCTTGGTGAGCTTGGTCTTCGAGCGGATACCGACGACCTGCACATCGCGGATCTTCTCGATCAGCTCGTCCTCGGGCAGACTGGCCTTGAGCGCCTCGACCTGGTAGCCCTGCTTCCTGAGGATCTCAATTCCCGCCGTGTTGACGTTCTCCAGCAGTAGCACCTTGATCTCCTTTGTGTTGAACGGCTTCAGGCGCTGCGCCATCTGGTTCGCGGAGAGCACATCTTGGGAGTAGCTGCCTGAGCGGCCCTGGCTGACGCTGTCGTGCGGCGGCGCCCGGAAGCTGTTTGGTGGGCTGTGGAATTGGAGGTTCGGGCTCGTGCTGAGGGAGAGGCTGTTCGAGACTTGGCGGGCCAGGTTGCTGATGCCACCGGGGACGTCTTGTGGGGGGGTCATGATGGGCGTGTGCGGATATTGGCGGATTGGTTTACGGGAGGGAAGCCGTAACTCGAATTGGTCGTCGAATCCGGGATCTGCGATAAGTACTTAAGCGCGATGGTTCGTCTTCTGCACAGAGATTCGCTGTGGGGTTCCAAAAAAGTGGTCTGGAGAATCGCGGGGCTGATATTGGTGGTGACTTATGATCAAAGAACAGCAGCAGCGAGACAATTAATTCCAGCACCACGAGCCAGTCATACGGTACCCACTCTTGGAACGGGTGAGTGAGTAATACATCAGGCTAATTGTCACAGTGACTCCCACAGCGACTCACGCGTTTCAAGAGGCTCAAAAATTTGCAGCGCGCCGCATGATGCAATCGACCCACCAGCTGCGCCGACCGCATCTCCGCTATCGGCCGTCGGCCCGTCGCTCGCATAGCGTCCATCATGCCTCGAGTCACAGAGACCGAGCTACGATGATGCAATCGCCGGCTGATGCCAGCAAAACGCCGTTACATTCATAATCTATGGATCGTGGCCTGATGCTCGCCTTGTGCGTTCCCTAACAGCGTCGAATATTCGCCGACCGAACCGCAAAATAGCTCATATATCCTGTCTCGTGACTCCATTACTGTGGTATAACCAACTTTTCTGCATCAAGGGTGCAATCTACAGCTTACCCTCCTCCTGCATGGGCCATTGGTAGCCTGCGAACGTGTCAGCGCATGGTTCAAGTCGTCGCGCAGAGGTTAGGTCCTACCTGCGGCGTCGCTGAACTTGTAGCCGTAGGACGACGTGAAGTCATCCAAAACGGCGGGGCCGCGAGATCCTGTTTCGTATCAGCTATAGCCCAGACAGAGTTTACAACAATACGCACCGTAGGGGTACTCCATGGGGATGATTTCCTTGTTGTCGTCAAGGTAGTGCAGCAGAGGAGAGAAGATCCTCCAGCTGGCATCGAGCTCGTCGTCACGGACAAAGTTGCTGTGGTCGCCCTTGAGCGCATCGAGAATAAGCGACTCGTAGGCCTCGGGGATCTTGAGGTCGGAGAATCGCCGCCTGTATGTCAGGTCGAGCTCTGTGACAACGGTCTGCATGCTGAGACCGGGCAGCTTGGAGTTCATCTTAATGTAGACGGACTCGTTGGGCTGGACACGAATGACCAGCTCGTTACGGGGAATGTCCTTGAAGATGCCAGAGGTGACATCCTTGAACTGAATGCGGACTTCGGTCTTCTGCTCGTTGAGCGCCTTTCCTGCCTTCAGGATGAAAGGCACGCCGTCCCATCGCTCGTTCTTGATGTATGCGACCATCGAGGCAAATGTGGGGCATCGCGAGTCCTTGGGGACTGTGTCGTCCTCCTTGTAACCAGGTTTTTGTCCATCGAGCGACTTTCCGTACTGTCCGATGATGACGTTCTTGGGCTCGATCGCGGTCATGCCTCGCAGGACACGGACCTTCTCGTCACGGATGTCTTCGGCGGAGAAGGAGATGGGGCGCTCCATGGCGAGGAGAGTGAGAACCTGGAGCAAGTGGTTCTGCATAACATCGCGGATGATGCCGAACTCGTCAAAGTACCCACCGCGGCCTTCTGTGCCGAATGGCTCCTTGAATGTGATCTGTTCCGAGTCAGCATTTCGTTATGCTGGTAGCCTCAATCCACGTACCTGAACGTTGTCGATGTGGTTGCGGTTCCAGGTTGCGCCGAAGAACTCGTTACCGAACCGGAGGATCAGGATGTTCTTGACCATCTCCTTGCCAAGGTAGTGGTCGATACGGAAAAGCTCGTCCTCAGACCAGTCGGGCGCGAGTGCCTTCTGGAGCTCGCGGGAGCTCTGGAGGTCCTTTCCGAATGGCTTCTCGACCTGTTCGCAAACAATTAGATATGGTCCCCAATCCCACTCCATATGGCCAACTCACAATAACGCGGGAGATGCCGTTCTTAGGGTAGTTGTTGCGCTTCAGGTGCTGTGAAACTGTGATGAAAACGCTGGGAGGGAGCGCCATATAGAAGATGCGGTTGTTCTCCTTGCGGCCCTTCTCGAGCTCGCCTAGGTGCTTCTCGAGCTCAACAAAGGACTCGTCCTTGTCGTACTGGCCGGAGACGTACGAGCAGAAGCCGACGAACTCCTCGAGCTGCTTCTCCATGTCCTGTGTGGGGGTCTTGATGTAAGACTTGACGCGCTTGAGGTACTCGTCGTGGTCCATCTTTGTGCGCGCATATCCGACGACGCGAATGTCCTTAGGGAGGAAGTTGTTGCGGTACTAGAGTCCATGTCAGTGCGGATGCGGCGGTCGATCGATCATGCGACTTACGAGGCCGAAGAGCGCAGGGAACTGGACTGATTAGCTGAGATGGATGTTGTTGGGCGCTGGAGTACTCACAGTCTTCTTCTTGGCCAAATCACCAGACGCGCCCAAGACTACGATGATCGTGTTCTCCTTGAGCTCCATGGTACTAAAAAGAGGTACGAGTTAGCTCATAATTCTCCGAGACTCGTCGTGAATTCCCCTCAGGTTGCTATCGAGCTACCCCTCCGGTGAAGTCTGGATATCAAGCCACAGCTCCACCATGAACATCAACACCACGGTGGAAGTCGCGGGAAGATATCCAGGGGCACCTCCAGCACAGAGGACAAAGCAACAAGACTCACGTACCCGGCATTGGCCTCGACCTCAGGCTGAATAACGGTGTCCGCCATGGTAATCGCCGGTGGGGGATTGTTGTTGAGGGATGCGGTGGGGTGGGGTGTCGAGGGCAATTGGTGGCCTCGCGGATGTTTAAGGTAAGAAGGAAGGGGCACGTCTCGAGTGAAAGTGCGGAAGACGCGGATGAATTGTTGGCTGGAGGAAAAGCTTCGATGTGGTGGGGTTTAGAATCGGGGCCCTGGCTCTAGTGCGGCGGACGTGGTGTTGCAGGTTCGCCGCCAAAGCTCCAATGATGACGATTTACTCGAGGAAAATGCTTCGCGCAATCATGACGGCAGCCACACATCTTTAAGCTCGCAATCAGTGAATGCCTAGGTCACGCAGTATCACTAAGCCGCCGCACGTCATGGAAAGCATCCCCGGCGCGAGACAGAACCCACACTGCTTCGCCGGAGCCCTGCTTGCTAACGCCGAGCGTGAAACCCCACCAAGTCCGTGATCTTCGCAGCAACTGCTTCACTGGCAGCGCCGAGAAATGTGCGAAACATTGAAGGTCATTGGGGCTTCGGGCTGTTTTTCCTTTGGCAGACAGAACTTACTTCAAGCTGTTGCAGTGCGTTGACACCTCATCCCGTGCAGCTGCGCCGTGAGGGCTCTCCGAATCCGGCAGTCGGGGTAACAATCATTATTGCATCGCGAAATGAGACACAGGTATTGGATTTCCGGACTGCTGCTGGTGCTCATAGATCCTCCGGCCCCTCTTCAGCGGTCCACGAGACCTTGTTGAGGCCCTAACCGCCCGACAAGGCTGCAGGTCATTGACAGCATCTGATCTCTGCAGCACCACTCTAGGACTCGCTTAACAAAGTCCGCCGGAGTTGCTCAACACGGCGTCGAGAGCGTGGGATCTGTGCCGGAGAGATGTTGTGGTTGCTCGGTGAGCGTTGACACGATGAAGTGATTCAGCCCTGTTGAGCGGGCCGATAGGTGTACATCGGCGAATTCACCGCGCGTTGTTGATGAGCTGTATATGTGTGGATCCTGCGCAGGCAAGTCATACACAAAGAGTCACTGCAGGCAAGTAACCACAAATTGTACACTTTGAGAATGCTGTTCGATTCGAAAATCGAGGTGCTGACGAAGCTTCGACATCGATCTGGACCTCGAAGGGGCAATTCTCTTGTCGACATGCAGATAAGACCGGCGGCTGATTGATGCCGTCGTGGGGCGTCAGTTATGTTCTGGAGGTACAGTGGCTACATGCAGGGACTTCAGCCTCTCAAGGCTGTCACGAATCTCAAGGTAAACTCTACACTGGACACATGAAGCCAACTACATCTCCAAGGGAATACTTGACAACTACAATATTTTTGTATGAGACCATGATGTCGTGCCACACAAACATCAAAGGCCGGTACTTCGTACTGTTCATACACGAGCTGAAAGGTCGAGAGTTTTGAGGAAAGTTGCCTTCTCAGTGAGTCTCAAAGAAACAGTCCAGGTCCAGTGTCCGTGTTACGTGAAGGTACTTCCGCAGTCCCAGCCAACGTGACATTGATACAGATGATACAAAGGAAAGTAAAGACGTAATATGTTGGTCAACGTCTCGTGAGCTCTCTACATGCAATAGTTGTGATAACAGCCGCAATTTGCAAACAGTACTCGGGGCCACGGGTGTTCTGATGAATCCAAAACCCCTTCCCTTGAGTTATTGTAATGCGCTCGAAATGCTGAGTAAGATCATGACTCAAGTGCATCTGACAGCGACAAACCCAACGGGCGATAGACAGTGTTGGTTCAGAAACGAATATTTCAGGTGAGCAGGCTGCTGCACGTGTTCTCGAAGTCGAATAGTGATACTCGTGAGTTGCGGCCGCCAGTGCGGGAGTCTCACAAGAGTAGCACATCAAACATATGAACATCGACATCGCCAGCTGTTGTGCATATTAGCATGATGAAGAGAACCATGGATGCTAGTACCATGTCACAATTTCCAGTATTGAAGGCAGCACTATCATGTGCCTTGATGACTGATGATGTGGTCTCGGATTGTGCGTGCGCTAGTGTGTTCACGTGACTACTCGCTTAACGAGTGTGCGCTTTGAATTTCGCGATGGACGCAGCGACAGACCGCGAAGCCCGTTTTCGACCTCACTAACACCAGGTAACCACACACGCCGGAGGCCAGGAATCATTCGCCATGTCTGACATCAAGTCTCACCGTCTCTACGTCAAGGGCAAGCACATTTCGTGAGTGCGCACCGGAGCCAGCATGGAATTGGACATCTGCTAACAGGGCACAGCTACCAGCGAGGGTACGACTGAATCCGCACTGCGCTGCTGTTCTCCGCTCACATGGCTATAGAAAGCGCAACACCAATCCCGGCACCTCTCTGCTCAAGCTCGAGGGCGTTGACGACACCGCCGCCGCACAGTGGTACGCTGGCAAGCGCGTAGCCTGTACGTACAGAGGAACACGGGAGGGTCAGCGTGGGAGCAGGCACTAATGAGTGCGCAGACGTCTACCGCGCCCAGCGCGCCATTCAGGGCTCCAAGATCCGCGTCATCTGGGGCAAGGTCACCAGGCCTCACGGCAACTCTGGCGTTGTCCGCGCCAAGTTCAGGTCGAACCTCCCTCCCAAGTCCTTCGGTGCTTCCGTCCGCGTCATGCTTTACCCTTCTTCGATATAATTTCGGCCACACAATGGGGACGAGACGAACGGTAGATGATGAGCGATGGAGTGGTTAGTGATACGGCGCAAAACCCGGCAACGGCATCGGAACGAAGCAATACGACAGCGAGTCTCATGCACAGTTTCATTTACATGGCATGTTCAGGCTGGTAACGGTGTCACTGTTTTCGGAATTCCATGACAAGGCATTGGCAAAATCAATCAAGATTCCTCCCAAGATCAATGGAAAATGATCAATCTCTCGCAGCACCTTTGGCATTGTGATGGAGAGAGGCAGTCTGTACCAGGGGCCGACGTTGAAAAGCTGTGGCAGCACTATCAAGGGGCTAATATGCATAGGACCTAGGGAACCCGTTCGCAATCACTAGTACCTGAGGTCACTACTCACCTTGGCCAAAATGTCACCGCACTCGGTTGCTACACGTCGTCGAATACACCACGGCATACCTGCGCGCTCGTAGCGCAACACTGGGCGGTAGCATGCAACGAGACCAGACATGCTTAGGCGGCTTCTCGGCCTTTGTACGTGCCGTCCCTCTTGAGGCGTTGCAAAGGCATTCGCATCGCTGTCAGACGACCAAAGACTATGTTGAGGTTGTGCAGTGTGGCTGCCACGGCAGTCGTTCTCGCCTTTTCCTCCACGTACTATAGTTGAGTTCGCACATGACAAGCCAAAATATCGAAGGAGACATAACCCCACCTTGCGCAGCAGTGCCAGTCCTTCGGACACATCCTCTCGTTTTCTTTCCTTCTCACTTCCTGTGCTGCTGGACAGGGCATTGCACGTCTAACACGCAGTCCAGATCTTGGACCGGCTGCTACACTCGCTTATCATCTATGGCTGACGCCATATACCAAGGCTGGGGCCAGTGAACATATTATTTCTGAACCTCATCCTTGTCACTGTACGACACTCCATCCCCGCCAGCTTTACATCATGTCGGGCAACTTGGATACCGCGCAGATCAGGCTGCACTGACGGCTAACAAACTCGCCTCGACTGCTATCGCGCTAGCAATCACGGCGATCATTGCAGCCTACCTGCAGATGCCGCTCGGCAGCGACATGACAAGCAATGCACTTTGGAAAACGAATCGAGCGGCGATTGACGTGGCAGCCCAGGAAAGGCGTCTGCTGCCGAGTGTGAGAAGAGTCAAGGTGCTGTATCCGCAAGTCAGTCTTCGTCTCTTTGATCTCCTGGAGGCTGCAGAAAAGAATCCCAAAGCCACACAGCCGCCGGCCGCAGCGCCGGATGGACCTCTCGCAACATGGGCTCAAGTCATTAAAGCTTTTGGCATATCAGATGCTTCTTTTTTACTTCAACGTCGACTGAGCGCGGACGCTATACCCACTGCGATCGATGTGCCGCTTCAGCGCGTTCGTCTATTGGATCTTGGACAGCTCGCACTTATCCTAGGCTGTTCTAAGGTAGAGCTGAACGTCGAAAGCCGCCACTTCCGTGCGGTAAGACCTCGCTGCATTATTACGACCGAAGATATACCCACTTTCGGAAATGTAATACTCTTCGAAGGCGACGCTGATGCATTGAGTCCTCATGAATTCGGCAAATCCCATCAGCACGGCTGGTATCTCGCAATAAGCGTATGCATGGGTCAATTACCGATGGAAGAAAGTCTTGTACCTGATGACTGGTTCCGAAGTTGTTTGGCAAGGTTCTCGGAATCAGAAAGAGATCTGCACCACGAAGCTGTGTTGCTACAGGAGCGAGTTGACCATCTGGGATCCGGTGCAACTGTTGAAGCAAGCCTATCATCGATCAAACAATGGCAGTCGGAGAGCAAACTGATCGTTCCCAGTATTGTTTCTCTTGCTGCGATAGCTGTATTGCCCGGCGCTTTCATGTGCTTTCCGAAACAGCTGTACTTGGGCGGCGTTGAGGTATGGTGCAGATTCGAAGCCCGTCGACTGATCCGCCTCAACGCCCTTATGCGTTGATACGGTAAATTGCTATTCAGGTCCCATGACACCCAAGACAAGTGTCTGAATGACGAGCTTGGCTTTCAAAGGTCGTCTCTCAGACTTCCCACAAACAACGTCTACTTCAGGAACTTATCTGCATACAGCTGGCTCAACAGCAATCTTCAGAGTGTCCATGACTCGATGTCAACTTGGACAAAGGACGCTATCTACGATACATTTCCAGGTTCACGATCTGTCTATAGTGTGAGAGCGCTGATCCTACCCTGGACCTGGGATCTCATCCGAACGTACGATCTAGTCTCATCTACAAGATCAGAGAGGTGAAACGCAGGGCCAATTCTTCTGCATTCCTATGGTCGCAGATAGTTCTCATTGATGTAGGTATCCGGTTGCGAATCGAACGCAGTGCTGCAAAACTTGATGGTGACGCGACCAACCCGATTACCCACTCCAGACTATGCGTTCTTGATGCGATCGTTGAAATCTCGTGGCTTTCCGGTCATTCACCGCGGCTTGAGGAAAAGAGAAAGCAGAGAAGGAAAGGCCAGCATTCTCAACATAATCTGTTCGTAAGGCGAACAACGATCTCGAAGCACACTTGACTGGCAAGAACACTTCTATCAACGCGTCAGGCTCGACCCAGAGCGGCAATCACTCAACCTATGAACGTCAAGATTGTAACGTAGGAAATGCAAAAGTCCCGATGACGTCATCGTCTGAGACTTTGATAATCTCAAATAGTTGATTTCATTCTTTTATTTATTCACAGACATGTACCTGAATAGTACCGAGAGCTTTTAGGCCTTATTTAGCAGTATTCAAAGCTATATTGCTGCGGTATTGAATTATTGAAGCTGTGCAGTGCGTGGTAGAAATCCACCTTACTGAAAAGACGCAACCAACAATTCCATATACGAAATCATCAACTGCTCAACCATCATTACTGCATCAATAGTACGCCTTATTACACCGCCCACGTTGCTCGCGCATATCAAATGAACATTGTTTTGAGTCTTCGTCCCGTCATCACTTCTCAACCCGCCCATCCACCCGATTCGCTCTATTTAAATGTCCATCTCCGAGACCATCCAGCTCGTAGCTTGGAGAAGGCGCGAACGCAAAATTTTCCACCTGCTCCAGCAATTTGGCGCTATTTCCTCGAGATGTAGATCTGGCGCTGCGGGTGCGGTGCCGATATAGCTTCCCGAGGTGTTGTGGGCGTATTTCCGGATACAGAGACTGGGTTGTTAGCATGGGTGAGAGGGAGTTTAAGAGATGTTGGGAATCTCTGCTGAGGAGGTATTTTAGCGAAGAGAGGGAGGTCCTTGGCGAAGACAGGGTTTTACGAAGAGGGTTGGGGGAGAAGACGAACTCGCGTGTCATCTTCCGGACAACGACGGTTTGCACCATTTGCCCGCCTGGGTAAAAGAAGTGGATCACCGGCACTGTGATGCATTCGTTTGGGTCGCCGATAGTGAGGTTGTGCATTGGAGCTTGTTATCTCGGTATATGATGCGGGCGGCGCGTCATTTGGTGAATCAGGGGAGGGGACAATCGTGCTGGTCGCGGTGTTGGAGGGGATGGAGGCATGAGAGCTGCGGGAGATCATGTCCACGGAGCAACAAGAACAAGAATTATCGTAGAAATATCGTCGAAGTTAGTTGGAAGGGGATTTGAAAGGCTTAAGCATGACGAGAAACGGCCTCGTTCTGCTTTATGTCTCGACAAGTCATGTGGTGGCGATGCAGCCTTGCGAGACTGCAGCCTCGTGGTTCATTTTGGCCGCTTTAATTGATCGAATGAGCATATGTACTATATACGAATAAATTGCTAGGCACGAGCACCGGTGAGCGAGCCTTGCAAAATCAGGAACTGTGTTTCGTGCGCTGTTGATTTGGCGGATCAATCTTGACTCAAGCTCGGGCTTCTCGAAGGTATACAAGCTGATTGTGCTTCCTATACCGTGTTGCCAAAGCACTGAACGACGTTGGCTCTTGAACAACAGTCCCTTCGAATCAGGTCGATATAGATTAAATCTCGGAGCTCACGCAGAAGCTTTAGGAACGTGTCGTAGAGCGATTGGCGTGCATTCTTGGGTAATGAGACTGGAAAGTGTCAGCTATTTGTAGGTCATGATCGAAAGTGCACGGCGTACTTGCCACGAAGGTGTTCCGGGCAGATATGTGGAGTAAGACTTTGACCGAGCTTGCCGATCCGCTCATCGAGGATATTTATTCTGCATACTCATTTTGTAAGCCTGTCTTAATTGTCCATATCTCGTCAGCAACGTTGTTTGTGAGAAAATCACGCGACAAATTCTCTGAGCCCATTTCCATGTGAGGTAGGCAATGACGGAGATGACATTGTGTCTGTTTGAGCATGGACATCGACTCACAACCCATATTGGTCCCGAATAAGGTGGTGCCGTTGTGTATATTAAGCCCGCCAAGGTAAAAGATAGAACTGCTTGATCATCCGTATAAGTATACCTTCATGTTCATGTCCGCGCATGACCTCACCGAGTGAGCTCAGTAAGCTGTAAACTGCAGCCGTATGCGAGAAGACAAAGGCGGGCACCATACCACAGAGTCTGTCCGGCTGAAATTACAATGTCGTCTCCCAAACCTCTAAGTAGCTTCTGTAGTGGCGAGGTTGATGCCATTATACTGGTCTGTGCCGTGGTAAGTTTTGATTTGAATTTCGCTTGCCCTAAGATGAGCGATCTCGCGTAGATGACCGAGAAATCTTCGCTGGTCCGAGACGCCGCTCATCACATGGCCTGAACTAGCATGCTGGATGATGTGGTATTGATTTGTCGTCCTTTTGATGACCAAAGACGGGCGTATGGTCTCCTGAGATGCGTGCTGTTGCCGCTTGGACCTCAGAACAAACCAGTATCTCGAGCACTGTACAAGAAAGAGGTCGCAGACTGGCCCGATGTAATGCAAAGGATTGGCCAGCAGAGAACCAAAGGCCAGAATTGGGCATGTCGAATTGTCATTGAGGTGAGAATCACTTCGGACAGGAGGTCTGGTGCACTGCTACGCCACATGAAGCCCAGACTCAGGACACTGTGCGATGCCTCCATGTGCGTCCCCCTCGCCTGTTCGAGAGCAGGATGAACCATAGGACGAGTTGGGTGCAACCAAATGCATGAGATGGCAGAAATATTATGTCCACTGGGCTCTTTGCTGCTTATTCGTCTTTTGGTGATGCGTGTCCGTTTAATTATGGCAAACAAGGCCAAACGTCACTTATTGAGATGTTGATTGGCCGGCTGCCTGGTCCCGTTGCCACGATTGGATAAGCGACTGCTTTCGCCAGACTCAAAAATATTGAATTGGAAATTCAAATCGCCTTTGGTGGAAGTCGAGGTGATAAATAGTGTGGTCAGGAGTTGATAGTCAGCAGTGGGGCAGGTGCGAGCGGGCACTAGTCTGTATCATGATTAGTGTTGACAGGAACTTGGAAAGCGCGACGCGTGGGGGCCAACCCGTGGAACGAACTGCTTGATGCTCGCTACAAACGTCGCCATCGTCATGTCATCCTGCATTATTCAGAGCTTCGCGTCATCTCGCTGCCGAAGAGCAGCAGACTTGAACAATGGAGACAGTGTCAGCAGTCTTTGGCATTGTACGTATCCCCAACCTCTATTTACCCTGCAGTAGAGCACACGAACTAGCAAGCAACTCAAGCTTTTGGTACAAGACTGACAACGACCCTGCAGATGGCAGCGCTGCCGCAGTGCATCCAGTCGGCGAAGGAGCTTTACGACCTACGTGAACGATACAAAGACGCCTCCGTGCTTATCACCGCTATTTACTCCGAATCAATGGTGATCGCCGCCTCGCTGTCCCAAGTCCAGAACCTTCTTCAGCACGATGCGCTCCTCCAAAAGCCGCAGTTACTCGAGACTTTTGACCGAGCCTTGACAGGATGTCGCGTTGTGTATGGATGTTTAGAAGAGGAGGTCCGCGATCTGGTGGAGAAGGCTCAGCGCAATGAACTTAAGTTCAGAGACCGGGCAACATACCTCCTGAAGGAAGACACATTCAAGGAGCTTTTGACGCAAATACGAGGGCAACAGTCTGCGCTCAGCTTGCTCATCCAGGGCCTACAGATGGAGTCGATGGCGGATATGAGGAAGCTGGTCGAGGCCAACAGCAGCAAGCTAGATCAGATTGTCAAGCGGTCAAAGACATTGCGCCAAACGCACCCACGTATCAAAGTGCCTGACTCCATCTTTAGCTATGAGAGTGGGGTCGCAGATGCGTCAGACGCCGAATCCATCGTCAAGTCTACCCACTTCGAGTTTGACGATCAGGTCATCAGTTCAAAAGCATATCAACGAGCCATGGCACGCTACACGATGGATACTGCGGATGTCCCTCTAGACTTGAAGGAGCCGGAAGCAGTAGTGGAAATCGAGGTCGCAGAAGAGAATTCCACTGAGTTGGGCACTATGAAAGGGCCTGAGCTGAAGCGCAACCCGGTTATTGAGGCCAGGTCACAGCAACTCGTTGCACAATTCACCTCAGGATCCGAGGAAGAAGTCGTAATGGTCCTAGCTAGACCAACGCATGAAGAGACATCGCCCAAAGAGGAAAGAATGGACAAGTTGGACTCCCTTGAGCGAGATGTGCTGCCGTACATGCCACGCATCACATCGACAGCACCGTATTTGACCCAAGTTAGAGCTGATGCCTTCGATACCATTGAAACCAAAATCGACAATAAGTCGGCCCGCGTGCCACTCCGATCGTTCAGCGAAGGACCCCCCATCGTACCAGATGCGACCCCACCCCTACCGCCACGTCGCACAAGTGGGCCACAGCTTCGCTCACAAGATTCTGCCGCTACATTGAAAGCACGATCAAAGTCGTCAGACGGAAGCTTGAATACTTCGGAAGCAGGATCGATCTTGTCGCAGGTATCAGAAGCCTCATCTCACACGGCCTATGAATCCATGCGGCAGAGTCAGGCAATGTTCAACAATCCAATAAGAAAAGCGCCCCCACTCGCACACAAAGCATCACATGTTCTGCTGGGCGACTTGCAATCGGATTCAAGGAGTCTGGCATATCAGGGTGAGCCTTCGTGTTTCGAAAGCGGGGAAATGCATGCGATTTGGTTATCACTCGTAGAAGCCGAGCGCAACTTCTTCGACCGCATGACGAGACTACGAAGAATGTTTTACGACAACGTCATACGGCAATGGCCACTGCTCGAGCCCCATCTTGGTATTGTGTTGATTGGTGAGCAGCTCGCTGGAACCAACAAGAAATTTCTCTGGTTGCCTATGGAGCAGCAGTTGTCAGAGTCAGACCAGGCGACCTGTGACCCTGCCATCTTTGCAACCTGGACCGAAAATGTTCAGCGCATGTTCCGTGAGTACTGCCAAGCACTGCCACACGCGATCGGAGCACTACGAGCTACGCAGATCAATGATGGAAACTTTGCTCCGTTCGTCAATACTCTTGGTCTTAGCATTGCCTACTTCGGCAAGAGCTGGGAAGACTACCTGAGACTGCCTGTTACCGAGCTTGATATATGTATCGAGAGCATACGGAGTCTCGTTAGCATAGCGAATGATCTGGAACAGCCTGGTGCGGATGTAGAGACGCAGCGGCTGACGAGCTCTTTGAACGCGTTGGACTGGCTCAAGTCATCGTCTGCATCTGTGCTTGAGCAGTCACAAGGTCGAGAAGACATGCAGAATCTGGAGCGTCGCATCCACACGCTCGATACAGACATCTTGTCTCAGCTCAGCTTGCTCGACACTAAGCGCCGTGTGAGGTATCAGGGCAGCATGACAATGAAGCTGAAGAGCAAAGGGCCCTGGCATGCTGTGCACGTTGCGCTCCTCGACAACTATTTGTTGTGGGGCAAGATCAAAGCTCAAAGGAAGACTGCCGGCGAGAAGGTTATTGTCCTGGACGCAGTAAGTGCATTTGTTTACTACGAATCGCATATACTAACAATCACAGCCCATCCCTATCAGTGAACTTGAGGTTAGCCTGCCATGCGACCAGCATCAATTTCAGAAAGCAACAATGTTCGATGAAGTACCGAGGAACTCCATCCAGTATATGATCATGATTAAGAGAAAGGATTCAGACGGCAAAGCACATTTGCTTGGCTCGCCCACATACCAAGACCGAAGGACTTGGATGGACCACTTCGAATTAGCGACGGAAAAGAGGTGAATCATAAAATTCGATTTTCACACTCTGCGCGGCTGAGATACTGTGTAAGGACTGGTTTCAGGCTGGTGAATCACCCGTGAAAGAAGTCATACGAGGGGCGTTGCTTCAGCACGCAAACAATTCGGGGGAGATGATTAGCAAGCTTGCTGAAGCAAACTCCTTGCAAACACCAGACCATCACAACGACCTACCAGCCACTTCAACCACACAGCAATCTGACACGCTCCACAATCAAGAAAGAATGGCAACTTCGCGAACTCGTCCGAAAATCCCGCCCAGCGTCTCATCGGACGATGCTGTGGCCATTATCCCTGTCAACGACCCCGAGTTTTCAACCCATCTGCAAGACACGACCTTCAGAAAGACGGATATCGTGCGGCGATGGTCTACACGAACCCGACGCAAGACCACCATAGTTGGAGCTCAAGTCTTCTTACTCCGCGCCGAAGACAAGTTTGAGTACACTTTCGGCCGCATTTCAGCAGCTGGCGCAACTACCAACATGCCGGACGTACGATTACCTGGCTCCAGAGTCGCAAAGCAACAGTTCAAGCTTGTGCCGGATTGGGAGGTCAATCCGTGGCGCATCCACTCGATGTCCGAGACCGTCTTTATCGTGAATGATGTACCACTGCAGAAGCCAACACCGCGAACTAGGAAGTTTAAGGACCCTTTTCCGCACGTATTGTATCTCAACCAGACTGGACTCAATCGCGTCGTTGTCCAAGACGTGCAGATTGACATTTGGCTAACGAAGAATCCACGAGAAGTGATTACCTCAGAAGACTATCAACCTGATCTTGTGGAGCAACCGCTTCAAAACGTCCAGCACAGGCTGGAAGACTGGGCTCAATCTCATTATCTCCCCGGCTCTAACCAGGTCTCCAACAACTCCTTTTCAGTGCTCCAGCGATTCACTGGCCAGCAATTTGTTGCCAAGCTGTTCCGTGACAATGCGCCACGTCGCGACGAGGAGTTCCTAATGTTCAACAGGAAGCAAGTTGATGCATCTATCGTGCAGTACCTACAATCTACCGAGGTTGCTAGCATACCAGTCATCATCACATCTTTACACCATGGTTTTGCCTCATATGCCTCTTTGCGCCAAAGCCTCATGCAACGGCATCCGGGCTCACGCTTCTCAGTCGCAACAAAGCTGCTTCGCCGCCTGTATCCGGCACTAGAGTTCTTACATTTCCATGGCATTGCTCATGGCAATGTCTCGCACAACAGCGTGCTTATGCATCTTGTCAATGATAAGGTGGAGCAAGTCTTACTTGTAGACTATTCCACCGCACATTCGTTCTCGCTTGGCGACGCGGCCCCGAAAGACGCTATGGTCGCTGATGGGAAAGCAGTCATTCAGCTGATCGATGATTGTAGCGACCTATGGACTCTACGAAGAGTCGCACCCAAAGACGCCCAGAATGAGAATGTCTTGCGGCAACGCACTTTGGAGGCGGTGCGGAAGTGTAAAATAGTGAGTCGCTGCTGCCGTGACTACTTCGGTCGTCAAGGCAAATTAAAGGCCTCAGAGAAAGGCAAGAAGCTGCTACGGCTGCTTGAGAGAATGGAGATCGAGTGCAACCGCGCACAAGATGCACAGCTGTACACCAGTGCCCTGCGAGAGGTCGGCCACGTTTTCAAGTCGACTTTAGACGGCATGCGCGAGGAACACACCCAAGCGCACGGTCTGCCCAGACTCGGCGAACACAACACGTGGAATCTATCTCTAGGCCGCCCGTACCTCGATGGGTTAGTGACGCGATTGTATCACGATCGGTGGGATCTAACTCCCCGCGAAATTTGTGCGAAAATCAAGGAGCTCGCAGGAGATATTGAGGACCCATGGGAAACGTTTGAAGTCACGACAACGTTTGCCTTTGACCAACAAGACGTCCCTACAGGTCTTGACCGTGATGGAAGGCCAGCAAGCCGCAATCTACTTGCATTTACCAAGCAACCAATCCTACTCTGGCTGGCAGTCTGCTGCGAGATCTATACAGAGTGGCGCTTATCTATCGAAATGGAGGTCGCGAATAGCATCCGATCGCCAGGTATGGGCGTCACTCGTAAAGAGCTGTACGGTCTTCAGCGCGCACTGCTAAGGCACAGCTTTCTCCCACCGAGTATGCATCAGGTCTTCAAGTACCTACTGAGTTCATACGACAAGCCGCCTGCAGACGTGTACACAGTCGACGTCCTGCACCAGGTATGCTATCATACTCCGTCGAGGATGTTCAACGTGACGCAACTCCAGCGGCTGTCGTCTCCTCAGAACCTCCGGGCTTGCATCACAGAAGGCAGGGTGAGTTCCAACCACTTTGCTGAGGTGCGCGGCAGCCCAGTGTTAGAAGGTTGCTACGTATCGTTGGCATTGCTTCCCGCATTCGTCGAGGGGCTGGGCGTCACTGTGCGTGAGATGCCTAGTCCATCCCAGGACTTCCCTGCCTTCGATCCAGCAGACTTCAGCCAGGTGCTACACAAGGGTCGGATTGTGCTTGCGCGCAGAGGTCTGCTTGCTTATGCGACGATGGTTCGGAGCGGTGATCAGTGTTGCTGGCACGACCTGACCAAACTCGGGATGGATTTTGAGACACCCGGCGGCTTCCTGCCCACGTACTTCGGCGACGCGCAGATCTTGCCGCCACTGCCACCTGGTGGCTTTCACGCGCGACCTGAGCACTGTTCGGGCTTCGCAACAGACGAGCAAGATGACGACGCTTCAGTAGGTCGTAGTGACAGGCGGGTGGTTCTTGAGGCCAAAAGTCCGGCTGTGAAGGCCGCTGCCTACAGGCGATATCACAGGCGATCACAATCAGCGAGGCACAGTGCTATCGACACACCTGTCCAGTCTGCGCTGTCCGCTCTGCTGAGGCAACGCGAAGCAACTCGAGCAGAGGCTTTAGCGAAGCGCAAGGTCGACGCAGCGACTCCTGTCACGCCTCCAAATCGGCGCGAACGAGCGAGGACTTCGCAGCCAAGCACGATCCAAGACGTCGAGAAGCTCATCTCGCGACTCCAGCGCCCAGTAGCCCCTCCATCGAATGGTCACTGCGCATCCGCGCCAACACGATCAGCGACGTCGCGGACGTGTCTCTCCAAGAGCCGCCGCCCTCCAACCAAGACGCTGGTGCCGCGCACTTCTGCCCCACGCTGCGGATGCTGGATGAAGGGTTCTACAGCTCGCCGACTGCGGCGATACGGGATGCAGATGCGAGTGACAGGGCGGATGGTGAGGGCAGCTTGGCGAGTACGGATGCGGGGGTGCGGGTGCGCCAGGACCGGTGGGGTATAAAGACGATGGCCCGGATTAGGGGTGACCACGCGCGGTGCTGGGACAGGCGAGACGAGGCGAGACGAGGCGAGGCCTGCGGGGCGGATGTAACGCATGTCATGTCTACAGTACCCATCCTTGGATAGTGGGCTTGGTCTTGATCTACGGAACAGGTCTACGGTATCGATCGGTTTATGCCTTGCCGTCCGAGAACTGCACAACAGCCCACTTCCCACTCCACGCCCACTTCCTGCCGCCCGCTTCCGTGCTGCCGCCGTCCATCTGCCGCAATTCCTCGTCCCTGCCCGCCGGCAGTCCGACGACGACGTCTGCCTTGCACGTCCGGAGGGCCAGGACGCGGACGCCGGAGCCGGGGCCCAGGGGCCCGATGGCGTCTGCGAAGGGCGTCGTGGGATCCCAGGCGGCCTGGCGGTGTCAGCGGGAATGAAAAAGGGAGGGGGAGAGGGGGGACATACGTCGGCAGTGAGTTTGCGGTAGTTGAGATCGCCCTTGAAGATGACGAGTTCGCTCTCCTTCAAGTCGGCGTACAGCTCCGGTGCACCCTTGGGGAGCCGCCAGTAGCTGCCACCCGTCGTCCAGAAGCCGTTTGGCCGCAGCACCAGCTGGCCCTCGGCGTAGATGCTCGTCCAGTGCTGGAACAGGAAGGTCAGGGCGTCGTGCTCCGCGGGGGCGAGGGGCTGCGCCGTCTTGCCGGCGGCCTTGTCGGCCTCGCTCAGCGCGCTGTAAAAGGTCTGCGGCGCTGCGAGCGCGGACAGCAGCTTGGCAAAGTCGGCGGGCAGCACGTCGCTGACGAACCACGGGATGGACTTTGGGTGGAAGACGACGGCGGTGGCGAGCCCCGCAGCGACCAGGTAGCCGGCCAGCAGCAGGTCGACGAAGAGCTCGAAGCCGGCGTTGTCGAGCACAATGTCGACACGACGGTCTTTCGTGCCGGCTTTCTGCGCGGCACGGAGCGTCTGGAACGCCTTGTCCAGGTCGTTGACGAGGATGTTCTTCTCGCTGTTCTTCCGCGCCGCGCTGCCCTGCAGCTGCTGGATGTCCTCGTACGACAGATTAGTCAGCAGCGAGAGGTCGGTCGCGTTGCCCCAGAGACAGATCTCGCACATTTCTCGGAACAGGAGCTCCTCGGCGGCCTCGAGGTCGGCGGCCGACTGGGCGCCCGCCAGCGTGTGCTTCTGCTGCAGCTCAGTGACGATGCTCTTGTAGCGGGCGGCCAGCTCGAGGACGGCGGGGCGGCTGGACTTGAACGTGTCTATTTTCTGGCGCGCGAAGATGTCGTAGTTGCGCCAGTGTTGGGTTCGCTTGAACACGGCGGATATGCGTCTACCTGCCCCCGTCAGCCGTCGGCGTCGTCAACATCACGATCGCGAGAAGGCCAGACGCACCGGTACAGATAGCACTCGGCATACAGCCACGGCACGCTGTGCCACCTGCAGACGCCCCGCGTCGCCAGCTCGTCGTTGTACGCGGCCACGTCCGGCTCGCCGTCGTCCGGGATGGACGTCAGCTCGCGGTCGTGCTGCAGCTCGTACTTGAGACGCGCCAGCTCGGAGACCACGTCCTTGCCCTCCTGCACCGTTGCGGCGTCGGTGGCGGCCGACGTTGACCTGTGCACGTCGTCGATACCCTGCGTGATGATGATCGGCCAGCGTTCGCGCGCAGACGTGTGCGCGAACGAGGCCGGGTCGCTGGTGCGGTATTGCGCGGCAGGGAACGTGTCAAACTCCATCTTGCTGCGTGGATAGCCGGTGGGGGTTATGTGCGGCGGTTGAAGCGCGGGCGCGTCGTCGCGAGAGCCATGGCGGGGTGGCGGGGCTTCAACATTTTCTGCAGGCATGTTCCTTGGACTGACCATGGGGGTGCGGCTGCGCTTACGTCTTTGGGCTTGGCTCTTGTACCGCATCTTCATCGCATACACCGTAGTCGGCTGAAATGTTGTCCTCAGACTTCTGACACTATCTGCTCAAGCACATCTCTCGCCATACTCGCGCAGCCTCATTCTCAATCTCTCAGCAAAGCTCGTCACTTCAGGCCCTACCCCTCGTCCACCATCATTGACTCCATGTCATGGCAGGCCGTGCTTGATGACATATCTCATCACGTGGCCGGCCCTCTGCCTGATCCCACGGACTGCGAGTGCTTTCAACCGCCAACATGGAGCCGCGCTATCTCCCGCTCGAACTTGTGCTCAACATCATCACATGCTCGCTACCACCATCGGATGTGATGCTCCCTCCGGCTCATCATGTGACCAAAGCTCTGTTGACGTGGACCCTTGTTTGCCACGAAACAAGACGACTCGCCAAGCGCTACTTGCGCGAGCGCTGCGTGTACCTCAGCTCACCTCAGCGGCTGAGCGCGTACCTCTTGGCCATCAAGAAGGAACCGGAGCTGAGGAGCGTCACTACCTTGTCCTTGTCCCCGTTTGGCAACACCATTGATGACCTGCGTCTGTGCTGTTGGGTGGGAAATTTACTCAACCATACGTGCGAATCACTCCGGAGGCTGGTCATCGACATACCGCTCCGGAGCTTATATCCAGAAGATGACCATCTGGCCGTACGACGCGTCCTCAGAGAGGGGTTTGAACGTCTTGAGAATCTCGAAGAATTCGTCAGCACACGGGACGAATTGTACCTCGAGGTGACTGAAGACGAAAGGCACCCTGCCGTCTGGCGGTGCTGGAAGAAGCTCAAACGGCTCGCTCTGTACAACGTCGACCTGACGTTATACTTCTTCAGCGACCTCGCCAGCCTTGCTCAACTAGAAACCCTCGTCCTCTCGCGCTCGGACGGAGACAACGGATCCATTGATGACTGGGCGCATTACTTTGTGCTCACTGACCGGCCTTTCAAGCTCCTCATGCTCGGCTCCGAGCGGCGTCGTTTCATTCCAGATAACCTGCTCTCAGGACGCATCAAAAGCCGCGTCGAGACTGAACATTTGCCCATGATCAGGAGTATCTGGTTGAACCATACCATCGACTTCTCCATCGAGGAATGCCAGGCTTTTGTGCGCGAGCACGCCGAGCGTGGGACGCTGTGGACCTTGGACGAGGGCACTATCCCTTGCAATGCTAGGCCGTATGTGGACGAGCCGTACTTGGCGAAGCTTGGGATGCATTGGTTGATGCTCGATGAGCGTCGTAGAGCTTGGTCAGTCGACTAGCACGTCACTCTGGTCACATTGCTGAGAATGAAGGTCGCAACCGCCGCGGACGTTTAGCCACCGCCATGGTTCACCAGACGCGAGCTTCTTCCAGAGCTATATGTCTGGCTCCTTTGACCAGTAGCCTTGAATGTCGATGTTCTGGGCCTACACAAGTTCCAGTGGGCTGAGAATACTTTCACATGGCCCTTGAAGCCTCAGTCTCATTTCCAGAACCCCCCACGCTCCCCGCGTCAGTGCACGCGCTCCTTTAGTTGCACCATCGGTCCCTTCCTGTTGCTCACAAACATCTCATATGTCTGATACTGTCCCTCCTCACGGCGCCCGGGCCTCGCGTCCGCGCTCCCGCCCCCCAAGTTGCCGTTAGCATCACGCCTGATTTCGAACTTCCACAGCGTCTTCGCCAGGACAATCCTCATCTCAAGCCAAGCCATATTCTTGCCTACACATCCCCGCGAGCCAGTCGAAAAAGCACAGAACGCGCTCTCGCCCAAGGCAACGCTGTCTGCCGTTGACCCCGCCTCGCCTACGATCCAGCGCTCAGGCCGGAACTTCAGCGGCTCCGGGTAGTAATCCTGGTTGTAGTGCATTGCCCAGAATGCGGTGCTGATGAGAGAGCCTTGCGGGAAGTAGTGTCCGTTGACCGTTGTGCCGCCGGGAAGGACTTCGCGACTGGGCTCGGCGGGGACTGGGGGCGACATGCGCATTGCCTCCATCAGAAACGCGGTCATATAGTTGCAAGACTGGAGTTTGGGCCCGGCTTTGATCTCTTCGTAGCTGTTGAACGTGGAATGAATCTCCAGCGCCAGCTTCTCCTGCACCGACGGGTTGCGCGACAGGTAGAAGTAGGCCGCTGAGATGACGATGGCAGTCGTGTCGCTGCCTGCGACGATGAGAAGCTCACACTCTGCGTAGAGCTCTGGGAGGGAGTAGCCAGTCCCAGTCTCTGGGTCTTTCGCATTGAACAGCCAGTGGAAGAAGTCCTTTCTGACCTCTGCTTCTGACCTGGGCTTCTCCTCCAGCTCGCGCTGCTTGCTTGTCCGCTTTGCGAGGCAGTCGTCTACGAATTCTGTCCATTTCTGAATCGCGGGCGGAGTCACGGCTGCTAGTAGTCTATCCAAACCTCTCGGCTTGAGCCAGATGTACAACGAGCTGATCGGAGAGCAGCCAATCTGATGGTATTAGCGCAGCCAAGATGCAAGCAAAGTCCACTAACCGGATGCACAAGCTCCATAAAACCAATCATGAGCTCAGGGACATGTCGCAGCTTGCTATCCGGCTCCTTCATGTCGAAACACTTCCCGAAGCACAAGTCTCCCAGGATGTCGAACACGAGGTACGTCACCTGATCAGCCATATTGATGCTCCTCGTCCACAGATCTCCCTTCTCTCTATCCCGCCCGAGCAAAACCAGCCATCGATCAACATTAGCGTGAACGAAGACTTCGGCCTCGCGCAACGCGCTCTCAGAGAACGCGTAGTTAATCACCCGTCGCTTTCTGGCATGTGCAGGAACGGAAACGGCGTCCCACGTGTTGATATGGTGCTCAGTCTTGGGCCAGACGGAGTAGTACTCGCTCTTCTTCACATTACCCTTGGGTCCAAAGATGTGTCTGTACGCTGACGGAGTGTTGAGACAAACGCTGTTTGGCGCGTATCGGTACTCGGGACCTGTCTCTCGATCAGCTTCCGGCTCGTGTTGCGAGACGACCACGTATCTACCGTATTGCTCTTGCAGGATCAAATGCCACAGGTGCCGGTCTTGATTCTTTGAATGCCACCACGCCGGGAACGTCGATAGCTTTGCCCAGAACGGGCCGGGGAAGCTTGCGAGAGGGTGGAAGTACAGTCTGTACGCCGCGGTGATGAGGATGTAAGCGACGAAACTCGCGGCACTGAGTGCAAACACATTGGGGTATGAGAGCCCACCAGCCACATCAGTAAACCCCATATTTTCTCAAGAGTCGAGAGTGACGGGAGAACCCCCAGCTGCAGGGAAAGTCACTCGTTCTTGTACTTCCGCCATCCCACAATCTTTACTCCAAACATACAAAACAGGCAAGATCCGGACAAGGCTCCACATATCCCCAGACCGTTACGGTCAAGATCGTACTTCGCACTGATAACCACGTCCCCCGATTTGTCAGGCCACTTCTGAGCAAGGGTGATTTTCTCTGATCCCAGTCAGGATCCACTTGCCAACGGCACGCCGTCTGCCGTCTGCCGTCTGCCGTCCCGCTCCACAGGGTCTTCGTACTGGCCTCTCAGCGCTGGTTTGGCCGTGCGTTGCTGTCGTGTGACTCAGAGGGAGCGAATGGTGAATACTGTGGCTTTGCATTCCAAGACTGTGTCTTGCATACTGCCTCATCCATACCGCTAATCAAAAAGCTTAGTAAAGCTTCCTTGCTGTCTTCGAGGTGCAAAGCGCACACTGCTATCGCTGTTGCGAGATACCTCTCCGCCTCTGTCCTTGCTCTTCGGCCATGGTGACTACGGCAACCGCGCGACACTAGTTCCAAGCCCATGTTTGCAGGCCCACTCCAGCGCGTTCCTCCTTGTGAATACCGGGTCCTTCGATACCCATACCTTCCCCAGATCATCATTGCTGCAAGCTTCGTGGGGTGCTTTAAAGCAGAACGTGAACGGCTGTATCGGGCACAGAGGACAGACGACAGATGGCAGACGACAGCACTTGAAACGCATAAATGCTGGCTTGCCCAGTGGCTACACAGACGCTGTCGCGCAGCCATCGAGTGTGATTCATGCGTCTGATTTCCTCGGGGTCGTGAGATTTCGCGTGTCGCTGGAGGTCAGTAAGCCCATGGCATGCGTATGGGTTGCTATTGGCTCCGGGAACAGGTGCTAGGCCCAGTCACAATGATATCACGAACCATGCGAATTTGGGAGGGCACTCTTGGCTACCAGTCACGAGCATGCCTCACGTCCTGGATGTTGTGTAAGCACAGGCTTGATACTTTGCTCTCAAGGGTTTCATTGATACCGGACAGGACCAGGGTTTTTGTAACCACGTGGCTTAGATCACATGATATCCTATCGTAGCAGGCACTGCCTGGTGGGCAAGTGCACTTACCTGAGAGCTGATAGATCCTGGAGAACAACATCACACAACACGACAACAGATAGCAATGCAATTGTTGATCACAGTCTCTGACCGGCACTGCTCACGCGGTTACAGTGTTCGATTGGTCATTGCGTCCGTGCCCTGATACTACAGGGCTAGTCGTATGCTGCACAAGCTCGAGTGGTAGCTTTTTTAGCAGCATGATGTTGAACTGAGGGAGGAAATCGATCAGAACGTGGCTGCTTTCAATAACTACGTGAGGCAGGGCCATGCACGTGACGACTTTACCCAGCCAGCTACCAGAGCTCAGTACTTTGCTGGTTGAGTCTTACCGATTCATTTCCAGTAGCCACAATATTATGTGCTGTAGTTGTGAATAAGCAGCCCAATATGCCGCTGTCGATCATTCTCGCTCTCGTCTCCATGCCTTCACGAATACCCCGACAGTCGTTCGCATCATCACACCCCTTGATCAACGTGCCAAAGAGAAGCCAATAGTCTATGTAACGTAGAGAATCGCTATCTGACGACTCTATCCCTCAATCCCTTGGGCTTAGCCCGGCACTCACCATATTCTTCCTCACGTCTTGCATGAGCACATGAGGGTCTTTCTCCGCACTCTCAAACGCCAGCTCAACCACATCCTTATGCTTCTCACTTCGAACCTCAAACACAGCCTCAAAGTGCTTTGAAGTATTCACAAAGCCTGACGTGAAACTCTCTGTATCGCTGACCACATTCCTCTGACCGTTCTTGCTCTTGATATTGTACGCCCACAGCAACCTCGCGATAGAGATGGAGAGGGACGTGCGCGCAATATGTCGACCTGTACACATTCTCCTGCCATAGCCGAAGTTGCCGGCCTGTTGCTGTTTGCCAAGCCAGCGCTCTGGGATGAACTCAGCAGGCTTGTCAAAAAGTGCTTTGTCATTGCGCATAGCAATGAAGAGTGGAATAATCATGGCGCCTTTGGGGATGAGAAAGCCCTTGTATGTGTCGTCCCTTATCGTCTTGTGGGGTACGCCTGCAGGTAAAATGTGGCGCCAGCGGAAGTTCTCTTCGATTATGGCTTGGATGTATGGCAGCTTGTCCAGGTCTTCGAAATCTGGCAGTCTGTTCGGTCCGACCACCTCGTCAAGCTCGCGCTGTGCGGTCGATATCCAGTCTGGATATGAAATACAAGCGAGGGTGAAGATTTCCAGCGTGCAGTGCGTTGTCTCTATGCCAGCGTCGCACACCACACCGAGATCCCAAGAGATATCGAGAGGGTCCATCTGCTGAGCCTCTTTCGCACCACAAAGGTCCTTGCTCCAGTTCCAGCCTGGTCGTACGAGAGCATCTTGCATGTTGCGCTTGTGCAGATCCTCCCAATCTTGACTCCATATTTTGGCAGTCCTTTTCCAGGGTGCCAGGACTTCGGGAAGATAGTTCAATATTGGCAGAGCATCCACAATCCAAGCTCCCACTTCTAACGCTTTAATGAAGTTTTGAAGACATTGGAGGCTGCGCTGGAACTGCCATTCTTTTCCTGTGGCGATGCGCATGCCAAAGGTGAGAACGTACATGACGCTGGCCGTAAACCTTTGATATTGACCTACGAAGTCGCTGGTAGTGAGCATGTTAAATAAAAGCTGCTTACTTTCAAGGTCAATGACTGTGTTATAACATGCTGACGCCCGAGGGCGCAGTATCGGGGCTTCTAGACGCTGGTGTAGAAGATAGTCTTCTCCCCACGGCTTGAGCAAGATCTGATGGTTCTTGCACACCAGTTCCCCAGCCATGACCTAAGTACGTCAGAATTGCATTGCTTAGTATGATGTGCATGTCAGTCTCACCATGCGCGGTCGATCGCTATAGATACCTCCTCGCTTGTCGAGTAGTTCTTTGGCTGTGTCGTAATCACCAATGATGACCACGTCAGTGCCGCCGAATTTGGCGCTGACAAGAGGCCCGTAAGTGTCCACCCATTGCTTGTAGACCGTCCACTGGTCCTTTGATGGAAGCTGGTGTAAATTGCCGATGATGGGCAGACGAGGCGGTCCAGGCGGAAGACTTGCTTGACGGCGCTGTCGTTTTATCCAATATGCAATGATAAGGATGACGACAACAACAAGAATAGTAGGTGATACCATAATAGTTGTCTGTGATATCAAAAGGTTGAGTGTGGAACATCTGTACGGATTTATACCCCAGCAGTCTCGTGGCGCGGGTGATCCAGAACGAAGATAATGCTCCGCGTTTTCGTACCTTCTCGCAGTGCATGAGCTCGTGACCGATCAACAGGGCCCTGGATTGGGTGTGCATTACATCTGTCTCCACAGTTCAAAAATGACATCGTATATTTTGCATGACCAGTTCTGCGGACTTTAGACCTCAGCTTCGTTCCAGGTGCGTGGATGCCCTTGATGACTGATTAACATGTAGAACGCAGTGCGATGAGGAAGTTTGGGATCTCAAAGGGTACCGGTAGAGTGCGAAAGTACGAATGCCGCGGCCAGAGATAGGCGCGATCAGAGCTGTCATGATCGCGTCTGTTTGGCGCGCAAGGCTGAACCAAAGGTTGCCAGCCACCCCACCCAAAGCAGCCACCAAGTAAGCTAGTCCATATAGTTTCCGCCCACCACACCACAACTCGGTTGTGCGCACGGACACGCTGAGGTGCGCATGAAGCAAGCGCAAGAGGAAAAGGATAAAGATGAGCGAGATAAGGCTGAGATAAAAGAGCTAAGATTGCAGGAGAAGGAGAAAGAACGCACAGCTATTGATGCACGCAAGGAGCAAAAACGCAAGGATAAAGAAGCTCCCGCCGCTAAAAAATAAAGATCTATAATTGCCCTAAAGAGGCAAGCGCAAAGCCTTACCGGTAAAGCCTTTAGCAAGGCCTAAGAAGAAGCACTATGCTGGTGCAGTGCGCACCTCGCACCCACACCACCCGCAGCGGCCGAACAGCAACTCTACACAATTGATTTGTATGGAGGAACACTGTCGCACAGGTCTATAGAACACTCTACTACGTAGTCTTGTAATAAAGGTTATTGTGTGTGGCTCTACAGCTTCATGTTTACAAGCCTCTGTTGTGGTGATTCGGCGTATCTGGTGATGGCGCGCATGTGCTGACTACCGGTACCGTAACTACGGTACCTCAGCTGCATCACCAACTCGTCATGGAAACAGACCCTGCCGCCAGCCCTCTGAGAGACGGGCACAAGCAGAATAACTATACAGAACAACAGAATACACTTGGTTTTTCATTGCACTTAATACCGCGACAGAGCATCACAACACTTTCCCGACCGAACGTTATGACTGTCTCGAGTCGTAGTGCAGTGGCAAGAGGAACCCCACACGCAACCCACAAAGGCAAGGAGTGTTTCTGATCGTTCTCGCCTGGCTTGGAGACACTGTACAGTGACGCACCCTCATAGCACTGAGTTCCTTCGCTAGGTTCGACTTCATGCTGACCCAACCACACAAGCGAACGGTCCGTTTGCTGCAGGTATCTAACAACAAATTTGTAGGAGACAAAATATAGCAAACAGTCTCCGCGTTTCTCGATTGGCGAACATGTAAAGGCGCCGGAAAAGGATGTCATCAAATTTCCGTATCTTCCGCCCTGAAACAAACTTCTATGAGCAGGAACCTGCCACGATCCTTTCATCACCAAGCCTGGCAGTCTAGTCTCGATTGGGCTAGAGAACGGCCAAGCAGAGCTTAGCGCTCGCAAGCGGGACGTTTCAGCACGATCGTTTCCGCTATCATGCCATCTGGTTCCTGTTATTTAGGTATTCCTGCCGGTTTCTTCAGCCACAATGGCGAAATCTGGATTCAATACCGCGCGCAATTGCGGGGCCAGTATTGAAATAGCGAGCGCCTATGGATTCTTTGCGAGTCGATCTTCCCTTGGCGGTTGACTAAGATTATGGAACATCCTGCTTTTGACGTTTTGTTTCCGAGTTACCTATCTACCTATCCACCTATTGGTATGCAGAGTTGAGCCGGCGGCTCCATCTGCGCCGCTCTGGTCCTGGGCTGGGTCAGGATTAATATACTTCGAAATGAGTACTGCATTATAATGCGCGTTGGTCCCTCCTCGTTTCCCCGGCCATCGTTTATACCATCGTTTATCTCACTACAGTCCTTCTTTTCACCTCGTAGTACTCGTTCTATTCTGTACAGCTGGTCTCTGTTCGCATCTCCTTCAACATGCTTTCCAAGGCCGCATTTATCAACGCGCTCATCAGCGCTGTGTCTGCTGGTAGGTTGCTCTTATCTGCAACAGGATACATACTAACACTCTAACTAGGCACAATCCTCTGGGATGGACGCTTCAACGATATGACCTCGAGCGCGGATCTCGAGAAGTGGTCTTTCTCCAACCCCATCGGCTCTTACCAGTACTACATTCACGGTTCCGGCGCAGTGTCCGACTACGTCAATCTTGATTCAACCTACAAGAATCCCGCCGACACCGGATCCAAGCAGGGTGTCAAAATCACCATCGATGAGACAGCCAAGTGGAACGGTCAGACCATGCTCAGAACTGAGCTCATTCCTCAGACCACCGCTGCCATCAACAAGGGCAAGGTCTACTACCACTTTTCCATCAAAACCACTGGCACCAATAAGCCTACCGACAACAACGAGCATCAGATTGCTTTCTTTGAGAGCCACTTTACTGAGCTCAAGTACGGCGCCTCTGGCAGCAGCAACACCAACCTTCAGTGGCACGTAGGCGGCGTCTCCAAGTGGGACGTCGAGCTCGTCGCTGACGAGTGGCACAACGTTGCCTACGAGATCGACTTTGACGCGGGCTCCGTCTCGTTCTACCACTCCACTGGTAGTGACGCGCTGACAAAGACCGCTGGTCCCTTCGACGCGAGCACCTCGTCCAACGGTGCGGACTGGCACCTGGGCGTGCTTCGTCTGCCTGGCAGCAACGACGCTGCTGGTGCTGAGGATTGGTTTTTCAGCGGTGTCTACGTCGAGAACGGTGACCTGACTACCAGTATCAACTCTGCCGGTGGTGCTGCTTCTGGTGACTCTGCTCCTGCTTCAAGCGCTGCCGCTACCGCTGCTGCGACGTCTTCTGCTTCGTCTGCCGCTGCTTCGTCTGCCGCTGCTTCGACTTCCGTTACCTCCTCCACTGTCCCCGTCTCCTCGGCCGTCAAGACCCCTGTCGTCTCTTCCTCTGCCACTACTGTTGAGAGCCCCGTCGCCTCCGCCACTCCCGTTGAATCCAAGGTCCCTGTTCCTTCGTCGACTACCGCTGCTGCTCCTTCCTCAACTGCTGGAGCAGACGTCAGCACTGAATTGCCCACTGAGTTCACCCTCAAGGAATTCATTGCCTGGCTCAAGGCCAAGAACGGTCAAAACTAAGCGTTTGATGGTGTTGAGGTGTGCTTCGGAAAGCATTCTTGTATATACTTTAGTTTCGTTAACTGTACAATACGACGGGCAATACGATTCGCGATATGCTGAAGCTTTACACAATGTTGATCTCGATGTCTTCATCAGATTGTCCCGGATATCAATCTCGTCTGAGGAGTTTTTCGGTGTGCTAATTGAGCTTGCATATTGCATCCAATCGGGGAAGTAGCAAGCTTGACTGTGCTCTAGTAGGTTTGAACGACCCAGTCTGTCCTGAGTATGCAGGGCGCATGTCATCCACGCATGTACTGTAGAAATTCAGTTATGTGAGTATCAGCCTAAACTGGGTATTAGAGGTGGCGCTGATGTTGTACTATCTGAACCAATATCAGGTCGCTACATCTCTGCCCCATAACTAAGTAAACTACTGTGTCATACGGCCCTGTGCACGTCCCTAACCTATGCACGAATTTTTGCACTAACAAACATTCAACAGTCAATAACGTAGATTATAAGCGAGTGACGCACCCCATCAAGTTTGCCTACCTCTCTCATCTCATCGTACAATGGCTCAACGCAACGTTACTCAATTACTATCAAATGAATCAGATATTCAGCTCGCTATCTTATCTATCAATGCTAGACAGATCCAAGGCAATCGTCCTGCTGCAGCAGTCTACAACGTAGCCGAAGCAACGCTCCGTCGCCGACGCGCTGGGATACCTGCCAGACGCGATTGCCAGCCCAACTCGAAGAAGCTCTCTCAGCGAGAGGAGGACGTGATTGTTGGACATATACTTGACTTGGATACACGTGGATTTGCGCCTACGTACCCTGCTGTATGTGATGTGGCCAATAAACTGCTGGCTGCGCGTGGCGCTGGTCAGGTTGGTGTCCACTGGCTGCGCAACTTTGTTAAGCGTACAGACAGTCTCACAACGCGTTTTAATCAAGCGTACAATAGGCAGAGAGCTTTATGTAAGGATCCTGTGGTGATTAGACAGTAATAAAGCTGGTAGAGCAGACCAAGCTCAAGTACAGCATTCTAGATGAGGACATGTACAACTTTAACAAGGCTAGCTTTGCAATAGGCAAGATTACTACTTAGCTTGTTATAAAAGGATTAGAGAAGAGAGGTTAGCTAAAGACTATCTAGCCTGGTGACTGTGAGTGGGTAACAATAATTGTTGCTATTAACGCTGCTAGCTGGTCAATTCCACCATTCGTTATCTTCGCTGGCAAGTATCACCTGTCTGCCTGGTATGAGGAAGCAGAGATCCTACGCAACTAGGCTATATTAGTCAGCGACAACAGCTGGACGAACAACTAGCTAGGAGTGGCGTGGCTGAAGCACTTTAATGCTCACACAAAGACTTGTTGTGTTAGTGCGCGTTGCCTGCGTCTCCTTGATGGTCATGAGAGCCACTACTCTCTTAAGTTTCAAGAGATCTGCAAGGAGAACAATATCTTCACGCTCTGTATGCAACCTTACTTATCTCACCTGCTACAGCCTCTTGATGTTGGCTGCTTCTCGCTGTTGAAGCGCGCGTACAGCCGTGAGATCAAGAGCCTAATCCGCCACCACATTAACCATATTACCAAGCTTGAGTTTCTGCCAGCATTTAAGATGGGAAACTTGCGTAAGAAGAGGGTGACTTGAATAGAGAAGAATGAGCTTGCTCGTACGATATGAGCAGCAGTGTGCCTTTAAATTCTTCCTACACCCTCATCCATGATAAATCCTGCTTCTTCTTGGCTGACTTTAATATTGTCTTCTGTCCGCTTCACATAATTCAATAGAGGTGGTTAATTAGTCCCATTACGTGTGTTTGCGTCAAGAGTGTAGATTGCAGTGACTGGCGTTTTCGATCATGGGTACTATTGCCATCTGTTCCTGGAAAAGATGTCACCTCGACGACGAGGGCGCTATACACATAGCCGGCGAGCGTTAAGCATTGGTGGCGAGGCTAGGCTTCATCTCATCCATTAACTGACTACTGTTAGGCTACTGTTCCGAGCCGCTGCTCCAACACCTAACCACACGCCTCAACCACACGCTCCAACACGATGACTCATGGCGTCGACTTGAACCATTATGGACTGCATCAAAACTGTTCATGTACGGTTGTTGCGGCAGACGTAGCCGCTGTAGTATCGACGGAAACTGCGCTGAGTTGCTTGCTAGCTAGGAGGCGACCATATATACATGCCCTGAGACGTGCTAGTCCAAAGTAGTCAACAGAGGTGACGATCAAGGCCTATAGGACCGACTTGCACCGCAACATTACTTCAGTAACTAGCAGGAAGTAGTGTTTGATTACGACCTTCAGCTGAGTTAATTGTAGCCTCCTTACATGTCCATCCAGGGTTATATGGGGCTTCTCCAGATTCTCCTTGTATGAGCGTTCATAGTTGTGTCACGCTGATTGGCGAAATCAGATGCAGAAGCTGCCGTTAAGATCTTTGTAGCAGTAACCCTGTGGGTGGAGTGATGGTGTGGCGTGATTTTGCACAGGCCTTGAACGTGCTTGCCATCATCCACAATATCTTTGACCTTACCAAATTTACGACAGATCTTCTGGAAGGTCTGGACGAAGGTTTTGATAGACGGAACGGTTTGACGTTCGTAGCTGAAAAGCTTAGCTTCTTCAGCCATAAAATAGCAATATTTGATCGTTGCCCGTAATTTGCTATTATTCACGACGGCTCAAGTTTGTCCATTCCAGACGAGATGTTGTCGGTCCATGTTAGCTCACGAAGGTCGTTGGTCTAAACTTCAGCTTTAAAGTCAATCAGCACGGTAAACCGGTCACTCTGTATGATGAAAGACTTCATGTGAGTCCACACCTTCATCTGCTCCGGAGGATCGCCATCCTCGGAGGCGCCAACGAGAAGGCGGAGCTTTGACGTACTTCGAACCGACCATGTGGAAATTGTAGTCTTCATACCAAAAAGCATCGAGATTTGGTAGACGGCCGGGAAGGGCTCGTGGAATCTCTTTTCGTAACGCGTCTAGAATGCCTGAGTCTGGTGGAGTATTGGCCTCGTCCAGGGCTTGGAGCTTCTCGTTACGAATCGGAGGTCAGTTATTGATAAGGAGCATGCAGAAGATCTTGATGGGCGGCATCTGATGTTGGCATGACTTTCGTGAGTCCAGAGGCTTTCAGAACTAGTCTGAAGCGAATTGTGTCGTGATATACTGATGGATACTCTCAGGCTCGAGCTCGCGGGCCATTTTGTAACATCAGGGATTAGACCAACGGTAGTGCAACAGCCGAGGCGTGTGCGGTGAGAAGCCATGGAACTTAATTGTGAGGTCCGCGATAGCCTCTCAGTTGACCTAATGACTGGCGAACCACTACTCTTAACAAGTCGATGTTTTGTGTTATCTATGCGATGGCGAGATGCTCACCATGTCGAGTCAGCTGTCTCAATTTACGCTTGTCATCCGCATCTCGCGTATGCGCAATTTTAGCAGGAAGAGCAAACTCGTGACAACTCCCATGGCTCCAAAACCGATGCCCACATACATCGCAGCACGGTATCCTCTGAGCTCATCCTCCTCGGTCAGACCGCCGTTGTTCATATGCGTCTCAACTGTACCTGCGATACCGACTCCGATACTGATGCTGTAGTTGACGATTGTGTTGACCAAACTTGCTGCCATACCCTGGTGGTGCTTTTGGACTGCATTACTCATGATAAGCGTGCCAGCCGGAAAACTCATGTCCATACCCCATGGAATGATCAGTGTGACTACGAAAGTCTGCGCCCAGTAGATTTGATGAATAGGAAGAGTCGCGACAACGATGCTACCGGCTGTGAACGCACACATAGAGATGAGCATGACCCAGCCTGGGCCGATGCGTGAGATGACGTGTCCGGTCGTGATTGCCGCAACCAATCCAGAAAAGGCAACCGGGCAAAGCTGAGCCATAGTGAGAAGCGGTGATGTTTCTCGGAGTTGCTGTACGACTTGGATGAAATAGTAGATAAAGATCCCTAGACATTCTTAGCACATGAATGCTTTTTTCACGACATCCTTCCATACCAAAAGCTGCCCACCCACACATCTCGCAGATCATGATAAAGGTAACATCTGTACTCAGAGCATCAAAGGGAATCAACGGGTTTGTCGAAACCCTCAGCTCGATCCAAAAGAAAACAGGGAAGAGTATGATGCCAACAATGAGCAGGGCATATATGTAGGGCTGCTCCCAACCGAATCCAGGCGCCTGGTTCCATGCGAAATTGAACATAATCATGGCTGCGATGCCAACAGTTGCACCAAGCAAGTCGAGTTCGCCGATTCTCTGCGTGAAAGTAAGATTCTGCTCTTTCTTCTTGATCGGAAGGGCTGGTAGGACAAAGTAAGACAGACCACCGAGGAAGACCAGAACGGTACCAAATGCCCAGAACGTCCAGGGCCACCAAAGTAGCGACCAGAGGCCAGCAAATGTACCGCCAACAACGGCCCCACTCGGTGCACAGGCGCCGAAAAGAGAGAACACCATATCCTTCCTTCTGCCCTCGTCGTAAGTGGCGCCCAAGAGGCCCAATGCATTTGGTAGTAGAATGGCTGGCCCAATACCGCTCAAAACTCGTGCAAAGATAAAGAGCACCTGCCCGCCGTTCCCTGGCGCGTAAACGCTGCACCCAGCCACAACGTTCCATACCGCGAACCAGCCGAACCCGACGATAACCATCGTCTTGTATCCAAACAAGTCACCACAGCGACCCGATAGTAGGATGAAGGTTCCGACGGTGAGCGAGTAGCCGGCAATGAGCCACGACAGAACGCCAGGGTCGGTGATGCCGAGGTCGCCGCCGATGATATGCAGAATGTTAAGTGTGTTGAGCAATCCTGCCTGCGTAACGAATTGTGCAGAACAGAGCAGGCCCACGAAGAAGAACTCGCGCAACGGTGACATCGTTTCGGCAATCGATTTCGTGCGCGCGAGCTCCAGATCGGGCTCACGCTTGGAAGGTCGTGTAGTTGCGTGTGTAAGATGACGCGATAGGTCCGAGGTTGATGGGCTGGATGATAATGGTGATGGTGGCATCCCCTCTTTCGGCTCAAGCGAGCCGGTCACTGTATTCATTGTGTTTTAGTCTTCGTAGCTTCGCGTTGCGCCGATGCCCTGTAAAGGAGTCCGGAACCCTTCTCTTTCTTTTCAATGGTCTTTCAGTCGTGTTTTAGTCAACCCCTTCTCGGAGTCGTTGAAATCTGCCATGGCCATGACCTCGATGTGGAGAAGATGGGGCCTTATCAATAATGCTTGTTGCAGAGACGACATTTCCGAATCATCGTTGCGCGAGCGGGGAATGGCGACAGGGCACCCCGCGGCGTTGAGTTCGGCATCCACATGTGGGGCCTCCTTTCCCCCCATTCGCTCCACAAAACACGGTGATCGGATTTACACACGGACTTGGTTGTCGGATTTAGCTCTCGGATCTATCTGCAGCGAGAGGGGCACACATCAGATAAGCAGCGGTCCTACATCTTTCGTACTGGCTGACGCGCAGCGTTCGAAATGTGCGGGAGATGACGTGATGTCGTGTTCTTGACATTACAACGGAAGTTTCTAACTACAGGCGCATCGCGTCGACACGTGTTGTCATGCTAAATAGATACGTTATCGGCTTTGCGGAGTCGACGGCACTTTCCTTTCTGTCTTACTCGGTGAGACGCGAACCGTCTAAGCACCGCCTTGACCTCGACGCCACTTAGGCGATTGTGCGAACCATCTCAATACAGCCTTGACAGCTGACATCCATGGTTCGTGATCCGCAAGGCTGAGAGGAACAATCGCCATGCCGCTCCACCAGCTTCCAGAGGAACTTTTACTGCAAATCGCGCTTCAGCTCCCGGATTCAGCAACACCCAAGCATCTGAAAGACTTGAGTCTCACATCTAGGAAGTTGCAGCCGATCGCTCAGGAAGCCCTTCACACTACAGCAAGGCTTGCAATCTCTTGCGGCTGTCACCCTAAAGTCAATACAGTAGTCAGACTGTTACGGACATTGCTGGATCGACCAGACCTTGCCAGCAAAGTGAAGACATTACGCTCTCGAGCTGTGCGCAAACGAGTCGCGAAGCTTTACGAGGAAACTGGATTCGAGCTACTCGCGTTCCGCGACCGTTGTGTTGAGAAGTTGGAAGAGCTAGGTTACCAACCAATACTCGCGTGATGGAAACAACTGCGTCGAGTCAGCCTTCGGGGGCCTGCTCCTGGCGCTTCTGCCAAATTTGATCGATCTCGACTTCTGGATCAAAGATCACCAGCATAGTCCACCTTCCAGTGAGTGCATCTCTGGCTTGTGGGATAGTACTGCTCCGCCAGAGACCATCTTACGCGGATGGAAAAGTATGCAGCATCTTGTTACTGGGGACACGTCCATGCTCAAGTGCGGCATCGAGTTTGACAGACTCACCGTTCTCGGCCTTCGCACAGTCTCTATTGGCACCGTACTTCGGTTGAACGGCCCAGGCAGTCCCCAAGGTGCCGGGAATGTAACGGATCTCGCCTTGACCGTCTCAATACAGTTCGCCGATCAACCGTTGGTCGAGAAAGCAGAAATCGAATTCGGCGATCTCCTTGATGCTCTGGCGTGTCGCACGCTGCAGAAGCTGAAGATTTAGCTCATTAATGATGGCTATCACATCGGCGATGACTTGTCAACGGAGCTAAATACTGGCTACTTTCTGGAGCAACTCAGTAGTGTTCAGAAATCCTTGGAAATGCTTTCGACAACGCTTGAGACCACTGAGGACGGAGAATTGGACTGGTTGGTCGACATGTGCAAGCGCCCCAACAAGTCAATGAAACAGTTTACTGCTCTGAAACCACTCACTTTACCGCAGCCCTTCGTCTTCGAAACCCGAACCGCAAGCTGGAACCCAATAGACAACTTTCAGCCGAATGAATTGCCACCCGAACTTGAGCAACTCGAGCTGCTGTTTCCAGATGAGTCAGTCGAAGAGTGGGCCCGAGGCTTTCTCTCAGAGAACTTCTATAGCGCATCGTCTCCAGTATCAGTACAGGAGTTCATCGCTGGGAAGCGCAGCCTGAAGAAGCTTATACTCACCTGTCGCGAGGATGTTAGAAATGGCGGCGACGTCAGCTACTTTACCGATGAAGTCGACGAGATGTGGTGGACGCTATCGACAGTTTACAGTATCGAGGCAGAGGCTCACGACCAACAACGGGGCACGAGAGAGAATCTGGCGGAACTCTACGAAGACCGAGGCTTGAATGAAGACGACAGCGAGATTGATGACGAAGATGATGGAGAAGATTTGGATGAAGGGGACGTGAACGATGAAGAATGGGAAGACGACCGCAATGAACATCTCCAGGGTCTGCTCCGACCCGGACTCGCTGGTCTCCCTGGCGACCTCGGCGCAGCACCACAGACCACTTTTGACACGGCAGAATTAGTATGTACTGACGAAACACTCATCCTTGCTTACCTCAGAAGTGTTGCGACACATTCCTTCGGGCGAACTGCGGAACATATCGGTATGGCCGTAGGATGGGGCGTTGCACGTGTTGACAAAGCCGTGGAAGCACTGCTAATGGACAATCGTGTCGAGTATCGGACTGACGACTCAGAAGGTCGTACACTGCATTTCGTCAGAGAGAACGAAGTCATACTTGAACACGACAGGCTTTTTGGCAAGCCTGAAAATCGCAGCCATTCTGGAGACACGGCGGCTTGGCCCCGGCAAAAACGGCCCGAAGCTGGGGCCTGCCATAGAATCAAAATTCTCAGGTGTTTGCGAGATCTCGCAGAACCGAACAAGGAGGAGGGTTTGAGTGAAAACAAGCTCAATGACAAGCTCAACATGGAGCCGGGACTCACCCAGGACGCTATGTTCCTCTTGCTCGATGGGGGCTTCATTAAATCTCGCACCAATCAAGGGCTTAGCAGGAACGTGATCTACGTACGGGACAGTGAAGAACTTTGTGACGACGACAGTCGTAGAAGACGAGTTGCTATCAAGAGACTTGCTGCCAACGTCCCAGGCGGCATTTCGGAGCGATTCGCTATGTCCTTCAAGTCAGAGCTGGCAGAGCAAACACTCACGCTGGATCTTCTTCGTTCATACCAGTCCGAAGGAATCAAGCCTGAAGGCATGCTGCGAGATGAGATCAGCGACGCCATTCATACGCCTTTGATGAAGGTGGTGTATGCTTGCACGCGCCTCGTACGAGATAGACACGTCCGGAACTTTGTGGACAAGTATATTTTTGCCCGCGAAAGCGAAGAATTGCGGAGACAGGACAGATTGAAAGAGATGTTCGCGGAAGCGTATGCCAAGTGGGACACAGACGACTCCATGCCGGAGCTTGAAGAATACTGAAGCCGGGACATGTACCTGCTCCGCGCTACTTGATTTGCGGAGAAACAATACAAACAACGCATAAAATGATAGCCGAATCCTATGTACGTCCAATGCTCCCTAGAAACGCCAGCCGACACCATCCATGTTCCAAACGCCCGAGAAACTTCTGTGGTGCGGTCTAATTCGTTGTTGATCATCATTTCTTCTCCTCCATCTTTGCATAGAACCATCCCACCAGATGTCCAACAGTAGGATGGTTCCATGTCAGCGTCGGCGGCACAGTGATGCCCATCGCCTTCTGAAGCTGCTGCCTCAGTGCAACACTCATGACTGAGTCGACACCCAGATCTGCGATCGCCGCCCGGTCGTCGATCTCTTCAACATCTGAGTACAACACACGCGAAAGACAACTCTTAATCTCAGCGCTGAGATGTGCCTTAAGCTCAGGGCCCGCCCTCGGCTTTGCCACCACCACCGCAGCAGTTGCCACACTTTCAGCTGTCACTGCAGTTGCCGCCCTCCTCTGCACCACATCTTGTATAAGTTCACACGGCACCACCTCATCATGCTCCAGTACCCTCATCTTCGTAACGACCGCGTGAGCAGTTTCCATAACGTCAAGATACATCCATGCCTGGAACCCCTCTTGCACCGTAATATCCATAATGCCCTTACTACTCAGCTCCAGACCCACAAGCACTGTGTCGCGTGCCAAACCCAGCGCGCGCCACGCTGTCCACTGGATGGCGATAGCATTGCAACCCTGCGCACGCCGATGCGTGGCCAAGCCGTCAAGAAACGCGTTGGATGTCGCGTATGCGGATTGGCCTGGTGTGCCGATGATCTGGCCGATAGAGGAGAAGAGAATGAAGAAGTCGAGTGTGCCTGCAGGGAAGAGGGTGTGCAGGTTGAGTGCGCCTTGGATCTTTGGTGCCATGACGGAGGCGTATGAGCTGGCCGTGTTGTCTTTGATGTAGCCATAGCCTGAGACGGCGGCGGCGTGGACGATGCCGAGGACTGGTGGGAGGGAGAGGCGGTCGAGGGCGATGGACAGGTCGGCGGCTGCGCCGGGGGAGCCGATGTCGAGAGGAACGGCGTGAATGGTTGCGCCCAGGTTTTCGAGCTTGGTGATTCGCTTGACAGCTGCTGCCATGGAGCCGGAGGTATACGGCCAGTCCTTCCGAGGCGGGAGTGGACGTCGCGATATGACCACAATTCTGCGTGCTCCCTTCTCGACAAGAAATTCTAGTACTTCCAGGCCAAGATCGCCGAATCCTCCTGTAACGATATATGTTCCGTGCGGCTGTGGCAGTAAACTCCAGGATGGGTCCCCACGTTGCTGATCTTTGGGGAATGGGCGCAAGCGAGCCACACGAGGCAAGCCATCCTGAACGCGTACAACACTCTGATCCTTGACATATCTGACAGGTAGGAGAGGGAAAGCTGGCCCTTCGTTGTCAATGAGGCCACCCCATACATCTGGATACTCTGATGCTGCAACTCGGGCAAAACCGTAGAGTGAATACTGTGCCAGACAAGTGGGTGACTGGCCTTTGTAAGCACTGTCAGTGATGACGAACAGCTTTGGAATTCTGGGCATATCTGCAAGTATGCTGAGGATATTGGCTGTCTCGCAGGTGAAAGCATGAGCTTTCTTGGAGATGTCCTCTGCAGCCTCAACCAAGCCAGGCAAGTAGAAGACGACTACGTGGCTACCTTGTAAGACATCCATTACATCAAGGTCTTTCAGGTGCTCAGAGGAAGGTACCAGGACCACTCTTGTCGTCATCTCCAAAGCGTTTACATAATTGTCTACGGCTTGATTGTCCTCGGCCACGACAACGACGTTACTCATGGGCAATGGCGTTTCGGAGAATTTGGGTGGTATCCAAGCCAAACGGTGAACCAGCGAGTCGACGCATTTTCTCTTGTCGCCCACAACATCAACGTCAGAGAATCTCATGCCCTTGATCTTAGTAAGGAGCACACCATCCACACTTAGTATGCTGATGTCAGCCTTTAAATTCTCACCCTCAGAAGCTTCCTCGATGAACAAATAGCCGATCTTGGGTGGTGCGCCACAAGACACGAACATCACCTGATCGATACCGCTGACGATGCGTATACGTACGTTCTTGAAGAAGATGGACGACCCAACGGATGTAGCAGCGTCGAGAAAAGGCGCCCAGCTGGTTGAGTCCCATGGCAGTGTCTGAGAATCAGGGTCCATGTCCATTTTAACAAGCATCTCCTTGTCGTTGCCGAAGTGTTCGAGTACGGCCCATGGGAATGCAATGCCGGAGACGCCAATACTTTGCAAGTAGTCCCAAGCAAAGCTATTTGGAAGCTGAGCGCCAATGCGAGACTGAATGTCTGAGATCGAAAGGGTCTGTTGGAAGGGCTTCATGTCGATTTTCAGTCCTTTCGCTGAGCTGTGCTCGATCCAGCCATGTTCGATGCCATCGTCTCCCACAGCGTCGCGCTTAAGGCGAGAAGCCATGCGGATCTCATTTCCATCGAGAACAACCTGAAGCTCACGCACGTCGGAGGCCATCGGCGTGGGTACGCGTAACTCAAGAGCTTCCAGAATTGTGGCTCTAGTGGCTTTCTGGAATGTGTTACAGTACACGGCAGCGGGGATAATCTCGGTACCGTCGAGTGGATGCGTCAAGGGATAGGGCTTGGTAGAGTCGTCAAGCATTGTAGTCCACACCTTCATCTTACTACCGGCAATTTCGATGATGCCGCCAAGCACAGTGTGCGTGTCAACACTATGCTGCTGGAAGGCGGTACCTGAGCCCATGGAGATGGTCTTCCAGTACGGCTTGTGTACCCATGGTGTGTTTGGCACCTGAGTCGACCACGGTCCTGCTCCAATTAAGGCATTGAAGTCGACATTCGTACCCAACGTGTGGAGTTCAGAGATGGCCTTCAGAATGCTGCGTTCGGCTGAACAGCCCTTGGCCATGATACCGAATGCTGCCGGATCTTCGATCGAACGAGCAGACAGTGTCTCGGAAATGGAATTGGAAACGATAGGATGAGTAGAGATTTCCATAAAGATACGGAAGCCATCATCGACTGCAGCTTCGACAGCATCGACCAGCCACACAGGGTCCACCATGTTCTTGGTCCAATACTCAATGCCGCGCAGCGATGTTGTCCGGGGATCAGCAGCCGAAGTCGAATAAATTGGTGTGATTGCAGGTTGAGGCCTGATGTCTTGACCTATTCCTTTCTGTAGTGCGGATGCGAGCTGGTCAAGCATAGGCGAATGGAACCCGATGTCGGTTTCGACTCTACAAAGCTTGACACCCTCCTTCTCGAGGCGCTTGACGTACCTTTCAACAGCCTCAGTGCGGCCACTGACGACACAGGTTGATGGCGAGGACCTGATTGCAGCAACAATGTCACTCCTTCCTAGCAGATGCTGTGCAACACTCTCGAATGGCAGCGTGACTAAAGCCATTGACCCTTGGCCTTGCATCGTTGCGTATAACTTCGCTCGTCGTGAGACAATGATTGCGCCTTCTTCCTCGGTCAGGCAGCCAGCAGCAACAGCGGCTGCGATCTCGCCAACAGAATGGCCAATGATGGCTTGTGGCGCGACACCTCGCGACTTGAGCAATGCCGTGAGACCGATTTGGATGGTATAGGTGAGAATCTGAACCCTTGCTGAGCCACCCAGATCGCAGGCCTGGAATGCGCCGATGACAGAGAACCCCGCTTCTCTCTGGAAGACAGGCTCCAGCAAGGAGATAGCGTTGTGGAAGGCAGGGACGTGCAGGAGCTCCTTTCCCATGTCTGGCCACTGTGCACCGTGTCCGGAGAAGATCCAGACCGCGCCCTTACTAGCTGCAGGGTCGGAGATGCGACTGATTGTAGTCCATTGGTCTGGCCTGCCCTTCGCAAATTCGGTCAAAGTGCAGACAGCATCATTGTGGTCAGACACCACAAATGTAGCCCGATAGTCGTACGCAGCACGGCGCTGAGACAGCGTTCGTGCAACAGCATGCAGATCTTCAGACGAGCCGTCTGCAGTAAGCCAATGTGCCAAAGAAGCAGCGATGGCAGGTAAGCGTTTTTCTTGCATGGCCGATAACGTGAGAATCACCGGCGATTTCTCGCTTGCTGTGAAATCGCTTTCTGCTCTTACTGGCGCTTGTTCAAGGATTGCGTGACACACAGAGCCACCGTAGCCGTAGCAGCACACTGCTGCTCTCCGTACGTCGCGCTGAGGCCACGCTCTCTGCTCCCTGGCAACTTCCAGACCACTGTTCGCCCAGTCGACTTTGGTGTTGAGCTTATTCAGTAATGCTTGTGGGGCGATGAGGCCTTTTTGTACACTGAGCACTGCCTTGACGAAGCCGATTGCGCCAGCTGCAGCCTCGAGATGGCCGATGTTGGGCTTAATGGATCCGATGTAGCAGGGAGAAACGGACGAGCGCCCTATACCATAGACTCGGGCAATCGCACTAATCTCAGTAGGGTCTCCTAGAGACGTCGAAGTCGCATGAGCTTCAACGTAGTCGATCGTGTGTGGGTCGACGTTACCAGCTCGCATCAGGGCCTGCCTAGCGACAAGCTCTTGTGCCTCCGAGTTCGGTGCCATAATGCCGTTGGTTTTACCATCTTGAGCGGAAGCAGAGCTCTTCAAGATGGCAAGGATGTTGTCGTTATCTTCGATAGCTGCATTGAGACGCTTCAGCACAACAACTGCTCCGCCTTCTCCACGTGCATATCCACACGCTGCGTCGTCGAACGACTTACATACACCTTCTGTAGTCAAAGCGCCGGCCTTTTGAAGCATATGCGTAAGTCCAGGTGCGCATATGACGTTGACGCCACCACAAATGGCGACAGTGCTCTCGCCAGACACGATGGCTTGGCGAGCAAGGTGAATGGCGACAAGTGAGCTTGCACAAGCTGCATCGACTGCTGTGCTGGGACCTTGCAAGCCTAGATGGTATGAGATCCTGTTCGGAATGCCATGGTAGGCAGTACCGATACCACTCCAAGCCTCAATCGTCGGAAGATCTTCCATCAGCATGCGGGAGTAATCATCCGAGTCGACACCCATATACACAGCTGTGTCACTCCCAGTGAGCTTTTTGGGATCAACACCGGCATTTTCCAACGCCTCCAAAGCCAGCTCCAGACCCAAGCGTTGATGCGGGTCCATAAGCTCGGCCTCCTTAGGAGAGATGCCGAAGAAGGCTGCATCAAAGTCTTCGAGATTGTCCAGGAAGTATCCTTTGCGAATAATATTGTCTAGGAGCTTGGCATTGCGATGGTCCCGTCGCCGCCATGGTTCCCATCGTTGCGGAGGCACCTCGCCAGCAGCATTCTTTTTCTGTAGGAGGAACTCCCAAAGCTTCTCAGGTGTGTTGTTTCCGCCAGCAGTACGACATGATAGGCCTACAATCGCAACATCTTCCGTATGAAACTGTCGTTTGTAAGCTCATGCAAATGATTCGCTGAAATTTGGACCTGTGCAAGTGGTACCTACCTCGCCGGAATGTGACGTGTGCAAGTCAAGGACTTCAAAGCCTGATCTGCTGCTGGGCGTTGTGGTTCCATTTGTGGAAGGCATTGCAGAGAAACACCACGCTTCAGATGATGTAGACGTGTCGCAAAGATTGAATGGTTCTTCCGCGGATTTGTAAACAGTAGGACAATCTGAAATGAGAGTGTGGTCGCTATCCTCCAGCGGAGTACACCGTTCATCGCTTTCGAACTCCATGATCGATTTGGAGCGGATCCTTGTGGCCATGGGCTCGTTGTCTATTCGTAACGGTCTGATAGATGGACTTAGTCTCGAGTCATGGTGCGGTATGATAAGTGAAGAAGCGAAGAACTGTAGGATGCCGATCGTGCAAGAACAGCGGTGCAGTCCACGATGTTAGGAAAACCCATAGTGAGACATGAAAGTGTTGTCTAGCGGTGGACATGGGTTGGAAGTACTCGGCGGCTCTGATGTGTCTCCTAAGCGTCGACGTTACACAGAGTCCTCACGTTCTAGAAGTAACAAAGTTCTACGGCTCTCTGTTCATGCCGGCAGTCAAGTACATTCGGGACGTGTAATCTGCGAGCTTCCAGGACGCTCGGTACCATTACCATCCAGTCTTGTACCATGTTGCTGTGGAAGCAAATACCTTAATTTAGTAAGGATGTGCCGCCGGACAGTACCTAGGTTTGAGTGCCCCCTGCTTGGGAGAAAGTTCCGATACCGGTATGCTATGCACTCAGTCACAATTGTTGTCAGTGTGACAACTTCCTCTCAGTCCATCGCTAGGCAGTAGGTGCTCGGGGCTCAGAGTGCAACGTTCGGAAACTTTCTGTGTCTAGAGGATATTGATCATTAGCGTCTCCACTTCGATCGCTATCGTTTATCGTAGTTGAGCACATTTGAGGCTGGAGGAAGGCGCTCACAGCTACCAAGCTAGACATGTGTAAGGCTTGTCGCTTGTGACGCGGCGCTACGGCACATCTTCCTAGTCGCGGCAGATGTTCGCTTGTCGAAAGGACGGCTACACTGATTCGCCACGTGGAACGGCATGTAGCTATGCGACTTCTGGGAGGATGACCGCAGCCGCGTGGTACAGTGGGTGGCACGCGGGACGCTGTACGCGCTGTCAAATACCAACTGGTGTCACCACTAGAGGGTTACTCAAACCCGACGTCTAGCTGTATCATCTCCTGTCATTGTACAAAAGTGGGGTTCCAGTAACCTGGTCGACGAGAGCCGGGCCCATTTGCATCGCAGATCTGTGCAGGGACGTCGACTTGAGATCCAACAATGAGGAATCTGGAGTTGCTTGAAGACAATAATGCGACGAAACCGCCAATGCTCGCGTGTCTTCGTGTGACCCCGCTCTGTCGCTTTCGCGCAGCTCCGAGAACTGATCTGGATTTTCATGCAACTGCATTATTCTGTGGTCTGTCAGGGGCACGATGTTACCTAGCGACGATCCGTGTCCAATGTTTCCTTTTGCGGCTTTGCAGCCGTAACTTCAAACATTCACCTAGGGATTTGTTCGAAGGCCGGGCGCTCTCAAAAATTGTGAAAGACGACAGCCTTCGAGAAGACTCCGAAGATCTAGTTTCAGTATCCGAAGATCTAGTTTCAGGATCCGAAATCTCTGCTTCTGCTGCACGTGACAGTCTCTGGAGCTGCATTACTATGTAAGCGCAGCACGACAATTTGCGCAATCGTGAATGACGTCGATGAAGCTGTCGCACCAATCTAGGATGCTAATAAACCGGCATTGACCGGGGATCTAGCGAGAACTTCGTCGATGATGTGATGGTCGCGGATAAATTGCTGCTGGAGCTACTGGAGGCGCTAGCGTTCTCGGCATGGTTACTTCGTACGATGCCTGATGTGAGGCTCCGCCAATGTCGGAAGGTCGACCACGTAAGCGAGTGTGAAATTTGCTCGTATAGCGACAGTTTCCATGCTTGGTCCTTGCGCGGCCGCTGTATCATCGTCGTTATGCATTACGTGTGGTAAACCTCGAGGTGAAAGCCTTAGGGAGGATCACAAAGTCAAAACAAGACAGTTCTAAGAATCACTCAGTATCTTCGATACATGTCAAGACGGCTGCATCGCTGCAGCTATCTTTATATCCAAAGATCTCTCCATAGTTCAAGCAGGGCACGTGTGGTGATAGTTTGGTACAGGCTAACAACCAAGCACCCACTATTTCCCCGGAGCTTTCGCAGTTGCTAAGACGAAGCCTTGAACCATGTAATGAAAAAGGTCGACAGCTTGATACTCATAACCGACGGTACCAAGTGTGGCTATGCTGGATGGTCGGCATCCTTCCAGCCGCCACGGCAATGATTACAGCTGGAAGACATAATTTTACGCAATGGTTGAAGACGCATCTCGATAAACAAAGTAACAGTTCGTAGTCCCTCAAGTAAGTTCTGGCTCTGTGGTTCATCTGATACATTGGTACCCATCTCATGAAAGCGCTCGATGTCGTTCTGCACTACAATACGCCGTGGCATACGGCCCCATGCCTACGGAGTGACATTTGCACAAGCATCCCGGTCTTTGCGCACGCTTGCTTGGACCAACTCGGCTTTTAGTAGCGAGTAGATTATGATAGACCGAGTCGGAAATAAGATATCAATCACACATATGCGCCTTTCGTATAAAAGAGCGCTGTACACGCGGACATAGGGCACTTCTTTGTACGACACAATCACCATGCGCCTCACCTTTCTAAACCTTGCGCTGTCCGCCGGCGCTGCACTGGCAAGTCCCTACAAGAAAGTCTCCAACGGCACCTATGAACAAGAAACGCGAAGCATCGATGAAATTTACCAAGCAGCCTTGGCCGAAGGCGGCGTTGTCACCCTCTGGCATGGCGGCGACGAGAAGACCCAGCAAAATTTTCTGAAGCAAGCCTTCGAGACACGCTTCCCCAACATGACGCTCAATGTCACCGTTGACCTGTCCAAGTACCACGACAGCAATCTCGATCTACAGCTCGCGGCCAAGAACGTCTACGTCGACAGCATCATCTTGCAGACACTGCACGACTACCCTCGTTGGAAGAGAGAGGGTGCTTTATTGAACTATGCACCCAAAAATTTCGATCAGATCTATCCCTCCTTCAAGGATGCAGATGCTGCCTATGCCGGTCTCTTTGTCATTGCCTGGTCAATTCAGACAAACACCAACAAAACAGCCACAGCATTGACATCGTACAATGACTTCATCAAGCCCGAGTTCAAGGACAAGTTGGCCCTGACCTACCCCAACGACGATGACGCGGTCCTTTGGCAATTCGATCTTCTGTAAGAATCATCTTGGACCGGCATGTAGGAGCGAGCTAACAAGTACAGCCTCAATGATCCCAACTTCGGTCACTCGTGGTTCGAAGCCCTCCTAGCCAATAACCCTCGCTGGGTCCGCGGCACGGCTACCCCCAGCACTCTCGTCAGCGGAGCCAACAGCAGCAGCGTCGCAACCTTCACGTCCGGTCACTCTTTTTCCGCTATATCAGGTTACAACTTCGCTCTCCCTACCGAAGGCAATTTTGTATCCTGGCCTCAGACCGGTGCTATCTTAAAAGACGCTCCGCATCCCGAGGGCGCGAAATTGCTGCACAACTTCCTGCTCAGTGATGAACATCAGAAGAATGTTGGCTGGAGCACGAGGCAGGATATTCCGGCGCCGGCTGGCGCAAAGAAGATTCTGCAGCAGCCGAATACGCATGCGACTAAGTTTGCGAAGTGGATGGCCAATCGCGAGTATGTGGAGAGACTGAGGTTCTTCTTTGAGTCTAAGATTGGTACAGCGCAGGGACTCAGTCCCCTTGAGGACGACCTGTGAGTGGTGCATGACCGCAGCGGGCTAGTCGAGGCTCTTCTACGACTTAGATTCTCTTTACACACGCACATAAAGGACGGTCAATTATACATATTTTCCCTCCTCTCTGTATGCTTACCAATGTCGCGTTCACAAATCTTGACCACTGTTGAATCAATGACTACCCGTGCTGTCCGCTGCAAAGTAGCGTAAACAAAACAAAGACCAGAATCCACACGAACACTCCGCTCGCAACATTCTTGCCTGCCATGCCGTAGACTTAGGCGGCGCAGCACTACCATTGGGCGTGAGAGCTGAGGTCCCGTTGCCCCACTCCCACTGCCGACCAGTTCTGGAAACAGGTAACTCGTGTTGGTATCAACAACTACACAGTTCTTGATAAGCGCAATCCCGTTCATCACAGTCTCCCACTGCTCTTTAGTACACTGCTCACAATGCAACATGTAATACTGGCTGCCAGACAGCGTCAATGGTTCGTTGGTGATGTTTTATACGGTTACCGCACCTTCGTACGAGTAGTCTGGGAATCCTGTAGTCGAAATTTGCCTGTAGCAATGTCAATGTTGAACGGTACGCTCTGGGTACTGCGGAACTCTGCCTCGGACTGGTATACGGTGCTTCGTGTGCCTGCTTCGTATACACGTGTAAAGCTTAGGTCGCCGTGCTGACGCACCTGGCCGCCTATGTATGTGTCGTTCACGACTAGAGGGGCGTGACCGGCTGCAGCGAAGTGAATAGCGTCGTCGTACGGAATGGCGAGCGAGAGAGCTTCGCCACCATACCAGTTGCAGGCGTAATAGCGGTCGCCGTAGACCAGAGCAACCTTGACGCCTTCTTCGAGAAGATAAACGAGATTTCCTTTCCAGTCCAAAGGTGAATATTCGCCAATGCTGCGGAAAGCACAGGACACGGCCGAGTTGGATTGAGTCCAGTTCAGCGAGATACCTAACTCTGCTGCACGTGAGGCTGGTTGAACCATTCTGCATACCATAGCGCCGGCCAAAAGGGTGCACCAGGGGCGGCAATGTCGTAGTAGTCGACGTAGATATCGAAGTATGCATTCGGATTTCTGCAGTGCAGAGAGTTTCGGCTTTCTGGCAAATTGTTGACGCTATCATTGAAGCCCTGATTTGTGGGTTCGTAGGTGATGCTAAGATTCCTACACGTCTCGATTTGGTGCAAGCAGCCATTGGTACAGTACAAGGCGTCAATGGCTTCTTCATAACGCGACTCGTTGTATGCTTTGATGCCGTAGGTATTATTTAAGGCCATTTATTGGTAGCCGGCCCACTGGACGTGATGATCGCTGCAGCCATTGATGATCAGTAGAGTATTGAGGTGAAGCAAGTGGGTCTGACTCTGCTCATCCCATGTACCATTCAGGAAGCGCTCATTCTACTCCTGAAAGTAAGCTGCAAATGCAGGCCCACGGAAACCACCGTAGGACTATGTAGCGATCGGGACCCTGTCTTTATTGGACTTTTACTGCGAAAATTCTTGGAACCAGACCTGAGCAAAGTGCCAGAGCGCTCGCGCTGAGTCATCTGTATCCCGGGTAGTCAAGTTGGCATCTTGACTGGCATATGTACCCACGCAAAAGAACACAGTCCGTACGGGAATTCCGTTCGAGAAGTCGGCAACTATCAAGTCTCCCGTGTCGATGTTTGTTGTGGTGTTAGTCAAGCTATTGTAGCTCATGCCAACTTACACTGGCTAGTCGAGGTAAAGCAATATCAACTATTGACACGTCAGCTCGGATTCAGGGTTCGTTCTATTTCCTGATAAATCTTCGTTGTTCGATGACCAGTCGCTCAGGTATGTCAAGTGGGAGTCCGAGTTGACATTGCATGAACCATTTTCACCCAGCAAGCCTAGCATAGAGCTGCCTCCCGGTCCACCATTCTGAAGATACAGTCAGGAGATATGCGAAAATTTAGTGTTATATGTACCATCCAGATTGACAAATGCGCGTTTGCGGGATCTCTCCTAGATTCGGAAAACCAAAAGAAGGTGCTGATTTCATACGTCTGATTCTGTACACCTAGATCGGTGAGGGCGCCAGCAGGCAGATGGACGTAGTCAGAGTAGAATTGAGCTCCTTGAGTCACCTCACAAAGATCACTCTAGTAAGTATCAGTGACTTGGAATGTGTTACAAGCATGCGTGTTCACAAACCTCCCTGTGCCATCTTCAACGTGCGAATGTAGCACTGTGACTCCCTCCAGGCTCCAGCGCAGGCGGAAAGTGAGCATGGGCAAGTCCACTGAGGAAGCCACTGGCGACAAACAGCGATGTTTGACTGAGCAAAATCTTTCCGGTGACGTAGAACTCCTGACAGCCGTTCAACTAGGGTAACACAAGATCAGGAAGGATACTTATACCTCGACTTATGCTGCGCGGCTCGGTAGAGTGCACGCATATTATGCGTGCCCGTCACTTGCTACATTCAGAAGTAACTGGTAATGACATACTGGGCTGCCTTGTTGGGACATAGCGCATCCGTAGGCTTGCAACAAGAACCAGGTTCCGAATGGACCGAATGTTGATTGCGTTCAGTTGCCTGCCATGCTACATAGCCCAGGAAGCCAAGCAGACACTTGCAATTGTTATGCTTTCCCGTTCAGTGTTTCCGCTTTTAGGACCCATGACAGCCGTGAGGATGTGTTGCAGATCGTAGGGGCACGCGTCGTAGTACCTGCGGAACGAGCTCACCGGAGGCTGGAAAGCGGAGACTTGAGCCATAACAACTAAAGTATTCATTTAGGAAGGCTTCAAAGATTTAGAAATTGTTGTGAAGATTATATGTTGGATCTTGGGTAAGGAATGCCTACATGAGGGGTGGGCACAAGCTCGTCAAGCAAAGGAAAGGGTAGCCTTACACTAGACTAGCTTGTTTGGGACGCGACTTACTTTATCCACCGCCGCACTTTGCAGTCTCACATCCGATCAATAAGCACGGAGATGTGATAAGACGTTATAGCGCTACCGGTTATTTCCAACACGACGGCGGCTTCGCGAGACTCATGGTGGCAAGCACTATGGCCTTGCTTGTTGACCTCCAGCGGAACTGCTGAGCCAAATCGCCTCCCACCTCTTCGATTTGGATACTGCATCTCATGGCGCTTTCCAAGACTATAGCTTCTGTAGCCTGCGGCTAAACTGTCGGTCTATAGAGGTGAAGACTCGATATTCATGTCAGCTTTGTACATTAGTGGTAGGACCTTGCTCGAAGCCTAGCAACTTCGAGCTCCTATGTTTTGGCAGTGATACGTCGCTGATCGAGTCGGCTAAGAATATCGAGTACTTTGCCTGCATTTTGCTTGCGATCGTTGTCTCCGGTACCTGAGCGTACAATTGCCAGCATGTCGTCGAACGAGGCGTGACCCAGGAGGTATTCTACGCATTGTTAGCATCAAAGCATGACGTTTCGTGGACGCAGATTTTGGTACCTTTCAGCTCATCCAGTGCCAAACGCTCACCGCCATGGTGTTCTGTGGTCGTGCTGGCATGTTTCGAGGCAGCCAACTGCTTGGTCCGATTCACAGAGGCATCAGCATCCTCGCTAGCCTCAATATCAGTATATCCGCACGTTTGTTCACACTTGTCGATAGATCCACGCATACGACGACGGCTTCGTCCGGCTCCTTGATTAGGCGGTGGATAGTCCGAACAGAAGACAGGAACCCTCGAAGAAGCGCAGAGGATCGTTTCTAATGATTGTAAGAGGAATAACCTCCTTCATAATCTCATAGAGACATTGAGATAACGCGGCACTCTCAGATGGTGGTGGAGTCTCCTCGCGCATAAGCACGTATGCTGTTCGAACAGCTGGTGGGAACCGCGTCATAAGATGGAGGATGCGTAGGACAGCTTCTTGCTGATCTTCGTCCATATCTCTACCGGAGGTGATGTCTGTAAATGTGCGCAAAGTGGACAGCAAACTAGCGAAGCCGCGGTCAGTCTGACCCAGGGGATGCTCCCACGCTGGTTGCTTTTGGAAGATAGCTGCCCTCCTAACGCTCACTGTCTTCGTTAGCATACTCTGTCAGAGGAGTCAGGTCGGCATCAAACACGTAGCAGGGCCTTGATCAACGGCCGCAGAGTACACGCGCGGCCCAGCGAAGATTGAGAGCACGCCATCGATAACACTGTCATGAAGAACTACGGTTACGAGGGTGACATCCTTATTGTGGGCCGTGATCTCAATGGGGCATTCAGACGTGTGAAGGTCCACGGTGAGGCCTCGGTTGTCGAAGGCAGCGTCACAGTAAGAGCCGTTGGCGCGAATCTGACGACTGTGTGATTGACGCGAGCAGACTGCTAGCACGGGAAGTTTCAGATACCGCGCACTGCCGCCGTCTTGCTCATTGCGGTCTTCCAGGCCACCGATGGCGCAGAGAAGCTTGCCTGCAGCTTTATCTTGGAGCTGGTCCTAAGCTGCACGCTGGATCGAGGCCAGTGTAGGCTCTTATGTTGGAATGACAGTAATCTTCTTGTCCTCGTAGACAACGGCTAGTGTGTGGAGTGCATCTGAGTAACCTGCACCGCGCTCGTTGAGCGCCGCATTTGTGTCAATCTGGCGTGCTGCACTACTGTTGCGGCAGACGTAGCCGCTGTATGTATCGATGGAAACTGCGCTGAGTTGCTTACTAGCTAGGAGGCGACCATATATACATGCCCTGAGACGTGCTAGTCCAAGGTAGTCAACAGAGGTGACGATCAAGGCCTGTCGAACCGACTTGCACCGCAACAACTACAGTTGCAGTCGAGTTCTGAGAGCGCTTCATAGCCGATAGGGACATCGAGATGCTGGCAGACGGCAACGCGGAGCTGTGACAATGTCGTCGACAGATTCAGTGGCTGCGAGATGGGATGAATGGAGTCCATGTCCGAGTTCTCGTGAGCCAGATCTGGTGTCATAATACGGAGCTGAAGTTTCTTGCCCAAAGCGGACAGCTGAGTTGATTGTGGCTTGTTAGTGCTAGGCTGAGCCTGCTGCAGGGTGTCAGCCTTGCGCTTCCACAAATAAACTGAGAACCTCCAGGGTAGTGCGTAAGATTGACAACACTTACATTGATGACCGCGAAGATTGCTCTATTGGAATCTGGTAGAATATCACAGAGAAGATCTTCGATGTCTACCATAGGGTCATCCTCACTATCGAGGTGGAGGTCGATTGAGAGGCTGAAGGTAGTCGCAAGGCTCAGCTTTGGAGCAATTGTTGGAAGGCGTGCTTGGACAGAGTCCAATAGTGCAGAACAAAGCTGCGATGGTGACAGAACGACGAGCAAGCTCGCGGTCTGTCCGCCTGAGACTACCTTGACGAAATGGAGCGGGGAGTGTGAGTACCTCCAGAGGACGGTTGAGGTGAGGTGGTGGTGGTATTGGGAGCAAGGCAGGCGCGGTGGGCGTATTTATGAGCGGAAGGCGCGATTTACCCACATGACCGTGAAGTGAAGCCCTGGAGGTAGTCGTAGGAGCGAGAGACATCTTCCACAAGTTGAAGCGACGCGGAAAGGGTGGCTGCAGCTGCTGCGCAACGAAGCAGACCAAGACTCTGACTACCTCCATGCTCAGTAATTGACCTTATCAATAGACGTGAGCTTTAGACAAATAGGAGAGACATAAGATGATCGCTGATCGAGATGACTGATATCAGAGGTTATCAGGTCATCAGGATAGAGAGGTCTGCTGAAAGCACATAGCTGGAAGCTTTCGAAGTATGCTACACATGTGAGATACACAGAGGTTGTCAGACTCTGAACTAGATGCCTGGCAACCACGGCCAGAACCAAGGTTCCAGGTTGTACATAATGTATGAGCCCTCCTTCTCCATTGGCAGTAGTCTCGCGTTGAGTGTCTCCTGGCTACATCAAAGAGGCATACGGTCATACCATGCGCAACATGGTTTGCAGACTCTCCAGCCGAAATAATGATGATCTGAGACAAACAGATAGGGAAGTTAACCAGAGCGGAGTGAAGGATTGAGAGCCACGAGGCTTGTGCGTTCGGTATCGATAAGGAATGCGCGACCCAATGTCACCAAGTGTCCTTAGTCTAGGTACCCCATACCTAGTCAACACACCAAATACGTATGCGCAATTCACAGCATACATCTACGTTCCTCTCAAACCAAACAGAACGAACATCACCCATCATGGAAGCCGCCGACACGTTCACCCTCCTGCCCCTCCAGGCAAACGAAGCTGGCGACATCCACTCCACGGGCCCCGCGAATAACGCCCTAAGCACCGAGCTCGCAGCCCTGAACGCCCTGCACCACGGTCTACTCGCCGTCGAAACACCCACCGGCACACCGCCCCCACCTGTCCCCGTCAATCCTAAGCGCTCAGGCCAGATCAGCAAGCTGCGCGAATCCGGTAACGCCGAGTTCCGCAAAGGCAACCCTGGCGCCGCCGTCAAAATGTACACACTCGCAATCGATATGGCCCTGCAGCGCCCGCACTGGGAGCCATCAGGCCTGGTGCGCGAAGAGGTCTCAGGACTGCTGAGCAATCGCGCGCAGGCGAACATGGCACAGCAGCATTGGGCAGAGGGGAGCGTGGACGCAGAGGCCAGCGTGGAAATGAAGAAAGTTGGGAACGCGAAGGCGTGGTGGAGGAGAGGAAAGTGTCTGCTTGAGATGGGCAGGTTGGATGAGGCTGAACACTGGGTCAAGCAGGCGCTAGAGTTTGAAGCGACGGAGCAGGACTTGGTGCAGTTGAGGGATCAGATTGAGGGCAGGAAAGCTGGGCATACCAACGCGGTCTAAGAGCCTCGAATGAGTTTAGAGGGATAAGAGTCGAGCTGTGTGTGCATTATAAGGCGTCTGGCGCTTGTGGATACCTGGAGCATGGAAATGATTTTTGGAAGCGAAGAGTCTCAGCGAGCGAAACTTCAGGTCAATAGACGATGCCCGCCTTGATCTTTCACTACGGCAATCAGCTGAGGCAGAGTATGACTTAGTAGACTCTGAGAGGACGAAGATGAACGCAAATCTGAAGTCGACAAAGGCTGGAGTACTGCGCCGGTCGGGAACATCGTCGGTCACTGGATCAGACGCTTTCGATTGCATAGTAAGAAATCGCTTCACCGGTGTTTTAGGGGCCTTTGCCTCAGTGACGTCTGCGTCTCATGGTCTTACTAAGTACATAGACGCCCAAGGAATTCATCGAATCTTACCACCACATCGAACTACACTTGCACTCGAACTTTGCCCACAAGTCTCCTCTGACATCTTCTACAGATCTTGATTACCAGCATCTTATCAGACAAGGCTCCAATGGCGCCTCCTGGTCCAGAAACACGCGCACCCTTGACCCTCAACGACCTGCCTATCGAAGTACGGGCGATGGTCTACGACTATCTCCGAGGACTCCAATGCCGGTCGGTATTCGAGAAAGATGACAGTCCCAATTCCCAGTGCTCTAGCTCAAGTGAGCAAGATCTCCTACGCCAATATGACGGAGCTTTTCAGCCGCAGTCGACTTATTGTCATCTTGAGCCGCAGAGAAACTTATTGTTGGACAAAGAAATGCTCTTCCAACTGCTCTACAATGGGCGATCTCATGATACGCGATTAGCAGAAGATGCGAGAAAGATAGAAACTAGACGGCGAATCCCGTGGTTCATGGACACGCCTTGTCCTCTTCCGAATGTTTGTCCGGGCCAACGAACGTCGTCAACACCCGATGCCGGATTCGATATCACATTGCCGGTGCCGCAGTGCCCATTTGCCATTAGGAAGTCGAGGAAACCTTGAAATGACGCCAGTCTATCACCGTCATTGAGTGAATGCACACTCATGATCACCATAATCTCTTTCGACTCGGCACTCTACAAATTGTCTTCCTCGTTCGACCGTTCTACGGCGATATTGAATGTGAACGCTCTGTAACATTTCTTCCACTCTTTGCTGCTCAAACTCGTGAAACGGCACTTGCTTTCATACGATGACGCTGACCCGACTTGGCAAGCGGGAAGTTCATCGAGATCCAGAAAGAGAGGTTGCAGTCAAGACCATTGCGCGGTTGCGGGGTTTTGGACCGACCGGATTCGCAAAGCTCAAGCATTGAAGTCTTGAACGATGGACAGGAAGGAAGTCTATGTAGCGGGAACAATATTGATTTCTTGGAAACGACCTGAATACACTGTACTTCTGGAAGTAATCCAAATCAGAGCGTAAGAGTCACTCCTTGTCGATCAAGATGGGAAGCCACAGAATTAATGGATATCACGTGACTACGTGACTGCGCTAGCCAAGAGAAGACCACTCTACGCGCTCATTCCAGGCAGCACCCCGCGCGTCCCAGTGACCTGCTTCCCGTTTCCCAGCAAGTGGTACGCTATCACAGCCCGTTTCTATTGCACGACAGCTGATTTGCACTTCGAGTCTCCGGAATCTGCAGATTTCTCCAGCATTTGCCACCGGAGGCGGCAATAACGCGATCGATTCGACGCGGCCTATCAATCGGCGCGTGACGACCAGGGGCATCGCCGCCCTTGATTTACCCACGGCGGCCTAGTGCGTCTGTCACTTCTCCTTGCAGACATCGTTGCGCTTTTCAACTGCCTTTCTCCTGCTTCCATTCTCTCTATTGCCAGTACGATCGTTCATTGGGAAGCTGTGCGCCTGCTCGACGTTTTTGCCCCGCGCTCTGTCTTCCAACCATCGACCACAATGGCGCCTCGGCGTTCTACTCGAAAGTCAGCAGCCAGAGTGGCAAACGACAACATTGTCGCTGCTATAAAGCCAACATCAATTTCCAGTACGTGAGCAGACATTGCCTTACTATCCGGTTTCGCCGCGAGTTTCTTCTAATACTAAATGCAGGTGATTCACCTATGAATGCCCAAGTTGAACCGGCTTCGCACAAAAAGCGCATACGTAACTCTCGCTCAGCCGTGCCGAACTCGTCCGACAACGATGATGATATGTTGGACATCGATTCATCCATGCCTCCAGCGCAAGTCCGCCGCATTCTGAAACAGATCTCAATCCCCGCCATGAAGACCAAGCAGACTGCCGCACCGGTCAAGGCGGAATCGGAGACTTCGAATGGCACGCCGTCCCTGGAAAATTCCGACTACGACACACCCGGCACAAGCATATCGAACACACCGGCTGTCTCGCTCGGACGCAGTCTAGGCGCAGCTCGCAAGAGTGGGTTAAGCAAGGCTGTCTCAGCGCGAGGTCGCACTACTATCCAAGATACGGATGGGGAGATCGATATAGTGGATCTGGATGCCGAGCTTGCGTTGCAGATGCAGATTGAAGAGGACGAGGACGAGGACAAACAGCGCAGCAAGCGCCGCAGGGTGGAGGAAATCAGTGACGAGGAGGAAGAGATCGAGAACATTTACGCCCCGCGAGCTCGAACGAATACTGCGCCCTACAAAGGCAAAGGCAAGGGTAAAGCAAAGATGGAGTCTGACACTGAGACCGACGATGACGCCGACTCGCTGCTCAACGAATTGATCGCAGAACCCATATACACCGGCAAAGGCAAGGGCAAGGCGACCGTTCAAGATGTCACACGCCGTCGCAGTCGCTCTGATCGACCCAGCACGAGCCGCAACACCATCCTCGACGACATCATCAGCGATCTCGAGGACTCAGAAGAGGAAGATGAGTTCCAGCCCGACGACGCTGGCTCAGTCATTGACCTTAGTGAGATCGAGAGCTTAGCCGCCACTGACAGCGAAGAGGAGCCTCTGATGGTAGCCAGCGCTCGCCTTCAAAAGGTGTCGGCCAAGGTACCCAAGCGTGCACGAGGCAAGAAGCCATTCACACATGCGGAGAAGCTCGAGAAGCGTCAGCGAATGGCGAGGTACGCACATATCGAAGATAAGTGGGAGCGGAAGCGTGCCATGAACCGCGAGCGTGCAGAGCAGCAACATCCAAAGTTGCGCTCAATGTGGGACGACCTGCAGAAGATTCCTGTGCTATCTGTCGGGAGGGCAGAGCAGCCCAAAACCATTACCCGGCGCTTGAAGCCATTCCAGCTGGAAGGTCTCAGCTGGATGATCCGTCAAGAGAAGACCCATTATAGAGGCGGCCTGCTCGGAGATGAGATGGGTATGGGTAAAACCATTCAAGCCGTCTCGCTCATCATGTCCGACTACCCTGCGAAAGCACCGACGCTGGTCTGTGTACCACCCGTTGCTTTAATGCAATGGACCAACGAGATCCGCGAGTACACCGAAAATAAGCTCAACGTCCTTGTCTACCACGGCACCAACGCCAAGTGCAAGAAGATGACTGTCAAAGATTTGAAGAAATTCGATGTCATCATGGTCTCCTATAACAGCTTGGAGTCTCTACACCGCAAGGAGGTCAAGGGCTGGAGCCGTGGCGAGGACATCATCAAGGAGGCGTCTCCCCTTCACGCCATTCACTATCACCGTCTCATCCTTGATGAAGCACATAGCATCAAATCTCGCAACACCGGTGTTGCAAAGGCCTGCTTCGCCTTGCAAGGTACTTACAAGTGGTGCTTGTCCGGCACACCGGTGCAGAATCGCATTGGAGAGTTCTTCTCCCTTCTACGCTTCCTTGAGGTTCGCCCTTTCGCCGACTACTTCTGTCGTTCTTGCAAGTGCGAGAAGCTGCATTGGGCAACAGACGACGACCACATGTGTGTTGCTTGCAACCACGGCGCGTCTGAGCACATCTCGGTCTTTAATCAAGAGCTTCTCAACCCCATTACCGGCGATGACGTCAACCTTCGTGAGTCGGCGTTGTCGAAACTCCACATGATCACAGCCCGCATCATGTTGCGCCGCATGAAGCGCGACCACACTAACTCCATGGAGCTGCCCATGAAAGACATCATAATCCACAACGAGTTCTTCAGCGAAGTCGAACGCGACTTTTCGACCTCTATCATGTCAAACTCCAACCGCAAGTTTGATACCTACGTAGCGCAGGGTGTTATGCTCAATAACTACGCCAACATCTTCGGTCTCATCATGCAAATGCGCCAAGTCGCCAACCACCCAGATCTTCTGCTCAAGAAGAGGGCTGCGGAGGGCAGCTCTAACGTCTTCGTGTGCAACATATGCGACGAGCCCGCCGAAGATGCCATCCGCTCCCACTGCAAGCACGAGTTCTGCCGCGCCTGTGTAAAGGATTATATGGACACGTGCGAAGCCTCGGGCACCGACGCAGACTGTCCACGCTGCCACATCGCGCTCACAATCGACTTCGAGCAGCCGGAGCTCGAGCAGGACGAAGACAGCGTCAAGAAGACCAGCATCATCAACCGCATCAAGATGGAGAATTGGACCAGCTCGACGAAGATCGAGATGCTCGTGTACGACCTGTACAAGCTGCGCAGCAAGAAGCAGACACTCAAGAGCATCGTGTTCAGCCAGTTCACCTCCATGCTGCAGCTCATTGAGTGGCGCCTCCGCCGTGCGGGTTTCAACACGGTGATGCTCGACGGCAGCATGACGCCTGCACAGCGCCAGAAGAGCATCGATCACTTCATGACGAATCCGGATGTGGAGGTCTTCCTTGTCTCGCTGAAGGCGGGCGGGGTCGCTCTCAATCTCACTGAGGCGTCGCGGGTGTTCATCGTGGATCCGTAAGTTCCCCCTCCCACGAACGTTACTACAAATACTGACAGACGCAGATGGTGGAACCCCGCCGCCGAATGGCAATCTGCTGACCGCTGCCACCGCATCGGGCAGAAGCGTCCCTGCGTCATCACACGTCTGTGTATCGAGGACAGCGTCGAGTCGAGGATGGTCGCGCTGCAGGAGAAGAAGGCGGCGATGATTGCGGGAACTGTCAACAACGACAAGGTTGCCATGGACCGGCTGAGTCCTGAGGACTTGCAGTTCTTGTTCCGTGGTTCTTAGAGCTTAGCGAGATGGATCAGTGGTGTATGGTTATTTGTTAGACTTTATGGCGTTCATGGGTACCCCCATATGCATGCGCGGTCCGGTGTGCTCAACTGCAAGCCGACAAAGGAGTTTAGATACCACGACTTAGTGACTTTTCATTCCAGAGAGAATAATGCGCAACAATTGCCGTCATACCTTTCTACTGATCTCTTCAAAATAGAGATCTGGATTGACTTGACATGCGGCTAAAGTCAATGACATCGATCGCCCGCTACAGTACCCCGGATTCCGGTCAGCCCTGCCGCCTCACCGCTTCCTGCGCATCAATCTGGCTCACAGGCGCACGAGTGGGTGTCGCAGCGCTGCCATCAGCAGCACCAACTCGATTGGCAACAAATCAGGCGGTAAAATATGACAGATCAGTATGTTCGGTAAAAGCGACATCTGCAGCGTGGAGTGAGCCAGCACAACAACCAGGTGACACCAATAACACCGCTCAAGGTGCTCAAATCCTTTTTTCCACGTTCCGCCGTAATTCGAGCATCTCCTGTTGTATATATATTCGCAGCCGCGGGCCCGAGGAGAAAGACGTTAAGACCGACTCAGTAGTACGTAATCTTACGTAAACGCTTGCTTCTTGCGCGTTAAACGTCCCTGCCATCGTCATCCGCGACATCTCATGTGCACCGGGGCGTCAAAAGTGTGCTCTAAAGGCTCGACATTTGACGTGCTTTGTGGTCGATCTGAAGGTTCGGCAGCGGGAGAGGGGGCTTGACTGGCGTTGGACTTGGCTCGGGACCGAGGGAGGTGTGATGCCACAGACCGAAAGGTGACGCTATGGCCGTCGCGTGCGGAGCAGGTTGGTAGCCGTTCTTGCCTTTGTTTCTGGTGTCCGTGTACATAGAGCGGGTGCTAGCACCCTTGTTCGTTGTTTGTGTAGCTTCAACTGTATACATCGTGAGAGATGAGTGTGTTCAAAAAGGCCGAGAGCTGGCAACTCGACATCGACCGCTACCTCAACCGCGTCATACCTGCTTCACCCTTACACAAACTCCCTACATCTGTGTCGAGATTCTTGGGGTACCGAAGGGAACAGAAGCAGGATGTTGGAAACGTTCTTGGAGCATTCTGGTCATTAGTAGGAGCATTTTGTGGTCTGGCTGTAGTCGCGGCGGTCTTCAACAATACCGAGGGTATACAACGGCATGCGCCGCCTGCATTCATCGCATCGTTTGTAAGTGGGCAGGTGCCTTGTTGTCATACACCTCTAACCTGCACGTGTAGGGTGCATCCGCGATCCTCGAATATAATGCAGTCCGCTCACCTCTCGGACAACCGCGCAATGCTCTGCTCGGTCATACCTTCTCAGCCCTCATCGGTGTTGGCGTCTCTAAGCTTTTCCAGCTAAATTCCGACTACGAGAAGATCAAGTGGATAGCCGGCGCTACAGGCTGTGCGATCGCATCCGCTGCGATGCTCCTGACTGGTACTGTCCATCCACCTGGGGGCGCATCTGCTGTACTGGCTGCCACAGAGCCAGCCATCACAGCGATGGGGTGGTTCTTTGTTCCTCTCGTGATGTGGGGTGCCACATTGATGATTATTGTGGGTCTCTTCCTCAACAACATTCAGAGACAGTTCCCAATATACTGGTGGACGCCCCTGGACATAGGAAGAGCGAAGACGAAGGATATCGAAACGGTGCCCAACGGCAGAGGCGGATTGGAGCGAAAGGAGACCGAAGAAGAACAGAGATACGATCAACCATACGAGAAAATCAAGATCACCGGAGCCAAGGTTATTTTACCAGAAGCGCTGAGTCTGAACAAGGACGAAGCGGAGTTGCTCGAGAGGCTGCGGGAAAGGCTGAGGAGGAGAGTGTATGCAGAGCGAGTGGAAAAGAATACCGACAACACAGATTTGAGTAGCGGAAGGAGCAGCGCAGACTTCACCATGGTGCCTACAAGAAGCGAAGGGGCAAGAAGTAATAGCGAAAGCAGTCGCAGTGGGAAGTGATGGCCTGAGTAGTCCCACACCTATCTATCACGCGCCAACCGGATTGGGAAGCCATAGATAAGAGCAATGCACGAAACGAACGATCTCCGAGGCGTCTCTCTGCATCGAATGTGACATCTGGTACCTCGTTGGGTTATTTCCAGGCTATTTCTAGCTTGGTTCCTGATATTTCGTTGATGTTGTGACGTTCTGAGAAGCAGAGCTGTCCATCGCCGCATGACATGGGCTACACTGCTTGCTACAGGACCACGTTGGAATTTGGAGGCCATCATGCCACCATACGAGGCTCATCGTACGGCTTACAGTCCAACACACGAGTCGAAAGACAATTCACTCCAAAGTTCTGTCGCTTTTCTACGCGAAATGGCCATCAAACTGCGGTTGTTCAGAAACTTCATTCAATGAGATCTGCGCCAGATTCTCCACGCTTCTGTAAACTGACAATCTTCGAAATCGTATCCTGATATTTGCCATGATCAAGGACTCTTTCGCTCTCTCAACGTTTGATCTCATTGTTGGACCATGCGACTGACTTTGTGGTTTTCTGGGCTGGTGCGGCTTCGCGCCGGCATTGTCTGCCCAAAGCCTGGTGCACCTGCTGGTGCGTTCATTGGTTGGCAGCGGGCTTTGCCACGACCAATGAGAAAAAATTAGGCACATTCACAAGGTTCTCCAGGCAAGGCTTGCCCGAGCAAATCTATACCTGCCCTTTCTCACACCGACTCTTCCTCATTACCTGCTCCATCCGTTCACTCGTTCCTTTCTGTCGAGTGTAGCATCTGCTCTTGTCGCTGTTCGATATCGATAAAGAGAGTGGGTCTGTCTGCCCCGCCATATCTTGAAATTCGACGAGTTTTCCTCCTACACCCCACCACCCGCGTCCCTCCCTTCACAACTATACAAAATGGTCTCCGCATCGAAGGCTGCCCGTGAGGCAAAGCGCGCTGCCGAGGGCAAGCCCAAGAAGACGCTCGCCTCCAAGGCTTCCTCCAAGAATGCCTCCATGGCTTCGTCCGTAAACGGCGACGCTGCTGAGGACCTCGAGCTCAACGAGGAAGTCCGCAAGCTCACCATGCAGGAGGACAAGCACGGTCTATCCGACCGTGTCACTACTGGTGTCCTCGCCTCTCTCCCGGCGTCTCGCGACGTCAAGATCACATCGGCCTCGCTTGTGTTCCACGGAAAGGTTCTGTTCAACGACACCACCCTCGAAGTCACCTACGGCCGCCGCTACGGTCTGTTGGGTGAGAACGGCTGCGGAAAGACCACCCTTCTTAAGGCCATCGACGCCCGCGAATTCCCCTTCCCCGAGCACATCGACATTTACCTGCTGAACAAGGGTGCTCCCAAGACCGAATTGGGCGCCCTTGAGTGGGTTGTCCGCGAGGCTGAGAACGAGCTGGCCCGTCTCGAGAAGCTCGCCGAGGAGATCCTCGAGAAGGATGGCCCTGAGGCTCAGCAGCTTGAGGACATCTATGAGGTATGTAATCCGCAGAACTAGAACAGTGTCCATCTAACAACAAGACAGCGTCAGGAGAGCATGGACCCGTCTACCTTCCACGTTCGCGCCTCCCTCATTCTGACCGGTCTCGGTTTCAACAAGAAGACCATCACCAAGAAGACCAAGGACATGTCCGGTGGATGGCGTATGCGTGTCGCTCTCGCTAAGGCTCTGTTCGTCAAGCCTGCTCTTTTGCTTCTCGACGACCCCACTGCTCATTTGGACTTGGAAGCATGTGTGTGGCTGGAGGAGTACATGAAGAAGTGGGACCGCACCCTCATCCTCGTCTCTCACTCCATGGATTTCCTGAACGGTGTCTGCACAAACATGATTGACATGCGCATGAAGCAGCTCCTCTACTACGGAGGTAACTACGACTCTTACCACAAGACCCGTTCTGAGCAGGAGGTCAATCAGACCAAGGCCTACGAGAAGCAGCAGGACGAGATCAAGCACATCAAGAAGTTCATTGCCTCCGCCGGTACATATGCCAACTTGGTCAGGCAGGCCAAGTCTCGCCAGAAGATTCTCGACAAGATGGAAGCAGATGGTCTTATCGAGCCTGTCCAGGTTGACAGGGTCTTCTCTTTCCGTTTCGCCGATGTCGAGAAGCTGCCCCCGCCTGTGCTGTCGCTTGACGATGTCACCTTCTCCTATGACGGCAACCCGGAAAACAACCTGTACGAGAACCTCGACTTTGGTGTTGACATGGATTCCCGTACCGCCCTAGTCGGACCAAACGGTGTCGGAAAGTCGACTCTGCTCAACATTTTCACTGGCAAGCTCAGTCCTACAAGCGGTGTTGTCTCGCGTCACACTCACTTGAAGCTCGGTGTCTACTCCCAGCACTCTGCTGAGCAGCTCGACCTGACCAAGTCTGCTCTCGACTTCGTCAAGGACAAGTTCTCCCACATCAGCCAAGACTACCAGTACTGGCGCCAGCAGCTTGGTCGCTTCGGTATGACCGGTGAAGCTCAGACATCGAAGATGGCCACTCTGTCCGACGGCCAGAAGTCTCGTATTGTTTTCGCCCTCCTAGCTATCGAGGGTCCCAACATGTTGTTGCTTGACGAGCCTACCAACGGTCTTGATATTCCTACTATTGACTCTCTGGCCGATGCCATCAACGCTTTCAGCGGTGGTGTCGTCGTCGTCTCCCACGACTTCCGGTACGTTCCTCCTTGACTTCCCTGCTTGTACATCTACTAACTAGTTCCAGTCTCCTCGACAAGATTGCCAAGGACATCATGGTCTGCGAGCACAAGACAGTCCGCAGATGGGACGGCTCGATCGGCGAGTACAAGAACCATCTCCGCAAGAAGATGTCGTCGACCGGTGTCCTTTCCTAAGCGTTGTTTGAGATTTGTAGTTGCAAATTGCATGCGTTTTCCGAGCTGCGGAACGCGGGACCGAAGTAAAAGTGGCCTTAGAGCAGGGTTCATGATACCCCTGCAGTAGGCTGGCAGCTCAGCGCGTCCAGCTTCAGTGTCTGTTCTGCGTGGGTAGAGACAACTGGATACCGCGTTTCGATGCATTGGGCTTAGAGGAGTTCTTAGATTTGGGTTACGACCAAAATGAATTACGTAGAACAAGAATGATCAAACGAACAAACAGTCTCTTGCAGTGTGCTGTGAGCGGTGTCGTGGTGTATGCGGCATGGCCCGGTTTGCGAGCACGAGCATGACGATCACCCCGCAAAACCTCCGGCGGTGACGAGCTCCGACATTCAGTCCTCAAGCTATCACCACCACACGTCGTCGGTCTCGGTTACGCTGACCCTGTGGATTCGCGTTGACAGAGTAATTCCGAGCTCCAAACGGGTCGTCGTATTGTCTGCCCGCCATGGCAGAGCTCACCAGCACCAAGCTCAACGCAGAGGCGCATCTGCTGCTCGTACGTCCTCTGGATACCTACGCTACCTGCACTGACACGCATGAAGGACCAGCCGCTCCTGCGAATGCCCTACGAACTCTCTCGCCGAAACTTCAAGAATGCCCAGCGCCTCATCGAACACTCCTCGACTTCCCTCACAAGCTCCCTCGCCGCAGCCACAAAGAGCGCCGCCAAGACCACCGACCCCACACCCGCCCTCGAATCCCTCGACACCATGATATCAAAGATGCAGGGGCTGAAGCGGAAGCTATCAAGCCTACAAGAAGAAGAGGCGAAGCTACACAAATCCGCCAAGGCGCGACTGCAGCACCTGCACGACCTGCACCAAGTCCAGAGCCTGGTCGATGTCAAGTACGACGAGTGGAGTCGCGTGCGTCTCAGCCGCTTGCTCGTGGACTACCTCCTGCGCGAGGGCTACGCGGACAGCGCAGCCTGTCTCGCGCGCTCCAAGGGCATAGAAGACCTCGTCGACGTTGATGCGTTTGTGGCATGTCATAAGATCGAGCGCAGTCTGAGAGAAGGGCAGAGCACGACGCTGGCGCTCGAGTGGTGCAAGGAGCACGGCAAAGAGCTCAAGAAGGGCGGCAGCATGCTGGAGTTCGAGCTCAGGCTGCAACAGTACATCGAGCTGGTCCGGGCCGGGCACGAGAGCGGGGTGTCTGGCATGGACGGCGAGTTCGCAGAGGGCGTGCGGCTCGGCGATGGCGGAGGCGAGATGAAGCTCATAGAAGCCCGGGCGCACGCGAAGAAGCATCTCAGCGGGAGCGGGGACTTTGCGCTGCTCGGCCGCGCAGCAGGACTGCTAGCCTACCGGCCCTGGGACGAAGTCGAGCCCTACGCCGTGAGTCTCCTTCTACCCAAGTCCCACTCATAGAAAAAAACATGCTAATAAGAAACAGTCCCTCTACTCCCCAGCTCGTTGGACCCACCTGGCCTCCCTCTTCCTCACAACACACCACACGCTGTACTCTCTTCCACCCCGCCCACTCCTCCACATCGCGCTATCCGCAGGTCTCAGCGCGCTCAAAACGCCCGCGTGCCACTCGGCATTCACGCCCAGCGCCACAAACAGCGGCTCGTCGACCACAACCGTGTGTCCGATCTGCAGCACGGAGCTGAACGAGCTCGCGCGCAACGTGCCGTACGCGCACCACACCAAGAGCATCGTCGAGAACGACCCCGTCGTGCTGCCCAACGGGCGCATCTACGGGTCGGAGAGGCTGCGGGTGTTTAACGAGAAGGTCGGGACGGAGGGGGGGTGGGTGCGGGATCCCGTGGGGGGGAACAAGGAGGAGATGTGGAGGGAGAGCGAGGTGCGGCGGGTGTTTGTGCTGTGAGAGTCTGTGGATGCTGCTGGTTCGATTGTTTTTCTTGGGATCTGCGTGCATAGCGAGGCGCTGGGTGTTTGGGTTTCACAAGGGAGCTTCTTCAGCGATGGTAGATGAACATGCGCCTCTTTCCATTGACTGTCGCTGCTACCAACTCTCAACACGTCACATGTGACCGCGTTACCGTACCACACCTCTGCGCCAACCCACAGCTCCAAACCCTACCCTTCCCCACCACCGAAAGCGAGCACGAGGCATCACCGAAAGCGAGCACGAAGCACGACCCTCCGCGAGGAACAGCACAAATCCGGAGCGGGAGAAGATTCAACATCAGCTTTCAGGCCTCAGTAGAAAGCAGCTATGGGTATCTCATCCCATCTCATCTCGACGCCCAGCCTTGCAGTTGCGCGAGCAACATCCTTTGGCAAAAACCCTCGTATGCCCGTAAACGCCTCGCTAACAAAACAACGCCCGGTCTCGAGACACGTCTATACAGGTCGAGACACGTCTACACAGGTCGAGACACGTCCATACTGGAAGAGCGTGATGCAATGCAATACAAGAACCAAACGCAGCGCCCATCCAAGTCCCAATGTACAATGCCACAATCCGCAATCCGCAATCCGCTCACATGACAGCGCACTCGCGGTCGGGCCTGTTCTTGTCCTTGAGCTTCTTCTCCGCGAGCTCACTGACGTCCCTGCTCTTGCTTCTGTGGTGGTCTTTTTTCTTACTGCTCTTCTTCGGCGAGGCGGTCGGCTCTCTGTGCTCCTTGGCCGGGCTGCCAGACTCGGGGGGCGAGTGCTCCTGGCTTTCGACGGCGTTGATGACGATGATTGGGTCCTCGGCCGCTCCGCCTTCGGTGATGGCGAGCTTGTCTTTACTGCCGCGGCCAGTCAGCCTCGATAAGGTCAGAGACAGCCGTCCTTCGCCGGTTTGGCTGGTCGGTCGGCTCTTGGTGCCTAACCATGTCCGCGATCCGCGTCGTGATGCAGACAGGAATCCAGCCCTGTACTCGTCGGATGGCGTGTGGGGCTCAGTCCGTCCGCGCGAAAAGCTCTCGATGTCGTCAAAGGCCACGCTGCTGCGTCGATTGCTGGACATACTGGCGCGACCAATTGGATCGTCCGAGACGACTGACTCGGGGTGCACATCCGCCGGCTTCACCTTATCCCATTCACCACCGCTTTCAGCGTCCGTGACACCCCCCTCTGGCATCGAATTGAGCGTCTCCCAAGACGGCACCGCAGACATGACTTCATTCTGCGCTTCGGTGTAGGTTGGAGGATCGCCTCTCGACGCTAGTTCATCGTCGATTGGCTGGACCTGGTAGAACAAGAGATACGGCGACTCTTCCCTTAGAGCCTTCTTGATGTCGACATCAGTAACCCTGGGGTTCGAGAGATCGTCGAACCGGAGCCATGGCCATGTGTCGTCGTCTTCCTCCGATTGAGAGGTACCTGGTGGCCTGTGCTCGTTCGCACGAATGAGCGAAATGTAGTGTCCCGAGTCCACCGAGACCCCGCGGTGGCAGACGACAGACTGCAGCACCAGCTTGAAGTTGCCAAAGAGCGGCCCTTCTTCTGCGATCCTGTCGTCTGAGACGAAATGCGGGAGGGCTATTTCGAGTGGGATATCGACGTAGGTGTTTAGACGTTTCGGCGCGCCATACATAGTCATGGAGTAGCGCTTGAGGCAGATGCCGAGGACGGGGCGGCGAGCCGAAAAGTGTGCGGCGACCTGAGCGTCGGTCTTGGGGACGTTGTCCGTGTACCATGCTGGCCCATGTTAGCCGTGCCCAATCCAAGCTACGCATGCACTCACGAATAAGACTGAAGAACTGCCACGCCGGCATCAGAACCTCCTTTCTAAGAAGTGACGCCGAACGTGGCCGCCCATCCGAGCTGTTGTTGAGCATATCGTCCAGGTGCTTCTTCTCGTCAAACTTCTTGTCCTCGGCATTCTTAAATCTTTGGCTGAAGATGCTGTCTGCGCGTCGGCGCCCATCGAGGAGTGGCCTGACTGCTGAGAGAGGAGTCGATGGTGCCATCGAAACGGGAGTCGACACCATGGGCGACTCTGGCCCCAGGAGCTCGAGGCTCTCGACGTGGATCGTCTCATTCTTCTCCGGGTCTCGGTCGACTGTGTCCTGGGTTGCGGACCTAACAGATCCTATCGTGTTCTGTCTCTGCAGGAACCGCTTGACTTCGATGCGGTTGTTGAAGTATGTTTCCAAGCAGTCTTCCAGTGTGATGATGCCCTCGCCTTCCTGCTCAGGAATGGCCACCTCTAGCAATCGTTCGTTGACAAACTTGTGATCGTCTTCCTTGTCTTCTCGGCCGGTGTGGTAGATGTCCATCTTCAAGGTAAGGAGCGGCAGTTCGAGGGCGCCCGTGATAAAAGTGAAGGCCTCGGAGGCATCTTGCTGACAGACTCTGGCGGCGTCCTCCCAGCCACATTCCGCCAAGGCGTCCTGCAGGTGCTTTGTCTGGCAACGTGTTAGTGCAGGGTCACATGTAGCTTCTGCTGAGCTTCTGCTGTACGTACGAGCTCGACCTTGACAAGTCGTCCCGTCCTGAGCAGGTTGACCCAGAGTCGCAGAGTAGCTGCGAGCTTCTTCCTTGGCTCGTCGTCGAAGTTGTCAAACAGCATGGCTTCAAACGCGTCCAGGCGCGCAAACATGGCGAAGAGCAGAGCGTCCAGATAGCATGTCACCATGTTCCTGTTGATTGCGCCCACCATCTTGACATTGGGGTCATAGTCCTTCAGCTCCCCCTCGATGGATTCGTTGGCGAGCACCAGGACGTCGTAGGCTTGGTCGATGTCGTCGGGGTACCATGCCAGTGCGTGCTCGGCCTGCTCTGTCCCCATGCTTGTGATTCCCACGCTCTGCAGCCGCGAGAGCAGCATTGTGACCTGCGGCGGTCAGCGCTACACCAACTCGTCTTCCAGGACCGCACCCACGTTCTTGGCCGCATCTCTGTCGACGGTCGTCTTCGCGTCTTCGTTGGTGAAGATCTTGTAGAGGTCCGAGGATGCTGGCTGGCCAGACTTTCTCTGTTCGCGCACATGGTCAGACGAGTCCATGGTAGACAGTTTGGCATAGTCTGGTGTAGAGGTTGCGCGACACGGTGCATGTAAGAATAGCAGACGATCCTCGACTGAGCTTCGCAGCGCAGCGGGCAGCTTGTGATACACCGACTCGAGACCAGACGTGGGTTGGCGAGGCCGGCAGTGCCAGTCTCGAGACGGTCCTCGCCAGCCCACCTCCAGTCTCGAGTCGCTGTGCCAGAGCAGAGGAATAAAAGAATTGGCAGAGATGGAGCGTACTTTATTGCGGGCAGCTTCCTTGGACTTGCGCTTCTCGGCCTGGTGCTTCTCGCGGCGGCTGAGGAAGCGCTGCATGCCGTTCATCGTGTGCGGCGCATATACTGGACTTGCATGCAGGAAACGGACAGCTGCAAAGCGTCGACCGTCTTCGTCTGGGTCGCGGCGGGGTAGGCAGCAGCAGGCTTGCGTCGTTGCGCGGGCAGGTGCAGACGAGGCCCGAGCCAGATGCGAGAAGAGTGAGACTGCTCTGGGTCAGTCCGAGAGTGTGCGAGACAGCACTCGGCGCATCAGCCGCACAGCAACATCTAGGTGCCTATGCTGGGACGCGGCTCTGCGTCGAGCAAGCGCGCCCCGCGGCGGTCGGCAGAGGGCTGGAGCTACGGCCCCTGGCGCGCAGAGAGCGCTGGCAGACGATCCCTGCAGCGGTTCCGCGCCAAGGCCAAAACTTCACAGAAACACGGCGTGTGGGCGCGCATCCATCGCCAGGACGACGTCACACATCATGAGCCTGCGCAAGCTGCCATACCGGACGGCCACTGCCCTGTGCAGAGACGCCAGGCCCACCGCGAAGGCGCTGCAGCCACTGCTTCGCCGCAATGCCTCGACAGACGCCGCCCCCGATGTCGAGACGACATCGTTCGCGACCGGCCCAGTGAAGCCCGCAGCCGCCACCAAGGACTTTGATCCCATAGCGCGCAGCCGGGCGAGGAGGAGAGGCAACAAACAGCTCCCCCCCAGCAGGTAGGCGGCCGGTTCCTCCCGTTGCCAGGGCACGAGTTGACAGGGCAGATACCAGTACCGCGAGCCCAAGTACTATCGTGGCCCGCTGCATCCCCACCAGCCTCTCCCCGTCTCTGATCCGGCCTCGAGACGCTTCCAGCCCGGGCCCTTCAGCCTGCCCCGCCTCGACCAGACCTACCAGAGCACCATCGCGCAGGACATACTCGCCATGACGTACCAGCACTACCCGCCCGGCTTCCGCGCGCCAAAGGTCGAGCAGAGGCTGCGCGAATGGCAGGGCGAATCGCCGTACTACAAAGGGCGACCGCTGCGAGGGCCGCGTGGAAAGGGTGAGGTCCTCCGTCTGCTCCAGGAGCCGCGCACCTTTCGCAACCTGCCCAAGATCACAAAGGTCGTTGTCCACTCGATGATCCCCGAGGCCATGCAGGACAGCGCCGTCATGCACGTGGCCGGCATGATCCTCCAGGCCATCACCAATGTGCGTGTCGAAGCACACAAGGCGAGACACAACGTCGTGGGATGGGGGTTGCGCGAGGGCCGCTACGTCTCCGTCACGGCAACGCTGGAGCGCGAAGACGCGTCGTACTTTCTCGAGAAGCTCATCGACGTGGTCCTGCCCAGGATCAAGGAATGGAAGGGCGTGCCCGGCTCGTCCGGAGACGGCCACGGCAACATCAGCTTCGGTCTCACACCCGACCAACTTGCCCTCTTCCCGGAGATCGAGGTCAACTACGATGCGTGAGTCTGGACAGGATGCACCCGCCGACAGCCGCTAATCCACTGCAGATACCCGCCCAAGATGATTCCCGGTTGCCACATCACCATCATCACTGATGCCACAAGCAACAAGGACGCACGCCTGCTGACACAGGCCATTGGCCTGCCGTTCTACGGCAAGCTCAACGATTGAGAGGAGCATCGCTGTGTAGAAAACCTGTAACATGTGTAACACTTTTAAGCGTACGTCGTAGGCGGCAATGTATCGAGCGTTTGTCGTAGCAACCAGTGTATTCAACGAGACCCATCCAGCGAAGGTGGGGATACAAGCTCATCAACTTTGGTCACAGTGAACGGTTGATCGTGTGCAATGCCTGAGCCTCCGTGCTTTTAGTGTCAAGAGAGTGAATGAGCAAAGCAATGCTGCTCGTGAATGAGCAAGCAATGCTGCTCGTGAATGAGCAGGCAATGCTGCTCGTGAATGAGCAAGCAATACTGCTCGTGAATGAGCAAGCAATGCTGCCCGTGAATAAGCAAAGCAATCCTGCTCGTAAACGATGCCTCGCCGTGGAGCGGTTCAGCCGGATAATTATCGAGTTTGGCGGCCGCGCAGAAGCAAAGCGGCCCGTGCGCTGTCGCAGCATCCTTCTCAGCCAGCTCTGTCGACAACCATCCACGACATTCCCCTCATCTAGCCAGTCTACGTGAGAGCTCCACAGTCAGCATGCAGGCTCTCCGACAACCGATGCGCGCGGCGCTCAGCAAGGCGGCGACGCGATCGTACGCCACGGGCTCGTCGCAGTACGCGGAGACGATCAAGAACCTCCGTATCAACGGCGACACCAAGGTGCTGTTCCAGGGCTTCACCGGAAAGCAGGGAACGTGAGTGCGCGGCGGCGCTAGAGGGGAACAGAGAGAGTGCTAACGCCACGTCAGCTTCCACGCGCAGCAGGCGATCGAGTACGGTATGCGCCCACGCGAACAGCTGTCCAGCATGCACGCGGAGAGGAATTGACACGGACGCGCAGGCACCAAGGTCGTCGGCGGCACCAACCCCAAGAAGGCCGGCCAGGAGCACCTCGGGCTCCCCGTCTTCGCCAACGTCGAGCAGGGCATCAAGGAGACCGGCGCTACCGCGACGGCCATCTTCGTCCCGTATGCGCGCCACGTCCACGCCCCTCGCCGCACATGACCTGACAACAGACAGTCCCCCCGTCGCTGCCGCCGGTATCGAGGAGGCCATCAAGGCGGAGATCCCTCTGATTGTGACGTAGGTGTGCATCCCGCCGCGGCAGACACACGGGCTAACGTCGAGCAGCATCACTGAGGGCATCCCCCAGCACGGTATGAGCGCCATTGGAGCTAGACACACGGCCATGGACTGACTTCCCCAGACATGGTCCGCATCACCGACATGCTCAAGACCCAGAACAAGTCCCGCATGGTGGGCCCCAACTGCCCCGGCATCATCGCTCCCGTACGCATCCAGCCACACCTTCCGTCCCCCGCGCACACTAACAGAGCCAGGGCCAATGCAAGATTGGCATCATGCCTGGCTTCATCCACAAGCGCGGTCGCGTCGGCATCGTCTCCCGCTCTGGAACGCTCACCTACGAGGCCGTCAACCAGACCACTCAGGCCGGCCTCGGCCAGTCGCTCGTTGTCGGTATCGGCGGTGACCCCTTTTCTGGCACCAACTTCATCGACTGCCTGAAGGTCTTCCTCGAGGACGCCGAGACAGACGGCATCATCATGATTGGCGAGATTGGAGGAACCGCCGAGGAGGACGCCGCCGACTTCCTCAAGCAGTACAACACGGCCAACAAGCCCGTTGTCAGCTTCATCGCCGGTATCTCCGCGCCGCCCGGCAGGAGAATGGGCCACGCGGGCGCCATTGTCAGCGGAGGAAAGGGCGACGCCAACTCCAAGATCACCGCTCTGGAGGCTGCCGGCGTCATTGTCGAGCGCTCGCCCGCGTCGCTCGGCAGTTCTCTGTACGACCAGTTCATCAAGCGCGACTTGATATGAGCGCCAAGTATCGTTGTATCGTTGCACCGAGGGTGATTGCGGAACGAGAGTTGGGTTGATCTGTTCACGTTCAAGCGCATACAGTTAGGGCAGATTGTTGCTGCACGGGATGTTGTCCCGTATTGTACATTTAGTCATTCAATCGTGACGTCTGCAGACGCGCCTCTCCTGCTGTGTGTGTTCCGTGAACGCTGTCACCACGGTAGTATCGCGCTAGTCGTGGAGTATCGCGATAGCCGTGGAGTATCGCGATGGTCGTGGAGCATGGCGCTAGTCGTCCGAGACCCACCTAAAAGTCCAGGACTGCGCAGGACTACGATGGGTGCATTCCTACACCACCATGTCGAAATCGAAAACCAAGCAAGCACGCCGCCAACTGAAGCGCGACGGGCAGCGCAAAATCGCCGAGCATCACAAAAAAGAAGCCAAAAAGGCGGCCGCCGAATACGTAAAGCCCACGAACCCACGCGCCACGATCCCGTCGAGCAAACCCACGCCAAAGAAGCAGAGGCCCGACACGACGACGCAGACAGCCGAGACACGTGCGCCAAAGGCAGTACAGGCGTCGCAGAAGCCCGAGGTTCCGTTCGGAGAGTACGAGCACATCCTGCTGGTGGGCGAGGGCGATTTCAGCTTCACGCGCTCACTCGTCGAGGACCACGGGTGCGCCAACGTGACGGCCACGAGCTTCGATGCCGAGGACGAGGTGCTGGCGAAATACCCCGCGTTCGCGGAGACGAAGAGTGTGTTGACGGGCCTCGCGCCGCCCGTCCCTCTGCACCACGACGTGGATGCGACGAAGCTCAGCAGCCACAAGAGCCTGCGGTGTATCCGCGACGACGAAGATGCAGAGGAAGCGGACGACGGCGTGAGCGGGTGGGACAGCATCGTCTTCATGTTCCCGCACGTCGGCGGGCTGAGCACCGACGTGAACCGGCAGGTGCGCAGCAACCAGGCGCTGCTGGTGGGCTTCTTCAAGGCCTGCCTCGAGACCAGCACGCCCGCGCAGCGCCTGCGCGTGCTAGAACAGCAGGCCAACCGGCCCAATCTCGTGCAGCGGCGGCCCCGCGAGTTCCTCAAGACGGGCGGCCGCATCGTGGTCGCGCTGTTCGAGGGCGCGCCGTACTCGCTCTGGAACGTGCGCGATCTCGCGCGCCACGCGGGGCTGAAGGTCGTGCAGAGCTGGCGCTTCGATTGGGCACAGTACCCGGCGTACAGCCACGTGCGGACGCTGGGCGCGCTGGAGGGCGGCGGGGCGTGGAGGGGCGAGGACCGCGAGGCGCGCATGTATGTGTTTGAGAAGATTGCGCTCGAGGCTGATAGCGACGAGGAGCGGGAGCTGGAGAAGCGGGGGGTCAAGTTGGGGAAGAAGAGGGCGCCGAAGCCGCGCAAGAAGCGCAAGGCTGACGACGATGACAGCGACTAGAGGTGTCCTGGGGGCAGGGGCTGGAGGAATTGAGCATTCATGGCGGGAGTTGGAAAGAGGGCTCCAGAAGGCGCAAGTACAGCCTACGACGTGATAGATATGATAGATATGATACCCAGACGCAGCGATCCAACACCATTGAACTCGTTCTCAATCGCTCTGCGTGCGGTACAGAAGCCTCTCCCGGTCAAAAGCGTGGGTGACGCAGACCTTGGATTGCAAACTCGGCTATCGCCTACAACGGCCGGCGATTGACGTCGTACCGCCTCCGTATCCCTTGAATTCTTGACGTGTTCGCGGACGTGTTCGCAGAAAGCGTTCGACGGCTCTGGAACGACTGGCACTGAATCGGGCTAGAGCCGCTCAACCCGGTGCTTTGGAAGGTGGCCTCTCCGCCACGCTTGGCGCGCGCTCGCTCCGCGTCAATATTTCGAGCACCTTTGCCTTTAACCACCTCGCGCACACTCACGCTCCTCACACGCATCACACCTGTTCCCTCCCCGCGACCCCCCGTCTCAACCGCCACAATGGCCATCTCTCCGCAAATGTACGTCGTCCGTGCCCGGCCGCGACTCAGCTAACAGCCACAGCTCCAACCTGGTCATCATCCTGTACGTGTGTCGCGCGCGTGTGCACGCAGCGTTCTAATGAAGAAAACAGGGGGTTCATGCAGATCTCCAAGAAGATCCCGTTCGAAGACCCAAGCGTGCTCAACGGCGTGCGCGCGCTGTACATTGTGTCCAATGTGATCATCGCCGCGATTTACTTCTACGTGCAGATGCAGATCAACAAGAAGAACGGTTTGTCTTTGCGGTCTCGCCAGAAAAAAAAAGACACCAAAATCTGATGACAGCGCAGACATGACGGTCGTCAAGTACGTCGAGCCCGCGCCCATGGGCTCAGGCGAGGAGCCCAAGTTCGTCGCCACCACGGTCAAGGCGTACGACCTCCAGCAACTACGCGGCCTGTTCAAGGGCCAGCTGATGGGCGTCGGCATGATGGCGTTTATGCATCTGTACATGCAGTACACGAACCCGCTGCTGATCCAGAGCATCATCCCGCTCAAGGGCGCCTTCGAGGGCAACCTTGTCAAGGTCCACGTCTTCGGGCAGTCGGCGACGGGCGAGCTGGCTAGGCCGTGGAAGGCGGCTGCGGGGCTCATGGGCGCTATGCAGGGTGGTGAGATTAAGACGGATAAGAAGAGCGTCGAGGCTGCGGAGCGCGCGGGCCGTGGTGGTGTCAAGGATGAGTAGGCGACGGGCTGGGCGGGTGACGGACGGACAGGGCTCAAGGAAAGGGTGGCGAGATAATTGAGTGTACAATTGAAAAGGCGATTACTTCCATTCCATGCACAAACATGCAGAACACACGGACAGAACACACGGACAGAACACACGGACAGAACACACGGACAGAACACGCAGACAGAACACAGACAGAACACGCAGACAGAACACAGACAGAACACGCAGACAGAACACAGACAGAACACGCAGACAGAACACACAGACAGATATCTACAGCTACAGCCTCGCCCGACCTCCGTCTCGAGCGCGCTCAACCGCAATCTCACTCGTCATGAGAATACACGTATCCCTCAGACTCGGCAGTCTGTGCCTGGTATTAACAGCCTGATACTCCAAACTCGCCAGCATATCGCGAAAATGCGCAATGCTGGGGTACTGGGCGAGCGCGACCTCGTCCCAGTCCTGCACCCCATCTTCCAGCCTATCCTGCACCCCATCTTCCAGCCTATCCTGCACCCCGTCTTCCGTCCCATCTTGCACCCCATCTTCCGTCCCATCTTGCACCCCATCTTCCGTCCCATGTTGCACGGCAGCAGCACCCCCATCTTGCACTCCACGCTGGACGGGAAAGTCGCCATCGCCACGCACAACCCCCCCAACAATCTTCGCATTGCCCCCATGGCGACTCCCCACGGACTCGGCGAATGCGGCGCCGTACTTGAGATACTCGTCCTTCATACCCGTTCGGAAAGCGAGTAAATTGAGCATACTCACCGCGCCGGACCCGACATCCCCTTCCTCGCGGAGGAACGAGTCGATCCACGCGTCCAGCTCGCGGCTGAGCTGGAGGTTCTGACTGCTACCCGTCACGCGCGGAGCCGCGGGGCGAAGGGGCGGGACGCTCGCGGGATCGGGATGAAGCAGTTTATCGTTGCGCGCTGCGAAGTCGCTGGTGAGGCGCGACGGCACGCCGGCTGTGACGCTCCACGAGTGCGCGACCAGGGCTGCCATGTCACGTGGCAGCGCGTCCGTGCCGGGCAGGATGAGCAGCAGATCCCATTTGATATTGTGGGCGAGCAGGGCCGCGGTGGAGAGGTGTGAGGGCAGGATGATCCAGCGGATGACGCGGGCGACGACGAGGGGGGCCAGGTGTGTGGCGCGCAGGGCGGCGAGGAAGGGCGGGATGGGGTCCGGGGTGCGGTGGAGGGACAGGAGGTGCAGTGTGCAGAGCGGCATGGTGGGGTGGATTGGGGGTTGCGCGTCTGGGGGTTGCGCGTCTGGGGGTTGCGCGTCTGGGGGTTGAGCGTCTGGGGGGGTCCGCGGTGGAATGTGAGCGGGATGCGAGCAGAGCAGATGACGTAACGAGGGAGTGCCGAGGTACACTAGGGGCTGTTGAGAGCTGTCACAGTAGTGCATCAACACGAGGACTGTCATTCGTTGTCTTCGTCGTGCTCGTCGTCGCCTTTCTCCGACGCCCTGCCCTTTTCCGACGTGGCATCGTCGTCTGCAGCCGCGACGGGGAAGGAGAGGTGCTTCCAGTCTTCGATCTGGACCGTGTTAGCAAGCTCGAGAGCGGGACGTGTCTTTGTGGACCGACCTCTTCGGTGATGCTCCGCAGTCGGTCGCGGATGCTGTCCGCAGCATAGCTCCCCAAGATCAGTCTCAGTGGCGGGTAGCTGCAATGCCCCAGCTGCCACACCAGCTCCGCGCTCTTGACGGCGCTGACGGGCTGTCTGTCGTTCAGCCACTGCACCATCCGTCGCGCGTGCTGAGCAGGGCTGGTCAAGGCGGCGTACGGCTCGCTGGGGTTGGGCTTTACAGAAAAGTGGCCATATCGTTTGGGCTTTGGAGGCCCCGCACCAGGCGTGATGGGATAGCCAGAAGGGAGCATGTTGTCGTCTGGCTCGTCGAGTCGGACGTGACCGGGTTCCACGAGTGTTGCCTTGATGTTGAAGGCATCAACCTCGTACAGCATCGACTCGATGAGACCCTCGACGGCGTACTTGGTGGCGCAATAGGGCCCCAGTCCGGGGACGCCGAGCGAGCCAGCCGTGGAGGAGAAGATGAGGTAGCGACCAGCGCTCTGCTGACGGAAGTAGGGGAGAGACAACTGGATGATGTGCAGCGTGCCGAGGAAGTTTGTGGTGAATTGGTTCCGCAGGTCGTAGTCGTCTTGGTCCTCGCAGGCTCCAATGACACCGTAGCCCGTGCTGTTCACAATGACATGCATCTTGCCCCAGTGCTCGAGGCTCTTCTTCAGCACGTAATCCACCGTCTCTCGTACGCGCACGTCGCACAGCAGCCCGAGGCAGCGCCTGTCCTGCCACTCCTGCATCTGCTCGGGCGTGTTCTGATGAGACCATCCCACGGCCGTGCATTGGTCACCGTGAGCGAGGATGGCGCGCACGAGCGAGCGTCCAATGTGGCCGGTGGCTCCAAAGACCTGCATCGTACACAATCAGCTGCTGTGCGATGCAACAGAGGGCGCGCATACAATCCATACTGCGCGCTTGGGCGGATGGCTCTCAGACGGCGGCTCGCACGTCGCAGGCAGACGCAGCTCAAGATTCTGAGTGGCAGCGCCCGGCGACAGGCTCTGGCTGACTCTGTCAATGTCCATTTGGGGAGGGGGGGGCGTGCTCTGCGCGTCGATATGCAGAGGTGGAGGTGGGACGTGTTGCGGGGCACGTGTTGGGGATGGCACTCGCGGGTTGTTCCTCGGCCGCTATGCGTGCTCAAGTCTCTCAACGCATCATGAAGCGGCGCTCGTCGAGCAGGAAGCGCACGCCGTCGACGAACAGCTGCAAGGGAAAGGCCTCCTTGCGGTTCATGAAGTTGCTGACCAGGATGAAGAAGATGACAAAGACGTCCAGATGCAGGGGCGAGGAGAGGAAGAAGTGGTAGGCTAGAAACAAGAAGGCCTGTGCCCGGTATCTGCCTCTGATGGAGCGGACGACTCTGGCGGCTTTGGCTGCGCGCGCGGGATCGACGCGGTGGGCCTTGTAGATGACCACCTTGGAGAAGTTGGCCATGGGAGCTGCTGGGTATCGCGTTGGAGCAGTCGAGAGCCGAGATGGCGACGGGATGCAGCTTATCGATATGGCGACACTTATCGATACAGCAACACTTATCGATACAGCGACACTTATCGATACAGCAACACTTATCGATACAACGGCACTTATCGATACAGCGACACTTATCGATACGGGACACTTACGAATACGGCTACACTTACTAATACGGCGACACTTATCGATACGGCTGATACGGCGACACTTATCGATAGACACGGGCACGGGTGTAGCCGAAGACTCGCTGCATGTGGGGCGTCTGGACGACTGCAGCTTTCGAGTCTCGCACCCGCCAACATGTCTCTGCGGTGACTGACACGGCGCGAACCCGCCATGGCGAACGCAGCACCGTCGCCTGTGCCCGCGCTGCAGCCGACGATGCAGGGCTCGTCGTAGGTGGACTGTGCCGGCGCGCAAGGGGACCCCGCTAAGTGTGCTCGCAGACTCTCCTTCACGCAGGGCTTCCTGCTCGGGCAGTGTTCGATCGCGCTGATCATCTTCTGCTTCATCAAGTTCTTCATCTTCGGCGAGCCGCCGTCGGCCGACGACCGCGCGCTGCACCTCAGCTCGCTGCGACGCGCCCGCACGCTCGCCCACCAGCAGTCGCTGCACGCGCTCAAGCAGCGCACGCGCTCCAACTCGACGACGCCGCACTCCAACTCGACGACGACGCACTCCAACTCGACGACGACGCACTCCAACCCGACGACGACGCACTCCAACTCGACGACGACGCCGCGCCCCAACCCAACAACGCTGCCCGCGCTGCGGCACGAGCACTCGCGCAGCGTCGTCGACAAGGGCGACGAGGGCCGCGGCGGGCCCAGCATCGCCACCATCCTCGCCAAGACGTACTACAACGTCAAGGGCCACCAGCCAGAGAGCCTGGACTGGTTCAACGTGCTGATCGCCCAGACGCTCGCCCAGCTGCGCGCCGACGCCCGCCACGACGGCGCCGTCCTGCGCTCGCTGACGGACGTGCTCAACGCCGGCAGCAAGCCCGACTGGATCGGCCCCATCCGCGTCACCGAGATCGCCCTGGGCGACGAGTTCCCCATCTTCAGCAACTGCCGCGTCATGCCCGCCGAGGACGGCTTCTGCGCGGGGCCGGGCACCGCGGGCGACAGCGACGGCCGCCTGCAGGCCCGCATGGACGTGGACCTGAGCGACGTCATCACCATTGGCATCGAGACGACGCTGAACCTGCACTGGCCCAAGCCCTTTTGCGCCGTGCTGCCCGTCGCGCTCGCCGTGAGCGTCGTGCGCTTCTCCGGCACCCTCACCGCCTCCTTCATCCCCAGCTCCTCGCCGCCGAGCACCGCCGCGCCGAGCCCGAGCCCGAGCCACGCCCGCGCCCACGCGCCGTCACCCGCGACCGCGAGCCCGCCGCCGCACCGCCCGACGACGCTCGCCTTCACCTTTCTCGACGACTACCGCCTGGACCTGTCGGTGCGCTCGCTGGTCGGCTCGCGCTCGCGCCTGCAGGACGTGCCCAAGATTGCCCAGCTGATCGAGGCCCGCGTGCACGCCTGGTTCGACGAGCGCGCCGTCGAGCCGCGCTTCCAGCAGATCTCGCTGCCCTCGCTGTGGCCGCGCAAGCACAATACGCGCGGCGGCGCGGGGGAGGACGAGCTAGATGTGCCAGACGACCATGTCGCTGTCCCGCCTGCGCCCGAGCATGCTGATGGTACCCGGTGGCGTGGCCGCGGACACTACAGCGGCCAGCCTGGCATGCCCGGCGCCATGCCCGAGTAGTCTTGTCAGCTACATGCCAGGCAGTTTGTACCGTCTTGTCTGCACCGTCTTGTCTGCACCGTCTTGTCTGCACCGTCTTGCCTGCACCGTCTTGTCTGCACCGTCTTGTCTGCACCGTCTTGTCTGCATAGTATTGTATCATAATGTATTGTCTTGACTAGTATTATATTGTATTCTCTTGACTAGTATTGCATCGTCATGTCTTGACTTGTCTTATATTGCGTTTTCGTGTATTGACTAGTATTGTCTGCTTTGTGGCTCTCGCAATACATCCAGTCCACACGCCAAGCAAAGTCGCCAACAACAATCCCTCCACCGTCGCGTGCTTCTACCGCCAGTTCGGCGCCTGTGCAGGCACCGTGTGAGCCGCAAACGGTCCTTGCTGTGCCTGCACCTGGTGGTACTGCTCTGACTCTTGCTTGCCAACCTCTTCACCCGCGCCGTATGCCCGCGTGGGCGCCGAGAAGAACCCATCCACTACTACAGGTTGCTGAGCTGAAAACCCATTTGGAATGGCGGTGGGGATGATGGGCGGTAGTGGTGCCGGTGCGGGCGCCGGAGGTTCGAGTGCTGCAACAGGAGCCGCGGGTGCCGAAGGTGCTGCTGCAACAGGAGCCGCGCGTTGCACTACCACCCCAGCGTCTGCCATGGATACATCGTCGTGCTGCCCTGCGCCGTTGAGTGACGCAGCGTCAGGTTTCGTATCGCTGCCTGGACCGGCTGGCTTCCTCCCATATCGCAGGGTGACCACGAGACTCTGCGGTTCCGCCTCGCTCTCCGAAGACTGATCGGCGTCATCATCGTCGTCGAGGTCCATCTGCTCAGGCTCGTCTTCGTCCTCGTCGCCACCGTCCCAGGATGTAGCGTCGTCGTCTCCCTCCGACTCCATCTCGCGATTCAAGTGCGACCGATTGCCAGCGCGTGTCGAGCGACCCTGCCCGGGGTCTTCAGAGACATCAGACCGGGCGTAGTCTCCATTGGCTGGCGACACGCGGTCTGTTGTTTGGCCGCTGTGAAGTGTCTCGCCGTATGTGCCTGTCGCACGCGACCTCACCTGTCGACCGCTGGCAGTGACAGTGGGCCCCGAGTGTAAGGGCGACGAGTCTCGCCCAAACTGCCGACCTGATCGGCGCACGGGGGCATCGTCCGAATCGAAGTCGTCTCCTTCGTCGAACGTGTATCGTAGCCGTTTGCCGCGCGTGCGACCTTCGTAGAGCGAGAAGCCAGGATCGGGCCGTGTGAAGGCTACGGTGCGGTTGACACGGTACTCGCGTCGTTTGCGTTTCTGCATAGTCGTCAGTTCAATATGCAATATCAGATGTTGTAGCACCTACCACCTCCGAGGCCTCGAAGCGTGGGACAGCATTGCTCATGCGCTCGCTGAGCGTCTTGGCCTCCCTGTGACCATCCTCCTCTTCCAGCACCTTTGCCAGCGCTTTGAGCTCATCAATGGACTCGGCAACGCTCCACCATGTCGCCTTAGGTGTGTGTGGCTTTCCCTCGCGGTAGACACGAAAGTGCGTGTCGTTTTGCCCCTCGATCAGCCAGTAGCGGCGCTTCTCTCCGTCGCGGCCCCACGGTTGCACCGACAGAGGGATGTTCGTGTCGAGCTTGTCCTTTGTTGTTCGGAATTTGTAGGCTTGCGCGATCATCGCCTTGACTTCTTCGCTCTGGTTCAGACTCCAGAGGCAGAGGGTGTGGAGGAGGGTGATCTGGTGGGGTGGTCAGCACGTGTCAGCGCCGTCGCATTGTACATCTTACACGCTCTGTCGGTGCCATGCTGTTGAAAGAGCGACTGCCGCTGAGAGGATTCTGAGTGCCCCATTTGGCTGGCCACTGCGATTTCTGTGTCTGGATTGCTTCCTCGAGAGCGCGGCCATAGTGGCCTTTTCTGTTGCGCGCCATGTGTCAGCCATGCATCTTTCCTAGGCTTCGTGACAGCTACGCGACCATAGCGCAGGTATGCGAGAGGGGGAAACGAGGTCAACTAACTCAACAGGCTTCTTGCGATTCAGCACCAGGCCGAGCAGAGCGCACAGCAGGCCTTCAACGTCCGGTGACGGTGTGCCCTCTGCGACGCCCAGCTCGATGTCCTGGGGCCCAACATGGGGCGCATTACGGGGGAAGGCTTCGTTGAATCGCGATCGGAACATTACTATGAACTACATCCCAAAAGTTAGAGGACGTCTGACGTAGCAGCCGTGAATGTCTAAGACACGACCACGGCGCGTTGGGACGCGATTGACGCGTCTAGCACGTACAGCAATGTCTGGATTGTCTTCTGGAACATATTCGTGGGGCGGCGACGCTGCACGCTGCCTCGGTGGTGGTGACGGCGACCGTTTGTTGAAGAAGGACAAGATAGTGCCGCTCTTTTTCTTCCTTTGAGATGCAGCCTTCGGGGCTTTTGCAGGCGCAGAGTCTACGGGCATTTCATCCTCTGTGGGCGGCGCTGAAGACAGCACCGATTCGGAGTCGGAGTCAGACATCGTTGGTGTTGTGGTCGTCGCTCGCGGCGGTTGTGGTCGGAGCTGGACGAGGGAGGAACGTCGTCAACGGCCAGGGCTAGGCGCGACGGATATGAGGTAACCTCCTGTTCCGCTAGCACAAAGGCTAACTAATTGAATCACTGATAATCCGGGGTACTAGACAAAGCTGGATCCGGTTTCTGGGCAAATCATCAACGTGCAATCACGATTACGGCATATAAAGGGTGATGAGGAGGAGAGACAGTGTTCAATTCTGAAGAAGAGCATCCTTCTTGCTACCATTGATTGTGTAGAGATGTTTGGTTGTTCGTACTTATTACTGTCTGACCGGAATGATAGCAGCCCGTGCCATATCGACGCCAGATGCGTCAACAGCCGCCCCCTTCTCCAGATTGCTACATGATAGCCGATGGCACGCTGTCTCCTAAACGGGTGTTGCGTTTTGGTGGTGTTTGTGGAAGTGATGCTGGCAGAGTTGGAAATGCTGCGCCGGTCGCAGCACAACCCGTGCCAATGGCACAAGATCCCCACCAACATGACAAACAACATACGTGGTAGGTATTCCGATGCGCATCCAAAGTGCTAGATGCACCTCTATTTTCCCGTTCCATCGATGTGTGCGACAATCACGCCACGAGCTGGCCTGGGAAGTCGGGTTTTCAGGTGTCACATCATGGTTGTAAGCCCACGCTATGGCGGGAGTCCCTTTCCGTCCACGGCGCGATACACTTTGGCTTGTCTCTTGCATTCGTAGGTATCCTGGGTTATGACGCCCTACGCGGCCTGTTCGCTCATTGCATATAGCTCTTTCGCGTTCATGACATGACGCTTCGTCTTATTGAATCCTCTCATAGCGCATGGTGTCGATGGAGATAATATATGATACGTCGAGATGTGCTGCAAGAGACCCGTGTGTCGAAGGTTGGTGGTTGACTGACAGGTTGCAGCACTTGTCCCCGCTTTGGGACGATCTCCAATCCCAACCGCTCGTGTTTGGGCCGCAGTGTTTGATTTCACTTACCATTTCGGCCACTTCTTGCACACCCACGAATCCTTCTACAAGTTCAGCGCGAACGACAGAAGGTGCGCAGAAAAACACACTGCAGACTAAGGAGATACGAAGGTGATGGCTTAGTAGAAATGCACGTGAAGTTCGAATGGTCGTGTCTGCGAGTTCCTTAGCATGTGGATGCTAGTTTCTGGTCAATGACACGCGTCGTTCAGTGTTGTTGGTGTTGTAGGGGTGATGCCAGCGGTTTGTGGTGATGCGGGGAGGTCTACGGCTCTTCAGCAAGAAGCACGTGATCGGAGTCTGTCACCCAAAGCCCATCATGTATTATGCTTTGGGATTGGACCTTACCCAACCTTAAACACTCGTGTGTGATCATTTCTGGATCCGTGACCACGACCATGGAGTGAGAGCTTGAACCAAGCGGGGCTGGCGAGCTGAGTTCTGCTCGAGGAGAGATCTCTGGCGGCAGCATTTCACCGCACCGAGCCTTCATCTACCGTCCCACAGAGCAGAAAGAGGCGTGCAGCTTCCTGCAGCCACAGGTCGGGGAGTGCCTCGATACAGGAAGGAGCGCAAGTTGTGCCTTCGCAAGCGCAAGTGCCCAGTCCAGAGGCAACACTAGAAACCATCGAACGCTTGGTTTTGCACCGTTTGGGTTTTCTACAGGTAGCTTCGATCAACCTACTTAACACATTATTGAGGAGCGAAAGCTATTCTAATCTGCGTTTGCAGCACAAACGGGAGCAGTTCTAGTGCGAAGGCATACGTCCTGAAACCAGTCTGTCGACGCAGGGCGGATAAAATGAGCATCTGCGACGAATAGCGAGGCAGTGACGTCGGCGGGCTCTGCGAGGTACTGTGACGGGCATATGGTTCGCTGTCGAGGGCGCTGTTGCTACCAAAGATAGAGGGTATGAGCACGAGCAGAGGGGTATGGGAATGTGAAGATGAAACCCAACTATTGGCGTGGGCGAACCGCTGGCCGCGCCCCCGCAGAGACTGGCGGCGGCGTTTTGGGCTGTCGCTGATCAACCGTTGGAGCGACCAAGTGCGGTGATCTAGAATTGTGTCAAGGCGCGGCTGCTCGGTCGACACGCGTTGAATATATGGGCCCGCATTCCCTCACAGGGCACTGAACACCTATCCCCTTTCCCCTGCTGCATGTGCTGAACGCTCGTTCGCTTTCTTTCGTTTTCTTCGTGTCTAGTCTGCTCGGGCATTCCTGCGCTCCTCTTGCCTGTTTTTGACTTGCATCGTCACCGATATCGATACCGGTACCGCTCCTCCCTACACACGGCCCAACGCTCGCTATCACGACACCCCCGCCTGATCTGGCTCCCACAACACTGCAACAGCAACAATGAACGTCAACAAGAAATTCGGCCGCTTCAAGCAATGGGCCGGCGAGAAGATGGGCGGCGAAGCCCGCACCGGCACCTCTGAGGAGTTCAGGGCGCTGGAGATGGAGATGGAGCTGCGTCATGAGGGTATGCAGCCAGCCACTGCCCCTGCAGCAATTGTGCGACGATTCGGTGCTGACATTGCACAGGCATGGACAAGATGCAGAAAGCCATGGGCGTCTACGTCAAGTCCATCTCCAAGCGCGCAGAGGGCGCTGACAAGGAGAAGCAACTCCCTGGCGGCCACTTGGGTTCTTCCATGGTCACCCACGGCGAGGACTTTGAGCCAGATTCCGAATTTGGCAACTGTCTGTCCTGTATGCAAACAACTTTCCTGCCTTGCCAGTTTGCTGTTACTAATTGCGAGCAGCCCTCGGCCGCGCAAATGAGCGTCTTGCTCGCGTGCAGGAGACGTACGCGCAGGGTGCTACGTCATCTTGGTTGGAGGGACTGGACCGCGGTCTCATTCAGATGAAGGAGTACCAAGTATGTTATTCCATTTGACTGGAAGCTCATGGTCGCTGACTATCTACAGAATGCACGCAAGAAGCTTGAGACACGCCGATTAGCCTACGACACCTCCCTCGCCAAGATGCAGAAATCTAAGAAGGAAGACTTCCGCATGGAAGAGGAGCTCCGGGCGCAGAAGGCCAAGTACGAAGAGACTAGCGAAGACGTCTTCCGCAGGATGCAGGACATCAAGGAGGCAGAGGTCGATCTGGTCCAGGACCTGTCGGCTTTCCTTGAGGCAGAGCTCAGCTACTACGATCGCTGCCGCGAGATCCTGATAAACGTCAAGCGCGAGTGGCCAGCCAGGTAAGCAGGCACGAAACGCGGAGCAACCATCCCATACTAACACCCCGCGCAGAGAGGCAGCCCCCAGCCGCAACACGCGTTCGCGCTCGAACACAGCGCACGGCTATGCAGAACGCTTCAACCCTGTCGAAGAAGAGCCCGAGCCGTCACCTCCGCGCATGACCATTCCAAAGCTGGCCTCTCGCAGCCGCTCCCCAGCACCTGACATGGCCGGCTCTCCCGGAGGCTATGCTCTTCGTCCCGCGTTGAGCCGTACATCGACACACGACAGCTATGCCAACGGTCGTGACGACTCCCCCGCTCGACGATTGTCTCGCGTACCTACCGATTCTTCTGCCATACCAAGTCGGAACAACCTGCGCCCCGTTCGTCAGCAGAACACATTTGCGGACGATTACGAGGACGACGAGTACACGGGTTCCGGCAGCAACAGACGCGACAGATCGCCACCCAGCCCTGATCGTTCCTCCCAGGGCAGCGGCCGCGTTATGTCGCGGGCGGCAAGTTGGTCTCAGAACGATGGCGGTGCCACCACACCTGGCGGAAAGCGAGCACCTCCGCCACCTCCCTCGAGGGCCAAAAAGCCACCGCCACCTCCTCCACCGATGAAGCGAAGTGCGTTGAGTGAGACTACGGTGACGCGATACTAGCACAGCATATTTACCTCTTTCTTTGCTGTTGCTGACATGCTTGTTTGTATAGGGCCCATTTCCGTCTCGTCCGCATCCGGCAGAGTCGTCACTTGGTGATTTTGGATCGACCGTGGAGATTGAGCGAAATGAGCAGAATAAGACTGCAGCGCAGTCCAGGCGCAATCGGCGTTGCATCTCCTATGTTGCTAATCTACTTGCTCTTATATCACACGGCGTTCAGGGAGCGAGTGTTACACACGTAGCAAATATCCAAAACATAACATTATACCAGCTTTCACAAGACGAAGACCATCTCCACCTTGTAGCCATGATACATTGACTGACCCTTAACTGGTCCCTGATATGACGACTGGGCTATCCGTATCGTCGTATCCTGGACCCGCAATATACGAGCCGATCGCGTCTCTATCCCAGCAAACGAAATGTATAAATAGCCTGTACGAGGCTAGTTCTCATACTTGGGCTGCGGATTCGGGAAATTCCAGTTGTCCTGCTATCGTCAGTACACACTCAACTATCACAGAGCAAGTCCTGTAGACTTGTGAACTCATAGACCCACCCATTGCTGTAAGCCGCCATTCGGGCTCGTCTGCCCGAAATCGCCGCCCTGCGCTCCACTGTCCACCGGCACGAAAATCGCATTCGCATCGTGCCCGCCATTCGCAGAGCCCATGTTGCTGAAGATGTCGAAATCCTCATTGCCCCCGCCGCCGTTCAGACTACCCAGGATGCTGTCGAAATCCACATTTAGCCCGTCCAGCGTGCTGTTGCGCTGCAGCGCCGGCGCACCCTGCATGCGACTCCCCGGCGACACAAAGTTGGGGCTCGTGGACGAGAAGGAGGGCAGGGGCTGTAGCGTGGGGTGCTGCTGCGGCGCGAGCTGGCGCTTCTTGTTGAAGCCTTTCATGACGTAGAAGGCTTCGAGGTTCTCCTTGACGGTCCAGAGCAGGTCTGAACACCGCTCGCGCACGCCGATGCCGTAGCAGTGCCCGAAGATGTGGTCGATCATGGTCATCATGCGGTCTTTGCGCGGCAGGTCAGGCGTGCGGTACAGTTCTGTGAGCAGCAGGAGCACCGCGTGGTATTGCTGGTAGGTGGTGCTGTACCAGGCCCAACTCGATAGCGAGGGGAGCGTGTCGAGCGTTGCACCGATTTCGAGCGTGGTCAGGGCTGCGGTGAGGAGCACGTCGCGCAGGCGGTTCTCGGACTCTGAGCGCGGCTGCAGCGAGGTTTGAGGTAGGTGACGGTAGAGCAGCATCGAGTCACAGCGCGACATCAGTAGTGTGGCGACCAGTCCTGCATAGCGCTGTATGGGCACGTTGGCGTCGAGGAATTGCAGGTACTTGCTTTGGATTTGGCGTTTCCGGGCTTCGACGCGGGCGCGCAGGTCGTGCAGCGTGATGTGCTTGCGGTCCATCTCGATTCTGCCACGGAAGATGAGGCGATGGATCTCATTGCATTCGTAGCGGATAAGGGAAAGTGTGACGTCTGTCCAGCCGTGGAGTGAGGTTGGGTTTTGCTGCCATTCAGAGCTACCGAACTCGAAGACATCGTCATTCACGTTCAGAGGCAAAGCGATATCCACATCGTCCGATCGGATGGACGGGTGTGGACCTTGCGCTTCGGCCGTCTTAAAGTCGAGAAAGCATATCTGGTACCAGAGCAGAGATCTGACGTGACGTTGCAGTGGCGTGAGGCTCGTCGCAGAGCTGTGACTGAGACGATGGATGCCGATGCATTGCGCAAGGCGAACGAGTGCGCCTACTACAACTGACGTGGCCCTCGATATCTGCGCTCTGCAGAGCGGGATCTGACCGCATTAGCTATTAACGACGTAATAAAAGACCGCACCTACCAAGTAAATAGTCAGCGCTTGTAGCGTTCTGATATTTGATGTCTTTGCCCAATTGGCCCGTAGCAAAGCTCGCTCAGTGGCTTTCTGCAGCCTCAAGAACAAGTCTTCTTTGGTGATGCCGAATTGCGACTTGGCTTGCAGTGGTGATACCGATGCCGCAGCAGCCATACAGACGGCCAGGATCAGCGCCGTACACGAATTTTGATTCGGGCTGCCAATCTCGACGTGCATCCAGAATCGTTCGAACAGACGCTTAAAAGAAGGAATGTGCAGCACGTGTGCCATAGGATCGACAGCGTCCAGATAGCGCTGAAAAAGCGCCTCTGCCTCCATCTTTGTCGGTAACTGCGGGGCACCGATATCGTTGTTGCTGTGCGCGGATATCGAGCCACCAAGCAGCAGATTCAGTGCTGGTGCAAGCGATGGCATCTGCTCTGCGGACAGGAGTGCAGACGACTGTGATTGTCGCTGGCCAGCAACTGACGAAATTGAGGCATTGCGCTCTGAAAGGAGTTTGCCCAGCTACACGTGACATTTCAGCGACCACACCTGAAGGGTCCTGCAGGCGCAGGCGGATAGAGCGGACAATACCTCTTCGGCATACTGAGGGCGAAAGAAGCCAGTCACGTTTTCACAGATGATCATCCTTCCAATCCTGATAGTGAGGTCTGTCGCGATCTGATCCTCATCGTCGTTCTCGTCTTCATAAACATCGTCCTGCGTCTCTTCAGGCTCCGCGGGGAGTTGCTCCCATGCATCGCTTCGATCCACTTCGACATCCTGTTGGTACTCCTGCCATTCGTAGTCTCTGGGTGGAGTTCCTGGCGTGGTCGTGTTGACGGAGTTTGGGTTCTCGTATAGATCAAGGTCATGATCAGGCAAGCTGGTTGAGCTTTGCGTGCGCACTGGGATGCTTCTAGTCCAGTCCGGTACAGTAACATTGGAGCTTGACTTGGATGCTGCGCGCTCCCGTTGCTCCCTCTCTTTCTTGCGCGCCGCGCTCTCTGGAACGGTGATGAAGACACATTCGCGACCAAAAGCGGTGCAATTCTGGCAGGGATGCGTTTTCGAGCATCGCGACTTCCGAGTTCGGCACTCGACGCAGGAATTAATCGGGCGTGGATTTCTTCTGCGAACCACTCGAGACTGCAATACTTGTCCTTGTTCTGGCATTTCTCATATGCTCCATCTCTTAAGCCATGTCCTGGAGAAGTTGTTGAGGATCGGAGGGCTAAGAACAGGTGCGACTAAGTGGCTGACGGTCCACGCTAACCAACGGAGGCTTGGAAGTGTCGCTTGTGGGGTGAGCCGCAAACGATGTAGCTTGGGACGAGCTACAAATTTCTTTTGCCGTCAGTCGGAGCGATGCAGGTACCGTCATGCATATGTATACCATTAACTACTTGGACATAAGGCCCGTTCTACCAAGTATAACCGGATGTAATGATGCCACAGGAGGCTCCACCTGCGGCGAATTAGGTAGTCGCGATTAGCAAGAGCCTCGAACCCCCCCCCCTCGTGATAGCTGGCAGCAGACTTTGCGCAGGACACGGCACACAGCAGGTGTAATCGCGGAGATCTGGGCAGCCATCACAATACACAAAGCAGCAGCATCTTGAGGGATTTATGGCACCAATCGCTGGGGATATCGGCCGCGAGAGCCTGACGAGGTTGTGAGATTGACCGGCAGAATGCGGGTGGTTCCCCGAGAACGCGAAAGCCACCAAATACTACAGCAACACCAGAACACCAGGCTCCAAGTGCATCAATGACCTGGCTCCAATCAATCGAGTGACAGACGAATTGCACCACAGCAACTATCCGTTTGCTATCGGTCAGACATCGGCGAGGTCGTGAGTCGCGCAGCCGCTACCTGCCTACTTCCCGTCTCAGCCGAGCTGCAGCTGAGGCGGGTGGAGGCACCGGCCATGACTCCACTGCATCCTCGACCTCTTCCAAGAACGAGCTGCTATTGTGCACAGTCGTTCCTCCGAGAACGACACGGACGCCGGGAGAACTCGCATTCACCTGCGCTACCATCTTGGCTTCTTCGTAGGTTGTTCCGCCTACCATAAAAACGATGATATCCTGAGGCTTATCCTTGGTCGTCCCACCGCCTTCCACGAACGGGTACAACTGCTGACTGAGGCGTCCCTTGATCATGTCTTGTAACGTGGTTTCCAGTCGCGGAGAGTGCTGTGTGTAGACGTTCTCGACACCTTTCAGTCCCTTGAAACGGTCTCTAGCGCCGCCAAAGAAGGAACCCGGCTGGAACAGATCTGGCATGCCTCCTGCCGTCGTGGCGGTTTGCAACGAGTCGTGATACGTGAGCAGCTTTGTGATGAGGTTGATGCGGTCCCGAGACAGTCCCCCTGCCACTGCCAACAAATCAAGTAACATAGCTGTCGAATTTGAAGAGCTCTTGTGATACCGTAAGGCATAGATGGCCACAAGACGCAGCTTATTGTCCGCCGGGATCTTGGGATCTTGAATGATCTTCTGCAGCGACTTCACGTCATTTGAGTGGTTGTCCTGACATGCGAGACTCTGTTCAAGCTCACTCACGTCCAGTAAGCTCTCTTCGCCGACTCTCCTACTCAGCTCGCCGACAAGAGTGACGTGCTTCGTAACATTGCCGGAAAGCTTGCGGAACTCTGGAAAATCTTCGATAAAGCGCTTCATGTCTGCGATCGAGTCGAGCTTCTGAGTGCCCTGCTGCTTCGAAGCGAATTGTTCGACGTACTCCTTCGCGTTCTGCCCCAGATCACCAAAGTTCAGGTACATGTTCTTCTTAAAGAAAGGATCCTGATCCTGAGAGAGGACAATCTCTTTCATTTCTGGTCGTATCTCTGGAACATCCCTTAGGTCGACTCTGCCATTGTTGATGCCCAGCAGTTCGTGCACCATGGCTTGGTATGTCCACTGTGTGAGGAGCGGTGTAACCGGATCATCTCTTCGGTCGACTATGAGCAGAATCGGCGGTGTGTCGGTCTTTCTGAAGTCGAAGAGCTGCTCTTCTTGAGTCATATTGTATCGTACTTCTGTGGCCAGCTTTTTGACAAGCAGGCTGTTCTTCTGGTACCGAATCAATGGCTTCTTCTTCAGCGAAAGAAGCAAGGCCAGCACAGCCTCAGTCGACCTCTGTAGAGAATTATGGTTCCACGAATCTGGGCTGGTGCTCCATACCCTGTGGTCAGGAAAGCTCAGATTTAGCGACATGAGATCTGGGTTGATAACGAAGAAGTCGGCGAAGTACTCCTGAATGGCGCGCACGACTTCGTGGTCGTCTGCTTCTGCCAGCCGTTCGAGCGAGGACTTCTTGATAACGTTGCTGAAGTCTGCACAAAGTCAGATCTTCCTGTTCTCTCGCGAGCGCCATGAAGAGACCCACATATATTGTATTCCCCATACTTTGGGTCCCGTAGCTCTTCGATCAAGCTCTGTATTGATTCAGGTGACGGCCGCACGAAGCACAAGCACCGTAGGTGCCGCATCTTCTCTCGTTTTTGGTTCTCTATCCGGCTGTCCTGCTGTCAGACACATGGTTATGTGGGCAAAGATGGCTGAACATACTCGGTGAGGTAGACTTCATGGGTAAGGAGTGCGGACTGGGTCGTTGCGGAGGAGACTATCGACACCTGGGATGCGTGAGCGCATGATCGCGTGCAAACATGATTGAGGAGACAAACCCACAGTCTCATTATCGAGTAAGAGTATCTTCATCTTGGCCGTAGATGTGCCTGTCGCAGCGCTGTCTCCGACTGACACCATCTTGGTGATGTAGCCGGAGACGGCCTGTACGATGTCCATGTTGGCAGACGATGCTCTTGTCGATGTCACAGCCGCTGTGCAGGAGATTACTGTTTGGAGTGGGCGCTGTTATGGAGCCTCTGCGAACTGAAGGAGCTTTGTTGACGTCGTTGTTGGAGCTATGTCGCTGGGGAACGAGCCACATCGCTCACCGCGGGAGTTGACTAAGCCAAGCTACCATCCAGCACCTTCAAACGCAAACGACGCATAACCTGACAAAGCGAAATAAACGCGTCTTAGCGTGCCTGCATGTCAGATTTGGCGTTCTGGATGTCTGCACGCGTCCTATGAACTCTTTACAGTACCTTCCCCGCGCGGGGTATGTCCTTAGCTGTAGCCTGAAGCTTCAGCTCAACAGCGACGAACAGCGTTTTCTCGGACACTGTGCAGGTCTTCGTTGCCTGTTGATTTATAGCATGCATTTATTGATTGCAAACCTCTGGTCATCTGCAGCATTCGAGGTCGAACAGTTCGTTGTTGATGTGAAGCCACGGTGAATCGATACTACGCTTATGGTGACGTAGCCACCTTCTCTGCTCCAGAAATTGGGATAAAACAACTGCTTCCGACTTGCACAGAACCACCAGAAGACCAATTGACCAGATTTGACTGCCAGACGAGGCAAGAAAGTATCAATAAGCCGTACCAGGGAATCCTCGGCTACTTCACATCTGTACAGCATGACGAAGCTATTCATGTAAGTTACACACTCAGTAGTCCTACGTTTCAAACCAGCTAACATAATTGCAGCACCGGCGCTACTGGCTACATTGGAGGTGATGCTCTCTATGCCGTAGCAAACACCTACCCAGATATCGAGATCACGGCACTTGTCCGTAACAGTGACAAGGGTGCAAAGGTTGCCTCTCAGTATGCCAAGGTGAGGCTGGTTTATGGCAACCTGGACAGCTCTGAGCTCCTTACCACTGAAGCTTCCAAAGCCAACATTGTTCTTCACTGCGCCGATTGCGATCATGTCGGTGCTGCTACAGCGCTGGTTGCTGGCCTGTCGAAGAGCACCATCCCGGGGCCAAACTATCTCATCCACACCTCGGGTACTGGTCTGCTATCATGGGCCGACTTCGAGGAAAAGACCTATGGTTACCACCGTGAGCACACCTACAACGACTGGGACGGTATCAAGGAAGTCACCTCACTCCCCGATGTTGCACTACACCGCAACGTTGACAAGATTGTACTTGGAGCCAGCAAGGGGGCAGGCCAAGTCAACACCGCCGTTGTCTGCCCACCATGCATCTACGGACCTGGCCGCGGACCAGACAACCAGTTCAGCGTTCAGGTCTACAAGTACTCCGCAGCTACCCTTGAGCGCGGCAAAGGCTTCATCATCAACGAGGGAGCCAATACCTGGACCGAGTCCCATATCCACGATCTGAGCAACATATTCCTTGGGCTCGTCACCGCTGCCATGCAGCCTGATAGTGGCAAAGCCACCTGGAACGATGAGGGCTACTACTTCTCCGAGTCCGGCACCTTCGCATGGGGTGACATCGGCAAGGCTATTGCGAAGATCGCTCACGGGAAGAAGTTGATCGACACCGCTGAGGTTGACACCATCACCGCGGACGAAGCCGATAAGTTGATTCCCTGGGGAAGCTACCTATGGGGCACCAACTCGCGCTGCAAGGCCCAGCGTGCTAGTAAGGTGCTGGGCTGGAAGCCGCAGCAGAAGAGCATGGTGGATCTGCTGCCAGAGATCATTGACGGTGAGGCAAAGAAGGAGGGTCTGGTCAAGAGTCATGCTGTCAGGGCTGCTGGAGAGGTCTAGGAGGCCCTTGGTGGAGGAGGCTGTAGATGGAAGCGGACAATAAGTGGGCTTCCTCGATGACGAAGGATTTGGGCGAGAAATTGAGAACAGCGGTGACCAAGTTCAGTCGAAGCGCAAATTGTATTGTAGCACTCAGTCACATATACGTCTCACGTTCAGAAAAGAGCAGCTTGAATAAGTGACCTTGTAAAATAAATCGCTATTATATGCAACATGACGTCAACGACCTGGTATCTCGAAGTAAACACATACAATATTCCACCTCCATCTCATAGCTTCTGCGCGCAGCAATCGCCATCCTTCGTGACCAACACACTCGCCTGATTCTTCTGGCTCGGAAAGTCAATTGCCGGGTTCCTGTCAAAGAAGTCGCTGGGCTTGTAATGTATCTGGTAGATCTCGCATGGCATAACCGGCCAGTCCTCGACACGCGGGTTGTGCGTCAGCCCAAATACATTCCACACGACCAGATCTTGGTTAGTGACTTCGTCCTTGCGCGCCGCCATGTCGTGTACGCCGCCCTGCTCCAGTTGTGACTGAAGTGTAAAGCGACCTGCAGCGTACAATTCGTCGTCCTGATACTTGGTCACCCAGACGTGGTGATTTGTGAAGAGCGCACGCTGGGCTTGAATGGACCCAGGGGCTGCGAGGAGTTTCTGCGTCGGGAGGGGTGTGAATTTGTAACCGACGGGATTTCCGCTGTGAGGGTTCTTCTTTTCCTCGTTGATGATCTTGAAGACGCGGTGGTCGGTTGGGTTCGCGTCGAGGCCCGATGAGCGGTTGACGACCGTCTTGCGGATCTCGTAGAAGTTGCCGTTAGGGTTTGTTTCCTTGTCCCAGGGCGCCGGAAGCGATTCCTCGTAGGTCACAGTGTTGTTGTGGCCGTCGATCGCGGGGTCGAAACGTGCGGCGAAGATGTGCTGATGGTTCTGCGCGAGGACGCCGCCGGATACGACATTTCCGTAGAGAGAGGTCTTACCGGGGTCGATGTTGACGGTGGAGACGATCCCCGTGGCGCGGACCTCGAGGGTGATACCGCCGGCGGTGTCGAGCTTGTAGGCGAAAACATACTCGTAGTTGGCGAGCGTGATGATGAACTGGACGACTAATTCGCGCATGCGGGTGACAACGGCACGGCCAGTCCTCCAGTTGGTGTGCTTCCAACCAATGCCGTTGTCCTGCTCGTGCAGACAGACGACATTGGGATGAGCCTTGGGCTCGCCATCGTTTCCAACAATAACGGCGTCGAAGTACTTGATCACGCCGAGACAGTCACAGCCAAGGGACAAGTTGTTGGCGCAGTTTCCAGCGCCGCCGTCGCCAAAGTCGAAAGCCTGCTTGCGGTGAAATGGTGGACGAGCATCGGCGTAAGGGACGGACATCTCGCTGATGCTCATGCGGTACATGATGCTCCTTCCATCATAGCGGACATCGTGGAGAACAGCACCCTCACGAGGGTTGAAGGAAACGCGGAAGCTCCACTTCTGCCACTCGACGAGCGACTCATCTGTGACCTTAAAGGAAGGACCTTCGGGCTGTGTGATGTTGATGGGCTTGACGTCCGTGCGGACACCGCCGGTAACTAGCTCAGGAACATATTCGGCTTCCTGGCAATGCTCGAGAATGCGAGGAGAATGTGTCTTGCCGGTCAGGCTGTCTCCCTTTCCGCCAGTAGCTAGGCGGTCGAGGCGAACGATCTTTTTTGTGTGGGCGTCCATGACGGGAATAAGAGGCAGAGGGTAAGCGTAGAAGTTGGAGTCAGGGTTACCATTCCGGGTGTCCTGAGCAAAGCAAAGACCTTGGAAGTATCTACGGTTCTCTGCACCAAAGTCGAGACCACCATATGGCCTTAAGTCAATTAGTCAAATGTCTTAAAGTTTCATTCTGATTTCACGTACCATGGTTCGACAACAAGCTCGAAGCCCTCAGGGAGCTGAAACTCTGCAACGGCCTTTTGGAATTCCTCGCTCTGCTTGCAAGCGTCGACTAAATCGGCAAACTCCCACAATGTCAGACTTGCTTGGCCCTTCTCTTTCCCAATAACTTCGTGTCGTATGCGCTTCTTTTGCTCGACGTCGATGATGGACTCGTTGTACTCTGGGATGCGATCGTCCCCAATGATATCGTACATAACCTTGGCCAATCTGGGTGGCCTTTTCGAGGATGGCGATTGACCAGGTCGTCCTGTGTGCTCGGCTTCGAGGAAAGCCTTCATGGCCTCTTTCTCCGGCTCCTGAAGGAAGATCTCTCGGAAGTTGACAAGGACATCCTTGTGTATCGAGAGGATCGTGTCACGGGCGACACAAGTCTCCTCAGGACTCAGGTTCTTGAAGGGGTGAGGTGCCATTGCGGCTGTGGATATGGGTATCGTGAATGTGTAGATGCCTGGTGATCACCCAAGCTCTGCTGTGATCTTAATGTACAATGGCCTGCTTCAACAGAACAGAGGAGGTGGGTGTGGGTGAAGTCCTGATTAGAAGATGGGACAGACAAAGGGAAGGCCACAACATTATATACTAAGGAATATCTCTAGGGTCGCGCGACACGTGTTTCCGATTCCGCGGCTACCAGAAGCTATGAGGTCGATGTGGGGTCGATAACGGTAGGATGGCGGGCTTTGCAAGCGGCTCCAGGGCTGTGGCTAGACACAACTTTCAATGCGGAGTTTTACCGGGTGTACCTCCTCGATGTGGAAAGGTGCTGTTCGACCATGCATGGGTAATGTGCGATAGGTGTGTCGTATAGTTGGTCTGACCGATGGCAAGCAGATCGATTGGCAAAGCTTCAGACATACACGTCTGGAAATTGAAGGTCTTCTACTGCGACCGTGGGAGACGCGCTGTCGCGTGGACATTCCAGAAGCGGTAAGGTGCCACTGCCTTAATCTCACAACTATGACTGCAAGTGGCATCTAGCGATAACAATTCTGCCTGGACAACCTTCGACTACGTTATCACCAGAGAGATTTCTTTGTTCGATACAATGACTTCAAGAAGCGATAAGGCTTGATAGCTTCCTCGTTGCGGAACAATCTGTGGTGCGGAATTAGCGCCGCACTGCTTTGACCTCCTGTGGGTGAGTACGTTCTATAGATATATTGCTTCGAACAATATTCTAGAGTGATGAAAACGACAGTGGTGTCGTGACTGTTTGTGATCAATGAATAGATGAATACACATGCGCTCTGCCAAAGAGACGCGGCAAACACCGAAGCCGTTGTGAGGCTTCTCTTTGACAATTGCCTTGTGCTCGAAGATCACGCTAGCAATTGAACAAGCATTTACCCCAGATCTCGGGCTTGCATCGAAGCGAGGCGCCTCCGACTGATCCGCAATGCCACATGCAACGGAACCCGCGGCCGGACGCCATTACAACATGCACATCATGTCAACCTTCGTCCCCAAGGGCGTTAGAAGCACTAGATAACAACATTCGATTCCAAACAAGCTTACATTTTCTCACCATCAGACGAGTGTTGGAATACCGGTATCTGTTCGGGTCGCCGAAGTCGGAATGCTGTGGCTTGGTTCCGGATGGGTCGACTGAACCCCGCCCGCGGGCCCCGAGAAGGATTGTGGTACCTGCGGCTTCCCTTCAACACCTTGTCATGACACTGACAGATTCTTTACGATCGCTCAATTACTACAATATTTCTCCTCATACCTCACGCTACAGATAGAAAGAGAAATTTGGGCCCGCTATGATTGTCACCAAGTGGACAGCGAGGATCAGACCTTTCCTTGGTTCTTCCTTTGCCAAACGAGACCAACTTAAGTGGGCACAATATTCTGGCAGGTGCTCTAATCAAAGCGAAAGTGACATCACAGTGATCGCTTCTATGGCCTTATTGGAACCTGTTGCCCAGAAAACATCACTGGATGTCGCACGCTGTCCGAATAGTGCGATAAAGGAAAGACGAAGTGGCGCGGTCAACAGGTTTGTTGAAGTTTTTAGGACATGGTGCAACACGTTGCCTATCATGTCAGTGCGGAGCTCTTGGTGGTGATTGATGAAATCCCCCCGTGCACTCACTCTTACACCTCATCTTCAACCTCCTTCCTCATATTCCACACACTCAATTCCGCTTCATCAACTTCATCGCCCGCTCCACCGTCCCAGTCCCCATTCATTGGTACTGCCTGTCTCCCGTTCCTTCAGTTCGACCTCCCGAATCCTTGTCCTGGCCGCCATAAGTGCCTTCCCTAGCTTATTCAGCCCCCAGTTCTTCCTATACCTCGCCGCCACTTCCTCTTTATACCCAATCCCCCAAACTCTATACCTGCTACTAGCCTCAGCGAGTTCTCTCTCTTCAGTGCCCAGCAGGATATCCTTCATATTTCTATTCACCGGATTCGTGAACTTAAATCAGTTCCCCACCCGCTTGACTTGGCTCTTGATCATATTCCAGTCAGCATCGTTAAAGCCCCTGACTGCTGGGCCGATCTTCTTCTGCTCGCTGGGATCTTTGCTCTCAAGGATGCTCATACAAGACCTTGCGTCCTCAAAGTACAGCGCTTTGAAGAACATGTAGGACTACTTTGCGCAGTTGAACGTAATAGAGTCGCCCTGAGAGGCGACTATAGCCTGTGCTGCGGCCTTGTTGGCAATGCCGAGGATGATGCGTGTTGGGATTGTGATGCGCGAGTGCTTCCACTGGCAGAAGACATCGTACGGTTTGACGTTGAGGTGGTAGAAGAATATTGTGTCGGACGAGGTTGTGTGGGTGCTTTAGTTTGGAGCAAGCGGGCGTTCTTGCGTTTTGGCGGCATCTCGTGTGTTCGCGATGTTTGCTGCAGATGGTTGTAAGACTGTCTCAAAGTTCTCTCGTGAGACTTTGTTTTCTGTTAAGAGGAGTGTCGAGGTTGTGGCGCGTATGAAGTACCTCAGGTGCTCTGTGAGATGGGTCGAGCTGATGCGGACTGTGGAACTGAAATCATGGAATCAGATTTGGCGCGTACTTCAGGTGCTATGTGAAATAGGTCGAAGTGACGCGCACCATGGAACCGAAAGTGCGGAACCAGATTTCGAGTACCTCACAACTCTTCCACATTCTTCTCTCCCCCCTTGCCCAACGTGTTAATTATGGAACTGGCCGGCGGATGGCATCTTCATTGAAGTCTGTGAAGAACTTGTCTGAAAAGACTTTGCTATTACATTTGGTTTCCGAGCGATGCACGGCAGACTTGCGCAGTTATGTTAGTATGTTCAAAGACATGGTTGCACCAACTGCCTGCTTCGTTTGGTCAACAGTGGTGGGGACTTGTGATGGCAGGGCAGCAGTCGTGAGACGTGTGAGCTCCCCGCAGCGGCTCGCAAATGGCTGCCGTGAGGTAACGGCTGGATAGTTGTAGAATATCCAAAGCGTGACAAAAAGAGCCAGACGAACGAGAATGCTGAGACGGTGCAGCCGAGAAACGAAGCAAGGTAGCTGTAGTCGAGGTTTGTGGTGATATAACATCACACTCAGTATTACAACCGCAATGCTTTGCATACTCCAGTCCTACACTGCCCATCATTCCAATCAAGAGTTGAAAATCCTACTATAAAGCTTCTCATGCCTCCCCACCCAGAGATCCATAACAGGCACACTCTGCCCCGCGTCCTCAGTTCTCCTTCCCCACCCCTCATCCACCAGCCCGCGGATCCTGTCCTGCAGCTCCATACTTGCAAGCAGGCTCTGCGCCTGATACGGGCCCATGACACTCGCGCGCACCGCAGCACTCATGACCGTCCGTGCGTGGCTGAACAGGAACAGGTATGCGGCTTCGTGCAAAGGCACGGCTAGGATCAGGGATATTAGGCCCCACAAGGGTGCGTAGTGCGCGTTGGCGTGCGGCGAGGTGCGCAGCGTGGACGAGAAGCACGTCAGCGCTTCGATTGCAGCTCGCCGGTGATCGCCACCGTCAGCGAGCGAAGCGCTTTTGTACTGCGTTTTGAAGCTGCGGTCCCACACAGCGAGTAATGCGCGTCCTTGGGCTATGCTGGCGCGCCGCGCGACGGTACAGGGTGTGCTTGCGTCAAAGTCGTTGTCGAGGGTCTCGATGTCTGAGGGGTCGCGGTAGCCAGCGAGGACGTAGGGGAGCGCGGTGCTTGTGAGTGTTGCGAGGGAGAGGCGGAGGAAGGCGTTAAAGAGGGGCAGCTGGGATGCGGACGGTGGGGAGAGTTTGTGGTGGGCCAGGTACGACTCGAGACCGCTGCTGAAGGCGAAAGAGCCCAGTGGTAGTGCTGAGTCGGACAGCAGAAGCAGAGCATGCAAGGCCACTGTCTGATCAGTAAGGTGCCGTGTGGTGCGCCGCGATAACGGACCTGCGTCCTTGTCAGTCGTAGACGGTGTCGACACGGCCTGCTGTTGGTTCAATTGCGCCTTGGCATCACGAAGACGCCCCTCGAGGTCAGCTATTTCATCCTGGAGAGACTGCTGGCTTGCAGGTGGGGAAGTCATGAAGAGAAGTGAACAGGATGCGGCGCCAGATGAATTGCATCTGCTCGGCTTAGCATGCTCCTTATCGATAGAGCATCCCACCATCCCACTCCTTGTGTACCGAGCTAATGTACATCTCCAATAATCTCATGTCTGTCGCGGTCCAATACCTGTGCCTCAAGTCCAAAAGTTCCATCCCAAACGCCAGAGAGACTACCATGTCCCAGCCAAACCCCATCATGCATCCGCGGCATGGGGTATAGATGCAAAGAAAAGCGCCGAACCAAAAACCAACTGTGCGCTACGGAAGCTGAAGATGTAGAGACAGCTTTCACAGCATTTGTGTGCCGTGTCGATGGCTCACTCGTCCTTCTTGGGGATGTCGGCGAACATGGGCTGGCCCTTAGCCGCCTCGAAACTGCGGGTGCTTGTCTTCTGGAAGAGTGTTTGGGGCTTGGACCTGGGGACATGTAAGCACTGGATTTACATTCATGTGACGTGTAAACTCACTTCTTCATGATGTTCTTATTGCGGAAGTTGCTGAGCTTCTGTGTGGCCGGTGACTGGATCTCGTCCGAGGGAGAGACGTACTTCTGTGCCCTGCTTCTGTTAGCCTTGCGCATTGAGTATGTAACGTGCATTCTTACTGCTCGTCCTTCATGCGCGACTCAAGGACCTGACGGTGATACTCGAGCGACTTGGTGTCTTTGGCGTCGGACTGCGCGACAGGTTTGATCTGCGCGTTGGTGTCACGGCTGCTGAGGACGTTGGCAGACATTGTTGAGTGTGGTTGTGAATGTGCGTGGGTGCAAAGTGGATGTTGACTGTATCGAAGCGATGTTAGCGGTGTTGCAGTGGAAGTAATTGACGTGATGGGTTCTGAACGCGTCCCAATGCAGCCGTTAAGAATGTTCACGCTCTTAGTGTTTGGTGAAGCCTGTTGCTACGGGCAACAACGATCGGCGAGCTGCTAGCACGAGCGAACGAACCATGACGCACTACTTACAGTCTTATCCCCTGCCCTTCTCAGCCCTATTCCCTGTTCTCCACCGGTCGGAGGCATTCACCCGTTCCCTTCTTGTCGACATGCGTGACTCACATATTTTCCAGAATCTGGAACACTTCTGAACGTCCCTGCACATCGTGTTCCCTGAACGTATAATGCATTTTGATATACATGAGCTTGTCGTCGTGACGACAGCTTCTTCCCAATCTTGCTTGTTTATCACATACTTTGTGCGAATTGAGATACCTATGCCTCCTAATTGGTGTTCAAGTCTACAGCTGGGTTTACATCAAACATAGTGGTCGATGCGCTCGAATAGTCGGCCGAGTCACAGAAAACGTGTCGCACACTCGTTGGATCTCTGATGGATTAGTATTCTGGACCATGTCCTTCAGTCGTGTGAGACGGGTGTTGATGATTCAGAAAGCTCGAAGCCCAAGGATATCGTTGCCGAACGCCTGCAATGCAACGCCGGTGGTGACAGAAGTGTCATTACATACATTATCTAAAACCTGATCTCGTAGTTGCCCGCCCGTGTCATGTATCTTACCCACTTGACACTGCTGTAGTTGCTCTTCTCGAACACCTTGAGATACCTGACCAGCAACCCAGAGCTCGTAAACATAAGCAGTGAGAAGCTCAAGTTCAGCGGGGGTCTCGACCACGCCTTCTGGTTCGTCATGCTCGTCAGGCTCGCTTCAGCACTTAGCACAAATTCGCTCTGTCCCGTAAACCTAGGGATCTTCCAGACAATGTTGTTGTGCTCCGGCTCATACTTCGCCTTACCCTGTGACGTGCGCTCGGTAATGCGCGCAGTATTCAGCGGTGTTGGTATCCGTACGACAACGTTTGTAGCGAAGAGTTTCGAGCCGTAGTTTGCGCGGATGGCAATGCTGTACTCGACTTTGGTCTTGCCGACTTCGTTGACGATGGCGTGGACTTTGAAGGGTAGATTGACATTTTCGGTTGCGCGGTACCGCATGAGTTCGAACTCGCCGTCCGGAGGGATGAAGGATATTATCCTGTCTGCGTCGAATTTGCCGAGCTTGACGCACTGGTGGAACTGACAGTCTTCTAGTGTGACGCTGCCGGCAGCTGCTCGTGTGGCTTTGGCGCCGGCTTTGTTGCCCGAGGGCTGCTGGAGGTTGTCCTCGCCGAGTGTGAGGCGATCGTTGAGGCCGAACTTGCATTCTGGTGTGCCTGAGAGGTATGCGCGCATGATGATCTGTCCGTTGACATCCGCTCGCAACACTGTGCCGGTCGCTGACATGAGGAGGTTCACATCCTCGATGACGTCGACGAAAGCTTCGTTCTTGCGGTACTTGATGTCTGCCCGCCGCCATGACAGGGCGCCAGTGGCCTGCATTGTGATCTTGGACGAGTCCTCCATGGCCCGTTCTGACTTGACGCCCTCCGTTGTGATGTACATCTTCAACGTATCTGTCTCAGTATTCTGTGGGTAACCAAAATCCAAGATTTCATCCAACAGCTCGTACACTAGCACGAAGTTGTTCTTCACGGCCTCTTCGTCGAACTTCCCGAAGTATGCCTTCCCCAGACCAACCAGGCGGTACAGAAACTCGAAGACAAGGGCAGCATTGGCGTTGCTCTTAGTCACAGCGACCAGGTAGATGTTCTCGTGCTTCACATGGCTGAATGTCGTCGAGCCAAGTGTAAGGATGGGCGAGCGAACTTGTGCGTTGGAGATTACTTGGATACGGAATACGTCGGCGAGGCGCGGGCGGCAGTCGTTACGGAAGGCGCGAAAGATGAGGTTCTCGCCCTTTTGGTTGAATATGAGGATACCGGAGAGCATTGCGACGGCGATCAACGGACAGGCAGCGGTGACGAGCTGTTGGCGGCGTGCTTCTGTCCTCGTGCATGTCGAAGCTCTCCCTGCGAGGGGACGGATGAAGCCCCACACGCTAATCATGGCGCAGGGGTCCCATGTGGAGCCGCACACATGTCCATCTTCACACATCATCCTGAACGTTGCACCAATGTGTGCCTCTTCAGAATCGGATACATGCGCAGTTGCTACGATAGTCGAAGCCGTCGATCGTGTGCCTGAGTATCGCTGAGTCTGCTCGCCCCTATGAACAATAGCTCTCTTTCCCCCTCTCATTCGCGTTTGACCCTATCAAACACACTCAGCTTTTCCTCGACACTCATGTCATCTTCGAGGTCACACATCTGCCGTGCAATCTCCACCTTCTCCTGACAAATCTCCATCCACTTCTCTTCGCGCTGTGCTCGGTCCATTTCCTCGGCAGCGTCTTCAGTCTGTTCATCTATGACTTCACCGTCTCCGGTCGATGTGTGCTCCCCCACTTCTTGTGTCCAGGACGTATTTGCAACATCACTCGCATCATCGCCATCGTCTGCAGGTCCATCGAGCACGTCTGAACCTTTGATTCCGACCTTTCGTCTGCAGAGATACATTCAACAGCAGTTACCATAGTACGCTTAACACGCGCCCCTCTATAGACATGTGTATCGTCCTTACCAACTAGGACTTTCACGGAATTTAGCATACTTAGCATAATACTAGTCTCGTCCATGTTATATGTGTTCTCCAGCAGTATATCTGGAGGTTGTAATTCCTTTTTAATCACTTCAAACCAATACTTAACCTTGTTATAGATGTTGTGCTAGTTCTAATCCCGTGGCTGGTTCTTCTTCGCTACAAGCTCTAGACGATGTTTCTCAAATGCCTTAGCCTAGTTTGGGCCAGGAGGCTTGAGTGGCCTGTCCGCCAGCGGTTAATTGCGAGTGGCACTAAATGCTATTGCAACTACGTGCTTCATTTGCATAGGCGTTCTAAAAGCCTTCTGTTGTAACAAGAACTCTACAACTGCGTTTACTTCGTACTAGGTGAGATACTGCTATTTATTAGCTTTAGCTTCTTTTAATTCTCGTTCAAGTTTACAATAACTGAGGGTGGAGAGTGCCACATTGAAGTGCGCTGCTTAAGCTGCGAGGGTGTCAGGGATGCTATCTAGAAGTGCTTTAGTTAGTGCTTGACTGGCTAGATCCATGGTGGTTAGTTCACTGTAATTCTTGTTGTAGGAGGAGAACAGAACGCAGCTCAGCGTGTGCCAGCGAGGCTGTGCAGTGCGGTGCAGACAAAGCAACTCAACACATTGCTATTTACAGACTAGACAAACCAGCCAAACCAGACAAACTAAGCAAACATATTCCACGCGCCACAAGGCACGTGTGATAGCTAGGATTTAATACAGTAAGATATTTAACCGCTAATGCACATCTAAGCAAGCTAGGAGGCCGCGCTAGGTCGAAAAACTCGTGAACCCCTCTTTCCAGTCAGCGAAACTCCCAGAAGACACAACCCTGACAGCTGAGTGACTTCAACTCTTGAATGCTGATTCTCTTGTGATAGTACTAGTATATCATAGCCCCAAATTTGAGAGGCTCGTTAACAGTCATCGTTGAACAGGGGTAATAACGTTAGAGCGACTCCAGAGGCCATAACGAAATGATCGACAACGCCATCAACGAGATGGTATTTTTCTGTTCACACACCGGCAACAGGTGCGGAAATGGTAGAATATTGCTAGTACACTAGCTACAACTTTATTTACTTGCGTAGGAGAGTCTCCAGACGATTAATTAGTGTTGCCATCTCGTTACGGAGTGGTTCTCGTCACGTAGTGGGGGATATTAATCACTTCATGCGCTCCTCGTTTGCACGCTCAGCCCACTCCACCCACCGCTTGATCACTTCATCCACCTTCTTCACACCATCCTTAGTCGCATCTACCTCGAACCATTCTTGATGCTGTTTACCACAAGCATCGCACTTCTTCATCACCCGCTGCTCCACAAGCTCAAGATGGATCATGCGCTCCACACGCATGACCGTAGGCACTTTGCGCACAATGCCCGCATCAGACGCGCCCCGGTTGCCCTTCACATTATGCGCAGAGGTGCGACGAGAGTTTGTTGGCGAGGCTTGCGGCGAAGGCGTGGGCGTTGATGATGAGATGTAAGGGTAAAAGCGCACCAGGGAAAGCGAGTAGCCACATTGGCGTGTCCATTCGTTCATACGACGGTGGACATTGTTGGCGCGTCCGATCTTCAAAAGGATGGTATCCTTCTCAACGACACCGCTTGCTTCATCATTGCTAGATCGTTGGCGTGTAGAGCCTGACCGCGGCCGCGAACCGTGCTTGACCGAGTACTGGCGTAGCACGTCGGAGGTGCGTCGTGCCTGGCCGGGCTGTGACGGAGGAGTGAGGATTGTGGATGCTGCGGATGAGGGTGCTGGTCCGGAAGCTTCCGGTGTCAGCCAAAATATGTATATGTAGCCTTCGTCGTCGTGTTGCGAAATCGGTTTGGACAGCTCAGCAAGCAGGGTCGCAGCCAGCTGCGGCGACACGTTCTGGGGAATGTATCTTAGCATACCCCCTTTCTCCGATGCACCTTCGACGGTACTGCTGATCAGCTTGCGACCTGGTGCCTGAGTTCTCGATACAGGTCGTGGGGCTGAGGCTGCACTTGGCCGACTGCCATGTGTCTGCTGTGGGCGAGGGGGCATTTGTGGCATCTGCTGCATAGGTGTGTCGGCCGCATACTCGGGACGGTGGCTTGTCCGCTTCTTGTGCCTTATGACTTCAATCTCATCGTCGTCTGCAGCACCACAGCACAGAGACTGCCAGAAGCCTGACTTCTTTGTCTGCGGTGGAGGTTTCGAGGGCCGGCTGTTTCTGCGCTGCTTTTGCGCTGCCATAACGTCGCTTGGTACTGAGATCAAAGGCCCCTCGACGCGATCCCAGGTCGCCGGTCGATTGATCCGCCGTGGTGGCCGATTGCCCGACGATCCAGTCTCTTTCTTGCTGCTGTCCCGCCTCTTGCGATGTGGTTCCTGCACGGCATCATCTACTTCCAAAACCCCGAGTCGCTGTACCAGGGTATCTATACTGCTCCGTTCTTTCAGTGGATAGAGTTGTGTATCCGGGCCGTCACTCTTTGTGGCTGCCAACTGCTCGGCCTGGTCTTTGTGCTGCCAACAGAAGTATGCCGCAGCCCCAATATCTTCGCTGTCACTATCGCCCGCGACTGACACAACGGCAAGAACGCCGTCGTCTTCGCTCACTTTTGCATCAATTGGTCGTCTACATGGTCGGCCAGACTTGGTGATGCCTTTGCATGTCGTCGCTGGATTTCGACTGTCTGACCGTAGTATCAGAGATTCGGGTGTTCGGCCTATGAATGTCATATCCAAGTGAGTGGATGTAGTTGATTTTATTGAGATGTGAGGGCCAAGCGAAGGAAGCTAGAGGTATGCGTTGTTAATCGAAGCGCCTTTCACCGCTCAAGGAATTGCCTTCTCACAACCCCGTTCTGCAAACAGGAAGGAATATGGTCCAGGCACGCGCAGGAAATGAGTGTCATCATGCTGCACGGACAGTGGGAACACTGTTGGCGAACGTTGCGTCAACCGGGCGCGTGCATTGGGCAGATGGCAGGGGTCGAAAGTCGCGAGGCAGGCGCGTGGCGCGCGTGGCGGTGCACATGGCGGTGCCGGGCGCAAGCCTTTGTGGAGCGGCAATCAAATACTTAATGAAGACCATCACCAACACGGAATGAACGCGATTCGAAACCCTACAGCAACTCTTGCTTACATACACGAATTATCCATTGTCTCGAAGGAACAAAAGAGGTTGCCATACCCGGCCACACGATGTCTGACCTGAGGTCCACTTTGGGATCGTTCGGCGTTCAATATCTCCATGTTTTGGCCCCCAAACTGCTCCTGAGCTTGTCAGCTGCGCCTGACCTATCATCTGCAGCATCACATAACAAGGCCTCCGCCTGCCTCCAGTCATTTCTTGGCGATTGAAATGTTTCAAGAGTCGGAGGCGATATTCATGTGTTCCTTTCCAGCCCGTGAATCTTTGTGCCACGCGCGATGGCTCCTGCTTACAGCAACCTTCTGAACCCACCCGACCAGCAATATCACGCACTACACACTCTTACACCAGCATACTACGATAGACATACGATGCTGCCCGGGTCGATTCATGAGGCGCGAGATGCGGGTTACGATGCCACCTCGTATCCCGGGCACGATATAACAAACTATCGCGACAGCCACAGTGCTCCATGTCTGATCGAACCGACAACAGCCGCGCGAAATCCATCTGAATCGTCAATCGGCAAGCTGTATCCAACTGAGGTTTTCACGGACCCGACCAATAAGCGTCCTCGTTTCAGCGTTTGGGACTGGGTATGGGAGTTTGGAGCTTCTATCTTCAGCCTGGGCTCCCTCGCGGCGGTCGTAGCCGTACTCGCAGCGAACGAACACAAGTCACTAGCAAATTGGACCTTCGTCTTTGGAATTAGCCTCAACACTTTGATAGCTATCCTCTCCACGTTGTCAAGAACAGCACTCATGGTTCCAGTAGCTTCCTGCATAAGTCAGCTCAAGTGGATACACCTGATCAGTGCCTCGAGACCTCTTTGCGAAGTCCAGGTTTTTGAAGATGCCAGCCGCGGCCCTTGGGGCTCCTTTGGGCTTCTTTGGAAACTTCATGTCAGGGCGAAGCTCGCCACCTGGGGCTGTGTCATCACGATCTTGACTCTAGCAATGGGACCTTTCGCCCAGCAGTTGATTTCGTACCCTTTGAGAAATGTCGTCTCCGGCAGAGCAACGTTTTACACCAGCCATGTGTACGACTCTGCATATGGCCAGCCCCGTGGCACCAGAGGAGCAACAGGTACAATCAGTAAGCATGGATGAGTCCACGTCTCAATACCCACACTAAGATAAGGATAGCTTCGACCATGGGCCCCAAGATGCAGGGCGCTATGCTGAATGGTCTTTTCAACTTGAGCTCGCCAATGCAGTATACTTGTAGCACTGGCAATTGTCAGTGGGACGATTTCTCTACCCTAGCAGTGGCAAGCTCTTGTCAGAATGTCACATCTACCAGCAAGATCGTGTGCCGCGCCGAGGCGGGGGCACGTTATTGCAACTATACTACCCCTTCAGGCCTTTTCATCAGGGCTAGCAGCTGGCAAAGCTCTGGTGGTGGAGGAGCGACCCGGTTCAACTCCACTGCCATTACCCCAGATGTCGGCGGCTCTAGCTGGTCAGGTGATCGGGATGGGCCCATAAATAGTACCCTTGCAACTATCGCAATGGCTGCATTGTCCAATGGCTTCAACCTTACGATGCCTGATCTGATGGAGTGCAGCATGCGCTTGTGTGCTCGAGTTACGCGCAACCTGACTGTGAGCAACGGGACTTTTATACCAGGTGTTTCTGAAGACTTTGAGCTTGAGGGTGTCCCGGGTAGGTACGAAATCGACATGCGGCCCGGGATCAGTAGCCCTAGAGACTGGTTCACCTTCAATACGACTGGAGATCACCCGTCATATCCTGGGAATCGATCCTTCAGCTACAATGCGATCGATCTCGATGGTGTGAAAGGATTCCTTCGCACCATCTTTTCTCCAGATGTTGGAACCCCTTACTATCTATCTCTCATGGACTCCCCAGATCGCGCAGGAACTGTGGCCTTGATCAGCGAAAGTATGAGTTACGCCTTCGCCCATGCCCCAAGTGGAGACGAGCTGGAAGGTAGAATGCTTAGTGACGAACTGTACATCGAGGTTCATTGGATTTGGATCATTCTCCCTCTACTAGAGGTAGTCATGAGTCTCACATTCCTAGTGTGTACTTTGATACACACTCAACGCAAGGGTGTCACAGTTTGGAAGTCGTCCGGGATCGTTCCATTGCTGACCGTAATGGTCGGCTGGGACAACAGCGAGCTCGGAGCTGCTTCCGGAAGAGATGTCGAGAAGAGGTCGAAGAAAATGCGCGGACGGCTGGTCGCGAATGATGGAAACGTGCAGGGCTTTCATAGAACGGAGTAGCGATGGGGCGGCTTTGAGATGATAATAAGGTACGAACGAATCCGTCGTATCGGAAATGCCTCCCTTCGCGTCTAGTGATGTACACGTGGAAGGAAAGCATTTTGTGATATGCAGGTGAGTACGAATATGTGAGAGAGCTCTTCCTTTGGAGATACAATTTTTCCGATAGGTCCAGCTTTGCTCCGATGTATGGAATCATACTTGATAGGCCCTACGTCGACACTAATCGCGGGGTAAGGCACCCAGTCACCTCTTCCCTGAAGCTCAGTTGCAGTTAAGCCCCAACCGCATGAGAACTGTCCGACTATTGCGCTATGGGATCTCTATTCGGAGTGCCAGCTATAATAGCACCAGCTGCTGCCTTTCTCCTCTGGATCTTCTGGAAGGTTTTCCTGAAACCCAGTATTCTTCCAGATCTGCCAATTGTTGGTCTCGACCGATCGCAATGGTTCGCGTGGCCCAGAACGCTTTACAAGTCTTTTCACGGCTTTCGCGAACTGTATGGCGAAGCCTACGAGAAGGTATGTCTGTTTGCGTCCTTTTCACCTGTGAACATGAACTACAAACATGATATGGCGTGCTGTCTGATGGTCTGGGCTGTGCGCTAATAGAACTCGTAGTATCTGTCCCAAGGGAAACCTTGTATTCTGCCGGAGCTAAACGACACGCAAGTCGTTCTCCCTAGTTCGCTGGGCCAATGGCTCGTAGACCAGCCAGATGCCGTGTTGAGTTCGCAGATGCGCCAAAATGAACTCCTTCAGAGCAAGCACACCTTCCCTATTCCAAAAATGGCGGAAAAACCTCACCACGCCCATGTCATTAAAACAGATCTCACGCGAAAGTTGGGCTCACTGTCAGAAGAGATCTGGACAGAATTGAAGACAGCTCTAGATGAGCACTGGGGTACAAACAGTGAGGAGTGGCGGGAAGTCAACGTTTTCCAGACCATAATGCGCGTTGTGACCAGGACTTCGAATCGACTTTTCGTCGGAGAGCATCTATGTGAGTCCTAGTATCATACCATGTACGATGACGTTTCTCACAATTCGCCAGGTGCCAACGAAGCCTATCTGGATCTGTGCATGGCTTTTGCACAGGATGTTCCAATAGGCGGTATACTGATTCGTCTGATGCCCAGTATACTCCATCCGCTTCTAGCTCCCATCATAACGCTGCCGAACCGCTATCACAATTACAAGATACGGCAAATGCTCCGTCCCGAGATCTTGCGAAGGCTGCAGATTGCGGAGCGTAGCACTGATGATGCTCCTAACGACTTCCTCCAGTGGTATATCACGTATGCGAGAAAGTCGCTAGAGCCAGAAGAGAGCACCCCGAAGTTTCTATCTGACCGCATTGCTACTATCAACTTCGCAGCGATCCACACTTCCACCTTTACTGCGGTAAACACCATATACGATATCGTCAGCTCCCCTGGCATGAACATGATTCTGTCTGAGATCAAAACTGAGGTTCAATCTGTCATGCCACCGGGTGACGAGAGGTGGAGCAAATCCAGCGTTCAAAGTATGATCAAGACGGATGCTGTCTTACGCGAATCGATGCGCTACTCGTCCTTTATGACCGGTGCCCTGCAACGCACAGTGGTTGCCACGGAAGGCATCACCACGCCTGATGGGTTGCACATCAAACGAGGGAATGTCATCGGAGTCCCAGCTCTACCTGTCCATCGTGACCCAAACACATACCACAACCCAAACTCCTTCGACCCTCTTCGTTTTCTTCGGCGCACAGGAAAAGACAGCCAGCAGCAAAACAACAAGGAGAGCACAGTCCGGAGCACAAATACAGTCGACACTTCCCTTATTTTCCTGCCATTTGGACACGGAAGGCATGGTTGTCCAGGACGCTTCTTTGCCGCCAATGAGATCAAACTCCTTCTGGCTTACATAGCTATGAACTACGACATTGAACCGTTGAGAATCCGCCCTGAGCCGATCGCGTTTGGAAGCATAATGACACCGAGCCCAAACATTTCGATAAAGATAAGAAGGAAGAAGGAATAAATCGGTGGAAATATAGATGGCGTCAAACTCTCTTTCCGTAGAACCTTTTCTAGTGTCGTACGAGCTGTAGTTTGGTAGTTTAGGGTTAGCTGTAGTCCGCCTACATGTGCTGTTGGGTGGCAGACTCATTCTAGAGAAATTAGTTGAGCTCATCGTGTGTAGTGTGGAATTTCATTGCAGCTTCTGCTGAAGCGGACAAGCTTCGACTCGACCTAGAGCAAATTGCTTAGTTGAGTCCGTTCTTGATGTATCATCGAAACTCAAAACCCCAAAGCGGTGAGAAAGGTAGATGAATTAGGGACGACAATGTGTGAACGGCTGCGCTCGAGTGGGACTGTCGAATGGAGACAATTGGGTGCAAGTGTGATGATTGGAAGGCTCAGCAACGCTTTGCGACGTGGCCAGCTACAAACTCTTCTCCAGGCATCATTGCAGTTCTCATGTACGGTAGTCTCCATTGATGGTGACATACTCATGCGAGAAATCGCACGTCCAGAACACCGCCTCCTCGCTGTACTTGCCCTCACTCAATTGCACCTTAATCTCCAGATCCTCGGCCTCCAGTATCTTCGCCGCCCTCTCCTCATCGACCTGCTCCGGCTCACCCCTCACCAACAGCTTCAGCTCCTCACTACCATCGCTAGGAATGAAGCTAACGCTCGTCTCCTCCGGAATCACACCGTCGACATTCTCAGCATACCCAGTCGCGCACAGAATGCGGCCCCAGTTTGCATCCTTACCGTACAATGCGGTTTTGACGAGTGGCGAGCGAGCAATGGTCGAGGCGACGCGGTGCGCGTCCTTGTAGGTTGCGGCGTTGGTGACGCGGATAGTGACGAACTTCGTTGCGCCCTCGCCGTCACGGACAACGAGCTTAGCAAGATCGATAGCGAAGTCGGTGAGCGTTGCCTGGAAGGCTTCGAAGTCGGGCGATGAAGTGCTGTCGATGGGCTTACCGCCAGCTGCGCCGTTGGCGAGGATAGCGACGGTGTCGTTGGTCGATGTGTCGCCGTCGATGGAGATGCTATTGAAAGACTTGGTGATGGCGGATGTAAGTGCCTTTTGAAGGGGGCCGGCGGAGATGGGCGCGTCGGTGCAGATTACACCTAGCAAGGTGGCCATGTTGGGGTGGATCATGCCTGCGCCCTTGGTCATGCCGGCGATGTGGTACTCCTCCTGACTGCTTGGTAGTGCGAAAGATCTCGAGACGAGCTTGGGGAACGTGTCGGTGGTGCAGATAGCTTTGGCAGTGCCCAGCCAGTGCTCGTGTGTGTCTCCGAGGTTGTAGTATGCGGAGGGGATCTTCGAGACAATCTTCTGAATGGGCAGTCGCTGACCGATAACACCAGTGCTCATGACTATGCTTCGACTTTGGCCATCATGCTCGCCGTTGTTGTCCCTGATGAAGGCCTGATCGGTCTCCCTGCCCATCAACGTCGCGTCCTCGATGCCACCTTTTCCGGTGACAGCATTGGCACACCCGCTGTTGATGATGACCGATCTAATGCCTTCACCATTCCTACTTTTCAGCAAGTCTCGGCTGACTGTGACAGGTGCGGCCTGGAACTTGTTGGTCGTGAACACTGCAGCACCGGCGCATGGTGAATCAGACGCAATGAGTGCGAGGTCGTCGAAGCGCGTGTTTGAAGCTTTCACGCCAACATGTGCACTTCCAGCCTTGAAACCGAGAGGATACGTGCCGTTCGTGGGTATGTACTTCTTCTTAGCAGCGGGAATCGAGCCATCGCCAGGTGCTGCGTAGCCTCGTGTTTGCGACGCAAAGATGCGGTTCGTGCGGGCGAGGAAGCGAGAGTTTGGGCGTGCGAGAGACATAATGAGGCCGCGACCAACGAGCTTGAGTACTCAGGGGTATATAACTGGGCTAGTGTGAGTACAATCGCTGAAGTCGAGACAAAAGCGGGCAGTCGCAAATGACGCAGAGCAGCGATAGCTCGAACAGCCCTCAGAGCTTCCTCCTCTGACTCAACAATGATTACGGCTAGATTGACATACCTCCAAGCCGTTGTGCGTGCACAGATCTCCAATTGACCTAACGCGCCCTGCAATGCCTCCAAACACCAACAATGACTGTCCGTTGTCCTTCTCAAAATTCCCGCGTGGAAAGGTGCAACTCTCCACGTCCGCTATCGGGCCTCAGGCACCAAGCCAATCGCGTCCTAGCCCCATCATTAGACCTCCGCGACCCACACCAGCAACAGCGCGCCCAACGTCGAGCCAACGAGATAGCAAAGCAGAATCAGGTACCACATCGTGGGGATCAGCTCTGATCGCGAGACATATGGCGATGCGATAAACAAGAGTGTTGCGGTAGGTAAGCCCGCGGGTATCGAGAGCCGCAGCCCGGCAGCAAGGTTGGTGAGGAAGATGCATAGCGTGCTCGATGGAATGGCGTACGGTAGGCTGTGGATTTCGTGAAGGATGAGGCACTGTGATGCTGCGAGGATCAGGATCAAAGCGAGTGCACAGGATTCAATGAGCTCGCGTTGATGTGATGTGAAGCTCCTGCGCGGCGGCATAGGCTGTGGAGCCAGTTCTACGAGCGGCAGCAGCGTCTTCTGCTCGGTGAAGTAGATGTCCATCGCGGGTCGAGTTATTGGTATGTCCGGTGGGTGTGAACGTGAGGAGGGTGAGTAGAAGCCTATAGACTCAGACAATCTTCGCAGTATTGAGTGGCTCGACCGCTCCCGGCTGTCTCATCGCAGCTGCAACGTTGCCAAATGTGAAGCTCCTGTCACCATGCGGTTACGTCAAGGCAGCCTCCAGCATCGGCCAACCCTGTCAAGCGCTCTTATGACAAGACAAGAACAACACAGCAACCGGACTCTCGAGCAAAGGCACTGGAGTCAAGCCTCAACTCGGTAACCCGAGAATAGCTCAAAACGGCAGTACCGGTACACTAACCTCACGCATCAGATCGAAGTCCGCAAACTCGGACTCGTCAAACACCACACGATGCGTACTTCTTCGGACTCTGTCACAGCCATTGCTGGCTGTCTGGACCCAATTTTTCAATTCCCCAAGACAATATCGCCATGTGGGGCGAAGGAAGAGAGCCTGACTACACTACCACCCACAAGATAATTTCCACTTGTCAGTAGGCATGAAGTCGACCTCGAAGAAGCAACTAAATCTCGTGAGGACGCGTAAATCATCCCGTTTCCTCGATTCTGTGTTTCTTTCTTCGAGGCTGAAACGCCGCCATGCACGTCATTGTGCCTTCTTTGAGGCTCTGCCAGCCGCCTCGAGCCACCATTTTCCCGTGCGAATGGCGAGCGCACTACAAAGACATGTGTCGTTGTTTCATGGCGAACATGGCTTACAGAGGAAGTCCGCAAGGGGCCCAAAATACTGGGCGCCTGACAAAGCAACGACGGACTCGATGGCAGGGTCCAGCTGTGTTCATATTTTGTTTGTCCGTCAGTCGATCCTGAGGAGCGGAACCGTAGTCATAATGAAAGGTGCCCTTTAGCCAACGTCACAGAAACGCCTTTGTATCTTCTAAGACATCTGCATCGCGCATCAAAGCCGATCATTGTTGTGCTTATCTCGAAATCGCATCTTTGTCGAGACTGTTCCAGAAGCTTATTCCATCCAACGTCTATTTCCATTTTACTGCAAGGGGTGGCTCGTCAATCGTTGGTGGCGCACCCATTTGACAGGTGACGCGCAGCCGCGAACCACGATGCGCTCAATCGAGCATGTAGTACATATCGAAGGACGATCCGCATCGCACACGGCAAGAGTTGTTGCGCGTGGCCAACAGCCGCATGAGCCAGCTTCTTCGTCATCCTCTCCCTTGCCGACGATACGCATACAACAAGCGACTGTTTCCCAGGCACAGCGATTCACGATCGCGTCTGACACAGTGATGATAACCAGTCCTACGATGTCAGCGACAATAACCGAGACCGCCGTGCCTGCGCAGAAAAAAGATGGCCTCTCGACCGCATCGATAGCTGGACTCGCCATGATTCCGGTAGTGGTCTTGCTCATTGTCGTAGCCGCATCCACGTATTTCTGGCTACGCAAGCGACGCAGACAGGACCCTGAGATTCGCTGTGCGGGACCAACACGCCCAGCCATACCAGAAAAGGACTTCCGCTTGCCAAACAGCTCGTTCGACTCGACAGCCAGCGGTGGAAAGTTGCGCAGTATGACTGCAATGAGCACACCGGTTACAAATAACGGATGGGTTGCGTCGCCGCGGCCTCGGGCTCGGCCCTCGTATGATTCCACTGTCCATCGCAACCCTTGGCACGACCAACTCCCTAAGATCTCTGCCGATATTACGACGGCCAGTCTTCAGGCCCCAAGGAGGGACGCGGATGAAGGGAACGATAGTCCGATCGACCGCAGCAGCCCGTTCAGATTGAAGAGAGGCGATACGAGGAAGAAGAGCAGTCTGGACGCGGACGTTATGAGCGCGTGGCCTGCGCCGCCGCAGCCAGTTGCACAGCGAGCACCGTTGCAGACTTCCCGTGTTGGGAAGACCTATATGGAGCGAAGATCCATCAGCGCGGAGTATTTTGCGCAGGAAAAAGACCATCATAGCGCGCGAGGAGCGCAAGATCACTGGGAGAACATCAGGCTCGAGTTGGCTCCCGATCCAGGACCGGTAGTCAGATCGCATTGAGAGATGTTCCGCGACTGTGCACCAAGATAGATGATAGATTTACACGGGAGCTTGGGGCATTGTGAAGGTATGATCAGCGCGGCGTTGGCACATTTCGGTATACCACTGGGAGGCTGGTTATTAAATGGATAGACTCTTCCACTTCTTGTATTCGTCTGTAGATATGTTAACGAATGAATGTACACTAATGACTGGTCCGACACACCCTCTGAAGACGCTTGTGGTATGCTCTCGTTTCGTCTTGGCCGTTGAGGCCAAGATGTTCGTTCTGTCGTCCTGACAAGATCGTCATTGGACGTGGGTCACCCGAGAACGATTGCAATGCGCGAAAGGCACAAGACTCGCGCTTGGTCTCATTGGCATTCGTCCGTGTGGCAGCCAATGCAGTCGTGTCTGCGTGGTGTCTCGCTTCATCCTCCTCAATCGCTCGAAGCACATCCTCTGCAGCCGCAGTTGACGCACTGGACGTCCTGGTTCTCCTTCATCTGCTCTTTGGGCACGCGACAGATGCACGTCGACCTGAAGTTAGTCTCCTTCGTCTGAATGCACCTCGTGCAACACAGCTTCTCGTAGCCCTGCTTTTTCCACTTGGCGATCAACATGGCGTCTGCGTATCCGTTCTTGAGCAGCCAGTCGTACAGTTGCTTGCTGATGGCTTCCTTCTCGTAGTACAGGTCGTAGATGTATCGTGAGCGCTGGTGGGTGATCTGGAAGACGGGCCACGTCATCTCGTACTTCTTCTTGCCCTCGTGCGATGCGTTCTCAGCGTCCTTCATTTTGTTCTGGAACTCGAGGAGCGTGTCTTCCAGGTCCTCGAAGCCTTCTGGTGGGGCCTTCTTCGAGGCGCGCGCTGTGCGAACGGGAGGCATGATGGCAGCAGTGAGCAATGTGAGTATATGCTGGTCTTGTGCGATATCCCAGTGCTTCGATGCGGTGTGCTTTGCGAGTTGTTGCGGTTTCTGGGTTCGATGTTTCTGCAAGGCATGCGCTCATCCACAACTTTCAGAAGGCGCCGCCTGCAAAAACCGCGCTAACCACGCCAAGCAACCTCTCCACCGAGCCGCATCGTCACTCCATAGCAAGCTTGGAAGACATTCGAGCTCCGCAGCACCGCCAACATGGTCATCAACCCTACCTACCTTGCTCAGCGCACGCGCTCATGTACGGACTTCGCCTGATACAACCATTGGAGGCTATAGAGCGCTAATGCGGACACAGCGGTCAACTGGACTGATGCGAAGAAGAGGGTCATTCACAGCTACCGGGACTGGCTGCGATCGGTACGTCTGCTACGCGCGAGGCGTCTGTAATCTGGAGGGAATCTGTAGCTTTTGGGGCCACATGTGCTGCACAAGAGCGGGAAGTTGGCCTGTCAACAGTGGGCCTACGGAAACACGAGGAAGCGACCGACATCGACACTGCAGAGGCTGACGAGACCTGACAGGCTCCCGAGATCCAGACCATGTACTCGCTCAATCTCCCGGTCTCTACGCTCCGGACGAAGATTCGCCAAGAGTTCGAACGGCACCGATATGTGAACCAAATGAAAACGGTCGACGTTCTGCTGTTCAACAGCCACCAGGAGTTCCAGGAAACACTTAACTACTGGAAGCAGCTGTCACATATCCTCAAGTACTTCCGCGCAGAGGAGGATCCCAAGGCGAGATTGCCAGCGAACTTCATCAATGGGTTCTTAGAGGTGAGATCACAAGCACATACCGAGGCTTCTGCCCTGTGCTGCACACGGTACTGATCACAGAGTGCAGGGACGTAACTGATCGAGAATCACGGCCTGGAATCAGAAGAGAGCAAGACAAAGAAAGCGTGTATATAGCTTTGTCACAATACCATTTCCTTTCTCGTGCGCCGATTCTTAGATGCTACCCATGAACGCCTGCAATGCAATGACATTTCCCCAGTGCCCTGGAGTAATGATATTCTACTGCTCCATCTGGTTGATGAACTCCTCCCTGGAAACGGTGAACTTGTGTGTGACTACATCGCACATGTTCATCAGATCCTCAAGGCCCTTCTCCAGCACCTGGTACACACTGACGTTGTCTAAAATGACCTTAGCATCCCGGCTACGATCGAAAGAGCTGTGCAGACTTACCGTATGTCTGGATGCGCAGATTCATCTTGGTCTCAGAAGGGTGGGGAATGGAGTAGCCGCAGAACTCAACATCAGGGCTGCCGTGCCGTCAGCGGCGATTCTTGAATACCTCGACCTCTCTATGCGCTTCTACACCCAAAACTCACTTCTTCATGATGATGTATCTCAGCGCATTGCCGAGCGTGTGGTCCTCCCCATCAAATTGAAAAGATGCAGCGCTCTCGGTCGCACCTGCCAACTGTGCAACATTAGTATCAGAACGCCTCTAAGACAGATTTCCTGTTACATACGACACGTATCCTATCGCGATCGACCGAGGCATCGATCTCCTCGCCGTGCTCAGACGCACGGTCGATGATCTTGGGCGCAATTTTCTCTTCTGTGGCAGCGGGCATTTTCTCGATTTTCCTGTTCGTTCTGTTTTTTTCAATATCTAGATTGGTTCTGCAACAGGGATTGCGAGGCTCGTGGTGATTTGTACTCGGGAGCGTGCCTCTGCAATATCAAAACTTTTTACCTGAGCGCGTTCTGGGTCGGCGAATGAGCGCTGGCTTACTTTTTTCAGCCCTATGGCCGCCCGCGCTAGCCTATGACGCTGCACTCACCCCACGCCCGCCTCAATCCCACCTCAACTTTTCTTGACGACACGGATATCTGCCATTGATTACGAGTCCACTTCGAATGCAGTCAAAGAGCATTCACACCATCACAACCAAGTTAAACGCTGTCAATACCGCCACAATGCCGCGCGCTGCAACCCTCAACAAAGACACCAACGAGACCAAAATCCAAGTCTCCATCAACCTCGACGGCGGCGAGCTGCCCGCATACGAACACTCCGACTTCTGGGCGGCGCTGGATAAGAAGAATCTGAACGGTGAAGGCGAGAAGATCGAGAAGGAGCATGCGGCCCAAAAGTCCACGAGCCAGGAAATCGCAGTCGACACCGGCATCGGCTTCCTCGACCACATGATCCACGCCCTGGCCAAGCACGCCGGCTGGTCGCTACGTATCAGAGTGAAGGGAGACCTGCACATCGACGACCACCACACGGCCGAAGACTCATTCCTTGCGCTCGGCACCGCGTTCAAGAATGCGCTGCAGGGATCCACGGGGTTGGCGAGGTTCGGCCATGCGTATGCGCCGCTTGACGAGGCGCTGTCGAGGGCGGTCATTGATCTGAGCAATCGTCCGTACTGTGTTACGGATTTGGGGCTGAAGAGGGAGAAAATTGGGGACTTGAGCACGGAAATGATTCCCCATTGCTTGCAGAGCTTTGCACAGAACAGTGGGACTACATTGCACGTCGATTGCTTGCGGGGAGACAACGATCACCACAGGGCAGAGAGTGCGTTCAAGGCACTTGCTGTGGCTATCAGGCATGCGACGACGGTGGTTAAGCAGTGGGAGGGTGAGGTCAGGAGTACGAAGGGTGTGTTATACTAGATATACAATACTCGAGCCATGAGGGACAAGTGTAGATGAAAGACGAATGAGATGAATGAACAAGATGAGCGCAACATTTTGACGCCGAGGACCTCCTGGCCAGAGCCAGAACGGGCAGAACAAAGCGGCCTTTCGAGGAACTTAATCCCACTGAAATCGGTAGGAAAATTGTAGGACCCACATGATCGATCGCTGAGTCTGCCTCGTTTCTGGGAAGGCTAGCGTCTGCCCACTCGATAGAGGCATGAATAGGAAATACTTCATTTCAACTCTGACAGTGTTCTTGCGGGACTTACCGTTCTGCTCAACTATTTCGGCACCGTCGTCCTTGACCGCCTCCACTGGAAAGTCCGCAGGGCGCTTCCATACATTGATTCTGTCCACAGTCCCAATGGCAAGGGTTTTTCCTCCCATCTTGCAGGTATTGAAGATGCTGCCACTTCTGTACTTGGCTGACATATGTCTGGCTGACGTTATCGCGTGGAAGGCAGCTAAATAGCAGGTCTTCGATTCCCAGCTCACTCTCATTGCATCTATTACCAGCCTGCAGCCACTGTTCACTGTTCGAGTCAACGATGGAGAGGCAATGTCGATGCTGCAAGTATTTCAAGAGAAGGCTGATTGGGACAAACTTAGTGTGAGAAATGCACATGGTCGAGGCATGTGCTTTTCTGTGCACGACTCCAGCATGGTGCTGCTGAATGTTCGCGGACGGCTCCATCCTCGAGGAAAAAGAGGCTCTCTAAGAAGTGGTTGCAGGCCGGATTGTCTGTCGAGATAACTGTTGAGATGTCGAGGTGTTTTCGGCACACTTCCTACCGAGCCACAAGCCCCACGCGAGCGCTTTGCACAGGGCCGCATGACGCCAGCGGGGTATCTCGTCGTCGCGAGAGCACACAATTATCCCGCCATCTAGAGCTGAGACACAGATCCCAGCCAACATGGTACTGCACTTTACTGTTTACGACCGACATCCCACGCGATGGAACAATTCCTGCAGCGAGTACATAACGCCATCGAGCCGATGTGACGGCCAAGAACTGTCGCCATGAGACACATAAGAAGGAGCATCCCGCGCTCGCTGCTGAGCCTCCAAACACCTTACTGCTCCCCTTTTAAACCTTCCATACCATACACATCCTTCAGAATGTCTTCCGGAAAGACGGTCACTCTCAACACCGGCCACAAGATTCCGTATGCTCTCATACCTAGCAAGAATTCCCAAATAATGCCTCTAACGCGTTCAAAACAGTCAACTGGGATACGGTACATGGCAAGCTGCTCCCGGTGAGGTTGGCAATGGTGTCTACGAGGCACTGAAGATTGGCTACAGGCACCTCGTAAGTGACCTTGCAGATCGCTGGACCCTGCCGTACCGCGACAGCTGGACCCTCAACGATCTTCCTTCTTCCGCAGTCTACGACTTTTGCTACGGGTACAACTTTTGCTAACAGACTGCTTAGGATCTCGCGAAGATGTATGTTGATACACCCCACGCTTTTCCCCGTTACTCCTCGAGAGTTTTTCCGCCGCTACCGCCAGCATGGCTGCCACGGCAATCACATATCCACAAGTCGTAGTTTAGTGGAGGTCGAAGCTGGGATGCCCCTCGGTGGAGACCCTCCAAGAAGCTATGGCCTCTTCCCCACATTCTGCGGCTGAGAAAGTTGACTAATAATTTTCGCACCAATCAGCTACGAGAACCAAAAGGAGGTTGCTGAGGGCATTAAACGTGCCTTCAAGGACATCCCCGGCCTCAAGCGTGAGGACATCTTCATTACCTCTAAGCTCTGGAACACCCAGCACAACCCTGAGCACGTTGAGGCTGCCCTCGACGACACCCTCGCTGAGCTCGAGCTCGACTACCTTGACCTCTACCTCATCCACTGGCCGGTCAACTTCGGCCCTGGCAAGAATCCTCACTCTGACCTCTTCCCTGCCACCGCCGACGCTAACGAGGTCAACATCGATAACTCTGTTCCCAACAGCGAAACATGGAAGGCTGTCAACAAGCTTCCCAAGAGCAAGGTCCGCTCTGTCGGTGTTTCGAACTTCACATACAAGAACCTCAAGGCTCTGATTGAGAAGACCGATCTAGTTCCTGCCGTCAACCAGATCGAGCGTCACCCTATCCTCCCTAGCAAGGAGCTCATCGCTTACGCCAAGGAGAAGAACATCCACATTACTGCCTACTCCGCCTTCGGCAACAACTTCTTCAACATTCCTCTCCTCATTACACGCCCCGAGGTTAAGGCTATCGCCGAGAAGAAGGGGGCCTCACCCGCTCAGGTCATCCTTGCCTGGAGCCAGGTCGGCGGTCACTCTGTCATCCCTAAGTCTGTCACGCCCTCCAGGATCGCAGAGAACTTCAAGGAGATCGAACTGAGCGAAGAAGAGGTCGCTGCTATCCAGAAGTTCTCAGACGAGCACCAGGGTCGCAGGAGGTACAACGTGCCATACACTGCCAACAAGCCCCGGTGGAGCATAAACATCTTCGACGAGCCTGAGGAGCAGGAGGCACCCAACAAGGTTGTGCTCTAGTTGCTACATCTCTTATCAGGTTTCCAAAAATGCATGTCTTAAGACTTGATATCTCTCTACCTCTCTGTTGTCCTCACTCATTGCTCCGCCTATGGAAGACCAGTTGTGTGCTGACTTTAATGAGCAATTCAGTCGAATCAGAAGGGTGCAGCAGGTCTACGACCAACGTGGGCATGTATACGACGTGCAGGACTCTCCATCAGGCTCTACTTCCAATCAACTATTCATTTACGTAAAAAGAGCGGCAGAGGTATCAAATGAGAACCTTCATCAGATCTTGACGCCCTGCTCACCAGGCTAGATTGCCTAACAGTCCAAATTCGACACTGTCTCAGGCTCCTCCCAAGGCGCAGTGCTTCGTCGGCGATATTTCTATTGGCTGACCGGCTTGCCAGCTCATGGGCATGCACCGCCACTGACATCGGTCCCTGTTCCTCGGCTAACAGCGGTCTAAATGCATCTGAACATGGATATCTGCATCAGTCTATATGACCACCGCGATATCCATGCTGATACAATCCAACGGGCAATGTTCCCTCTGCGTACATTCACGGAATCTACCGACTTTGTGTTCTGCCTGCATCCTGATTGACCTCCGAGGTGTGTGGCATACGGGAACTCTGATAACCTTCAATCAGCCTAACAGGTACCAGGCCCCAACGAAACCAACATCGATCACGATCCTGGCTCTTGACCAAATCTCCGGCCTCAAGATCTGGACGCGTGGCTTCACTGGCACTACCAAAGATGTAGTGCAACCACAAGGCATTCTACAGTACTTGATCTTCCTCGACGGGTACCAGGATGCTGCCAAATGACTTGTGCGACCGATGTCGAGTTCTAGAGAATATAATCGGCGAATTTGAGAAGCCGGTCCCACTTGTTGACAGCAAGCCGTACGGCGCCGATCGCTCCTATCAAGAATTCATCCCTTGTGTTTCGGTCAATAAGTCATGCAGACTATGCATCCAATTCTCCTCACTGCAACGAGCGTCTTCGTACAGTAGGCATGCCGACTTGAATCCAGATATTCAGAATCTTCTGCTGAAGTGCCGGTTCTGGTGGCATCCTGATCTCGCCAGACTGGTTGCGTATCATCGAGTGTCTCAACATGGAAAGCTCTCTTTCGTGTTCCTTCAATCAAAAGGAGCGCTGCCTCTGTCCATTGTTAACCAGGCCCAGGCGGACTACAGTCGTCTCAGGCACTGGTTTCGCAATTGCAAAGACCGTCATGAGTACTGCAGGTTACACGAGCGCAAATCAATAGCTCATCAGATCCGATTGAAAGCTATTGACTGCACAACTCGGAATATCTGCACGCTACCATCGCAAGCAGACTACACATGTTTGAGCTATGTGTGGGGATCATTCAAGGATACATCACTACACGCAAAGATCGGCACCAGTGGACGTCTAAATGATCTACCCAAAACTATCGAAGACGCCATACACGTCACCCTGCAGCTCGGTATCAACTTCCTTTGGGTTGACCGCTACTGCATAAATCAAAACAATCACGAAGAGAAACATCACATGATCAACAACATGGATCAGATATACCTCAACTCTACTTTCACGATAATTGCAGCAGAGGGAGATGGTCCCAACGCAGGACTCCCTGGCGTGTGCGGCACACCGCGAAGACCTCAACGCGTTGTGAGAATCAAGCAGCTTACGTTGATTGGCATAGAGAGCGTCTCACATTACGTTCATAATTCGAAGTGGAACACGCGTGGCTGGACATATCAAGAGATGCTGCTTTCGCGTCGCATCCTCTTGTTTACCGACACTCGCGTATACTACCAATGCCTGTCTGGTTTTGGCCTGGAAGGTGTCACAAGAACGATACTCTGTCGTAGGCAAGAACGAACCTCGAACAGCACTAGCTGGACCGAGAAAGTTCCTGGCACAAAACCCGTGTTCCCCATTCTGCAAAGTAACCTGGTCGGAAAGATCATCCTCAGTCGGCTTTCAGAGTATTTTGAGCGATCGTTGTCATTTCCAGCAGATACCGTACGAGCGGTCCTCGGCATCTTCAACGCGCTTCGGATGTCTGGTGCTTTCACGCTGAATCAGTTCTATGGCATGCCAGTAGTCCTTCATAAGGGCATTGCAAAGACCGTGACCGAAGATTTTGTTGAGCGTCTGACATGGGTCGCGGGTACCAATCGATCACCACACATTGCTGGCCCAAGACTCGGCGATGATTACGGTCTTCCCGACACGGACTTGTCGAATGTCATGCCTGGCGCAGAACTCGGCGAACGAATAGGCCTGTTCCCTAGTTGGTCATGGGCCGCTTTCAAGGCTGACTGCCCAGAGCACGAACGAATCAAAGGCATCAAGCTCATGTTCCCGGACTCACACAAGCAAGTGGATGTGAGACGAGCTTTTGACGCCGCCGACACCGGGATCAGAATCTATCATCGCGATGAACCCAAGGCTAGTCTGTCTAACTTCGTGCGGCTCCATCTCGACTTCGTCAACTATCTGCCGTTCATTGATGTCACGGCCTGGACCTGGAGTAGCCTGTTCTCGAAACAACTCCTGCAGACCTGGTTTGATTCCTGCAGCGTTTCCATACACTGCGATGACTCTCGCAATCTCGAGCTTGCTTCTCCAGTGAGGCTCACGGCTGTTCATACCATGACATACAAGACGCGAGGTCTACACGAAGAAGAGCTGCCGCGTCTCCGTGCCAACGAAACTGGCGACGGCTATAAGCTCACCAGAGTGCCATCGAATCCACACGAGCGAAGATATCATGTCAGAATGCTTCTTGCCAAGCAGGATGGCTCTCAGGGATATATGCGAGTTGGTGTCATGACTGTGGACATGATGTGGCGTAGCGACAGACCTCCTGAAGGCGTTGAAGATATACTAAATGGTATGATGCGATCGGTTTATGGTGAGGAGGAGAGCTGCTGGGAACGAAGAACCTTGCGCTTAATATGACTGCTGGTAGATTTAAGTGCCAGAGACACTACCAAGTTGTCGCAAGGCGCAGACAAGTCTTTCTTTTCGCAAAACCTGAAGGTCCCACAATTAGTAAGTGAAAAACCAGAATATCCGTAGGGGTGCGTATGTGCTTATCCACATGCATCTTGTACTGGCTTGTCTAGTATGTGTGCGTGCGTGTCAAACTGCTTCCCTGCGTGACGTAGCTTTTTCAAAACAGTATCACTATCGTCTGTTGCGTCCTCTGACCTGTCAATCATACAGCTAGCTTGCCCGTCGATCTGCGTAACAAATAGAATACGAGTACTTATTGCATGCTTGTTGCTTTGCTCGATGCACACCGCTTCCACCCACAAGATCCTCTCAAAAGAGTAATCACGCAGACGTCGCAATTAGATTGGCAGTAACTCTTGTCGTGACTTGCGTGCTCCAATCGCATACTGTTATCTCGGCGGTATCGTCAAGGTTGCTCCGGGTGACTGCCACCGCCTCATGTAGGTGAGATCTCTCGTCTGGTTTGATAAAGCATAGCTAAAGACCTGCCAGTGCATTGGAGCGTTGAGATAACAGAAGACATGGCTGCGACGAGAAATCTGGCTGAGGCGGGGAGGTTGAACGTGAAGGAGCAGGGCGAATGAGAGGGAGATCAGGAGTCGTACGTTCACGAGTCCGGCTGCGACATCTTCTATCGTAGGGCATCATTGCATTGTTGAACGATTGCTGTTGCCATGGTCGAGTACCCGTCGCTGGAACTGGAGTTGGAAAGCGCGGCCCGCCAGTTTTGCCGAGGACGCTAGTTGAGGAAAGCACGGGCCGTGCAGGAAATTCTTCGCGTATGCCAAAAAGTTTCGAGCTCTGCAGGACGGCAAGTGCAACCACCAGGTCCCTCGAAAATCCGTCGCAATGGCTCTCGTGCAGACCAACCCGGACGCTTACACTATCAAGCCAGAGGCTTCTGCCCCTGCCATCGACACCAGCGACTGGCCGCTCCTGCTTAAGAACTACAGCGACCGTATGCAGCCAGCTTAAGATAGCTTCGAAGATTCATGCTAACAAAAATTGCAGTGCTCGTACGCACGTCGCATTATACTCCCATCCCGCAAGGATGCGCGCCCCTTGCGCGTGATATCAAGTCGTACATTTCTTCCGGTGTCATCAACCTTGACAAGCCCTCGAACCCTTCTTCCCACGAAGTCGTATCCTGGATCAAGCGCATGCTCCGGTATGGTGCACGATTGCTATGGAAGGTCAGGCAGGAGGCTAACAGCGTCGCAGCGTTGAGAAGACCGGTCACTCGGGTACACTTGATCCCAAGGTCACAGGATGTTTGATCGTGTGCATTGACCGTGCTACACGTCTCGTTAAGTCCCAGCAGGGTGCTGGTAAGGAGTACGTCTGCGTCATCCGCCTTCACGACAAGCTGCCCGGTGGCGAGGCGCAGTTTGCACGTGCCCTTGAGACCCTCACTGGTGCTCTCTTCCAGCGTCCCCCGCTCATCTCCGCCGTCAAGCGTCAGCTTCGTATCCGAACCATCCACGAGAGCAACCTATACGAATTCGACAATGAGAGGCAACTTGGTGTTTTCTGGGTCAGCTGCGAGGCTGGCACCTACATCCGTACTCTTTGCGTTCACCTGGGTCTGTTGCTCGGTGTCGGCGCCCATATGCAGGAGCTGCGCCGTGTGAGGTCTGGTGCCATGGACGAGACCAAGGACTTGGTCACTCTTCACGATGTACTCGATGCCCAGTGGATCCACGACAACAACCGCGACGAGTCTTACCTCCGACACGTCATCTCTCCCCTCGAGAGCCTTCTCACAAGCTACAAGCGCATTGTCGTCAAAGACAGCTCTGTCAACGCCATCTGCTACGGTGCTAAGCTCATGCTTCCGGGTCTTCTCCGCTTCGAGAAGGGCATTGAGATCCACGAGGAAGTCGTCCTCATGACCACCAAGGGTGAGGCTATCGCCCTCGCCTACGCACAGATGTCCGCGGTCGAAATGACATCTTGCGATCACGGCGTCGTCGCAAAGATCAAGCGTGTTATCATGGAGCGCGACCTGTACCCCAGGCGATGGGGCATGGGCCCGGTTGCCACTGAGAAGAAGAAGATGAAGGAGGCTGGCACACTTGACGTAAGTTTAAAGCTGCTGAGAACTTGCGCACAATAGCTAACATGATCAGAAATTTGGCCGTCCCAACGAGAAGACACCCGCCAAATGGAACACCGAGTACAAGGACTTCAACAGGACCGACGTCGAGTCCGCACCTCTTGCCGAGACTACCTCGACCGCCGAAATCCTCGCTACCCCTGCTGTTGCGCCCACTGGTGAGGAGCCTGAGGCCACATCTGAGAAGACCAAGAAGCGCAAGCACGATGAAGAGGAGACAGCCGAGGAGAAGGCCGAGCGCAAGCGCAAGAAGAAGGAGGAGAAGGCAGCGAAGAAGGCCAAGAAGGAGAAGAGGAAGAGTAAGGCTGCTGAAGAAGACAGCGACTCCGATTGAGCAGCTGGTGCTATGTTGTGAATTATCGATTATCTCGGCCCGCCAACAGCCCCATGCTGTTGTTCGATCTACCAGCGATGTACACAACATCTGTGTGCATATTGCACATCTCACTGTTCTGGATACCTGCTCAAGTAGCATACGGAAAATCGTATTCGGGAGCCGGCGTTATTGGTTGGCATGAAGGAGTTAGGCGCGTCAAAACTTTTGCATGAAGGGCGGACGACTAGGTGTACGAACATGATTACTGCGTTGACAGACATGTCGATTCAATTCGAGGTTCTAGCTGTAAATGTCGAAGTAGAAGCTCTAAGAAACATTCACAAACTCCAGGTCCATTCAAGTTGTCACTTTATTGCAAACTAACGGCTGCTGCTAATATGGAAGGTTCTGGCGAGTTCTCTGACGTCTTCGTTGGCCTGTGCGCGCCGCCGCATTGTGGAGATCGTGAGACATTCCAATGCACTCGATCTTAAAAGCAAGCCTCATTCATGCACCACTTGCCGAGTATTTGATTGCTTTCACGCGCACACGAGATACCCTTTCCTTTTCCGTAATACTCAGTCACAATGGTCAAAGAGACTCAGCTTTACGATTCATTAGGTAGGTTCGACCCTTACATACCCCTCCTCGGCCCTGCTACACCGCAGAGCTCCCGGCTAGCTACATACACATACTAATACATCACTTAGGCGTTTCGCCTACAGCAACACAGGAGGAGATCAAGAAAGCATACCGAAAGTCTGCGCTCAAATGGCATCCCGACAAGAACAAGGACAACCCACAGGCGGCCGAGAAGTTCAAAGGTAAGGCTGAGTCCCCTCCTATTTCTAGGAATTGACACTAACTTCAATGTATAGAATGCTCGCAGGCATACGAAATCCTCTCTGACCCCGAAAAGCGCCAGACGTATGACCAATACGGCCTCGAATTTATACTGCGCGGCGGCCAGCCTGCACCAGAGGGCGCCGAGGGCCCTGGAGGCAACCCATTCGCTGGCGGCGGCGGTTTCCCCTTCGCAGGCGCAGGGGGTATGCCAGGCGGCGGTGGCGCACGGACGTATCACTTCTCGACCGGCGGCGGCGGTGCTAATGGCTTCAATTTCTCGAACCCCGAAAGCATCTTCTCCGAGTTCCTTCGCGGCAGCGGCGGTGGAATGGGCGGTGACGACGACGACTTGGGCGGCTTCGGTGGTTTCGGTATGGGCGGTATGCCTGGTGGTATGGGAGGCTCGCGCGGTGGCCGAGGACCGGGCGGACGCTTCTCGGGAGGCAGGAGAGCGCCTGAGCCTGAAGTCACCGTGGTCGAGAAGCCGCTCGCGGTCACACTCGAGGAGATGTTCAATGGCACAACAAAGAAGCTCAAGATCAAGCGGAAAACGTACGACCAGGCCACCGGCAAGCAGAGCACACAAGACCGGATCCTAGAAGTGCCCATCAAGAGAGGCTTGAAGGCTGGCAGCAAGATCAAATTCTCAGACGTCGGCGATCAGGTCGAGGGCGGCACACAAGATCTCCACTTCGTCGTCTCAGAGGTAAGCCATCTTTTTCACATACCCACTAGGTTGAAAACAGAACACTAATGAGCAGCAGAAACCCCACACCCTCTTCACCCGAGAAGGCGACGACATCAAGCGCACCATCGAACTCGACCTCAAAGAAGCCCTGACCGGCTGGCGCCGCACAGTACAAACCATTGATGGCAAACAACTTAGTGTGGGCAGCGGCGGGCCCACAGGGCCTACATGGACGGAGCGGTACCCAAACTTGGGCATGCCGAAGAGTAAGAAGCCTGCTGAGCGGGGCGACTTCATCGTTGGGGTCAAGATCAAGTTCCCCACCAGCTTGACGAGCCAGCAGAAAGAACAACTGAAGGCGATTTTGTAATTTTTGCTACATGAGCGGTTGGCGTTGGCGGTGTCCTGATTTGACGGGTGTCGATTCGAAATCCGATGATCTTTCTTTCGTATGTTTATATTGGAGCGTTGCAGCAAGCGGTTTGGAGCAAAAGAAGACGAGTGTAGACGATAAGATGACTAACGAACAATTCATTGCATATCACGACACCTCACTCAACACCCTGCATCCTGATCATGGCAGCTTGAGTTGATGTTCACCATGCGCAGATGTTCGTGGGGAATATCATTCCCAAAAGTGAATTGCTGGCATGTCCTCAGGCTTACATCGAATTGCACATGATTACTGTTACCGCTTGGCTACACCCTTTGCATATGGTTCCAACTCTTGCTACAGCCTCAAGCAACAGTCCCATATATGCATACACAACAACCAATCGCACGTATGACAAAGAGCAGATCAGAATTGAGTCAAAACTTTGTAATGCTATATAAATATATAAGTTAAGCTATGAAAAGAATCATTCGTAACCTCGAACGCTCTTAGATATTGACATTACCCACATGAGGCACGAAGATGGTCTGCTGTCCACCCGCTAGTGTGCTCTCATCACGATCGTATGTCCTGGTGTTGGGCTCCAAGAGGCTTCCCTCCTTAGCGCCCAGCATGCCCCTAACCTCAATCCCCTTGTACGACTCATTCACGCCGTTGGATCCACTGACAACATTCGACGCACCAGGCACCTCAAGCGACCTCCTCCCCGTCGCGCCAAGATTCGTGCTCCCATCAACGTCCGGCCAAAACGCCTCCTCCGCATCCAGCGTCGCCTGCCACACCGCATCAGCCCTCGTCTTGATTTCCTGCCACCTCTGATCCTCGCGTCCGACAGCCTCGCCCACGCCCTCATTGATAATACGTTCGAGTGTCTCGACGAACATCATAAAATTCTTATTCGACCAGTTGGGAATGAACTCCTTCCTCATAGCGCCGCCATCAAGATCATTGGAGTAGTCCATGGTCGCGGGATTCGGGGATCGTGATCGCGAACGGCCGCCATCAGCCGAACGCCTGCGGTTTTGTTTCTGCGCCCAGCTCCATGCTTCATAGTACACTTTCTCGGAGCTGAAGAGGCAGACTGCGCCCTCAAGCCAGGGAAGAAAGTCGTTCGGTCGTTGGGAGGAGAGCTGCGAGAAGAGCGCTTCAAAGCGTTGCACGCCCAAACTTTTCTGGCTCGGGGACAGTGTTGGGACGCTAAGGTTGTAGGCGGCGGTCATCTCGTCGAACCACTCAAACTCCCTCTTCACGTTCTTGATTGCGGCGTCTAGCCACCGCAGTAGGCGCGATTCGATGGACTCGACATCCACAGTTGTAGCTGTTGCGCGTGTTGCTTTGATTGTCTGCTCGACAATGCGGACCAGGTTCTCAGCCAAGGAGATGTAACCTTGAATATAGAGACGGTCGTTTGCAATCCATTCTGCGATGAGCGGCTTGGGGAGTTGACCTTGAGCAGCGCACGCGAGGAAGGGCGCAGTGGTCGTGCGTCTCAATTGCGGGATGCTAATCGAAAGGAGGTGCGTTGTTAGGGCCCATGGCATATCTGTGGGGACGATATTCGCCTTTGAGATGAAGGCTCCGGGATGGTGTTCTACCATCTTGCCTACGAGGCCTTGAATCTGAATTCTTGGGTCTTTGAGAAGTTCCTGGTGGAGACTATGTGGAAATTTGAAGGTGTTGAGCTTGTATGCAGCTCAGCGGGCAGTCATTTGATGTCTTTAACCCGGAGTCTTTGCCGTCCTTATATCCCTCACCCTGCTACCCCGCCAAGTCCAGAAATCTTGAAGTTCCGCACCACCGCATAGACTCAAGAGACACCAAGCCTTAAACCACAGAGCCTGATCAGTATACATGACGTATATCTTGGCGGCAGTTGTTCCGTTCGCGTGCGTATGGTACGCGCCGAGGGTTCTAGAGTGTGCCTTCGGCTCTAGACCTGATATAGCGACTTTTTAGCGTGCATTGGTTTAGGCGGGATACTTGGCGATAAAGGTTGATGTGAGGCTTAGTGTGGCGAGATTTTGAGAGCATGGCGGAGTCGCTTGGCGGAGAGACGATGACGCCACCGGCTCCTGAACTTGCTAGAGGTTTCCGTGGCGCGCCGTGGTGTGAAATGCTGCGTACAACATCAGGACGCAGGAAACAAAGTCCATCTGGTGTCATCAAGAGGAGGCAACTAAGGCGCTCTCGTAGCTACAGATACAGAAAGGGCATACACTGTAGTTACAGAAATTCGTTATGTCATGTACGTGGAGGCCAATGGCTCATGCAACGTCGTCTCGACACCAGCAAAAACTCACAACAACAACGACGACAAGTCCACCTCAATCAAGAGCAGCTCGGCGACGTGGTAGTGGAGCAACTATATGATTTAGTCATGTGATGATCAAGCATGGAGGCAGTCACCTACTTTGCGCGCCTTCTTGGGCTCCTCAACCACGACCTTAGCCTCACCCTCAGCCTCTGATGCCTCCAAATCTGATGCCCCCAACTCCGACTCCGACTCCGAGTCAGCCTCAGCGCCGGGAGCAGTCATGGACTCGTCGTCAGATCCGTTCATGAACGAGGCAATTATCAGATCCTCGACTAAACTGGTTGGACACGAACAAATGCAACGATAGCCAGAATCTAGGAGGGTTTCACATGCGGTACTAGTCGAACGCGTCCGGGGCAACCTCAGTCGTGGAGGGCTCTGCAGCCAGCGATGAGTCGGCGACGGTGCCCTTTGTTGACCCCAAGGGGGCTTCCTGGAGCTTGAGGAGAGGGAGAGGAAGGCGTCGGGCCAAGTGGAGAGGACGGAGGGGGTGAGGAGAGGGAACAGGAGGACGGAGGGGCGGCTTCAAGGATTCCTGCTAACAGCGTTAGCAAAACTACAAGTTGCCTCAGAGGTCTTTACTCACGTTCGCGAGGTGTGTCGACCTCTTCTGCGACAGGCAGGAGAGGAGCAGAGACTTCAACGGCAGTGACAGGGGAGGAAGGCGCCGGCGAGGTGTTGGGCAGGGGGGAGTCTATGAGCGTCAGTATCGCGCCAGTCCATTATTGCGGCTACACATACCTGTATGCGGCGAGTACCTTCCACACTTTGGAGGCCAGCCGGTCTTCTTGCTCTTCGCAGAGCTCTGCAACGGTTCGCAAAAATGCGCCGGATCTTTATCCCGCTGCTCCTTTGATAGAACGAACGGAGTCTCCCTTCGCTGTGGGGTCTCAGGAGGAGGAAGTACTGGACGAAAGCGGTTCTTGGAGACCCAGAGATCGCTCTTCTTGAATTTGCTGATGATCTGCCAAAAGAGGACAACCAGGCCGCAGAAACAGAAACACTGCTTGAATATGATACTGAGGAACGACTTTTCAAGCTCATACTCGCCAACGGTCAACTTGCCCTCGTTTGAAGGATGGTACTTGGCGGCCAGGACCTTGACATCCAATCCGGGTATATTTTGGTAGGGAGGTTCAAGTCGACACGAAAGTGGGAGCGATGAAGGTAGGGCCGAAAATTGTTGTTGACAGTTTGGTGAATGATCGTAGGCGGGCTCACTTCCCATCTGTCCCACTTGTCAGCTTTGGCGAGTTGTGCAGCGATATGGCGGTCATGAGCTTCTCGGGCTTGCTTATCGGGCTTGCTTCTCATGTTCGATCCGGGCGCATTCTTCCTTGACGCCGCACCAGTATGCGTCGACTCGTTCTTGGATGAGCTGCACATGTAAGGCCTTGGCCTGGCGGAGACAGTGCGGAGTTGGGAGCATGCAGTCAGCCTAGGTGAGAGCAAAGTTGGCCTCCGGGTCTGTGGCGAACCAGGCGTAGTCGTTGGCGACAGCCCAAAAAAGCTGCGAAGATATGGGTAATCCAGTTCATAGTGAGTCAGATAGCAAGAGAGTGCCTTCAAAGGCGGTGGTAAGGAAGACAGGAAGGGACAGGATGGTCTAGAAGTAGTCGCAGCAGCGAAGAACGGCTTGATGGTGGCTTGTGTGTCCGAAAGGACTCGATCTGTAAAGCTAATGTGGAGAGTGGGACGGAGGAAGCTGGCGAGAGTTGCGCTATTTCTTTTGTTATTTCGAGCGAATGACAAGACACGATGGGATTGGTGATACGTAAGAGTGTGCACAGTGAAGTGAAAGAAGTCACAGCAAAATGCCATCAACAAAGTTAAGATCCACCCACTTGTTATGATTACAACACACTTTGCCCATGAGACTTGCACAATGTAACTGAGCCGGATATTTGAACTGTAGTATTGGTTGTAAAGCTACCTGTTCAGCATCGTTCACACGCGCTACCATGCTGCTCATTGCCAGCCATATCTGCCGCGGCAGACGTAGCCACTGTATGTATCGATGGAAAACTGTGCTGAGTTGCTTGCTAGCTAGGAGGCGACCATACATACATGTCCTGAGACGTGCTAGTCTAAGGTAGTCAGCAGAGGTGACGATCAAGGCCTATAGGACCGACTTGCACCGCAACAATATCTACCCAACCGTCTTGTGAGACCCGGTGTGGAAACTTATAAAATGATCATTGTCAAGGTATTCAAATTCGCCAAGCTAATACAGTTGCAATCGTCTCTGAGAAGACGAGCTGCTATCAATCTCAGACCTCATCCTCAGTTTCGGCGCTGTCAGCCACATTGATTACTGCGTCGAAGAGCATAGAGTCCTCGTGAAGGAGCTCAGCCTTAATATTGGGTGTCGTCGCCTTCTTAGGCTTGGAGACGCGCGCGCCCTTGACGACTGCTGAAGTGATCAGAACGTAGGGAGGTTGTAAGGTCTTGTGCAACTCACAGGTCTTGACGGGACTGTCGTTAACATTCTTAGTCTTCTTGGCCCTAGAGGGAGTGTTGGCTGGGCCAGTGCGACCGGTAGCCTCCTCCTTTAGAGCGGCGGCTGCCTTCTTAGCCTTGCGCAGTTGACCTTCAACGGCGTCGTAGGTGGCGCCCTGGCCGAAGAGACGAGCGACCTCGTTCATGTCAAGCTGGGAGCCGTAAGTACATCTTCAAAGCCTTAAACTATCATTGGAGCTCGAAGACTTACGTTGGAAGACACAGCGATAACAGCGGCGAGCAGACGATCCTTCGCACCAGATTCCTTCCATTGGATGGCCATGGTCGTTGTCGATGACGAAGCACTGTCTTCGATTAGTGTAAGTCCAAGCAACAGATATAGTTGACAGGGTAAGCTCATGCGAGCTTGTATGCAATTTGGGTGGTAAATAGCAATTGAGATGCACAAACTGTAAGTGCAGGAAGAGCTCCGGAAGCGTGCGTGGCAAGCCGTAAGGTGAGGTGCACAAGCTTGAACAACAACTGCATGCAAAGAACAGTCGCCTGAGCATGTCATCTCGGGGGTGTACATGAGACTTACCGAGGAAGGTGCGAAGACGGAAGCTTACTTATATGTGTTGAGGGGTCGAGATGCTGGAGTGCGGTATCAACGAGCGACGAATAGAGCTGGGGAGAAGGTGGTGGGTCCTTGTAAGCGCAAAGGGGTTCTGGTTGTGAGGAAATCCAAGTCGCGAGGGGGAGTGGACAGATGGCGGCCTAAAATCTTTGAAGAGATGAAGTGAAGGTGAGCGATCTGCAACGGTACACCACAGCACGCCACGTCCCTAGACGTAAGGCCTTCTTATGTATCGCTTTCCTGTACCCTGCTGTTAGCGGTGGCACGTTGATCTGCTGCAAGTGTACATGGTGTCAGCAATCTGAGCTTTTGGGGTAGGATGTTCTCGTCAGGATCGTGCTTGGGTATACTGATGCCTACTAGGAAGCTTATGCTTTTGTCTTCTTGTCCTTACCGCCGTCCCACTCTCGTTTCCCCTTGGCATCAGCCTTATGCCTCTTGGCTTCTTCCAGCGGATCAATGACCAGCAGATCCTCCTCGTTCTTCCTCTTCCACTCCAGATTTTTTCCTAATCTATCTTTTGCGAAGCTGAGAGAATGTGACATCCACCCTGCATCATCGTCTGACTCTTCGTCTTCATCCTTGTCCCATGCCTTACATGACTGGCACCCAGCGATGAAATGCAGGTCACAGACCGCCTCTTCCTCTCCGTCTTTGCCGCCGTTGGCATCGTCATCCTTCATCTCAACATCACCTGAAGCGACAATATCCTTATTTTTCGGTAGCGTTGCTGGCTCTGATGCCTCCAATTTTGACTTGAACTTCGACAGTATGTCAAGTGTAGCTTGTTCCTGCCCGGCATTGCCGCCGCCGCCGCGCTTCCTCCCTCGTGTCGTCGATGTTGGCACCATAGACTCAAGCAAGGACTTCTTCTTCGTTTGTTCTGCGTGTTGAGGACCGGCATTGCGCTTCATCGAAGCCTTGAGTTCGGCAATTTGTGCGTTGACGCGGTCAATTTTGGACTTCTTTTCTGACTCCGGGGAGAGCGCTCGTGGTGGAGGTGATCGTGCCTTTTTGCGGCACGGTGACACGGGTGTTGCGGCTTTTGTTGGCCTTGTAGACGGCGATCTTGATGGCGACTTCCTGGATGGTTTGCGGATGGGTATGGCTTTTAATTCTGCGGCTTTCGGTGCAGACATCTCCTTTGTTGCTGCTGGCAGCTCCTCTCCCGCGCTGATAAGCTTCGTATTAAATTTTGCCTTCTTCAGTACAGGTGCCATATCCTCCCCGTCTTCTGCACCGAAGCTCAGGACGTTCTTTCCGGCCTTCCTCTTGGGCTTCTTCGTTTTTTTTGCCTCGGGCTCTGTTCGCTGTACTACCCTCTCCCGCTTGACCATGTCCTCAAAGGGATTGAGAATAATTTCAGTCCCTGTAATCTTGCTTGGGTACAGTGGGCGATCCTCACTGCCCTCCGCAATGTCTGCCTCGGCCATCTTCATCAAGTTGTAAACTGTGTCACCTACTACCCTGCCAAACATGGTGTTCTTGTCCTGCAGCTCTGGCGTTGCCGCCAAAGTAAAAAAAAACTGGCTACCATTGTCATCTTTCCTTCCTGTATTTGCCATACCCAGCAGGCCTCGCCTTGTGTACTTCAGCCGACTGTGAAATTCGTCTTCAAAAGGCTCGCTGTCATAGCTGCTCTCTCCACCCTGACCGGTTCCTGTTGGGTCTCCTCCCTGAATGATGAACCCCTTAACGAGACGGTGGAACACGGTATCGTCGTAGTAGCCATCAAGACACAGCTGCAGGAAATTGCGCGAGGTTTTGGGAGTCTGCTTTGCGAAAAGCTCGATTTCAAGATCGCCGCGCGTGGTGTGGAGGAGGACTTTGGCCGTCGGATTCGGCTCGAGATTGTATGTCGCGCTCATCTTGGCGACTCGTGTGCGTACTTGAAGGTGTTTGGCGCAAACGCATCGATTATGAATGTCGTGTTGCACATCGTGACGGTGAGCCGCGGCAGAACCGCAAGCGTTGGCTTTTCTGCTCTAGCGCGCAAATTGTTAGCGTGACGACGTCACTGGCTACTGCTATCTTCTATCCTGCATACCAGGAGCTATCGACAGTATTCGCATCTCAACAAACGCAGCTGACATGCAGACACATCGGAGATAAATTGACTCCTACGACCAACGCAGTCTCTCTTCCCCTCCACCTTCCCCCTCGTCTTGGTTCAGGCGTTCGACTTCGCGAATAATTGATCAAGATGTTGCCCTACATTAATGCGCGTAAGTCGTATGCGTACTCGAAATGAAGACGTCTACTAACCATTAGCGTAGCCTTTGATTATGTCGGCAGCTCTTTGGGAGCATCAGCAGACGAACGTGAGCATTTCCCAACGGACTTACACGTTGCATTCTGACTTCTTGACAGTCAAGCTTGTGTTCTCGTTCTACCTCTCCTATCCACTAGCTGGGCTTCTCAAGCGTATTCCAGATAAAGCACCATGGCAGAAGAACGCCTTCATCATAGCGTAAGCTCTTTAATCCTTGTGTCAAAATAGCGACGACTAATATCGTAGTGTGGCCATGTTTTACCTCGTTGGTCTGTTTGATATGTGGGCAGGTCTACGTACCATCTTCATCAGCGCTGTCGGCGCGTACGTGATTGCATCCAGGATCGATTCGCCCTATATGCCTTGGATTGGATTTGTGTTCTTGATGGGACACATGTCCATGAATCACATCATTCGCCAAAGCGTTAATGATTCGTCAGCGGTTGACATCTCAGGTGCACAAATGGTCATGGTCATGAAGCTCACCGCATTTTGTTGGAATGTTCAGGATGGCCGTCTTCCTGAAGCCGAGCTCTCGGGCTTCCAGAAGGAGCACGCTGTGAGGAGCATGCCCAGTATCCTGGATTATGCCGGCTATGTACTGTTCTTTCCAGGATTCATGGCGGGGCCTGCATTCGACTACTGCGATTACAACCAGTACATCACCACTACCATGTTCAGACTTCCTCCAGGAATCGATCCATCAAAGGCGCCGCCAACGAGGAAGCAGCGCAAGATCCCTCGCAGCGGCACTCCAGCTGCCATTAAGGGCTTATACGGAACGCTTTGGATCGTTGCTTTCCTTAAGTTCTCTGGCTGGTACTACCCTTCCTTCTACCTGAGCGACGAGTACATGCGATACGGTTTCCTGCGAAGAGTCTGGCAGCTGTACATGCTGGGTCTTACCACTCGCATGAAGTACTATGGTGTTTGGAGCCTCTCTGAAGGTGCCTGCATTCTCTCTGGCATTGGCTACAACGGCATTGATGTTAAGACTGGGCGCGCCAAATGGGACCGCCTCACCAACATCAGACCTATCGCCATCGAGACCGCTCAGAATACACGCGCATTCTTGGGGGAATGGAATATCAACACCAACCAGTGGTTGCGCAACTACATGTACCTTCGTGTCACACCGAAGGGACAAAAGCCCGGCTTCGGTGCTACGCTCGCCACATTCGTCACTAGCGCTTTCTGGCACGGCTTTTACCCTGGCTACTACATGGCATTCGTTCTGGGTGCCCTTCTCCAGGCTGCTGCAAAGAGCAAGTACTCGAACCTCCTGCTACAGATATCTTACTAACTATGTTAGGTGGTCGCCGTCTGGTCCGTCCTCTCTTCCTCGCTGCCGATGGCAAGTCGTCTTTGTCCACCAAGATCTATTACGATGTCTTCACCTTCCTTCTTACGCAGCTGGCGTTCTCCTTCACCGTTGCTCCATTCATCCTCCTTGGCTTCTCGGACACTCTGAAGGTCTGGTCGCGCGTATACTTCTATACCCTTATCGGTGTCGCCGCTTCCTTTGGCCTCTTCTCTCGTAACTTACCCTTCCGCAAGCAGCTGCAAGAACGCCAATTCGCCCGAGCAGTCCCAGCATCTACCGTCGACACGGACGTATCCAATATCGAGCAAATTGCCAAAGAAGAGATAAAAAAGGACAACCTTTCCAGGACGAATTCGATGGCCAGTACTGCCAGCAGTAAAAGGGCACCTACTCTCGGTATTGCTGACGATCCGGAGGCGGAGCTTGATGCTATTGTAGCCCAAGTCAAGCGCGAGATAGCAGAACGAAAGAGACGCGGAAGCGCGCTTCAGGGCTTCGATGTCAAGACAGCAATTCAGGAGAAGATCAAAGAGTTCAAGAAGAAATGAGCAGATGTACGCGCCAAGCACCCACCATGCAGGCTACAATGGTCAACACACATCAGCAGGAGCACCACTGCCCTGTAGTCGCGGAATGGATGCGTCGAGTACGAACTCGACCCGTGTTCTCGTTCTGAGCTGCAAGATGCCATATCAGATACATGCCAGTACAGTGGCCTTTTTACATGAAATATCACAGCTACCAATATACCAACCTATACATCACATATACTCAAGTGTTAAATTTGCGGCATTGTCTCATGTCTCCATCAGTCCGCAGCCCGTGAGGAGTGTCCAGAAGAGATGTACGCATGAAGCAGTGCGGCATTGATGATTAATGGAGGTCCAACAGATGCTTCTCCAGCCAGTAGCGTGGCCGCGATCACTATGGCATGAGGAGCTGTGACTCAGTCGTTCGGGCCGTGAGCCGGTGGGTAATACGGTCTCCTTTCTTCCGGAGCTTCAATCTATCGCAGATGGTCAGCAAACTGCATTCTTCATATTTAGCTTGGTGCTTCGAGTCGTGAACGAGCGCCTGAAGGGAGCGCCTGAAGGAGCCCTGCCATTGCAAGCAACATCCGAGTCGCGCGGCAAGTCTTTCGCATGAGCTCGATCGCCGTCAAGGATTGATATCAAGGGCCATCCTGCACAATTGCTCAGTTGTACCCAACCACCTTGCTTAGGCTCCAGCTTGGCAGACTCTGATAGTGGTCGTGTTTGCTGAATCGTGATCTACAGCATTGATGATCACACGAGTAGATGTGCGCGCGTGGTCTCAGGCTTTCGTACACATACGATATCACGCCTCGGATCTGTTTATGATTCTCAGGCCTTTGGTCGAGTCGATTTGGTGCATGGCAACGAGCTGTTCGGCGACAGCGCTGAGGCCGCTGAGATGAGACTTTGATTCTAGAAGCAAGGATTAAATGAGCTATCTTGTTGGGCCGACTGTACCCTATAGATGGATTGCCTTATACTCGCCATCAGTAAACCTAAGACGCGCAACCTTCTCGGATCATGGTGATGAGCCTCACCTACGGAATTGACTTTAGTTGCCGGCTAAGTTTCGGAGGGCCACAACGGACGCAGGGTAGAGCCTGTACGCGGAACGTTTATCTTGATGCCGTCGTCCGTTAGTGCGCACAAAGGCTGTGTCATCTCTGCTCGAGACAACGCCGATGCAAGAGCTGCCGCCAGCTAGCGAGCAGGTAACTTCTGTCACCCAGAGATGCCGCATGCAGAGCATGTTGACGTTTTTGACTTCCGCATCCGTTTCCTACCGAGACACGCGTCGCGACATCCGGCGAACAGGGGAGGCATTTACGCAAAGCGAGCCTGGACTTCAGGATCTTCGATCAAAGTCGGTCCGAAATCGATTCGCGACAACCGTGTCTGTGTGGTGATCTGCAGGGATCCCCAACAACGTGCAAGCCTCCAAGTCCACTCCACGTGCAGCACCGCAAGCAACACTTTCATCAATCTCGGCAGGGCTTCGCATTTTGCGCCATTCCCAGGATGCTGGATCCTAAGGCAGACGGTTCCCGCTTGTGCAGCTCGCCTTCCGTTTTCGCCGAAGACATTAGCTCGAGGCAGTTAGATGGCCGCGAGTGTGCAGCTGCACACCATAGAATTGCAAGCCCCGAAGCGTGCCGTTGCCACCAGAACAAAATCTACTGCAGCCGTAACGTGTGGCTGACCGGAATGTGTACTCGGATTGGAAGGGGATGGCAACGGGGCGCATATCCACCTGCCAACAACGATGGGCCTAGCAGAAATGCCAACCGCGTCAAGGTGTCAAGTTGGCAAGGATGGTACTGCACACGTTGAGCTCCTAATGCCCCAAGATATAGTACAACATTGGCACGGTGTCATGTCTGATGCTCCAGGTATTAAGGCCCTTTTACTGCACTGCGCGCGGCTCCACCGGCAGACATGGCTCTCCTTCTTCCCCGCACACTGTGATCTTCCTTGGGACACTTTTGCTTCTGTTTATGATCTCGTGTAGATCTGTGCAGCGTATGATTGTACCTATCGCACTTGGAGGCTGCAGGGTTAAGCAAGCCTGCTTATCGCAATCATGGGCAATCCCGACAATGGACCGTTGATCGTGGGGATCACATGGTGGCTGACATTCCTGTGTGGAGGGTTCCTGGGGCTACGCGTATACGCAAAGCTGAGTCGAAGGCAAGGTCTGTGGTGGGATGACTGGATTCTCATATTTTCATGGGTTGGTACCAACGTTCTCGGCAGTGATCACATCCTGACATACTCCAGGTCCTATTGCTCATTGAAGCTATCATAACACAAATAGGCCAGCTGCTGGGTTTTGGAAAACGAACTGTCGACATCGACCCCAATAACATCTTAACTGTCGCCCTCTGCACATCGATAGGTGCCTCGGTCTCCTGCTTCGCATCAACATTCTCGAAAATCTCTTTCGGCGTAACACTCCTCCGACTGACCACCGGAAAGATCAGGTGGACCGTCTGGTTCTGCGTAGGCACGCTCTTCCTCTTCATGCTCCCGTCCGCCTTCATCACCTGGATCCGATGCACACCCACCGCAAAAGCATGGAACCCCACGCTTGAAGGACACTGCTGGAGCGCCGTCATGACCGTCAACTACGGCATCTTCAACGCCGCCTGGTGCGCAGTCGCCGACTTCTACCTTGCCCTGCTCCCCTGGACAGTGCTCTGGGGTCTGCAGATGCGCACGCGCGAGAAGATCGGCGTCGGCATCGCTATGAGCATGGGACTCTTGTACGTCCAGCATGCCCAACATTCCCAACCGTCTCACTACTAACACAACCAGGGCCGGCGTCTGCGCCATCGTAAAAGGCGTCTACATCATCCAACTGCGGGAAGCAGACTTCTCCTACAACGGCAAGGACGTCACCATCTGGACCGCTGTCGAAACCGCCGTGGCCATCATCGGCGCCTCGATCCCCGTGCTGCGTGTCTTCTTCCGCGAGCAGGTCTCGTCGTACAGCAATTCCCGCGGCCGCTCTGCCGCACCCTCGACGTTGAAACGCACCCCGGCCACGACGGCGACGGCGCGCCACAGCATCGCGCTGAACGCCCTGGGGCCGAGCAGCAAAGAGGGCGTCTGGACGAGGATTGAGCCGATTGACGAGCGCAGTGCGGATGCGGATGCGCGCAGCAAGGGCAATCTGGGAGCGCGGCGCAGTGATGAGGAGATTGCAACTACGACTGGGGGGCCGGGGGATGCAGGGAGTCAGGACGGCATCTGGCAGACGACGACTATTACGCACCAGGTTGAAGAGCGGAAAGGTGGACGAGATGGGAGGGGGAAGAGATGGCTCCGTTGATTGGGAGGGCGATGAGTGTTTCTCTGCTCCTATGAAGGTGTTTGACAGCGTATATATCCTGGGATCGGCGTTTGGGTTGGTTTGGCCGAGAGCCAATGCAGACGAATAGTGCGATCGGATGAGGTCGTGGACAAGTTAATTTTCTCCATCTATGCATGTCACGTCTATGGCTGATCCACGCTCCATCTCAATTCGATTGTCCTCTTGTCCATACGCCTCTTTGTCACCGCCGCCTCAAGGAATGATCTTCTTTGTGAATACAAGTACTCATAAATCCGAAGACTTAATCGTTTATCTGCGCATCCTTTACTCTTGACGGTCCCAAAGTTGTTGGTGTTGCTTCGTAGTTGCTGTTCACACATGGCCTTCTCCGCCTTCCACTGCTGTTCTCCGACCGTGCTGGGCCCTAAGTCGGTCGTGGCGTTTGCGTCAACACTCCAGTTTCAGCTGTGCACAGGGCGCGGCCAAGACATTTGTTGAAGCGATTTGTATTCGTCCTCGTCGACACCGAGCTGTCGATCAGAATGGTAGTACAAGAGGCAAACATTGTTCTCAATGAGACCGCACGCCCAACCCAACATACAAAGTGGTGCCACGCCGCAAACGCCAATCCAGTCCGCCACCAAAAGCCCGTCGGTGCCTCGCGTCTCGCCCGACGCAAAGGATGCAGTGCTTCGCATCTTGAGTGCGCAGCAAGCTTCACGAGCCCCCAGATCCAAGCATGGGTATCTTTTCCAACCCCCTCTTCCAGAGCACCTCAGACTGGCGCTCCCCATGCTGCGCGCAGTCGTCGCGCGAGCTGGATGTCTTTTTGCTGGATGGTGACGCGCTTGGCGTGGATTGCGCAGAGATTCGCGTCGTGGAAGAGATTCACCAGGAACGCCTCTGTGGCTTCTTGCAGCGCGACGAGCGCTTGCGACTGCCACCTGTTCGGCCCGTCGTCACCAGATACGCCCTGTGCAATCTCTCTGACCTGCGTACTGTTAGCCATGCCCTCACGAAATCCCTCTCCCACGAATACGGATCCCCTCATCCACGAATAAGGATCCTCTCATCCACGAATAAGGATCTTCTCATCCACGAATAAGAATTCCCCTCATCCACGAATAAGAATCCCCCTCATCCACGAATAAGAATCCCCCTCATCCACGAATAAGAATCCCCCTCATCCACGAATAAAAATCCCCTCTCTGCACAACTCTCTCCATTCCTCGCGCTTCTCCTCTGCCACCCACACCGGGGAATCACTCACCAATCTCTGGAACGGCAGCTTCAAAAGCAGCAAGTCCGTCGTCTTCTGATACCTCTTGATCTCGCGCAGGGCCACAGTGCCGGGCTTGTATCTCTTCGTGCGCTGCGGCGCCGGGCCCGGCGCACCGAGTCTCTTCCCGCTCTCCTTGCGCCCGCCGGTCGATGCGCGTCCGCCGCGCGAGGGGCGTGCTTTGTTCTTTCGGCCGGGCGACTTCGCGGCGGGTGATCTGGGCGGCATCGCGATGCAGTATCCAAGGGTTGGTGTGGAGGTGGGAGCTTGGGCGCGTCGGGTCGCGTCGGGTCGCGTCGAGGAAGCCGTGCAGGAGCGCGCTTATGAAGGTTCCGAGCGCAGGTGTCGGCGACGGCGATGCGAGCAGCAGTATCAATAATGGGCGTACGGGTGCGGGGAACGCGCGCGTGCGGACGTGCGTTGCTCTTCTACTGTGCCCGGGTCGAGGGGGCTGGAATGGTGGCAGGAGCGAGCTTGTGCGCACGGGACACAGCCACAGGGAGGTGCCCTCCGATCTAATCTAATCTAATCTAATCTAATCTGATAGCATCTAATCTCGACTTGGCGTTTGGTTACGTAGCCTTTGGAGCTTCGGACCACCGCTGACGATGCTGGTGAGGTGGCAGCAATCCGCAGTTCGCTTGTTCTTTTCACTACTTGTATTGACGTTTACTGCAAGCTGAAGTATTGCCTGCTGCGTCCGAATCCACACCTCTCTGAAAGTTGCTCATACACAGTACATCCCAACATGGCACAGGTGCTGCAAGGTGGGGACGGCATGATGGGTGGTTTTCCGCTGGAGCAGTGGTTCTACGAAATGCCCGTGTGCACGCGATGGTGGATGACGGCGGCGCTGAGCGCGAGTGTGCTGGTCCAATGTCACATCATCTCGCCGTTCCAGCTGTTCTACAGCGTGCGGGCCGTGTTCTTCAGGAGCCAGGCATGACAGCTCCATTTCCACCAGAGAAGCACTGCAGCTGCTAATGCAAAGACAGTACTGGCGCCTCGTGACAACCTTCTTCTACTTCGGTCCGCTGTCGCTCGACCTCCTCTACCACATCTTCTTCCTCCAGCGATACTCGCGCCTCCTCGAAGAGAGCTCCGGACGCTCACCTGCGCACTTCTCGTGGCTCCTCACGTTTGCGTCAACACTGTTGCTATGCATTGCGCCTATATTCAGCATGGCCTTCTTGGGGTCGGCGCTCTCGAGCACCCTCATCTACATCTGGAGCCGCAAGAACCCGGATACCATGCTCAGCTTCCTCGGACTGCTGGTCTTCAAGGCGCCGTATCTGCCTTGGGTTCTGCTCGGCTTCAGTGTCGTCATGCACGGAACGGTGCCCAAGGACGAGATGTGCGGTATCGTTGTCGGACACAGTAAGTTCGCTGTGATTATTGACCACTTATGAGACTAACAGTCCCAGTCTGGTACTACTTCAACGATATCTTCCCTCCGCTTCACAATGGCCGCAGCCCCCTCGATCCTCCAGCATGGTGGATTCGCCTGTTCGACGGTGCCCCGCCGCCCGCAGAGGAGACTCACGACGACGATGCAGCAGCTGACCACGAGCGGAACCCCAACGAGGCCATTCCTGATGCTGTTCCGGCACACTAAATATCTGTACATACAACCACCCATACATCTGGCGTTTGGCGACCACGTTAGTTTGAAGATACCCTACCTTGCGCAAATGAAAGATTTCCCCTTCTATTACGTCTCGTAGTCTGTATTACTAGACCGCCACAGACTCACGCATCGCCACGGTCGACACGCCGCTCATTATTATCTCCATATTTTGCTCCGAACAGCCTGCTTGGAATGGCCAATCACTTTCCACACGTTCCTGCCACACATTGGCCAGATCCGTTAGATGCGCCAAGCTCCTGCCTAATCCGGGTGGCACCCCGCGGGACCTGCATACCATCGCTCGTTTCACGTCCGTGATACCCCAGATCTTGGAAGAAAGCGCGTGGCGATGGACGGACGTGGCCGATATCGTTGATAAGTGGTCGCACTGACAGTATTTAGTTGCCGTGGAATGGTATATATTAAGCTATGCCCAGACTTTTATTTCCTCATTGACTCGCATCGTTCGCTGCTCAAAATGGTCCACTTCAAGTCTACTGTTCTGGCTGGTATGGCTGCGGCTCCCTCTGCGTATGCATGGGGTTCGCTCGGTCATACGACTGTTGCGTACATCGCACAGAACCTCGTCTCGCAGGATACCAAGAAGTTCGCCCAGCGTATCTTGAACGATACCTCGGCATCGTACCTTGCCAACGTAGCCACATGGGTACACAGAACCTCAGCTGTTGATACAATTTCCCATACTAACAGCGACCCAGGCCGACAGCTACCGCTACACCGCCGAAGGCGCCTTCAGCTCACCCCTGCACTACATCGACGCCCTGGACTCGCCCCCCACATCCTGCGGAGTTAACTACGAGCGTGACTGCCCCGAGGAAGGCTGCATCGTGTCCGCCATCGCTAACTATTCCACCCGCGCCGTCACCCAGTCCGTCGGCCTCACTGAGCAGCAGAAAGCGCTTAAATGGGTGATCCACTTCGTCGGCGACATTCACCAGCCCCTGCACGTCGAGAACCTGGAAGTCGGCGGCAACCTCATCAACGTTACCTTCAACGGCGCCCGAACCAACCTGCACGCCGCATGGGACACGGCGATCCCGCAGAAGCTCGCCGGCAACTTCTCGCTGGCCAACGCCGAGCGCTGGGCGACAAACCTGACCGGCGAGATCAAGCGTGGCGCGTACAAGAAAGAGAGCAAGACCTGGACCAAGGGCCTGCAGGCGAAGAAGCCTGTCGACACGGCTATGCTCTGGGCCAATGACGCAAACGCATTCGTCTGCTCGACCGTCCTCCCCACCGGCCCGGAGACCGTGCGCAACCAGGAGATCAGCGGCGCGTACTACGACACCGCCATCCCCGTGGTGACGAAGCAGATTGCAAAGGCCGGGTTCAGACTCGCTGCGTGGCTCGACGCGGTGGTGGAGAACGCGGGCAAAGGCGTGATCAAGGGTGCGGACGGGAAGTACGGACTCAGCAAGAGGGCGTTCGAGTACGAGGCTTGGCAGCTCGCGGCCAAGGAGAAGAGGGCGCTGTTTGGCGACGATTGCGGGTGTGGCGAGGACCATGCTCATTAGAGGCGGTCTGTGGGATTGGAACGTGCTTGTGTCAGGTTGTTGAGCGTGGCGTTGGCGGTGTAGTGTTGAACAAATGACGAGATTGCTATTCGAGCAAAGGTCCGATGCTGTTCAACGTTTGCTCTGAACTCCCCGCTGCTTTGCATCGCCGTGCCGTCCTCCCCTCCTCTGGGCGTCTGGCTGCGTTCCTACTCGGGTTCGACAGAGAGGGGTTGGAGTCTGTCGCCGATGCAGCGCTGCCGCTCCGTAGGATTTGTGGCATGTGCAGAATAAGAGCAGATGATGGACTTTGCTTATGTCCGCGCAGAATTGTTATTGTTCTCAACTCTACGTATAGTATAAACTCGCGCTAGGTACAGCGAGTAGTTGTCCGCGCACTGTGTCCCTCAGATACATCAGTTGACGTGAGATCAACACCGCAGACCTGTTGAATGCTGCATGCAGCATACAAGTCTGCCCTCATCCCACTTCAATGTTCAGTTTCCTTGCAACCGGCATACTTATGCTGCCGCAACGGCCGCTTGGCGAGCGATCCTGAGGGATCGTGTCTTGCGGCGAAGGGACAAGCCTTCATAAGCGTTGATCGTGGTTGTAAGCGTGCCGTCCAAGGACTGAGTCTGGGCTTGAAGATCCGCAGCACGAGACTGAACGGTATCAATCAAGGCGAATGCAATAGTCTACCTTGTCAGCGATGTTTTGATTCCACATGCATAATTTTACTTCACAAAGCAGGTGGAGGCACTCACATCGACAACACTCTCAACCTGTCTGAGCACGGCAGCGACCGGCTGGCCAATAAATGGCACGGTGCTGAACAGCCCAGCCTTTCCGATCAGGATATTCAGGAGTGCCTGGTGAACTCGCACAAACTGCAGAGAGTAGGTTAGTAACATCGCAACACCCAAGGGAAGAACGTGTCTTACCTCGCGAAACGCATCGAAGATCGCGTTACTCTCATCGCCTGCTGGTACAGGTGGCATCCCCCGTATCTGCGATAAAGCAGTAGTGGCTGTGGACACGATATCGGCGAAGCCCGTAATGATCTGCGGGAATGGTCCCTGACCGATTAAGATCAACGGACCATTAATGAGGTTGATGCTCTGAGCTGGAGCTTGGAGGGCTTGCGACTTCTGGGTAATCAGGTCGATGTTGGTGACGACTTGGGCTGGAGTGGTTTGGGCAATGACTGGGACGGCCAAAGCCATAGCTGAGGCTAGGATCCTTCCGAAGGCAACCATTTTGTTGTAGTGAGTATAAGAATGCTCAAAGAGAAAGTCGTTTTGATGGGAAGGATTACGATGAAGTTGTTTGATGAGAGATAAACCGGCGGGAAAATGTGAGGAATTTATACTTCATCTTGACAATGCCAGAGTACTGTCGGCGCAGGCGCGAGGGAGTGGTGAGCAGAATGCTCGTAGATCTAGGGCACACTTGTGCTAACGATCGTCCTGGCGATGAGAACATGAGCTTTGTTGAGCGCTTAGTCGGCGAAGTTCACACCAGTATCGACAAGAGACTAAGGCAATGTGTGCTCGTGTTCGCTCCTTTCTGGTATGCACCGTCTCTAGCTTCACGGTATTGCAGCATCTAGCTGACGACAATGACAGTAAGATTCGAGATCAGCCATGCGGGGGGCTCAGCGCCCGAGCGAAACGTGAGTCTCGGTCGTCGTGGGTATCGCAGAAAGCAGACGCCTTCTAAGGCAGTGAGTGTTTCGACATTTGCAGAGAATCTTGAATACCTCCTAGATAATCATCGGGCATGAAATGCGTCTCGTCCAGGTACATGTTCACAAGTCATGCGCTTGATGATCTCCAGGCTGGACGAGCTTTCGAGCACAATACTAACTGTGTGAGACTGTCCATCACGGCTTGCATTGCTGTGCTGTGATATCTAGCTAGTTAGTACCCATATTAGCTGCTAGTGTTCTTTCGTGTTGATCTGCGTCTGTGGGCCCACGAGCAATGAGTTCTGTCAAAGACTGCCTGATTTGTATGCAGTGGATCGACCTTGCATCCGGCGGACTGACACCGAACCCGTAGTTGTTGCTTGGCGATGTTTGCACAGAAGCATTGTTGCACTGTGCACCTGCGACTGTGCGAACGTCTTTCGAATGTTACCGACGGCTCGGCGCGCTCCGGCGATCAGTGGGGCGCGTTTAGGTGAAGGTGTGACCTCTGCGCCTGCGATTGGTGACCATGTGTATAGCGCTACCCTCTAGGCAGGTGCCATGGTGCCATTGTCGTCATGGGCGGACTAAAGGGGCGGTGCGGGCAGACGGGGCGCGCTTGGTCGACGTTCGGTCGACGAGACCTCTATGTTAACACTGAGGTGGAACGCTGAAGGAGCGTCTTGGAGCCATGCAATGACACAGTCGAGCTCCACAAGTTCGAGGTTACATACTGCACAGGCGGTGAGCCGTGTGACGTCATAGGTCGTTCTCAAACCACTATCAGACGATAACAAGCCAGTAACGTCTCGAGCTCAAATGCCCTTTGACCACTTCTTGTCTACCCTATCCATTCATATGAATGAAACGTTTTTGATAACAGTCCCATCGTGATTCAGATTCTGGGTGTCGGATCATGCATGCTGAGACCAAGTGAGCGTTGCGTATACAATTCATGAAGCGACTGACTCTTCCGGCCTTTCAGCGATGCAAGAAACACAACATTAATCAAATGATCGAGCAGGAAAATATGGTAATCCCCAGAAAACCCCCGGTTTGAGGCAGCCCGAGCCATGATTCCTTGACTCTAGGATCTAACACTAAACCCATGCGAGGACTACAGCACCCTGCTTACAGGCCTACACGAAGCCAATATCCGGTTTAGAACAAGGACTGTAGTCTCGACAGCACGAGAGGCGAAGAATTCGAGAGGAGGTAACATCTTACTGTAATATGGTCGGCTGAAAGACTGTATGTTTGACCCAGAGTACTACACTGCTAATCAGAGACTCGACCCTGATTTGCTCGCGCCCGGAAACTTATGCTGGATAACATCCCACAGTGGCTCACCACCTTTGATCAGATCTTGCCAAGCAGGACATGCAAGGCTTATGGTCGACGTAGCCAAGACGTCCGTCACCATGTTGATTGGGCCTGCCAACGTAGCAAGCAAAGGGGAGAGAGAGTTTGGTAGGAAGGTTTTCAGCAGCTCGAAGGCAAAACATAGAAGGTTGTTTCCCTCGAGTAGCGAAGCTGACGTGACAAGTCCGCCAGTCATGTTACGCAGATCTAGGCCAGAGAAGGAGTTGACATTCCCGGTATTACCGCCAATGCTGTTTGCGATTGGTCAGCGGTTGTATCCTTCCATACGAATGAGAGCAAGACAGAATCTGACATACCTTCCCAGCTCCGGATGTTTCATAACCCAGCTGATAATGTCGACGTTCAGCGGAATAAGGCCGTACTCACTTGACCTACGAAACCAGTTCTCAGGGAAAGTCTCATGGCCTTGACGATATTCAAGGTTGCCTTGTGCATCTTCGTAAACAGCGAAGAAACTCTTCAACACCTCCTGACTGAGCACACCATCGGGATACTCCTCAGTATGATTAGAAAGCAGGCGGCCAAGAAACATATAGCCTGCATTACGGCTGATCATACCAGTGACAGGTCCGTAGTAAAAGTTGGGATTGTGAGAGACACTGTACTGCCAGCGTCGGGCAGCCTGCTCGGCGAGCAAGTCCATTGATATGACCCCATTCTCATCTGCACGACCGTAGATGTCGCGAAATAGAGTCATGTTCATTGTCCAGGCATCGCCCGTTACGTACAGGTCATCTCGCGTAAGAGAAGAGTCGGACTCAATCCAGTTGTGTGAGCCCTGGAGACCTCGAGGATCACCTGCGGGAATATTAGTCTGACACGGCTCGGAAGTCTGTGCACAATGACGAGCATACCTATGACGCCAACGAGGTTGCCAAGAAGGTTGTCGGATCCGTCATTAGCGACAGTGCCACCGATGGAAAACCCGGGGTCCAGAGACAGCGGATTCCCTGTCCAAACTGTACCCATGAGACCCAGAATCAGGGCAAGATCGATGCCCATACCAAATACTAAACATCTGCATGAGTATCATCATGCATCTTCGGAAGCTTCCTGGCACGAACCTTGGTTAATGGCTGTCACCACCTCGCCATAGCTGGTTATGCCATCATGAGGTATGTAGCCGTGGTTCGCCAGAGCATTCAATCCAGGACATGGTCCACGTTGGTCGTCCTTACTCGGCGCCTGGAATGCGTGTTTGCCAGAGATACCGATGGGTTTGCTCGGGTCTACGATGAATCGCTTCTCCTTGCGGTATGACTTCACCGCCTCAAGAGCATGATTCAAACTCTTGGGCGTAAGGCTTCTGAGATTTGGTGTAGTGGTTGTAGGGAACGATTCAACGAGAAAGGCCGAAGAGATAGCGATAAGTATAGTCCAGGACTTCATTTTTGGATGGGTAGATTCGTTCACAGGATCAAAGATCGAGGATTAAGACAGAAATCAGAGTGGAGGTACACGGAGGTACACAGAGTGACAGGACTGTATGCTGTGCACTCTGGATAATTCAGGAGCCTCAACGGTGGGGGAAGTCCGGAAAGGAGAACTATTGCCTATGGACTTACATGGCAATCGTACGTCGATCCCATCAGGAAGGGAGAGGCATGGGCAATTCAAATCTCCTCCAGTACGTGTGGCAATATTTCGGAGATTTTACTCATGGAGCTTCCCCGTGGGTCAGGCCTAAGTGTTTCATGTTATGCAAAGGTAGGGATGAGGATTTTCATTCAACAGTTGACAGTGCACCGTGCCATCCCGCATTTTCGGCCCGCCTCGATTTAGGGTCGAGCGTTAAGACGTATCGTCTAAAGTTGCCCCACATCCGCGTTAATAGCGTTAAAAACAGTTCGGCTTTCCGTGCGTCAATTGTTCCACCGATTTGGTTGAGTAACTGAACAAGCCTACGTCAGGCCCGCGGCTGTAAGATTCATGTACAGTCATCATATCCCAGATTTTGCGAAGACAAAAGAGCCTGAGTGAACATTTCTGAATAAGGGGGCATAGACTTGCACGCTCGTGGCACAGTCGAGATGTGAATGCCTTCCATATGCACGCGACAGCTATCTTTGGATGAAGAGGCCGTAGCGGTGCCTTCTATCTACACGTATTCTTTTTCTACCTTTCCATTAGCAATAGGCCAATTATCCAGATGATTGTCGCCGGCCGAACGTTCCAGTCTCATGTCGTTGGTCGTCGAATGGTGCACATTGCCACTGTCCATGCTTACTAGTGGAATGAAGTCTCCGGCATCTCCAATCTTGGGCTTAATGGAAATGCGCGCAATTTTCTTGTCCATCGCGTTAGATCTAACGCCTCCAGAAAGCGCAGAGGATGATGTTGAAGTGTTCTTGCCGGAGTTGAAAGTCAACTTGACCTTTGGCCACAGTCTCGACAGCAGTAACCGATGGGCAGGCATGCATCCACAGATGATGGAGACATCTATCTCGAGTAAGCTCCAGTAGCCAGCCTCGAAGTAGTCCCAAGTGATATTCTTCGAATTGGCAAAGTGAGCGAGGGTGTAGAGTCGTAAGGATGAAATGACAATGACTATGATCCCGACAGAGAACATTGCCATGACCATTAGCTTCCTCCTCAGGTTCATATTTAGCCCGGCGAGGTGTTTCAATGGGAGCACCATGACGATCCCGTCCAGCATGATGTTGATACCGGCGGCGATCCATCCTTGAAGGTGGATGTTGTTGCACTTGCCTTCATGGAGACCGTCCCATTGAGTCCAGGCGTAGCTGATTGGCATACACTGCAAGAGTGTAGCGAGAAAGAAAGCGATTGTGTAGGCTGCTGAAAGGCCCATAATACCATAGATGAGGCGCCGAAAGCCTTTCTCGGGAAATACTCGGAGGTAGAAGAAGAGGATAGATATCTTCGAAATACCTAAGGCGACGACGTAGAAGATCTCTCCGAAATAGTAGAAGCGCAGAACGTTGGTGATCTGGTAATCTTTCAACGTCCACATGTCTCGACCCAATCCGTTGTCAACCACTATGTAGCTGTTAGGGCTTGCAATCTGGAAGGTGGGTATTGTAAAGAACTCCAAGCTTACAGAAAAACGCGAACACGGCTGGAGGAATGGAAAGTGCGACAACTATACCCATAGTGGCATCATCCCACGACATCTGTCGACCATTCTTCAGCAGGCTTGCACCTAGTCTCATGACAAAGGCGAGCATGGCAACTACGACACCACAGAGGCCAATCACGACGAAATCGCGACCTCTGTCGCGGACAGGAACACCGCATCCACGACTGGAGACATTCTTGGTTTCTTTATTACCCTCGGGTCAGCATTTGAGCTCAACACTACAGATAAGGGGTTCTCTTACGAAGAAGTTCGTATACTGTGCAGGTCTTTTGTGCGCAGACGCCTACAGCCACATTCAGGGCCACATCAGTGCATAAGCACTCGGAAGTAAGATTTTTGACACAACCGGATTGAGGTATTGCCATAGTGAAGCAAGCCAACTGATCGGAGTGGTCAGACAGAGAGCACTGAATGCGGTAGTTTCAGCGAGCGGAGACGTACGGAACAACTGGGCATGTTTTGTGCCAAAGATAGAAGAGCATTCTGAGATCTGACTGATACCAGCAGTGTGGTCAGTAAGACCAGTACAATCGTCAACCGCATGTCGGGACTCGGTGTCGTGTCCACGCGATTTCAACCCTTGAAGTACAGAGGGCGGATCGCAGTTGGAGAGGAGGGGACTGTTCTCAAGCTATCCACGACGACCACTCCGACTCCTTGTACTCCCTTGATCGACGAAAATAGCAGGTACGAAGTTTCGCGACACATCATGTCATAGTGAGAGGCCTACGTTCACACCCATGTATGCACGCGCGTGTGGTCCGCAGGCTGTCAACGCAGCTTCGGCCCGACAGACGACCTGACGTTCACAACGCATCCATAAAAAGGCCGAATTCAGGAGGGCAAAGATGCACCGGTCAAGAGTACCAGGGGCAGTGCGAAAATCGTTCCCCATTCCGTGGCCGAGCCGCAGGCGCATTGAAGTAGCCTGTAGGGGAAGCGGCGTCGCCGCCGGCCCTTCCCGCGTGACCTCAGAAGGGATCAATCTTCCTGTCCACGGGGGCTTTTAAGAACGTACCCTGTTATAGTGGGTCTATACACCAGATTGGTCTTTTCCCATGGTCAAGGTGGGTCTGAAAGGGATATTTGATCCGAAATAAACGAATCGTCCATACGGCGACGTGCTGGGGCCATGAGTGGTAGTTTGACCGTCTTCCCATATTGAGACCAAGCACAGACCAAGACAAGACCAACGTGGGATAGGGGATGTAGGCGCTGACGATCCCAATCAGTCACAATCACGACCGACATCCAGCTCGGATAATTTCTTCCTTCACGTTTTGGGTTACATGCGTAATCCTTTCTCTCCAGAAATTGGCATGTTGTCTTTGCACGATTATAAATGATTGTATTTATTACCACCAGATCAGTCCGCTCTTTACAAGATATAACCCTCCCACCTTGACATCCTATTACCAGAATGAAGCATTGCGCGGTTGTTGCGCTGCTTGCATCGGTAGCGGCAGCGAGATATATGTATGGTACTTCGCATACACCTGTAAGGTTTATGTTGTCACTAACATTCGTGGCAGTGATGGCGCTGAGCACACGCCCTTTCGAGGCGTAAATGTCAAACGTGCTTCCAACCATACCACGACCGACGTCACGCTCGATGACTACGAGTATGTCGTTGTCGGTTCTGGTCCAGGTGGTGCTCCTCTGGCCGCCAAGCTCGCTATTGCTGGCCACAAGGTTCTCCTGCTCGAGGCCGGCGGTGATGAGACCAACAGTACCGAGTATAATGTGCCCGCTCTACACGCTGTCGCCTCAGAATATGAGCCGATGAGATGGGACTTCTTCGTCAAGCATTTTGACGACGACGAGAGTGTGAGGAGGGACACCAAAGTCACCTATGAACTGGCCGATGGATCTCGCTACACTGGTGCCAACCCGCCTGCAGGAGCCACTCCGCTTGGAATCTTGTATCCGCGCGTAGGATCACTTGGCGGCTGCTCTTCTCACAATGCGCTGCTCACAATTTACCCTTACAAGAGTGATTGGCAGCACATCCAGGACATCACTGGCGATAGTTCCTGGGCCCCCGAAAACATGCGCAAGTACTACGAGCGTCTGGAGAAGGCTCGCTACTTGCCCAACAGTATTGTCGGCCACGGCTTCAGCGGCTGGTTGGAGACCTCGTTGACCGAGCTTACCCTGATTGCTCAGGACTCCAAAGTCCTTTCCTTGGTGGTTGCTGCCGCCACAGGTATGGGTAAGACTCTCCTTGAGTCGCTTCTCTCTACCGTTGGTGGCCTTGCTCAAGTACTGCTCCGCGACATCAACCATCCTGGCGCAGACCGGGACTCGGAAGAAGGTCTATGGCAGGTGCCTCTGGCGATGAAGATTCCGGAGTACAAGCGTGCTGGTCCTGTCGATCTTCTCAATAAGGTCATCAACGCAAAGAACGATGACGGCAGCCGCAAATACCACCTTGATGTTCAACTCAACACCCTTGTCACTACCATTCAGTTTCAGCAGGGCAGTAACAGTACGCCGAAAGCAACTGGCGTCAACTTCTTGACCGGGAGATCTTTGTACGGCGCCGACCCTCGCCGCCAATCCGGTGCGGCCACGGGACAAGGTACTAAAGGTTCCGTCACTGCCACACGCGAGGTCATAATTTCGGCTGGTGCGTTCAACACCCCCCAGATACTCAAGCTTTCCGGTATTGGGCCTAAGGAAGAGCTCGAGAAGTTTGGCATCGAAGTCGTCAAGGACCTCCCGGGAGTTGGCACGAACCTCCAGGATCGCTACGAAGTTCCTGTCGTTGGTCAGGCTCCTTCTAAGCTGGCTCTCCTGAAAGAGTGCACCTTTTTGGAGGGAAACGACCCTTGTCTTGAGAAGTGGGAAACTCTGCCCGTTGAAAAGGGCTCGTACGCCACCAACGGTGTTGCTCTGGCTATCACAAAAAAAGCAAGCAACTCCGCCAACGGCAACGCCGACCTCTTTGTCGCTGGTTGGCCAGCTTATTTCAACGGCTACTACCCCAACTACTTCCAGAACGCAACTGCTGGAGGTAACCATTGGACTTGGCTCACCCTCAAAGCCGAGTCTCGCAACAATGCTGGTTCAGTCACTCTGCGTAGTGCTGATCCGCAAGATGTTCCCGACATCCACAAGCGCAATTTTGCCGTTGGTGGCGACGAAGACATTGACGCTCTCGTGGAAGGCATGAAGTACGGACGCAGAGCTTTTGCAGACCTCATTCCTTTGGACGGCAGTTTCACCGAGGTCTGGCCTGGAAAGCAAGTCGAAACAGACGCGCAGTTGAGAGACTTCGTCAAATACGAGGCTTGGGGACATCACGCCTCTTGCACTTGTCCAATTGGTGCAGACGATGACGTGAACGCCGTACTCGACGGTAACTTTAAGGTTCGTGGCATTGAAGGTCTCCGAGTCGTTGATGCTTCTTCCTTTCCAAAGATCCCGGGCACATACCTTGCTCTTCCTATTTACATGATTTCGGAGAAAGCTGCGGATGTCATTTTGGCGGCTGCAGTTTAGTAGACTATAAGCAAATTTAATTTCCAAGCCACCTGTGTTGGGACATGCGCGTTTGCATTAATACCACTTTGCTACTCTGTCTTGATCACAATCTTCCCGTGAAAATTTCCCGATTCCAGTCGCTCGTAAGCCTTTTCTGCGTTCGCAAAAGTAAAAGGCTCATCTGTAAGTAATGGGGCCAAGTGAACCTTCTTCTCCTCCAAATGGCGGTTCATCTCCTCAAAGTCGTCTCTGGTACCCATGGCGATGCCCCTAGCAACATCAGTCAATTACAAGTCTTCAATATTAACAATACTTACTGCAATTTCGCGGACTTGTGCATCAGGCTCATGATCTGCCCGGGCGCCCAATCTGCATCGAATCCCTCCAGGAACCCAACCATCGAGACTGTTCCACCTCGCTCGCACAAGAAGCTGATATCGTCCATGAGTGACTTGGGGCCGGTGTTGTTGACGACAAAGTGTACTCCGCGCTTATTAGTCAGACGCTGAATTTCGGCGCCTTGATCCGTCACGGTCTTGTAGTTCAGACCTTGGATGAGCGGACTGAGCTTCTTGATCGCAGCAATCTTCTCATCGGATGAAGACGTGATGATCGGCCGGATGCCAGCGGATATACACAAAATTAGTGCAAACATACTGACACCGCCAGTACCTGCAGTCCATCAGCACCTATGATATCGAGGTTTCCCGCTACTGTAAGAAGGTTTACCTTGAAGCAGGGCGTACGCTCCTTCCGGAACGTTCTTGAGTCCATTAAGTGCGTTCCACGCAGTAACACCCGCACAAGGAAGGGTTGATGCCTGTGCTAGTCAGCAACACGGCATCTAGATGTCGACCTTGCACTCACCTCTTCCCAGGACAAGTGGTCAGGCACTTTGACCAGGTGCTGTTCATCAAAGACCGCATACTCCCTCAGCACACCCGGACCATTCGTACCAACACCGACGCTCATCCCGTCTGATCCTCCCTCGTACGTCTTTCCAATACTAGGATTCGGGCAAACGCGATCTCCGACAGCAAATCGGGAGACAGAAGATCCAGTTGCAACGACTTCGGCTGCGGCGTCCGAACACGGAATGCCTTTATCTTGTATATCCATAGGATACGTGCCGATCAGCATTGCAATCTCGCGATAATTAAGCGAAATGGCGTGGATCTTGATGAGGACATCGTTGGGGTTGAGTGTTGAAGGGAGGGCTTCGTCGTAAGTGCGGAAGATGGTTAGGGGCTGCTCCTTCGTTCCTCTGAGGCCGCTGCGATGCCAGGCGGAGTATGTTGAGGGATGTGACATGATGCGTTATTCGAGATTAACGGTCAAGGTTGAGCTGCATAGTAACAAGACTGTGTGAGAAGCGCATATATAGGTTCTTGTAGAACCTTACATCATCATGCTCCGAGGTGACACGTCCGTCATATTTTGCCCGGGTGACAGCAGTAAGTCGGACGAGCTCCTCAGGCTATCTATTACACAGCAGGGGTCAAGCTTAAGACATAAATGCGATGGGCTACCTACATGGCTATATGGCGCTAATGCAAGGTGCTTTGACGCGTGAAGTGGGTCCAGCTAGGCTTGTCATTTGTCAGTCTTGTTACGATCAGTGCAATAATCGGGTGTGCAAAAATAACGCTGGTCGATATGACTGAACGGACGCATTCATTGGCCGAAGAACCCCAATAATGCATCTGCCAACCTCACTTCAGCCTCCAAAGCCAGACTGTGACCGCACTCCTCGAAGATGTAGCTCTGCGTCACATTGTTGGCTGCCATCTCCATCTCTGGCTTCACGAGGTAGCCAAAGAACTCCGGTGAACCAATCGTCATGACTGGCATGGGAAGCTTGTTCTGCACAAGCTCACGGTTGATTTGTCCTTGCAAAAGTTAGTTCACAGACTCATGATAGATCTCAATGCTGTTTCAACATGCCGTTCACCAAGCCCGCCCTGTAGGTCTCTAGAATACCTCTCAGACCACCCGGGCTCTTCGCCGCACCAGTCCACTCAACAATCGCCTGTCGACTAAGCGCGATCGGGTTGTAGCACTCAGCCTCCATGAAGAACGTCCAGAACTCTTCCTCTTTACCAGTGATTAACATAGTCGCGATGTCGATCTGATAGAAGAACGGAATGTGCCAAGTCCAGACGCCGCGTTGCTCGTACTGAAGCATGACATTTGACTCGGTGAATTGCGATGCATTGTCAAGCCCAAAACCAGATAGCAGCATCTCACCGAAAGAAAGTGCGAGCACGCGGTTGCGGTAATCGGCTGCAAGAACATATGAAAACTCTGCACCACCTGTTGGCCGTCAGTGTGCAGTACATGATATTGTGTAATAGTATGACTTACGGTCTTCGCCGTGAACGTAAAAAGTGTTGTATCCGAGCATGGTCATCAGGTCCGCAAGGTCCTTTGCATTCTTCCGACTGTCGTAGCCCATCTCCGCTCCTGGCTTGTCCGTGTACCCAAATCCTCTTAGATCGGGTGCCACAATCGTAAAGTGCTGGCTTAGTAATGGTACTAGCTTATACCAGTAGTAGTTTGTCTTCGGTGTGCCGTGCACAAGCAGCAGTGGCGGCCCTGATCCAGTTGTGTAATAATGCATCTTGATCATGTTAAGACGTGCTCGACCATGTCGCACAGCGTTTCCAGTGTGATCGTATACTTCAGGACGAGTGGACCATGGGATTGGCTCGATATTGCCAGAGTAGTTTTGACCTGATGAAACGAGTTCAGCGCCATTGGTGGGTATCGTTGGCATAGACGCGTTCGCGAGAGGTGCTGTGCCATTCTGAGCAGTCGCGAAAGACAGCAAAGACGCTGTGACCGGCAGGATATGTGAAAGGAGCATAATGGATGGATTTCCTAACGCCTTAGTCCACGAAACATAGGTCTTGATAGAATCCGACGCTCGGGTTCTGGCTTGCGGCCCGTCATCTTTTAACTCATACCTGCACGATGATCCCCACACACCGCAGAATTGGTAGGCTACTTGAGAGCGTCATAATTTGGAGCGATGTCTTCGGGTTCCTCGATGAGGTTGGAGTGGATTTGAAGGTGTAAGGTTGTCTTGGCCGATGACGTTGCGAGGTGTCGAGGTGTCTTCGTGCCTGCCGGACTTCACTCCGAGCCGTGTCATCGTGGGGCTAGCATCAATACAACCTCCCCTGAGGGCATCCGGACGTTTTCTGGATTCATATTCATTGCCACCTTCCATGATAGATGGCAAGCTAGGGAGCTTCTCCTACTGTCCACGATGAAGGCAGTAGCGACCGATGTGAGTACACGCTCTCGAAGTTACCGTTTGACATCGTCCAAATCTCGATATGCTTTGGAATTCAAGGTTCTGCGGAAATCTTCACACTTCTTTGAGTTTCTCATGCAGCTCAGCGAAGTCCGCCCGTACCGGGACCCAGGCGTTCCAATCGATACACAAGATGTTCATAAGTGCGATTCCGCATTGGATTGTTGCGTAGAGCCGCTTATGCCAATCAATTGTAGATCGTGCAAACCATAGAGGCATTTAGCGTTCTCAATCTGCAGTGGCTTTGCAACGAGCAAGACATGCTCAGCTTCTAGCACTACGAAGGTAAGGCATGCGAGTGTACGAAACGCTTCCCCACCTAGCTATCCTCCACCTTCCACAGCAGCTCCAAAAACTCCTTCCTCATCGGCCCTCTCCCAACCCAACTCCAGATCCTCATCTTAGACCTTATGTCTTCAGTCGAAGACGCCATCCTATTCCTTTCCCAATTCGCATTAAAAAGCGTGTGTTTGAGGATCATCGCTACATTCGTACTGAACGGGAACTGCCGTACAAGTTCTCTATGTACGACGACTGTCTTCCAGGCATTATCGTTAGAGTGCTTTTTCGTACCGTGTGTGAGGTTGTACAGCTAGGATTTAGGGGCGTAGCGGCCGAGCATGGTGTATTTGCGGCGGGTGGGCGGTGTCTTATCTAGCGGGGCTCATGTCCAGAAGATAAGACAGCGCTCAATTGCCTCTGGGTATTCATGGTTCATTTGAAGTGACGCGAAAGATGGAGATCCGTCTGAATACCCCTCTTCACCTTCTCAGCCGAGCACTAATTGAGGCTTACTTTTCGGATTTGTCAGCTCCTTCTCAGAAGCTTGGTCACTACTCGCAGACCTAATGTATCGACATCAGTCTGTTTGAGGTACCCATTCACTCAGCACTGGAACCATGGGTGGACCTGCTCTGAAGCGGATGAGACTCCACTAGTTGATCAGCGGCTAGGAGCCTGTCTTCAATGCACATGTGTGTTCTGCAAAGAGACGAATGTGAAATTTCGGAAAGATTTCAGGCTGCGCGACGCACTGGGTGGCCCCAAGATGTGTCGCCGGGTATCAGGCTGAATGCTTGTAGTGAGCGGCGTGTCGCAACCCTGCCGCTGCAGGCACAGGAACGTCACTGCCTTGACCTGCCTTGATCGATGATAAGGCTGAGCATAGACACAGCCTGATGCAGTTCATATGTTGTCTAATGCCAAGATTCATACAAGTCAGTTCAACTTGGGTACGGTGACTTACATAGCTTGAATGCTTGGTGAGGTTACAAGGCACATCCCTCATCAGGAGTGAAGTACAAGAAACAACACGCAAAGAACGGCTTTGAAGAGGTCTCAAAGATTGCATTTCGCTAAACAAATCGACGACGGACTCGTCGCTCTAATGTTCGCGTTTGACGTGTCCAGCCATCTAGTAAGAGCCTAGACGCCTCGCTTCGCTATTATAGAATATGCTCAGGAAAGTGAAAAAGAATGCCGTGCAACAGCACTGAATCGAACCGAACGCCAGTGTCTTTGATGACACAGAGGGGAACCCAAGGGTAATATGTACGCCCACATGGCCCTTGAACCTGAACACCATGCCCAATATTAACTAATATTGGATTAAAGCGCTTTACGTAGAAGGGGCCGGCCATTGCTATCGTGGGTATCGTTCGTCGTGACATCGTAAGAGAGGATTATCCAGAAGACAAATCCAAAGTGTGTATTCAAGTGTCGCTCGAAGAAGGGTAAGATAGTGGGGACGGTCTGGTAGGTGATATAAGATGGAAGAGATGAGCGCCGATAGTAGGTAATGGAAGCGGAAGGGGGTATCATATAGGCCTGTAACACATCTGAACAGCATAGCTCACCTTCGACGCGTACATCAACCTGGCTGTGTTGCAAGATCACGAGGAGCCAGCCTTGCGAGGCGGCTGCAACTTCGTGACAATGCTCAAGCCTGGACTGACCCGGGCCGAAAGATCGCTTTCTGCTCATGTGCATCATTAGCTTAAAAACGAACAGTGTTGCTGCGGGCGAGACCAGGTCTCGACAGCTTCTTGGGTGAGCCGTTGGGGGCGACAGCGGACGGTCGCGCACCAATCTTTTCGAACCCTTGCAGCAGGTCGATACCCGGCTCAGACTCATCGCTGTGCAGAAGGTGGAAGATGTCATCATCATCCTTGCTCTGCTGCTGTGTTGAAGGGGCGCTGTAGGACTCTGGAGGTATAAGGCCGGTGAGCTTGTTCTCCTTATTTGGTCCGCCAAGAGAAAGACCCAGGCCAGCCAACGCGGTGGATGTCGGAGGCCTCAGCTGGGGAGCCTTGAGCGGCGACATGCCCTTGAGCGGCGATAGGTTGGGGATGTTGAGGAAAGAGGACGCCATCTTCCAGTTGGGAGTGGGCGAGTTCACAAAGTTACTCTTAGAGCCAGTAATGTCAGCGAGGACACCACTTGTGGTGACAGCGCGTTCCATGCGTGGTCGCTGCTTGCCAACACTGCGCTTCAGTGGGCTCTCATTGTAGCCGAAGTCACCAAAGATATCGAATGTGCTTTCGAAACCCTCGCTGACAAGATTAACTTGCTCTTCGTTAGGGATCGAAATAGCGGGACTCCAACCCTTGGCATCCAGAAAGGATGTATCAGCCCACATAGCTAGGTTCTTGTCTGGCGATCCTCCAACGAGTTCGCGCATCTTGTTCCTGTGGTTGCGCAGGTTGGTATTTGGCGATGCGGATGCAGGTGGCAAAGCAGGGCGCTTGAAGACGATGGCAGGGGTGAGCGGGTTTCCGGGCTTCTCGCTTAAGCGAAAGGGCGACGAGATAGGTTGGGCAGCATTAGGCTGTCTCATGTAAGGCCTGGGCTTGGAAGGAGAGTCGTATGAGGAGCCACGAATCCGGGCAATTTCCTCTTCCGCACGTCCCTTCTTGATGGATGGGCGATCAAGATCAGCCTCGGAAGTGAGGAGTGGTCCGAGCGGGTTACCCTTGATCGCTGATGACTCAATGGAAGAGTAGTAACCGCTGTCGCCAAGACCATTGAACTTACGTCGGCGTCCACCTGATCGGCTGCTGTTGGATGGAAAGCGAGGTCCACGTGGAGGAGTATCCTCGCGAACAGATCGCGAACGTGAGACAGGCGGCGGTGGAGACGATTGAATGTCAGCAGGTGGTGGCGAGGACGGCAATGCACGCGGCGGTGGCATATTCACTGAGTCATGTCCGTCGTGGGCAGCAGGGTCTGAGCACGGAATGGTGGCATCCGAGTCTGGCAGGTCATTCTCCTCTGGCTCAGGGAATCTGCTCGAGTCGAAGCCTTTGGTCGAGCTCATAGGCGGGAAGCTAGCAGACGTTGACGTGGACGGGCGAGGCAGGTCGCTGGGGTATGCCGGAACCAAACTCTCAGGGTTAGTGGAACGGCGTGTGGGCTTGACCTTGTGGTACTGCTTCTCGAAGCCGGCGTTGATGACCCAGTAGTGGCCTTTTCCAGGGTCATCCTTCGGTCGCTCCTGTTTCGAAAATGATTTGCTCAGGCTGAGATTGTGACGGATGCTATTCTGCCACCCTGTCTCTTGCGAGTTGCGGTAGAATGCAAATGTGTCTGAGATCCATTTGTAGATCTGCGCCAATGTGAGGCGTCGACTTGGCGCACGGAGAATGGCCATTCCAATGAGCATCGCGTAGCTATACGACGGCTTGTTGCCATCATCCTCGACAGTGGGCATCTCGTCTGGCTCAGGGAGGGGTCCTTCTGTTTCTTCGACCTTGATATCCTTGGCGACCTTCTGCTTCTTGCTGCGGTCGCGCAATGGTGCTGCGTCCGTGAGGGCGCGTTTGTTGTTGGCGGCGTGTTTTACCGGTGGCTCTGCCGCTGCCATGGCGGCCATTTTGGGTTCCGGGTAGGCGTATGCGTTCTCCTTGTTCATCTGGGACGACGGCAGGTTGTTCCAGCACTGTACGGGAGCCATCGTGTGCGGATGCCCGGGCTGGTGCGCCTTCTTCATGGGCGCGTCAGTGCGGAAACGCTGCTCTCTCGGTGGTGGGAGGTTGACGTCCTTCTTGCCAAGCACGTTGCGTGTGGGAGAGCTGGAGAGGTGACGCCCTTTGCGTGGCGACGGTTCGGTGGTGAAGGCGTCTGGCGGGGCGAGGAGGGTGTGCGAGTCGTTCGACACGTCCACGATGCTCACAAAGGCGTCGAGATAGCGCGGATCGTAGGGGGCGGCCTGGTGGGGATCCTCAGGTGGTACGGGATCCTGAAAAATCTGCATGGACGGCTGTCGGCGCGCTGCTGCCATTACATGCGAGGCGGCCGACGTCCCTAGAGACCTTGTATAGTCTCTCCAGACGCTTTGACGCGTGAAGTCGCGTAGAGTTTTGCAGAACGGGGCGGTCCAGGCTACAGGGCACGGTCGGCGAATGGAGTGGTGCAGGAGATTGCGATGACGATGGGCGTGCGAGCCGTTGGTGAAGGCGACTTGGTCTGGGCGGTGAACGCCGACAGGAGTGCGCTGTCTGGCATGCGACGTGGTGAATTGGGAGCGTTGGGTAGGGCTTGGGGGCAGCGGTGAGCAGGAGCGCGGTCGAGGCGGCTGCTATCTTACCTGTGCGGCGAGCGATGTGAAGCAGCCGAGCGACTCGCTTGCCGGCGCTAGCAGGCGGCTTGTGACGACAGATCAATGGGCGATGGCCGGATCGACGATTGCGGGCTGAATGCTTGTGCAAGCAATTGTGCGCGTGTTGACTGTTGTGTTTACACAGGGCACTTTGAGGAAGGTGCGAGGGAGACACGGGGGGGAAGCTGTGGTCAATAAACGGGGTACAAGCTGGATCTACCAGCAAGTAAGACGGCGAGAGCGCAAGAGCGCAAGAGCGCAAGAGCGGCAGCAGAGCGAGCGCCTGGTTGGAATCAGCTGCATGCTCCTGGTCTTGGCGGGTCCGGATGGCAGCAAGGAAGGAACGACTGTGCAAGGGTGCAAGGGGGCCGGTCTGGCCAATTGCACACCACAAAAGACGCATTTTGCTCCATCGCGCCTCGATCAGCGTCATTGCAGCCCTGGAATGGCCCAGGAATAACCTCGCGCCAGCATGGAGCTAGCCAGCTGTTTACTCACGGACGCTCGACCAACAAGGCGTCTGTCATTCGCAGCCCAAGCCAGCAGCTGCGAGCCATTATGGAGCTCGTCGGTTCCTTTTGCGCGCAGGATCATCCCCGTGGTGGAGAAGCGCCTGCACAACGCACTGCGACGCTACGCTGCGAACGACAGCCAGCACCCAATGGCTCGCACAGGTCATAGGGGTTCTGCTGCATAGCCTATCGTGTGGATTTATTATCCATCCACTGAGAGCCTAGGGCAGATGAGACTGACGAGGTACAACGCGGGAATCCTGGCTGCAGCTCTGCTCCACCAGCCAGCAAGCCACTCCCCACGGTCTAGAAGGAGGATCAGGGTAAACGCCGGAAATCACCAAGTACATCTCGGTACTTTTACAACAATGCCGTCTCTCGCTGCCCTTAGGAGCCCGGGAGATGCGCGAGCATCGCGATAGAAGTTCACAGAAGCAATGTTGAGCCCCTTTGACACCTGCCAAATTAATCAAACGTACCATGACCCAAAACGTCCACAAGGCTGTCGACCGCCAAGATCAAGGGTACCTTGATTTCAGCAGCCCTTCGCAGGTCATTGCGAGGGGCACATCAGTCGCTACCACGACTAAGAAGTAATATAGCGCTCACACGCTGCGCAAATCACCATGACTACACCTCACCTTACCAAAAGAGCGAGGTCTGAATTTCGCTGCTCGTACATCAGCAGCGCCCACGCTGCAAGATTTCATCAACGAACTCGAAGTAGCCGTTTGCCGTTGAGATGCGCCAGCCACCAGCCACAGTCAATTCCTAAGCGAAACCTTCTCTGATCTCGATCCGGAGTGTGCTCCGGTGAATCTACCCGCGCTTCCAAAGCTGGCAGGAACCTGCAATCTCGCTGCGGCTCGGGATATCGATGCATCCAGCGTGGGGCACATGAAGATCATCAGATCATTTTCGCGAGGTCAGCAATCTTCGCTCGAGCCTCAACAGCGCCAAAGCGGAGCGCAAGGCTGCATGAAATGCATTGACGTTGGAGACCCGCCGTTACGATGCCGGAGGTGGGTCAGAGTCGGCCTGTCACCTGTCTCAACCACCGCCTGAGCGAGCCAAGAATGAAAACGCTCACGAGATGCGTCTTCCGTAGTCTTCAACGAAACGACGGTTGGCATGGCAACGCTCCCTCCGTGTACCGAAGTCTTCATCATGATGCAGTCAGCACCGTCACGATCCACTCTTCCCTTGCTCGCACTTGCGCCATGCAGCTTAAGGCAGGATCTTCGACACTACTTCGTACCGATGCAGACGCCTCTACAGCCTCTGCTTCCTTTATCTGACCAGGAGGATCAGTCGGAAATAGAACGTCTGACCAGTCTCCACAGTCCTGCGTGATCGTCCTCATGATCACCGAGTCAATAAAGCTTCGAATGTCAAGTCACGTACGTCTAGGGATGTCCTCTTGCGTCTGGACATCAAAGAAAAGAACCGCCGAGAATATCCAAAGAACACCGGAAGATATTCAGCCCTACGACAGGGTCGCCCTTCTGAAAAGACGATGAGGAAGACCTTTCCCGGCCACCACAACTTCATTCAAATGACTCTTGGTTCGAAAGCTGCGGTCTATCTTATGTCGAAAAGAGCAAGTGACCACGTGTCTTGTAACAACTGAACCTGCACCCTACTCTACTCGAGAAGACAAATCTAGCATCGCGAATCTGGGAAAAGGTCTGGACACAAGAGGTGTAATGCAAAGAGTACAATTTCTACAAGCCAACAATCCAGCTAAAGGCCTCCGAGGCCACAAAGTATGTCTGGAAGAGAACTCATAACCACACAAAACCACAAAGTCCAGAACATGAAGGAGTGACATGGACAAAAATACACACAAACAGCCCCCAATGCGTCTACACAGCTTGCCATCAAATACTCCACTCTTCATCTCCTATCCCCATCTTCACGAGATAGCAATCCACCGCCTCTCAACCGCCTGCCCAAGCTCGCCCTCCTCGACCGCCGGCTGCGGCTCAAAATCAATGCTCATGCGTCCGCACGGCCCATTACTCACACTCATCGCGACATCCGCGGGGAAGTTGGACTGCCCATACACCTTGCCCAGATACAAGCTCATGCTGCCGGCCGAACACGTGCCCGCGCCGGGTTGGTTCACAGTACCCGGGACCGGCGCCTCGGCGATGGGGAGGATGCTCATGCCGCCGGAGCTGGAGATTGGCGTGGCGGTCGGAATCAGTGTGCTGTAGCCGCTGGGTAGGCGACCAGTTGCGGTGGGGTAGAGCGCGATGCTGCCGTTGCCTGCTGGGTAGGGGGCGCCGGATGCAGTGAGGTAAGGGAGGGAAGTGTTTGAGCTGGGCAGAGGGAAGGGCGGGGTCATGCTTGCAGAGGGAAGCGAGGGCACCGAGGCCACGGGCGCTGCCTGGGTGAGTTGCAGGTGGCAGGCGCGAATGGAGGGGGCGTAGAAGGAGCCGGCGCAAAAGGGCGTGTTTTGGCACGCGATGCAGCAGTTCACCGCCGAGGTGGTGTTGACGACTAGGCTGTTGGCGATGGGGAAGCCGTCGACAGGGATGAAGACGATGCGGTCGAAAAACAGCGGACGGTTGTCGAATCCGGGAACGTTGCTCACTGGGGTGTGTTAGTAGCGATTCTGGTGACACTTGCTTAGAGCCATGCTGTGCTGTACTACTTACCCACGTTGTTTGGCTGGCAGGCTGCGTACTCAGTCGGCTGGGCCTCGATTTCGATGACCGTCTCAGTAGCGGTCATGGTAGACGTGCTAACAGCAGTAGCAGTGGCAGGAACCAGGACCTCGGTCTTGGGAACACCGGTGACGATGATGGTCTCGGTGCTGTTGATGTTGGTAGTGACGCGGCACGTAACGCCTACAGGGTAGATGCGCTTGAGACTTTGACCCTGACCATTAGGAAGGACAATAAATCCTCCAGTGTTGCCCTCGGGGGTCTTGGGGAGACGCTTGACTTTCTCGAGATGCTGAGCCCGTGTCTCGATCAGTGCACGTCGGTGACGTCCAAAGGCGGCGGGAGTAGCAGCAGGAGTGTTGATGAGCGGGAAGAAACCGACAGGTGCGGAGACAGTAGTTGCAGCAGGGACGGAAGTCACTGTTGTGGTAAATGTCGTAGTTGTATTGACGACATCGGTAAAAGTGGTCGCCACAGGAGTGACCGTGATTGTCTGCTGGGTGGTGCTGGTGACGGAGAGATTGTTGGTGACAGTCGTGTAGACTAACGACGTCTCGAAGATGGATCCAGTAGGCGCAGGGAATTCGCTGTAGCTGGTTGTGCATCGAGTCACTGTTTCAGTGACCTCCTGACACTGTGCAGTGGAAACAGCTGCCAAAGCAGCAATGAATACTGTAATTATCATCTTGAACAAGTGCTGAGAATAAACGAGAGACTAGAACAGCTAACGAAAGAAGCGAGTGGACTGCTGGATGGCTAGCTGATGTGGAAGATGAGGCTGCTAAATACTCGTCGTGATGACCGTTCCAGTGGCGTCAAGGGAGTTGTCTTCTTGCTGGAGATGGCACCAAATTGATGAAGACTCACCGGTCTCATGAGGCTAAAGCTGCACGTAAATTCGTTGGATCGTACCTGAGCTAGATGGAGGTGAAGGTACACAAAGCATCGAAACATGTCGAATGAACACCCTGACTCGGCTGAGATTTGGTCTCTGGGCAGCCTTGTTGGTGCTCCCTGTCATCACGGTGTATTGATAGCCTCGTACAGTAGCTATTCGCAGCTGTTCGATAGCTTCAATGTCTCTCGAACGTCCCTTACGGACTCACCTTGCGCACCAGCGCCAGCCAGACGGTGACGAATTGAACCCGGGGGGCAGATGCAATCGTACCAGTGCTGTGGAAGCGCAGCTGCGGTCTGGACCCGAACAATCGGATGAGGTCGCGAAGGGATGTGGTTCCACGGAGTCTCGATGCAGGTGCTACACTTCCACGCTCATCAGACTACGGTCGTACAAATGTATGTGTGACATCGAGCTCGACGAATGCCTCGGCTGTCAAATTGTAGGCAGGATCTGGTTGAAACGTTCCAAGCCACTCTTGGGCGGTGAGCGCGCATAAGAAAAGCATAGCGAAGATGGAAAATAATGATTTTTCCTGTACATGAGACTGCGTTCCATGAGGAGCGGTCCAGAAAGTTGTTTGCGAGCCGGATTCGGTGGCGCGACCGCTGTTGTCTTCTATTTCACTGGCCGGACTCCCTTGCCTCCACACATGTAGTTTCTCGCAAAAAAGTGTTCAGCCACATCGGCTTTCGGCCTCGTGTTTCGATCATTATCTATGCTAGGTCTATCAAAAAGGTGGTTATCGTGAAAGTCGCTTGGTCTATACAAATCGAGTGTTCAACGCCGCTTTCCAATAACGCCGGGTATCTTGCAACAGGCTGCAGAGGAAGAAGATGGCATCGAAAAGCGGTCTTCATTCAGATGATGCATTGTTCCAGCACGGCCAGAGCAGGCTGTCGCCTACACAGACTCAGTCTGTGGCTTAAGCCCTGCGAGAGCCGATTCTGAGACCAGGAACACCTTTCAGGCCCATCTTGCCGATTGTGCTCTTCTCAATGAGGGGCGGTTCCGGGCAGCCCATGGCCTTCGCGTATTCGTTTGCATGGCGTACGAGTTCGGCGGGGGTCAATTTCAACTTCTTCAAGAAGGTCTTGTTATATCCGAGGAATGCCTGGTAGGCTTTTGCCTTTGCCTCCTCTTCCACATTGGTGAATGCCCGATCAACGGTTCGCTGATGTTGAGGCACCTTTGAGACGATGTCCACAGGGTAAGGGTTGAGCGGCAGAGTCCTGTTAATCTTTGGGAAGAAGGATTCCTGCTCGGACAGGATGATGACAGCGCGACCATCCTTGCCAGCACGGGCTGTACGACCGACTCGGTGAACATACTGCTCAGTACTTGACGGAAGTCCGACCTGAACAACAAGGCCCACGTTAGGGAAGTCCATTCCGCGACCTACCACATCAGACGCTACCAAGATACCGCTTGTAGCATCCTTGAACTGCTGAGTGGTTTTGGTTCGGGCGGGTTGAGACATTCGGCTGTGCAGCTCGAAGAGCCTGAACTGGGGCAAGGCGTTCTTGTACAGGTCGTAAAACAGACCCACGCCGTTTGCAGTTGTGCCGAAGACGATGACCTTAAAGTCGGTGGGGTTCTTGTTGTACTCCTCCTCGATCAAGGCTAGAAGGGCAGCGAATGTCTGTGTTACTGAGGGAACAGTGATGAAGAACTGTGGGACGCGCTCGTGGGTGGGGACCTCGTTAGGGTCCACTGTCGAAAGCGCGGTGTATCCAGGGAAGAGAACACACTTTGCGACATCCATGACATCTGGGTTCATAGTGGCAGAGAAGCACATGCCCTGCCAGCCGTCGTTTTTGGGTGGGATGCGGCGAAGGATCTTCTTGACTGCTGGCGCAAAACCAGCATCGAGCATCTGATCAGCCTCGTCGAGAACAACGGTCTTGACGTGAGTGAATCGCTCACGAACCTCTTCCTCGCCAAGGATGTCGTCTAGTCGACCGGGCGTGGCAACAAGGATAGTGGGGTTGCCGTTCATGAAAGCCTTGAGGTTGGAGGCACGAGAAGTACCACCGAAGGCGGTGTGGGTTTCCATCTTCCGTGGTAGGCAGGCAGTGACGCCGTGTGCTTCCTTCGCAATCTGCAGCGCCAGCTCGCGAGTAGGGCAGACAATCAGGATACCGACCTTGCCTCTTGGGGGCGCATTGCCGGCAAGAAGGTTCTGGATGGCCGGCAGCAGGAAAGCAACCGTCTTGCCAGTACCGGTCTTGGCCTGCACAATGCAATCAGACGTGATGCTCGGCAGCTCAGTCAGCACCTTCTGCTGCACCGGCGACATGAACTCGAAGCCCATCTTGTCCAGGCTGTTTAGCAGCGCCTGGTCCAGTATGCCCTTCATCTCAGAAAAGCGCTTGGCTTCGGTGTTGCCAGCAGATGTACTGTACATAGCCTTGACATCGACAGGGCCTGTAGAGCTGACGTCTTGCATCTTGACATCTTCGGTTCTGGGGCGCTTCGGCTGTTGGGCGGCGGTCGAGAGAGGGTTGGCTCCGTTGGTGGGAGCAGCGCCGCTGGGTCTGGGGCGGTGCCACTTGCGCTTGGGTGGGGGAGGCATGGCGGTGAAAATGTGCCTGTAGTTGTAGGTGAAGTGAGGTCTGCTGAAGAGGCGGAAAGTATTAGTTGAAAGAGAAAGACGTGCTGCAACACCGGAAGGAGCGAACAGAGAATGTGGAATAGATTTCATTATTCTCGCGCCCTAGTACATACACAGAAGTAGCCTATGAGAGGACAAAGAACGAAAATAAGAGAATGTCTTACTGCAGAGACTGCTGCGCGCGTTTCAGAGGCGACAACAAAAAAGTTGACAAGCGTTGCGGCGCGCGGCGCAGGAACGCCGGTCGCTGTGTCAGCGGTCAGCCTTGCGCGCTAATGAAACCCTGCCTCTCTTGTGGGCATCTCACACTCGCCTCTCAAAACCACAGACTTACGTCTTCGTTAATTGATGACTTTAACACAGGATGCCTGCTGCCAACACGAAGTTGTCAAGAAGGGCGTGGACTGACGTCGCTGAAGAGGCCCACAGACATCGAGATGCCACAATAGCGGCCTTGTCCCCACCAGCGCCCAAGGTACCCTCAGATCTTCCAAAGAACACAATGCATGTGCCTGATCAACTACTGGACCACTCTGTATTGCCCGTCACCAAATTGCTGCCGGAAGAGCTGCTTTTGTCGCTCTCAACAGGCCAATTGTCAGCTGTGCAAGTTACTACTGCCTACCTTCAGCGTGCCGCAGTAGCACAAGGACTCTCAAATTGTCTTACTGAGCTCCTCCCCTCTCTCGCACTAGAACGTGCAAAAGATCTTGATGCGTACTTTCAGGAAAAGCAGCGTCCAATTGGTCCACTGCATGGCTTTCCCATCAGCTTGAAAGAACACCTCGGACTTCAAGGACTACGATGCACCACCGGCTACATTTCGCACTGGGACACCATCGCAAAGGAAGATGCACACATCATCAAAGTACTCCACAATGCAGGAGCGATTTTCCATTGCAGAACAACAGTGCCACAGACGATGATGCATTTAGAGACCGACTCCAACCTCTATGGCGTCACAACAAATCCGTACAACAGCAACTTGACGTCGGGAGGCAGCTCGGGTGGTGAAGGCGCTTTAATCGCTCTTCGCGGCTCGTGTCTGGGCATTGGCTCGGACGTAGGTGGCTCTATTCGCAGTCCGGCCGCAAACTGTGGTGTGTTCGGTCTGAAGCCAACTGCCTTTCGACTGCCAACTGACGGTTGGGGGTATATGATGGCGGGAGCAGATACTGTCCAGACTGTCCTTGGACCGCTTTCAACAACTCTTGAGGGAGTCAAGATTTTCATGAAGACTATTATCGACTCAGAACCATGGATTGAGGAACCCGCACTCATACCTATGCCCTGGCGCACGCACGCTGTTCCCGAAGGCAGACCACTGCGGATAGGCGTGCTCTGGCACGACGGGACTGTAAGGCCGCAACCACCAGTTACACGCGCCCTGAAGCGGGTCACAGACGCGCTCCAAGAGCACAACATCGAGGTGGTCGATTTCCCACCACATTTGCACGACGAAGCCTGGGCAATCCTTTCCTCCCTCTACTATACCGACGGCGGCGAAGCAGACAGCGAAGACATCGCCTCCTCCGGCGAGCCGTGGCGGCCCCTCTCAAAGTGGATAATCAAAGACAATCCATGCGTCAAGAAGCTCTCGGTTGGCGAACTGGCATACTGGTTCGAAGAACGCGAGGCGTACCGCAAGGAGTACGCACTGCACTGGAAGAAGCACGGCATTGATGCGCTGCTATGTCCTGTCGGTCCTGGCGTTGCACCGAAACATAATACCGCGAGATACTGGAGTTACACAAGTCAGTGGAACCTGCTTGACTATCCAGGTCTGGTGTTTCCGGTGGATAAGGTCGACAAGAGAGTTGATAAGTGGAACGGTGATGAGCAGGTACTAGGTGAGCTCGATCAGGAGAACAGGGGGCTCTGGGACCCTGCGGAGTTTCACGGGATACCTATCGGACTACAGCTCGTGGGCAGACGCTTCGAAGACGAGAAGATTGTGGCGATTCTTGAGCACATCACCGATAAGATCGGTCTGCCGCGGCAGGCATTATCTTGATATCGAGTCATCGTCCCTCCGAGGTCGTCTATGGGTACCATTGCTGTTAATACGGAGAACGATCCGCCGAAGATTATTGTTTGGTAATTTAACCGCATTGATGGCGACGACTGACTTGACGTTCATTTCCGCGTCGTACGACGTCAAGGCAGTCCGATCGGACAGAAGCTTGCTAGCCGCCAGTAGAGAACCGGAGGCGAGACGACTCTGACAGTTGAGCTTCTATTGGCTGGCGTGCTTTTTGCAGCTTGAATTTGCTGCAATCCGAACATTTTCAGTCTTCCGGTGCGTTTACCTGCGCTAATGAGTTAGGCTAGATCTTTTACATGGCGGACGACAGCCTCCTTGCATTGGGTATTTACAGCAATGAGAATACGCACCGGGTGTGAAGACGTCCATTGTCCCGTGATGATAGTCAAACGCCAGGCTTAGGCTACGCACAGCCCGAATGAGTCGACGTGCACCTAGACAGCCGTGGAGGATCGCCACCTGTGCCTGGATCATCGGGGCCGTGAGTCTGAAGTTTTGGGAGGGAGTTCTCACATCGCCAGAAAGGCTGACCTAATCGCATCGGCCAGAGCTCATCATGGTCTTCATGTCTACAGAGGTCACCTGTCACACGAGTATTCAAGCCGACCATCTCTAATTTTTCGTGCGGTCAAGATCGAGTTCTGCTAGACTACACACAACTACCAGTGTGCTGCTCTAGTGGAGTCTGAGCCATATCTCGCGATAGTTCGCGGGGTCCAGAGAAGAGGCGACAGCTACGGAAAAGAAAAAGCCATGCTGTATGTCTGTGATGTGATAAGACTTCATAGTTGGCACCTGGTAATCTCCAAGCAAGTCACACTAAGGTGTTTGATGGTGTTTGATGGTGTTGATACAACAAATCGATACCGACACAAAATTCAACCACAGTGCAGGCGATTTCGAAGCTACAGAGGGACGAAGAGATCACTCGAGTTGATAAAGATGAAGTAAAGAACATCTCTGGGGGTATCAAACGCCACACACCTCCCAAACCGGAACGCCAAGCAGCCACGTCATTGCCCACCACCTTGCCATCTTCTCTCCCATACGAGTGTGCAGCAATTCGTTGACAGCGTAGTGGTATCTCCAGCGTCGTGAAAATATGCTCAGCCATGCGTAAGCTGGACCAGATGCCTGCTCAACGCACTCAAACGAAGTCTTTGCTTCGAGCTGAGGATGTAGAGCAGCTGATCGTGCTCGAGAATCTGCAGCGCTCAAATGTGAGGAGTTGGCCACAGTCGACCAGAAAAATCGACTCAACGGCCCTCTCTTCTCAAAGAATTGCGCGTTGAAAGCATCTGCGTCGAGTGCCGAGTCGCGGACAAAGCGGATGTACGACTTCAGCGCGCGGATGTTGTCATTGGCGCGGCAGTCCGGTAGCTGTGCATTCTCACTCCAGAGCAGCGACGCGTGATAGGGATGTGAGACATGTCTCAGGTTGCCGAGATCTCCAAGTATCCAGTGCGTGTCATCCGCCACAAAGATGTTGGCAGGCTTGACGTCGTCGTGACAAAAGCCTGCTTCATGGAGCTTGTGTAAGCTGGCGAGGAGGCCTTCGAAAGCTGGACGATAGTGTGCATCGATGTCTTCATAAGGCATGCCCTTCTCCCTCATGTTAGCGACTAAGGTCTTTAGACTTCCATGCCTGAGCAGAGTGGTAACTAGGTGCCACTCAGCCTGAGTATCAGAGGAATCAACCATGAAGAATGCTTTTACTGGTAAAAAGCCATCCTGGGAGGTAGTCGCATTGTTTTCGGTACCTCCAAAGTACAAAGATGCAGGTATCTCAGTCGGCCACTTTTCGCCCGCAGTGCCAGGCGCGCAGTTGCGAAACGGACTCTGCCCAGGTCGGAATGTCTTGATCACTGAGTCCTGGTATACGAATGTTTCGCCTTCCCACCCTTTTCCTAACACTCTCCATGTTGCTCGATTCGCAACGATCCGATCCTGGAGGTGTGCACTTTCCTCATCTAGTGTCCATGGCTGCGAGTGTTCGGCGTGTAGCTTGAATTCTGTTGGCGAGTATTTCGCTGCTAGTGCATGCCGGTACACGAATAAGAGATGATACTGCTCGAACAGTATGAAGATGGATAGAACAAGCGCAAGTCGGTATCGTAGATGATAAAGCGATCGTGTCGGTGCGGAGATCCGGAATGGACGGCCCATTTATGCAGTATGAAGTATCGCGATAAGTTGCTTGTCTACACGTTGTTGCACACTTCACGACTATCAAGTGAGCTGCGACACATCTACGAGAGACTTTTAGAAGAAATCTGTGACTGCGCCCTTGAGCCGTCTTATGAACCGGCTTCCGTATACCTTCCATTCTACGCCCGTATGATCCTGTTAGTGGGCCTTGAATGCACCAAAGGGAAGGGTGTCACGTATCGACGTCAGTGGCTAACCCAATTTATAAGCTGGGGCGGTGCTCTTGTCTGCTGTCCAACGCTGGAAACCAAGAAATGGTGAAGCCTTGGTGTCTTGGACATTTCGGAAACCAGCCGTAGCTTCAGATTGGTGATAAAAATGTCCAGCGCATGACGAAATGCGAGTTCTTCTGCCCGTGGGTCTCCTCGCAAGACGCCGCTTTTTCATGTCGTCAGAAGATTTTCCCGACGTGGCGCCCGTCAGATGTCGTGCGTTCCGGTTCAGGAACGAAGGATCGAAAGATTTGAACCGTGCAGGGTCCATTGCCCTTCAAGCGCCCCACCGTCAGAGCGAGCTCCACAACCAAATCCAATCACTTTCTCTAACCCCTTGAAGACACTCTGCGATCCCCCCTGCAGACTGCAACGCGTTCATACCCGCAGGCGGCTTGTGAGCGCATGAGCATTCGTCAGAGTTTCGTGCGATCACTGATGGGGCTCGGAAGGCTCTTACCAGCATTATGACTACCAAGGCCCAATCGCTGCAGAACAGGACGCAATTGATCGCGCATTTCGATGACGTCCAGTGGGACTTAAGTTTCAGCACGTGCGACGAAGCTGACAGCGCCAGCGCCCGCGACAAACAGAGTGCCGGCTGGTCCAATCCCTGGGAGTTTGACAAGCCAGACTTGTGGGATCGCGGAAGACCTTCGCCGGCTCTGGTGACATTCCTGTGGACACACCCGCCCGGCATCGAGCTTGGTGCCAGCACACGCCCATTGAAGGCGTTCATCCCTGTCAGTCGATTTCGCAGCATCAGCCCTTTCCTTTTTAGTCTTTGATGAATGCGCAATCAACGCGACATAACTGATAAGTGCTATTTGCAGGGCTGTGGCAGGGGCACGATGTAGCAATGCTGGCATTGAACGGCTTCGAAACCTGGGGTTTCGAGGTCTCGCAGAAAGCTGTTGATACGGCAAATGCCAACATCAAGGTCCAGTTAGCCAAGCCGGTAGACGACAACTTTGGTAAAGGAGGAGGTCGATCCAAGCCTGCAGCTGCAAAGATCATGCTTGGTGACTTTTTCGAGCGAGATTGGGAGATCCAGGTGGGTACTGACTTCGAAGGATTCGATATTATTTACGACTATACTGTGAGTTCCACATCAACCTAAGGGCCCCACGTGTGGTGTTGATAAATTCTAGTTTCTCTGTGCCTTACTGCCGTCGATGCGACGACACTGGGTGCAGCGGATGTCACAGCTGCTCTCTCTATCTGGCATGCTGATGTGCCTAGAGTTCCCCTTGTGGAAACCTCTGGCAGCTCCAGGTCCACCATGGGGTCTCAGCGGAGTGCACCGAGATATCCTGACAGAGGGGGGGACGTGGGTCGTTGATGATGCGGGGTCCCTGAGCATACTAGATAGTGACATTGGTGCTTTTGAACGAGTCGCGTACTGGAAACCGCCGATATCGTTCGAACAAGGTCGCGGTGAAGATATGATCAGCGTCTGGAAGCTGCGGAAGATGGGGTAAGGCCCTGAACTCGAACGTTCCAGCAGATGGGTCGAAGAGCGGCTGAGAAGTTTCATATACCGATCGGCGGTCATCAAGAGGAGCAGTGACAAGGGACTGAACCTGTGTACGTTATATCCTTGCTATGCCTAAGGCTTCAGCTCAGACGTTGAATCCCGAGAATGCCACTTTTGCCTTCTGCATTGACGGTAACATGCAGGGACCACGTACGGAGAGTTAAAACACGTTCCCCGGTGCCATATCTCTTAGTCTAGATCGAGGACATCACCGCTCGCTAGCATACGATAGTCTTACCTCATCCGTCTGGTGAGACTGGCTCGTCTACAGCACGTCCGTGCAGACCCCGTCGTTATAGATCAGCACAAACCAGGCCATGCTAGTTCGGCGAACTTCTCCTGCACCGCAATTTTCTCGTTCGCTCAACTTGGGCAAAAGATCAACGGGGACAACGGAATGGGAACTGGACCTTGCACCGGAAGTGGATCTTCTTAAGGAGGACGGCACGGAGTGCTTACACAGAGTCATGTCACTGGAGTTCAAGGACCATAATCAAGTACTATGGGCCTTGCTCCAAAACCTTATATTTCTAGTTTCCAGCTCCTCTTGCCGATTTACCTCCTAAACATGGAACCTTTCATATAGGCGTTGATCTACAGTTTTCTCACCGAATTGCTCTACGGTTCGCCGATTGGATCCCGCCAATTTTGGTCCGCTTGTTCGCTTGATACCAACGGTCCCAAGAATCAGTACACTAATATGCAAGACCGCGGAGGGCAAATTGCAGCCGTTGCCATAACTTTCCTCATCCTTTCGTGGGTGACCGTTGGATTACGGTGCTATGTCAGGTTAGTTTTAGCTGTCCCGCAAAGTATCCATTGTTTGAAGCGAACTAACGCGAACATCAGAACATTCCTCGTGAAAGGGTTTGGCCTGGACGACAAGATGATGATCGTAACACTCGCCTTCTTCACGGCATACCTCGCATGCCAAATCGGCGGTGCCGTACACGGATCCGGTGCGCATCGTGAGAATCTTACAGATGAGCAAGCGCAGACTGCTCTCCATTACTGGTTCTTCTGCGAAGTGTTCTACACCATCTCTACGTCAATCTTCAAGATAGCCATCGGCCTGTTCCTGCTACGCATTACAGTTGCCCCACTTCACATCTGGATCATTTGGTTCATCATGGCCGTATCAGCAGTAGTCGGCGCCTCATACACATTGCTGGTACTATTGCAGTGCAGGCCCATGTCCTTCTGGTGGGATCTGAATCCTGACCACACCGGCACCTGTATTCCGGCAACGTTGGTCATGTACTTGACATACGCTGTCTCAGCGCTGAACTCAGTCGCTGACTGGACTTTTGGCATACTACCCATCTTCGTTGTAAAAGACTTGCAGATGAAGCGCCGCGTCAAGGTCATCGTCAGCGGAATTATCGGCCTTGCCGCAATGTATGTATCGATTGACGTTTTCAGCAACAGCGGCACTGACATCCTCCCCAGTGGCTCAACAGCAACTATTATCCGCCTCCCCTACACCTCAAGCCTCGGTCAATACAAAGGCGACTTTCTCTACCGCACTACCGACTTCGCAATCTGGACTACCGTAGAAGTCGGCATCGGGATAACAGCGGGCTGCATCGCGACGCTCAAGCCCCTCTTCAAAGCGGTCCTGGGCTCCACGGGCCAAAACTCCGGCATGCCATGGTCCAAGGGTCCGGCAGGCTTTCAATCGAAAATTGGTGGAAGCTTTGGTACCCAGCAGGCTCTCGAGGACCTGCGGCCTGCCGGCGAAAGAACGATCCGGACTACCACCGTCACCGGCGGGCGCGGGAGCAGCAGCGATGAGGAAAACTTTCTGGATACAGGGGCGCCGGAGGAGCGGTGGGAGGGTATACGGAAGGGCGTCACTACAACAGTTACATCTATTGAAGTCAAACCCGAGAAGACGGGAGCTAAGGTATCAGGGGACTATACTCATGGGATGCCAAAGGCGGACAAGCGGAGGAGTCTTAGTCTGGGGCAGCGCAGCAATAGTACGCTCGATGAAGGGGAGAGAAAACCTGTTGGGACATTTAATCCGTTTCAGTAGATCTGGATAATTGTACAATGAATTAATAATGCACACTCGTGAATAAAACTTCAAGACGATGGTTTGAATGTCTGCCAGGAGTTGGATCATGGTGGGTGGGAGCGGCAAACGACTGCTCGTGCAGTCTGCAATTGGACAGGCGCAATGACATTGCAAATACCCCCTTCATGTAGTTCAACGTTCAGGGGCTTCCCATGGTAGAGGAGCAGGCGCTCTTGTAAGATTTGGAGGCGTCTTAAGGAAAAAATGTATCCTCAATTCAGATACCGAGAGTCTTTATGTGCAGATTGTTGAACAGAAGGGGTAACGATGTGTATGTGCTTGAAAGTTGTCTTGCTGTATCGTAACTATGCTGATGGTGCTCAACCTCTTTATACTACGAATGTGTAGGTCAATGCAGCTAATATCAAAGGCGGCGTAGCCAATCTAGTACCATTCAACTTCTCATTGCTCGATCTTCGATTTTAAGGCGGCTCAAGGCATGCCCATCTGTCCACCCACAGCGTCCAAGGCGCTCTCAACAGCTTCCTCCAGCGATTCTACCCGGTGCCTGAGCACACGATTCTCTTCCCGTTCCTTGCTCAATCGTCCCCAAACAGAAGCTTGCGAGCCGCCTTCGCAATTGGCGCAGCCCCAGCTCTGCACACTGACTGACCCGCCTCTGTGCTTGTCGTATGTGCCACTGCGCTGTAAGCTCTGCACTTTCTTATGCTTTGTCGGTGTGACTTCGGCTTCAACTTCGAGAATGGAGGATCGATCGGTGCCTGTGGGGCTCAGACAATTTCTCGAGAACAGGCTTGCGGCGTCGGTTTCGACATCGGACTCAAAGCCGGAGTCGACGCTGAGCTCAGAGTTCGAGATGCGGTTGCGGCGGCGCGGTGCGTCCTGGCAGCTACACTGAGGCTGGCTTCTGATCAACGCGAGGCTCCTTTTGCGCGCAGCTTCTTCCTCCTGTCTAGCGTGGCGCTCGAATGCAAGGTCCTCCACCAGTTGCCGCATTTGCTCGTCTTGCTCTGTCGCCCTTGCCGCCATTGTCTCAAGCTGCATCTTCAAATGACGCGCCCTTGTCTCTGCCTCATCCAGCTCGTCGTCCTGAGCGCTCTGCTCAGATTGCGCATCAACAAGTGCGGTTGACAGCTGGCGGTACGACTTTTGGTAGCGGGCAAGGAGGGCTTCAGCGTTCGCGAGAAGGTCGTTGAAGGACGATGGCGCGAGAGGATCGGCGGGACCGTGAGGAAAGAGAGCTTGTGGGATATTCATATTGAGCAGCTCATCGTCGGCGTTGTGGTAGACCGGCGCTGGAGTCGGCGATGGCACTGCGGCATTCTTCTGTGTCGACAACAGCCACGCAAACCTGCTGCTGGCAGGTGATTGGTACTGTGGCTTGGTCGATGTCGCCATCTGCTCAGAACGCGCTGGTGTTTCGGAAGCCGCCCGAGTATGCGTAGGCTTGCGGTTGAAGATGTTCATGGTATTGTATGATTGTTCCTCGTCTTCCTCACTCTCAGATCCTGAGTCCGAAGAATAGTACTCAGAGGGTACTTCTGATCCAGACTCTGAGACTGTGTCGTCGTCCTGCTGCTGAAGACCAAGTTTGATGGGCGCCGAAGATCCGTTGAACCAGCTCTTGGTCGAATCAATTGCGCTCCTCGAAGGCAGAAAGCTGGCTAGCGACTTGCTTGGCGAATGCGATCGAATCGATGCTGCGGAAGTATGTTGCTGTATGGTGGATGATGCGCGGTTGAGAAAAGACTGGCTGTTGTTGAGAAATGTGCCTGTCAGCGTGCGCTGGTGACTGCTGCGACCTGCACGTGGATAGTCTTCGAGTGGGGAAGGTGAGTCGCTGTGTGGATCATAGGCAGTGGCGTTTGAAGTTAAGACAGAAGGAGGCGGTCGGATTGAAGCCGAAAGGTCGATGCTGTCGAAGCTTTTCAGCTCCTCGTCGGACGGTACCGTGAATTGCCTTAGCGGGGATGTTGGAGCCTTAAGTGCACCCCGCGCTGGGAAGTGGGCTGCATGTGAGGCCTGAGGAGGTTGTTGAAGCTCGAGCTCAGGAGAAGCTGGCTGAAGCATGATTTCTGGTTGAATAATAAGGGCCCACGAATTTCCTCTTTCGAACAGCTGTTCATGAGCCTGTTGACGAGCGAACGGATGGAATGTACTTCGTGAAACGCGTGTTGTGGCGGTATCCTGGTCAACAGCGGACGCTATCGATTACCTCCGTTGGTGGACCTGGACCTGCAGAAGCGCGAAAGTAAAGCGGCCAAGGAGGGCACAGAGTTTGGATAAAATGGCAGTTGTGAGCAGTTGTGCAACGGATTGCTGGATGTGTGTGGGTATCAGATTCGAGAGTGGATGTTGCACGAGGAAATGTGCTGTCGAGTCTCTGAGATTAACAACGTGGCTGGCAGGAGGCTGGCGATGTGAAAAATGACGCGCTCACCGCCAGCATGCATCCCATCGCTAAAAGGCACCAATCGCCCCAAGATCTTTTCCATAATGAGGCGTTCCGTTCAAAAACCTGCAGTAGTTCACTGCAACAAGTTCGCGCCGTCGTTATACATATAAAATAGTGATGACGCTACTTGTCACTGGTGAGGCTGCCGAAACAGAGCTCAGCGTCTTCGCTCGACCTCGACCGCGATCGTGTCACGCCACGGAGCCTTTCCACCCCTACCAAAACTGTCTCTCGACCCTCATTTGCTTTTGATCAAATGCGCGTCTTCGAACGTTTCCCATCGCTCAGCTCCGTCATCGCCGAGCACGAGCCATGGCGCCTTCTCACGGAGGAAGATGTGCTTTCCTATCTTCGGCAGTTCACAGCTCATGCTTTCCAGGTCCACAGAGCCCATCGTCAACGAGATCTCGTCTTCGTGGAATGAAAGTGCCATCGAGATCGGGGCGCCGCACCGCGAACAGAACGACCTCTCTGCGATGTCCGAGAGCTTTAGGATCTCACGTGTAGACTGCTCCGTGAAAGTAAGTGCACTTTTGGACACGCCGGTGAATGAGATGTAGGCAGAGCCAGACAATTGTTGGCATGCGCGACAGTGGCAGACGACAATGTCCTTGGGGCATGCAGTCGACGTGTACTGAATGCCGCCGCATCTGCAACCGCCTTTGAAGATGATACCGTTACCTGCGGTTTTTGGAACGTATCGTAAACCGTCAACAGCTGTCAACCGATCAGTATGTTGTTCGCTGGCACCCGTTCGTGGAGGTTGAGCTTACGTTTGCGCGCGACCCCAAGGAACACAGAGTCGACTTCCTCGACCTTGCCATCGATCGCCAGCTTTTCCCACTCTTCTTTGTAAACACCCTGTGCTTTTCTTCTAATATCATTGCTTGCAAAGGTCCTTGCAACGTCCTTCATAATGACGTTCTCAACAAAGAAGTCATCCCACTGTTCCATATCATATGAGCGTCTCCCATACCCCGCTTGGTTCTCAACTGTCACAACCTTCTCACACTCGAGGCCAGCAGACTCAAGAACGTCCTTTAGGGTTGATTCTGACTTGCTCCAAGATCTGTTGTAGGGAATATCTAAGCCCAAGCGCCTAGCGACCTTCTCAAGGACCATGCCCGCTATCAGGTTTCTTGGATGTGTTGCATCTAATGCGAGGGTGCCGCCAGGCTTCAGAAAATGTGACCAGTGCTCGATCGCAGCCTTTGGATCAGGAAACAGGACCAGAGCAGAGGCGACGGTGATCACATCAAACTTGATGTCCTTGAGCTCTTCCAGCTCTTCCAGATGTAGCACATCCCCCTTTAAGAAGGTCACATTTGCGTACTTGTCACCAGCGTTCCTCGCCTTGAACTGAGCGACCCCGAGCATCGATGGGGTTACATCGACACCGATGACATCACCAGTCGGCCCCACAGCATCTGCTTCGAGGAAGGTGAGAAGTCCAGTACCGCATGCTAGATCTAGCACGTGCTGACCGGGCTCGATGTCGACGTTTGACACGAAGCGGCCGGTGAAGTCGCCATGCCATGTGTTGTCATAGTCTGCAGCTCTGTTTTCGTAGAACTTGATGGCTCCATCTGCTTGTCGTTCACTAGCCATGACAGAGGACTGAGCTATCTGTCGAGAGCCCTCGAGTGCTTGGATTGGTGATTGACGGTGCTTTGAGTAAGTGAGACCATAGACGGTCCGACTGCGACAAGGAAGTGTAATCCAATTGTGCGCGGGCTGTGCGCGGGTCCCTTAATCGTCCTCTGTTATCGAGCTGCAGAATGCAGTCTGCGTTCAAGAAGAGTGCGGATATTTCGACGTTCGTCAGATTTCAAATCGTTTGTATGACTGAGGGGTGCCGAAGCTGAAGGTTGGTACTAGTGCCGAGATGGGCTAGCTGTCTTACTAACACATCTTCCAAAGGCGGACGCCCTTCCCTCTCCTTCCTCACACTCATCCACATCCTCATCAGTCGGAATTCAAGATGCCCATCAGAACCACCCAAGAAATTGAATGTTGGGTCTGAATAAACGAACGTTCCCACAGCGTCGGCACCCTTACTCGTTCTTGAGACAGGACACCTGGGTGACGAACATGTCTTAGAGCAGGCTTGCGACGCTCTTGCGTGACTTCAGTTGTCTTGCCTCCATATTTACACCAGTAACGTCCAGTACCTAAGTGTTCCAAAGTATAAAGATCATGCTCTAGTCATAGGATGCCCAATCGAGTCCCGCCATAAGTGGCTTGCCACTCGTCGCTGAGTACACCTCACACTTTCGAAGGAACGGGACTCGCATTCGGCTTCGTTTACTACTTTGGTGGTCTTCAGGTCTCGTCAATAACCGATTGCATAAACCATGCCAATCATTACAGTGGCTCTAGCGGTATCAGATATCGAATAACACCACGTTACTCAGCTGATATGCTGAGTCCGAACACACAGCGATACCACTAACAATCGTTGCGACTGGTACCGTCATAAAGCTGTCGATATGCAGAACCATATGGAGTTGTCATAAGCAATGTCCGACGACCATCTCTGGCTTCTGCCGTAAGTTGAGCACTTCCAAATCCGAATCCTAACATTGAAGCTATACTTGCCAGCAGTGGTAAAGTGGATGCCTATCTCGATCGCGACCGAAGGGAGGTCTTAGGGCCAGACGCTTTTTTGAGAAATGCCTAAAATAAGAGATATCCACATCACTCAACATGGAACTTTTGGGGTGATCACGAAACCGGACTATGGCTGGTGGAATAATTCATCACAGTCATCAGTGCCCTCACCGGGTTTGTAGTAAGCAGGTTGTGGCAAGCAGGCACTTCTGCCGGGTGCTCTTGTGCACAACACAGCAATGCTAGTATAAGCAGGACCCATCGAAGTCTCTCGAGGATTATCTTCACCCTAAAGACCAAGCCTACAAAGTTTAACAACATGAAGTCCTCAGCCATCATCCACCTTCTGTCAGCAAGAGCCAGCGCAGCGCCTCTTGTGTAGGAACGTCAGGCCACTTGTAACGTTCCAACGACTTTCCCGACGACCACAAACGCTAAGCCAGCCGATCCTTTCAAGTTCTCCGATGGCAGGATCGTCACAACCAAAGCAGACTTTGCCTGTGAGAACCAGGAGGTCAGCGCCGCCTTTCAGGCTTGGGAGCTGAGTGTTTTCCCTCCAGAGCCCTTCAGCATCATTGCTTCGCTCTCTGAGGACAGCCTTTCAATCACTGCATCTGAAGCCGGCAAGTCAATCACCTTTGCTGTCTTGATCCAGAAGCACAGCGGCTCGGATCCATTCCCAGCTATCATCACATACCGCGCCGTAAGCCTACCCATCCCTACGGTGTCGTGACTATCACATTCAATAACAACGACGTTGCTGCCCAGCAAGGTCAGGGCAGTCACAGTGCTGGCGCTCTCACGACCTGGGCGGCGGGCGTGGACCGCATCATCGACGCCCTCGAGATAACACCTAGTGCTGGCATTGACCCTGAGCGTGTCGGTGTGATCGGTTGCTCACGTAATGGAAGAGCCACCTTTGTTGCCGCAGCCCTCGTCAAGCGCATCGCACTCGGCCTCCCACAGGTCTGGCGCCGGCGGTGCTGCGTGTTGACGCATCTCCGACTCCGATAAGGCGAAGGGCAAAAATTTCCACACCGCTTCCCAGATCTTCGGTGAGAATATCTGGCACAGCCCCAGATTCAATGCGTTCAGTACCAAAGCAAACATCCAGGCTATTGGCCAACATCAGCTCGCCGGCAGGGTCGCCCTTCGTGGTCTGCTCGTCATCGAGAATGAAATTGACTCGTTTGGTCATGTGTCCACGACTAGTTGTATGAAGGCTGGATGGCTGATCTACAAGGCGCTCGGCATGCCGGACAATATGGGCTTCACAGGAGCTGGTCCTCACAACCACTGCTCGGTCCCTGCAACTAAGCAGGCTGATCTTACTGCGTTCATTGGCAAGTTTCTTTTGAACCAGAATACAAACACGGTGGACATTGAGAAGGGTCCTAGTGGCGCAGATGTCGGCACGTACATCGACTGGACGACACCCACTCTCTCTTAGGCTTGGTCGTTGTCACGAAATGCAGGCCAGTTGAAGGTGCGCCCATGGCACGTATATTGATTTGCAATAAATTGCACATGAATAGGATTCGGAAGATTGATGGTCACATTTGAATCTTTGATCGTACTCTACGTTGCGAAGCGGCTGAACAAGGCGATCCTTGAGCCCCTTCTCGTCCTCCAGCTCAACACCATCACAGTGATGACGTAGTAACCAGATATCCATCAGAATAGGCACACCCATCGTTCAACAGCGCTATTCCAGGCCAGTTTTTTATAGCAGAACGAATACTCGGAACGTCTGAAGGCGAAGGCAGTGAGTTTGATGTTCGCAAGGTCGTCGTTGGGAGTGGAGGGGTCACGGTCGCAATGCCCACTGGTTCGCCAATCCGGATCTCCGCCGGTGGCCCAAACGCTCAACCGCAAACACGTCAGACGTCGCTCCAATCGACGAGACCAGCATCGAGGCATCCATAACGGTGAACATATGTGAATAAGTGAGGGAGATGACAGATGACGCGTGCACCAATCAGAGGCCGTGCTGATCACCTGACCTGCTAACCAATTGTGGGGGCGTACGGTAGGAACTCGCTCTGCCGCGCCTTGATGAACGTCCACCCAACGCCGACCAACCCCAACATCACCGGACAGCGTTCCCCATCTTCTTTGCGCGCGCAACCCATTGTTTACAACGCGTGAAGCACCACGATCAACATTTTGCGCGTGCCTGCGCCCTTTTGCCCACCCCCACGCAATTTGCCAGGCAGCCTCCGGTACTGCCATCGACCGCGACACGCGCGCGCGCACCCCCGGCGGAGGTGCACCAGCCTTGTTCACCAACGGCACACACCGCCACGCCGCTGCATGATAATGTCATAGCAGCTTGCTGCATATTCACTTCACCGACTCATACTGTCCTTTCCCCGTATTGCGCGCTTTCGCCCAACCTCCTCACGGCCCATTGAGCGCGCTCGAAGCCTGTGGCAGTTATACTTTGCGCCACACCGTGCATCTAGCCCAACACCGCAACCATGGCATCAACTCAGGCCACGCCAGACATGTCTGGTCAGCCTCAAGGCCAAGGGCAGCTGCCTGCCAACCTCAGTAAGGAACAGGTTGCGCAGATATTCCAGGTAAGACACACTTGTAGACATGCATGCGCTCGGCGCTCATGCCATCGCACTTTGTGGTTGCTGACCTCTGTATAGAAATACCAGCAGATGAAGGCGGCAGGCGTTCCTGACACCAACCCTGATCTCATCAAGGCCCGAAATGTCCTCGCCATGGTCCAGAAGCGCAACCAGTACATCGCACAGCAGCAGAAGATGATGCAGCAACAGCAACATCAGCGACAGCAGAGCCTCACCGAGCAGCAGAACGGTCAGCAGAACGGCGCTGCCGTGGCTATGAATGGCGCGAAGCTGTCTGACGGCTCGTCTGCTACACCCGCTACAAGCGGGCCTTCTGGCGGCGCGCAGTCTACTGTTGCGGGCGGACAAGCACTATCTGGAGATGGCCAGACACCCACTTCTGCAACGAGCGGTGGCCAAGGTGGCTTCACAAAGGAACAGCTGTTCATGCTCAGGAACCAGATCTCGGCTTTTAAGCATCTGTCCAAGGGTCTTCCTCTGCCGGCTAACATGCAACAACTGTTCAGCACGCAGCAGGCCAAGAAGCCTCAGAGTACCTCTGACGCTGTCGCAGCCGCCTCGCAGGTCTTAGACAATGCCACACGCGCCGCGAGCGCATCAGTCGGACCCAGCGGTGCTGTGCAAGAGCCCAGGAATCTGCCGCGCCTTCCTGATACTTTCATTGAGCCCTGGAAGAGCGAAGCCTTCCACGACGTCAACTACATCTCGCACACTCGGCGCAAGAACCGCCCATACCTCCCTTCGATCATGCCTCAGGGCGTTGACATCGATGCCGTTCAGCAAGGCATGCAAGAGCTGCGCAAGGAACGCGAGACTATCCTGTACAACCGGATTACCGCGCGAAAGGCTGAACTGGAGAAGTTCAACGCCAACATCGGTTCGTGGGATACAAGCAAGACAGACTCGCCCGAGGATGACGGCAAGGTCAAGCTCGCACTTGTCATTGAGCAGAAGAAGCTCAACCTCTTGGAGAAGCAGCGCAAGCTGCGTAGAGAGATCGCCCAGCAGATGATCCACGCTGACAACCTGGCAATGACTGCCAACCGCACAGTCTACCGCAGACTCAAGAAGCAGTCGATGCGCGAAGCCCGTCTTACCGAGAAGCTCGAGAAGCAACAGCGCGATGCCCGTGAGACGAAGGAGAAGAAGAAGCACCACGAATTCATCGATGCTATAAGGAAACACCGCACAGAGCTTACAGAAGCCAGCATGGCTCAACGACAACGCCTGCAGAAGCTCGGTCGTATCATGATCACCACTCACCAGAACATCGAGAAGGAAGAGCAAAAGCGCATCGAGCGTACCGCCAAGCAGCGTCTGCAGGCTCTGAAGGCCAACGACGAAGAGACCTATCTCAAGCTTTTGGGCCAGGCCAAGGATACACGTATCTCTCACTTGCTGAAGCAGACCGATGGTTTCTTAAAGCAGCTCGCCGCCAGTGTCAAGGCGCAACAGCGAAACCACTCAGATCGTTACAAGCTCAACAACGCCGAGGAGGCGTCGGACGAGTCTTCAGACGACGAAGGTGCCACTGACGACGAGGCCCGACCTGGGAAGAAGAAGACCGACTACTACGAAATTGCCCATCGTATCAAGGAGACTGTCAGTGCACAGGCCTCGTGCTTGGTCGGTGGTACATTGAAGGAGTACCAGGTCAAGGGTCTGCAGTGGATGATCTCGCTGTACAACAACAACCTCAACGGTATTCTTGCTGACGAGATGGGTCTCGGAAAGACCATCCAGACGATTAGTCTGATCACATATCTCATCGAGAAGAAGCACCAGCCCGGACCTTTCCTGGTTATTGTACCACTCAGTACACTGACGAACTGGACCAGCGAGTTCGAGAAGTGGGCGCCTAGCGTGACGAAGATTGTGTATAAAGGACCGCCGAACCAGCGGAAGCAGTTCCAGCAGCAGATCCGATGGGGCCAATTCCAGGTCCTGCTCACCACTTACGAGTTCATCATCAAGGACCGTCCGATCCTGAGTAAGATCAAGTGGGTACACATGATCGTCGATGAGGGACACCGTATGAAGAACGCCAACTCGAAGCTGAGCAGCACCATCACACAGTACTACACCACTCGCTTCCGTCTCATTCTTACCGGCACCCCATTGCAGAACAACCTGACTGAGCTGTGGGCTATGCTCAACTTCGTACTGCCAACCATCTTCAAGTCCGCGACGTCGTTCGATGAATGGTTCAACACTCCGTTCGCCAACACTGGTGGTCAAGACAAGATGGAGCTGACAGAAGAAGAGCAGCTGCTCGTTATTCGTCGTCTTCATAAGGTTCTCCGCCCGTTCCTTCTGCGTCGTCTCAAGAAGGATGTCGAGAAGGATCTGCCTGACAAAACCGAGCGCGTCATCAAGTGCAACTTCTCTACTCTGCAAGCCAAGCTGTACAAGCAGCTCGTCACGCACAACAGGCTCATGGTTAGCGACGGGAAGGGTGGCAAGACTGGTATGCGTGGTCTGAGCAACATGCTCATGCAGTTGCGAAAGCTGTGCAACCATCCCTTTGTCTTTGAGGAAGTTGAAGATCAGATGAACCCTACGCGCGGTACCAACGATCTTCTATGGCGTGCGGCAGGAAAGTTTGAGCTCCTGGATCGTATTCTGCCTAAGTTCCACGCCACAGGGCATCGCGTGCTCATGTTCTTCCAGATGACACAGATCATGAACATCATGGAAGATTACCTGCGGTTACGAGGCATGAAGTACATGCGTTTGGACGGTGCCACCAAGGCTGACGACCGATCTGATTTGCTGAAGGCTTTCAATGCTCCCAACTCGCCTTACTTCTGTTTTTTGCTGTCTACACGCGCTGGTGGTCTTGGTCTCAACTTGCAGACCGCCGATACTGTCATCATCTACGACTCCGACTGGAATCCTCATCAGGATTTGCAGGCCCAAGATCGTGCTCACCGTATCGGACAGAAGAACGAAGTGCGCATTCTCCGCCTCATCACGTCCAACTCTGTCGAAGAGAAGATTCTCGAGCGAGCCAACTACAAGCTTGACATGGACGGCAAGGTCATTCAGGCTGGTAAGTTCGACAACAAGTCCACGAACGAAGAGCGTGATGCCATGCTGCGAGTCATGTTGGAGTCTGCTGAAGCTGCCGAAAGCCTTGAGCAAGAAGAAATGGACGACGATGATCTCAACCTGATCATGATGCGAAATGAAGATGAGTTCAAGCTCTTCCAGGAAATGGACAGGAAGCGGCTAGTAGAGGACCCATACGGCCCAGGAAAGGCACTCCCACGTCTCATCGGTGAGAGCGAACTTCCCGACATCTACCTCAACGAGGAGGGACCTGTTGTCGAAGAAGTTGCGGACACACCTGTCGGTCGCGGTGCTCGTGAACGTACACGCGTCAAGTACGACGACGGTCTTACGGAAGAGCAATGGCTTGAGGCTGTTGACAATGACGAAGACACTATCGAAGCTGCCATCGCCCGCAAGGAGGCTAGGGTCGCTAAGCGGGGGCGCAAGTCCGGCCTGAGGGAAGAATCACCTGCGCTGTCACGAGAGAGCTCAGAAGAGCCGGTACCGAAGAAGCGCGGCAGGAAACCAAAGCTGCCCGAGAAGCGCAAGGCCGACGAAGCATCTCTAGATGGGGACGTGGCGCCCCGCAAGCGCGGGCGGCCAGCACCAGCCAAGGACAACTTGCAGCCCCAGCAGCGCGCCTCGCTACAAAAGATTGTCAACACGGTTTACGAAGCGCTCAACGATCTCGAAGAGGAGTCGACGGAGGAAGGGATTCCCAACCGCGGCATCATCGACCCCTTCATCGAGCTGCCTGACAAATGGGACTACCCCGACTACTACCAGCTCATCAAGAACCCGATCTGCATGAACCAAGTTAAGAAGAAGATCAACAAGAAGGAGTACCAGTCGCCCAAGCAGTTCCGGGCCGATGTGGCGCTGCTGTGCGCCAACTGCCGGCTCTACAACGAGGACAGCAGCCTGTTGTACCAGGACGCCAATCTCATTGAGCAGACGGCGGTCGACAAGCTCAGGGAGGCGGCGCAGGAGTTTCCGGAGTGGCAGGACTTTGACGACGCGGCGAGTGCGACGGGTGGGCTGAGCACGGGCGTGACGAGCGCTGTGGGTACGCCGCGGGCGATTTAGGGAAGAAAGTGAGTACACGGCCGTTTTGCGTGGCGCACCGTCAGGTTGCTAACAATCGCAGGCGCAAGAGGATCTTGTACCTGGGCGAGAGTTGGTAGGCAGGCTAGATTACCTTCTCGACATGTTTTTGCTGCATAATTGAAATCACACGATTGGAGGCCTGATTCGTAGCACTGGGTGGGTGCGTACTCTGATCACGACCGAGACGTCGCGATTCAGGGCTTGCTATTCTTGTGGTTGGAGACGGTATTTGCATAGCTAGAGCTATAGACGACCGATCCGACAATGCACTCGTATCACTCACGCGTCCGCCATGTCACGCCTGACACGTAATGATGTTTCCCCCAATCCGTCCCCTCTGCCACGCCCTCACTGCTGCGCATTCCACGCCACGCACGCGGCGAAGTCGACGCCCGTGCCCCCGAAGATGTCCAGCGCCGAGCCAATGGTCAGGTCGACTTTGCCGCCGCTCAGCCGCTTGACCAGCTCCAGATCGTCCAGCGCCCGTCCGCCGCCCGCGTACGTCACGGGGATGCTGCACCACTCGGCCAGCTTGGACACGAGCTCGTGGTCGATGCCGCGCTGCAGGCCCTCGACGTCGGCGGCGTGGATCAGGAACTCGGCGCAGTGCGGCTCGAGGAGCTGGATGTTCTCTGTGGGCCGCCGTGTTAGCGCGTGCTCGGCTGCGTGGAGAGCGCGGTGCGTGTGTACCTCTGTTGAGCTCAAAGTCCGTCATCGTCTGCCACTTGTCTGTCGCAACGAACCACGCCTCGTCTTTTCGGCGGCAGCTCAGGTCGACGACGAGCTTGTCCGTGTCGTTGTGCAGCGCGGCCAGCACGGCCTGCAGGCGCGGCATGCTAAACTCCGCGCCGGGGAAGAGGTGCGATGTGACAATGACCTACTGCGCGTCGTCAGCCGCCGTGCTGCTCACTCGCTCGGCTGCGGCATCGCGAGTCTACCTTGTCGGCCCCGCGCGCAATCCACTCGCCCGCGTTCGCATCGCTGATGCCGCCGCCGACCTGCATGCCGCCCGGCCACGCGGCGAGGGCTTCCTGCGCTGCGGCGTCGTTGCCAGGGCCCAGCATGATCACGTGAGCGCCCGCGAGAGCGTGTTGCTTGTACAGCGCCGCGTAGTAGGCCGCCGGATGCTCCGACGTCCAGTTTGTCTTGAGGCCGGACGGCGTCGTGGTCGAGAGCGTGCCGCCGACAATCTGCTTCACGCTGCCGGCGTGCAGGTCTATGCAGGGGCGGAACTTTGTCATTGTGAAATGGCAATTGGAGGGGGAGGGGTGGAGGAAGGGCTCGGGGGTCCTGATGTTGGTTGCTAGCGTTGATTTTTTTTTTTTTTGGTTTGGTTTGGTCTGGTTTGGTTTGGTGTGGTTTGGTGTGGTTTGGTGTGGTTTGGTGTGGTCTGGTGTGGTCTGGTTTGGTGTGGTCTGGTTTGGTCTGGGTTCTACAACGCACACAGGAATAACACAATGGCGCCACAGCTGGGGAAACGAAAGCGCGTCACGCGCGAGGAGCTCGAGAGGCCGTCGCCGTCGCCGTCTGAGCGGTCCGGCGACGAGGCGGACATGCAAGAGCTGTTCCGGCGCGCGTTTGAGAAAAAGTTCAAGCCGCTGGCCGTGGAGCCCATCACACCCAAGACGGCAGAAGCGCCTGTGGTCGAAGACGACGAGGACGAAGACGACGAGGACGAAGACAAAGCGTCAGACTGGTCCGGCCTCAGCGACGACGAAGCGCCCAAAGTCGAGGTAATCGAATACAAAGACACGACCCTCGGCTCGGACGACGAAGAAGCCTCCAAAGCCCTCAAGCGCGCCTTCATGTCCTCGAAGCCGCCCACTGCAGGCAGCACACCCGCCACCAACAAGCCGACGCCCAAGAAAAAGGACAAAGACGCCGCCGACACCACCGACACGGCGAACCTCCAAAACGACCTCGCCCTCCAGAAGCTCCTGCGCGACTCCCACATCCTCTCGGCGTCGTCGTCCGGCGCCTCAACGCCCTCCCTGATCACCGCCGGCGCCGCCCGCCACAAGTCCACGGACCTGCATCTGCGCTCGCTCGGCGCCAAGAGCAGCGTCTTCACGCAGAAGAAGATGCCCATGGCGCAGCGCAAGCACATGGTCGAGAAGGCGCGGCTGACGGAGCAGAAGCGACGGCACGAGGCGCGCGAGGGCGGCATCATCCTCGAGAAGGAGGTCAGGGAGAAGAGCAAGGGTAAGGAGAGGAAGAGGGAGCGGGATGTGGCTGGGCCGAGCATTGGGCGGTTCAGCGGCGGTACGCTGACGCTGAGCAAGAAGGATGTCAGGAGTATTACTGGTGGGCCTGGGAGCGGGGGTGGAACGGGGAACAAGGGGAAGGGGAAGCCTAGGAGGTGATGAGCGGCTGTGAAGTGCGTGACTACCACATTGACAAAGAAAGCCGTGATGCTTTCGAAAGGAAGCCGGGACACATCAGTAGAGAACCACTCTGTCTTGTCATTGATAGGATTGTCTCGAAATCGAGATCAGTGTACCTGCCGAGCTGCATCAGAAGACGCATCATGAGCAGCTGTTTGTCCCCGCCTCGCAGGACCAGCCAGATCGGTACCATCTGCGGCGAAGGGGTCTCTTCGGAATCGTAGCAAGAGGACGGAAAGGTGCAACACGACCACATGTTGAGTCGTCGAAACTGCTTCCACGGGAAAGAGAGATGGTCGTCCAAGTCCCATGTTGCAGCTCACAGCATCGGTCCTCCGGTGCGTGGGTTTGAGGCAGCTCGAGTGATCAAGGGCATACATAGGGCAGAGAGAGAATCCACCTCACCCACAGCAAAGCTCTCCACGTAGCTAGACCTTGAATCAACTGTCTCTTTTATTCTGCATACAATACTCGTCTTGACAGACCGCTTTGCTCAACTATCCACACCGACATCGGACCCCATCAGTCAGCCTACGCCGGTCTAACCGCAACAGGAGCGATAACGCGGCGCCGTGATAACAGAACGGCGGCTGATGGAACCAGCACCCATTGGTTTGAATTGAAAGCATGGTAGACGTCCGCGTCTAGGGTGCGCTTCGGTCTACTTTGCAAATCTACCAATGATCGCTGCTGTGCAGGAGAGCCGAGATGGACTCGCGGGACGTCGACGACGTACATATACCCCGCGAGACCCTGCATTGATGGCCGTCGACCATTTCCTCACTTCTCTCGCTCGTTGAATCTCTCAAGAGGTCGTGCTATCAATTCAATCAATCTATCAATCTCTCCATCAATCTATCAATCTCTCCATCAATCAACCTCTCAATCTCTCCATCAATCAACCTCTCAATCTCTCCATCAATCAACCTCTCAATCTCTCAATCAATCAACCTCTCAACCTCTCAACCTCTCAATCTCTCAATCGCCCAAGGCCATTCACAGCTGGTCGCCAACGCTCGCAATGGCTCTCGACCGCCTCAAGCAGGCAGCCTCACACCTCACGGGGCAAGTCGCACCCCCTCATCCATTCGATCCCCTCTCAGAGCTCGAGATCGAAGCCGCAGTAGCACTTGTCCGCAAAGAACACCCCGATGTCTTCTTCAACGCCGTCACGCTCTGGGAGCCGCGCAAGGCCGAAATGATGGCCTGGATCAAAGCCCCAGAAGTAGCACCCAGGCCGCACCGCGTCGCAGATGTAGTGTGCATCGGGCGCGGCAGCAAAGTGTTTGACGCTCACGTGTCCCTGACTGAGTCCAAGATGCTCAGCTGGGAGCTGACCGACGGCGTGCAACCTTTGATCACCATGGAGGACCTACAGATCGTCGAGACCATTGTCCGCAAAGACGCAAAGGTCATCGAGCAGTGCGGGATCCTTGGTATCCCACCACAGGAAATGCACAAGGTGTACTGCGATCCCTGGACCATTGGCTACGACGAGCGCTTCGGTACCAATGTGCGCCTCCAGCAGGCGCTGATGTATTACCGCCCACATGTCGATGACAGCCAGTACAGCTTTCCGCTCGACTTTTGCCCCATCTACAACTCGGATACCCAGGAGATTATCCACATCGATGTGCCGCCGGTCAGGCGGCCGCTGAACACGGCGCCGCCGAACAACTACCACGCTGCTGCGATTGAGAAAGAGGGCGGGTTTAGGACCGATTTGAAACCCATCCATATCACGCAGCCCGAGGGTGTGAGCTTCAAGATGGATGGAAGGTATGTCAGCTGGGCGAATTGGAAGCTCCATGTTGGATTCAACTACCGTGAGGGTATGGTCCTGAGCGATATCACTTTCAACGACAGGGGCACGGTGAGAGACACCTTCTGGCGGTTGTCGCTCGCGGAGATGGTTGTGCCGTATGGAAATCCGGAGCATCCTCATCAGAGGAAGCACGCGTTTGATCTCGGCGAGTACGGCGGCGGTTACATGACGAACTCGCTGAGTCTGGGTTGTGACTGCAAGGGCGCGATCCACTACATGGACGCAGCATTCGTCAACCGCGCTGGCCAGGCCACAACGATCAAGAACGCCATCTGCATTCACGAGGAAGATGCCGGAATCCTATTCAAGCACACCGACTTCCGCGACGACAGCGTTACAGTGACGCGCGCCCGCAAGCTCATCATCTCGCACATCTTCACCGCCGCCAACTACGAGTACTGCGTGTACTGGATCTTCCACCTCGACGGCACGATCCAGCTCGAGATCAAGCTCACCGGCATCCTCAACACGTACGCGATGCTCCCCGGCGAAGACCTCAAGGGCTGGGGCACAGAAGTCTACCCCGGCGTCAACGCACACAACCACCAGCACCTGTTCTGCCTGCGCATCGACCCAAACATCGACGGGCCCAACAACACCGTCTTCATGGTCGACGCGGCGCGCGGCGACGGCGAGGTCGGCAGCGCAGAGAACAAGTACGGCAACGCGTTCTACGCGAAGAAGACCAAGCTCAGCACGCCCGAGCAGGCGGCGACGGACTACAACGGTGCCACGAGCAGGACGTGGGACATGGCCAACGAGAGCAGGCTCAACCCGTACAGCAAGAAGCCCGCCAGCTACAAGCTGGTGAGCAGGGAGGTGCCAGAACTGCTGCCCAAGCCCGGCGGCCTGGTGTGGAAGCGCGCAGGCTTCGCGCGGCACGCCGTGCACGTCACAAAGTGTAGGTGCCCCCTCGATCCCCAGATGAACTTGGCTACTGGAGCACGACTTGCTAACCCCCGCCGCAGACGACGACGCGCAGATCCACCCCGCCGGGCGCCACGTCCCGCAGACGTCGGGCTCGCCCTCGCAGGGCATACCGGCGTGGATCGAGGCCAACCCAACCGCGAGCCTCGAGAACACCGACGTCGTGCTGTGGCACACGTTTGGACTCACGCACTTCCCCGCGCCCGAGGACTTCCCCGTGATGCCCGCCGAACCGATGAGTCTGCTGCTGCGGCCGCGCCACTTCTTCACCAGGAACCCGTGTCTCGATGTGCCGCCCAGCTATTGCAGTGTGCCGAGCGGTGTGAGGCAGGGGAGCGCGCTGGTGGATCGCATCAGCAAGCTGGCGTTTGACGGGGGGGAGGGGGCTGCGCAGGGGAAGGCGGATGGGGAGGCGTGTTGTGCGGGGGGCAAGATTGGCGCCGGAGTTTGAATGGAGTGAGCATTAGGACGTCTGATATTCGTGAGTGAGCATTAGGACGTCTGATGTTCGTGAGTGAGCATTAAGACGTCTGATATTCGTGCAACTATAACTCATGATAGTTTTACTTTTCGAGCTTGGCTACAGCGTTGCTGTCTCTCCTGGACCTGAAAAGGTGCAATGATTGTAGCCTCCAGAGGATTCAATAAGACGTGATGCAGTCCATACGCACACTGAATGCTTCCTGCATCTTCGAGGTTTCGGCGTCTGCAGCTGAGTTTCTCTACTACTTGACGCTGGTCGATGAGGCAAGCATGGCCACGTGCGAATGACGTCTCGTCTTGAACCCTGCATAGCTCCATCCCGCTTCCTTCCACAAACCTAGCACCCACCACAGCATGACATAACAGACACAATTCCTCTCCCCTCACGATCCTGGCGCCTCACTCCTCCCTTCCGTCTCCTGCAGCCTCCCAGCATGCGCTCGCAACGCCCATCGGCCGCGACACCGCCATGCCCCGCGCCTTCCCGCCCGTGAGCGCCCACGCAGACGCGCCCCATGGCACGTCCCGCGCGCCCAAGTCTGCGCTCTCCGCCTCGGTCGTAGAAAGCGTCGCCGGCTTCAGCGCAGGCGTCGTCTCTTGTCTGGCCGCGCACCCACTGGATCTGCTGAAGAACCGGCTGCAGCTCAATACGGCCACGCGCTCGCGCCTCGGCGACTCGTTCCGCATCCTGCGCAACGTCGTGCGCGACGAGGGCGGCGCCAGGGCCCTGTACCGCGGCCTGTGGCCCAATCTGCTCGGCAACAGCCTGGGCTGGGGCCTGTTCTTCCTGTTTTACGGCAACATCAAGGACGCGCTGCGGCGGCGGAAGAGGGACGGCGAGCACCTCGGCAGCGCCGACTTCTTCAGCGCGAGCATCATCGCGGGCCTCAGCACGGGCTTCTGCACAAACCCCATCTGGGTCGTCAAGACGCGCATGCTGGAGCGCGGCGCGAACCACCCCGCAGCCTACACGACGATGCGCGCCGGCCTGGCCCATGTGTACGCCACGCGCGGCCTCAAGGGGCTGTGGGCGGGCTTCGTGCCGAGCAGTCTGGGCGTCCTGCACGGTGCGGTGCAGTTCTCCATCTACGAGACGCTGAAGAAGCGCCGCAGCCAGTCTCTGGCCGGTCCCGACATGCTGTCCAACTGGGAGTACATGTACATGTCCGGCGCCTCGAAGCTGCTCGCGGGCGCCATCACGTATCCCTACCAGCCCATCCGGGCGCGGATGCAGCAGTACGAGGCCGCCGCGCGGTACAGCGGGCTGTGGGATGTGCTGCGCAAGACGTACACGAACGAGGGCTTCTTTGCTTTCTACAAAGGCGTCGTGCCCAACACGTTGAGGGTTGTGCCCACGACCGTCGTCACGTTCCTGGTCTATGAGAACACCAAGATCTACCTCCCGCGGCTGTTCGCCAAGGACGAACAGCTGGCGCATGGCGAGGATTGAAGGGGCATTGCAATGCATCTGTTGCGTAGCACAGCATATACATGGATGAATGGAGCCTGGACTCCTGCTCTTGCATAATCGCACTGACCAATACGCTGACCCAGAGTTCCAACGCGCATGGCAGACACCCGCGCCATGGCGCGTTCCAGACACCGCTGTACACATCTGTCCGCTCTACTCACACCGTCCGCAGCACCCTCTTCCTCTGCACACCACAGCCTCTCTAGCAGGTGCCTCCCCCTCCACCACCTCCTCCACCGCCGCCCCCTCCATCACCACCACCGCCGGAGAAACCCCCGCCGTCCCCTCCGAAGACACCCCCGCCGTGCCCACCGTGATGCCCGCCATACCCTCCTCCATGACACGCGCCCGCACCCGCATCAAACGCCCCGTAGCCCGGCGTGTTGGCCAAGTAACCGCCGTGGGAGCCAGCATAAGCGGCTTCAGCCCTGCGCCGTGCGCGTCTCGACTGTTTCCTCCGCTGGCGCATGGGCGGTGGGTAGGCGGAGGCGTGTTTGCTGGGTCCGCAGCCCATGGTGTCGCTCAGAGAGATAGAGAGGGAGAGAGGTGATTGGTGTGAGCAATTAAAGCAGAGTCTTGAGCTCGAGGTGTGGAGTGTGGCCGGCGAGCAGAGACGATACGGTGATGGGATTTTGGTGCAGACTTGCTTTAGTTGGCGTGGGACCGTGTGGATTGATTGTAATGCAGCACTGGGAGTTCTGGGTGCGACGTCCGGCCTATATGGTATACAACCCATGCGGGCATCTGCGTCTACGCACTGCGCACTGCCGCAGGCCAGCCTCACTGGCTCGAGCTCATTCATGCATCCAACGGCGATCCCGCACACCGGGTACCAGACGAGGAAGGACTCGAGCGTGAGATGCGGTTGCGGAAAGGTTAGCGAGTGAAGGATGCGCGAAGAGGGCAGCGGCCAGCGAATCAGAGACGGCTAAGAGGCTTAGCTGCGACGAGGCGAGTTGAATTGGGGCTAGCGTGTGTGTGCTGAGGCTGAGCTGTGCTGTAGGGCTGCATACTGGCTGTGCAGGTCAATCGTCAAGCGCAGTAATGCTTCCCGTTTAGGGAGTGGTACTGCTTAAAATGTGTGTTCATTCATCGATAGCTATGCCGCGCAATCACGCGCGTCGCGGGACGGAGAGGGGCGTCACACGCCAGTGCGCCGGGAATCGCAGCCCTAGACCCTACAGAAGAAAGAAAGATGGCCAACCAGCATCGCCGCGTCCATCTATAGAAGAGTCGTTTTATATCGCCATGAGAGATTGGAAAAGAAGAAGAGACAAGGTCCAATGCCGCTGTGCCGCTATACATTGCATATTCAAACAGGCCATGCCAGGTCGGAAGAAGAAGGGGAAGGGAAATGTAAAGGAACCGCAGACCCCGCCCAATGCACGTCTCGTTGTACAACAAGCTCTCTGCGCTTGTGACCGTATACCGCGTAACGCGTACCGCCCGTGTGCCGCAGGCCGCTGTGTGACGAATCGTCTATTTGGCCTGCGCCTTTGCCTTGAGCGCCAGGTGCGAGTACACCCAGCCGCCACCGAGCGCAAGCAGAACACCGAGCCACTCGCGCGGGTTCAGGATCTTGCCTTCGCTGTACCAGCCAATGGACAAGATGAGGATGGTCTTGAGATGGCTGACAATGTTGAAGGTGAGGGCCGAGGTGCGGCCAATGATCAAGAACTGCGACAAGTTGTACATGGAGGCCATGATGCCGGATGCGCAGACGGACCACAGCAGGTTCGTTGGGACGGCGCTGAGGTTGGGAATCGTGTCGAAGAACGGAACGAAGGGGATGAGCAGGCACACGGAGATGGGCGCCTGGTTCAGGAGCAGCTGCGGAGGCGAGACCTTGAAGTCTTCAATCTTCTTGCCAATCCAAATCTGGTACAGCGCGGTCGAGCAGAAAGCGAGAGTTGCAATGATGACGCCGAAGAAGGCGGTCTTGACCTCTCCGCCCATGGTGAAAGAGACGCCGATGCACGTGGTAAGGATAGCGGCGAGCATCCATCTGGTGACGGTCTTTCGGAAAACGACAAAGTTGATCAGAACGACGGTTGGCGTGGTCATGACCTTGGACAGCTGGTAGAAGCCAATTGAGTTGAAGGTCAAGCTGAGGTTGCCGAGGACGACGTAGCCGGCGAAGAAGGCGCAGACGGGCATCATGTTCCAGACGTTGAGCTTGACGGGCTTGAAGGCGCGGAAGGGACCGAGAGTGGATAGGAAGAGGACAAGGGCTGTCGCTGTGAAATGCCACATGACGACCATCAGCTGGCACTGCTTGAGTTGCGGGTCGCTGAATACACTGTTGCGCTGTCAGTAAGTGGCCTGCACGGCGCGGCACCAGCAGGACAAGGCGTACCGTTTGCTCAGGAAGATCAGGCCCAGGGTCGATAATGTGTTGACGGAGATCCAGAAACATGTGATGATCTTGTCCTTGAGCGACACGGGCGACGGCTCCACGGGTTTCTCGTACGTGGGCAGCTCCTCCATCTCGAACTCGGTGCTCTCGCGGGGGTCGACGTTGTCGACGAGGCCGTCGGTCGAGGGGCGCTTCTCTACTGTCATTGCTGTCAGCCAAAGTTCGCGGTGCTGTCAGCCACAGTTGGCGGTGCTGTCAGACGGCCGCGGCGGGCGCAGAAGGCAGAACTCGGGGTCACCTACCCATAGCGGCGACGGTGTTGGTGCTAGCGAGCAGACGTCGATGCGCGCATGCGCAGGCGGCGAGCTGAGGACAGGTGGGCAGAGGAGCGGAGGCGCAGGCCTGGCGGTACACGGCGGGCGGGAGGGTCGGTGGTGGGTGTCACAGCAAAGGCCGGCAGCGAGTGTCACAGCGAGGGTCGGCAGAGAGCGCTGGTGGAAAAGGGTGGCACCGAGTCCTGCCCTGACGCCGTTGTTGGTCGACCAGGGTCTTGGCTACCGCCAATCTACACTCGCCGGTGGGCCACGCTGCCGGACGCTAGATGCGTTTAAAATTAGCCTACGCAACGCCTTCGAGATCACTGCGCGGCGTCTTTGCGTCGTTGGGCCTTCACTGTGATTGCCTCTTCGAGCAGTCTACCCGCAATTTCCCGCCGTCTTTTGTCGCGAGCCTGCAAGCGGCCAGCCGACGGTCCCTTGCTTTGATCGCTCTGCGCCCTCCTCACGCGAACCTCGAGGCGCAGCTCTCGTATCTCCGGATGGTCGCGCAACGTGTGACCAATTCTAGCGCCAAAGATTGAGAAGCAGTCGGTGCTGATCAGGGGAAGCCTCGGAACTGTACAATACTTCTGAAGAGTATGGGTCCTGTCGGCTGTGGTCAGTACAACGTGCACGAAAATGGCTCTGTTGCGCTTTGTCTACGGGCGCGCTAGCGATCAGCATTATATATATTTTTATTCTCTCTTCTTTTCACATACGACCATAGGACGTTGAAAACAAGGCTTCCCGTTCGCTCAGCCCTATTTAAGCAACGTACCGGCGGATTAGTAGTTAGGTGGGTGACCACTAGCGAATACCCGCTGTTGTATGTCTTTTTGCACTTTGCCAGCACCATTTGTGCTTTTTGTGTGAGGCTGCGATGCTGCCTAGGCGTTTGTAAATCCATTCGTAGCTTTGTAATCCTCCCCATCTCAATCACACTGAGCAAAGCAGGCGCGCGTCACTAATGACTAGACACCGCGTCGCTACGCAAGACTCAGGTGAACGACGTCCTTGGCAGTAAAACTCAGCAAACATTTCAATTTGTTGTTCATGATGTAACTTGTCTAAGTACTGTTCCTCACTCAGTCACTTCAGAAGACGTATTTCTACGGCCTCACCAGTGAACTAGTCCGGCCGCAGCATGGACGCTCTTCCAAAGCACCTTCCCCTCAAGCGCTGGGTGCGAACCACCAGAACCTTTGATTATTCCTTGGTCTCTCAATGTCGCTCTGGTCTGCTGTATACAATCTCATTAAATTCCTCGTGGAAACCTTACTCACTCCGTACATCTGCATGGCGAAGTTCTCAACACTGTCCGGGAATACCCAAAAGTGACTCTCTTCCTTGTAGCCATCTATATCTTTTGCACGCTCGCCAATCAAACAAATATAGTCTTCGCTGTTGTTCCTTTTCCCAAAGGATATCACGTGGGTGCCAATCAGCGAGTCGAAGTCGAAGGCTGGGAAGGTGAAGAGATGGGCTGAGCCCGAGTCTAGCGAGGGTAGACAGATATCGGTCCAGTAATCGGGAGTGTTAGCAATGGGTTTAGACTGGGCGTGGTACGTCACGGTCTTGATTGCTTTCTTTGGGTGTGAATCGAGTCAGTTTAGGACGCTAAGAAAAGAAAAGGTAAGATGGGAGATGGAAGGACTCACAAGAACCTTAAGTCGGAAAGAGCTAGGATCCTGGTGGTTTGGTATCTCACGGGCGATCTCAGGGTGCTTGGAGATATTGATCACCTTAGAAAAGTCAGTTGAACGGTAACGAATTATGAGGCTGCAAGAGATCGGGGAGGCATACCCTGTCCCGTATGTCGCCAAAATTGTCGATGGCTTTGTTTGCCAGCTCCTCTTGCTGTCCGGAACCGTTCTTGAACTTGCCACCTGGTACTGCAGAAGCCTTGTCAGCCAAGGCGGACTATGTCTGCTATTGGGCTTACCAGTTTTAATCAACTTCTCAGCGGCCTGGTACAGCGTGAAGTCATCAAAGAGCTTCCAGGACTTTTTGAAGCTGTAAGTATGTGTAGCGTTGAACTTTCAGGGATTGACTTACCCTCCTACTTGCCTCCGAGTAATCAAAGGGAACGAAACTGTTCCCAAAGTTGGCAAGATTCGTGTATTTGCCCAGCACCGCACTACGCTATGTTAGCCTCGAACAGCTCATAAACATCTCTGTCGTGAGAGGCCGCTTACAAGAGCACGTAGTTATGTTTTCCCGAGTTTGCGTCCTCGTAGAACTTGTCCGCCTTAGCCTTGACGGCCATAAGGTCAGAGGTCTCTTCAGCCTTGACAGTGAGGCCTGATCCACTAGCACTGCCTTTGTCGGGGCCCGTAGACTCGACAATGGTGATCTTGACCGATGAGCTCCTCTTGATGGAGCTGACAGCATCTTCGACCTCCTGGGTTACTTTGCCTTGGACGCCATACATAGTGAAGGCCATTTCAGCACTAGTGACGAGTATGTCAGCCTAACGACGACGGTGTCGGACGAATTGAGAGATAGGAAGAAGTATAAAACAAGACTTACGACTGCTTGAGCTCTCTGGTTTCCGATGAGTTGCGTGCTGTGATAGAGACGCGGGCGAAGAAATGACCGCCACGTACGAAATCAGTAATAAAACGATCGCCGTATGTCTCATTAGGGTTTTCCGTTCCGATCTTGTTGAAGGAATGTCTGTCGCCCACGCTGACTTGTTGCTGAACCAGCACCTCGACCTGATATGTCAAAGTGCTACTTTCAAACTGCATTCCAGTCAGTTTCTGATCATTAGGATGATGTACGTTCATACACACCTCGCTACGATCTAAGATGCTGACATTGACGTTGCCGCTCTGGCCCCACCCAGAGACGGCCGCGCCAGCACTGATCTTCATGCTCTTTGCAAGCTTTCTGACGCAAGTAAGCACGTTGCACTATCTGAGGAACTTGACATACTCACTCGTAGTCTTCAACGAGCTCAGAAGTATACTCTCGCCGGAACGGGTTGCCTGGCTTTTCGGAAGGCTGGATAGTGACTGCATCCTTAACGCAGAGCTGTTGTAGATAGGTGTTGTAACTCAAGACTTAGTTAGTTCTAAATCTTTTATCTCCTTAGAGATCCAGACTCACCCTTGGCCCTGTTGCATGCCTGAAATGTAAGGAACGACTTCGCCCATAGTGAAGAATTGTAGTTGTAAGTCGCGGATGATGTTTTTCTAGAATAACAGATGTTTGTTACAAGAGAAAGTTGTTACGAAACAGCACGGTTATATATGCTCCAACTGAAGACCAAGATACAACTTGATGCAGTCTTGAGATACGTGCCAATAAGTGCGTAGAACTTGGCCACCAGATCAGCCACCACCACCATTACGAATTCCACCATGCAATCCCACAGGTGTGTCAATTATGTGAGCGACCTTGCATCCTAGTTCGAGATCGACTGAAGCTGCTTGTATTAAATGTAAGGTGTTTGGCGAAGTCACACACGTTGTACACATGAGGGGAAGTTGCTTGGCAGCGTTATTGGGCGTGTGTTGCCCTTCCTTAGCATCAATACTCATTTCGCTCAAATCAAAGGTATCTACTCCAAAATGCGATTCTGATTGCAGCGTTCTAGTCAGTGAATAAATCAGCTAAACTTAATTCTGTAGGTTCTTAAGAATCAATCCCGCAGGTCACTCTAATTATCTATTGGAAACAAATATCACTTGAGATGTTTTTGTGGTCGATTCGTACAGCATATTTTTAGTTAGGAGATAACTGTACCTAATCAAATCAAAAGCTTGGTACTCAGCAAGCTAAGCTATCGTGTCCACGGAAAATGTGTGCTTGCCTACAGGTCAGTAATTGTCTCACATGCGGCTGCAGTTCGTACAGGGATACCGGTATCACGATCGAGCGGGGCGGTTCGGACCGTACCGTAGTCGGTTTAGCTAGCGTTACCAAGTCTACCGCTCCTTCCCATGCGCGTGTAAAAAGGACCCACAGGCCTTTGCGGGGCAGACGTTTGCTAGGCACAACATGTCGGCTCGCCAACCGCATCAGGAGATACTAGACTACTCAGCCCGGGCCGTCGTCGTGGCACTCGCATTTGTCAAATTGAGGTGGCGGCGTGCAAAGGCTTTCCCGATTGTGTCCACCGTAGACGTTGTGTCACAGAACCCACTGGTCTGCGCAGCAAGACTGCATATATCGCGTGTATACCACTTTTATGCACAGAGTAGGACTTGAGGACGATCACTTCACGCGCTTGGGCAGAGAGCTTCCTCTTACGCATACAGAACTAAGGGGCGTGTTACATTGCATCAGAACTACTCACAATGGCTTTGCCCAGGAATTGGATCCTACTACTCCCAATCCACAGTCAGCTGAAATTGATCAGGGTTCCGATTATTCTAACAGTCGCACTGAAGCGTATGTGCTGTGACATGTTTGACATGGGTGAATTCACGTAGTAAAGTGTTTGGGAGGTATGCGTGTGCGTGTTGCTAATGGCACGAACAATTATGTTTATCGTTCATAACGTGGGGCTCAGGGTAACCGAGATCGAAGTTTGTTCCAGGCACATGGAAGGAGGTGATAAATCTGCGCTGCAGCAGATCTAGTGCCATCGTGATGTGTAACTGCCTGGTGCACTGTCGGGTGGAGGCTGGGATCAACAATTGTATTGCTATCTGTTGTCGTGTTGTGATCGCGGTGATGTGACATCAGGCAGATGGATTGCCTCACACATCCGCACGACGTGCAGCCACTCCTCAAGCCAACTATCAATGTTGTTCCTTGGTCGACTCTGTAGTTGTCGATACTTGGTTATCAACTGTGGCTCCCTCTCAGCCGTCGATGGGCAGAGGTGCTTCTTCAACCTCTTCAAGCGAGCGTACGCAGTATCGTCGCTCTGAATCAGGTGTATATAGCGGCGGCTGATTGTTCGGCCGATCTCCTGGGTAAAGTCATTTAACGCTTTCCTCTTGATCGTGTATCTGGCCAGTGCTCGATCGTAGTTCCGCTCCGCCTCCTGGTATCGCTGGAACTCCTCGGTCGTCATGTCCTTGAGCACAACGCCGGTGTCCTCTTCAGTCTCGTCATGGTACTGCTCCGCCTCGACGGCTGCTGGCTCCTCAAGCTTCTCAAGGGCCGCCTCATCGAGATCAGGGTTGACCATAGACCACAGTTGATGCCTGTCCGCGCTATCCTTTCGTAGGAAGATCCATTCCTCCCAGTCCGCAGGCTTCTCGAGTATAACCGTCGTCCTCGTAATCAGTCCATCCAGCTCGGTAGTAGCCATCCTGAATCAGGCTCTATCGGCTCTCAGATGTCGACTCTCGTACGGGACAGTGCGCTCGAGGCTCTTGACAAGGTAAGGTAAAGGTAGCGGTTTGATGACGTAGCTCTGTTGACAGCAGTCAATAGCTCGTCGGCATGCAGTAGCGGATACAGCGTGTGTAGTCGACAGCCGGGCTCATAACTGTAACTGCCTGGTGCAGTGTCGGGTGGAGGCTGGGATCAACAATTGTATTGCTATCTGTTGTCGTGTTGTGATGATTGTGTACGGAGCTCTCAGCTCTGAGGTAAGTGCACTTGCCCACTGGGTGGTACCTGCTACAACAAGATATCATGTGACTTCACCCACGTGGTTACATGATGACATGCGTCTTAACAACCTGGCTAGCCAACAGTGCGGGGACACAAGTCTTGTTGGGGCTGTAGGGACTCGTTACATGCATATATACCTAGGGTACTGTGCCCGGCTTCGTAATGTAGACGTGCGCGGTCTAGGTAAGCTAGTTTAGGTTTTCAGCTACACCAACAACACGATGATTGCACAGGAATCAAGACTATACAGTATAAGTCTCTGGCTTAAGACGCCGCACGGAAATGCTAGGTGCGCGGAGAACCTCGCTACACACTGTACGCCCGGGACTGGAAACAGTAGCAAAGGCTGTTGTACATGTTACACTGTCTAGCGCTTTGACCTTTTGCTTTGCGCATCACTGGGCGATCATCGGCTGCTTGACTGTAGTACCTAGAATTTCCAAGTGCATAGGATAAACCATGTCTAGCAGTCAGATGCTCAAAGTGGTGCACTTACCGGGCTGATCATACCATCGTGTAGATGTGGTTATTGTCGGACAGGAGTTTCGTTACGAAGGACTGAAGTTTGCTTGGATGCTTGGACTAGGACCTGCGAGAGCATGTTGGTACCACATCCTCGTACAGGTCGCTGATCGGAGCTTGGTAGTCTCGTAAATGTGCGCTAGGAGATTGAGGGTACAGTTTGCGGATCGAAACTGAAGAATCTCGTGTATGTCTGCCAGTGGATCGATTCGCACAGGTTCCAGATGGAAGTTGTACAGCTTCGCGAATGCCCGCTGGTCGGGCTAGTCAGCTGTATACGTCATTCCGAATAAAGACTCCTACGGGTATAAGATGGGCTTCCAGGGACTCACTTCCAGTATCCAAGCACAAGCTACATACTCAATCTTTGCAAATCACTTCGATATTCAAGATCCAAATCCTCAATCATGGCATACGCACAGTGGGTGGTTATCCATATCATCAACAGTTTCCGTCAAGGAACGATCAGCCTCAAAAACGCACAAGCCATGTGTGAGTACTCGTTTCTGGATTGACAGCATACTACCATCTGCTACCTGACTTCTATCTAGTCATCGCTAACACATGCGTGATAAGGGGGCAAATTTTACAAGAATGGCAACAAAGATGCCGAGATTGGCGCTGGTGAGGTCAACGAGACGACCGTTGCCGCGGGTTCTGAAGCCGATATTTCCTCGTGCGGTCGCTCTGACGCCGCTTCTGGCACCGAGGGCAAGGTGTACGCAACACTCTTTTGTCTGCACAGCTACTTGTCCATCGTTGCTCATATTGTTCTTCTTAGTGACGTCTTTGACGGCGATACCCAAGTCTGCACGATCTACTGGAACTGCCCCTGGGGTTCCAAGTCGAACGACTTTCAAATCCAAAACCGCAACAACGATTACGGTATTACCGTTGGTGAATGGAACAGGGACTCTGGTGCGCTTGGCAAAGTGGACGTGGATGTCTCGAAGAAGGGATAGAGATCCAGAGGTAGAAGTTGTAACTTTGTTCAGGATGGGCAGATCCGGGCAGACTCAGCTGGCAGTATGAAGTCTTCGTAGAAAGGTGTACTTGTCGCTCTTTTCAATGAATGAAGTCAACCGAGATCTTTTGAACACCTTGCTCATAGAGACGTGGCCGCTGTACGCGCTTGGGTGCTCTGATGCCTCGCCATGCTCAAGGGAACTCAAGACAGGAAGATGCGATCTAACCGTGTCTATGCCTAGGTCTTATGCATGCGCCGAACTTCATCTTGTTAAGTCCTAGTTTCTAAGTTGCTACCATCATCTAAAGACATGTTACTTCATTACTACAACTTCTATACTAGTAATGATTGACGTGACATCAACAACAATAAGTCTAACACTAGTAGCAATGTTTGGGAGATCACTATGCTTTAGTGTGTTAAAGATGTACTATGACTACATCTGTCGCAGTGAGTGCAAGCAGTGCGCAAGGAATTGAGGATTGAACTGAGGTTGTATTGTGTGAAGCTACGAACGGTATATCTACATAGGTGGCTGTAAACAGCGCTAGTGCAAAACAGGGAGTCGCCTCTCACCAAAGGTGAGGCGCGGGTTGCCTATGAGGCAAGAGACACGCAAACCGTGACAACATCTGTTAACGCACCTCACGGGCGAGTGGCTCACCCGAGCGAGTGGCTCACTTTTGCCAAGACCACACCAACACTGCAACTACTTTGCAACATTATAGTACACAACAGTAGTATACTGTGCTACACAGTATATTGCACTAATCTTTAGTACTCTACGCATCTTTCCTACACGTTCGCGCGTTATACCCTACTTTGCTACATGTGCTACAGCGTCTTAAAGACTAAGTGCTTCTATTAACACGTGACCTCTTCTTTGCCTTCTTCCCATCACTACAGGCCTTAAACTCCTTTAGAGTAGTCAGCCACACTCCCTTAGCAAAGGTTAGAGTCCCTTCTTACTGTAATTGCTTCCTTTTGTGTGATTTACGACGTGTGGCGGCCTCGTTGGCTGCCTGTAGGTCAGCGACCTAGTTGCGCACTAAAACCAGTGAATGCGCCATCACCTCTGCGCCTTTGGTAAGCTGATTATGTCGCAGTGAGTGCAAGCAGTGCGCAAGGAATTGAGGATTGAACTGAGGTTGTATTGTGTGTAGCTACAAACGGTACACATACATAGGTGGCTGTAAACAGCGCTAGTGCAAAACAGGGAGTTGCCTCTCACCAAAGGTAAGGCGCGGGTTGCCTATGAGGCAAGAGACACGCAAACCGTGACACCCCCCCTAGCTGCCGTAGGCTCAACGGCAGGGAGTCGACAACAGCTAATCAGTGTCGATTTAGTAGGTGATAGATAGCATCAATGTTATTGTTGTTAGCCTGACGTAGGCCCTTCAGGCGCTCAGTAATGTTGACAAGACCAAGTTGGCAGATAAACTCAGTGAACTTCTGCTTAGGTAGAATCTTCGTGAGTCCGTCAGCAGGCATGTGATTAGTAGGTACCTATTTTACGTTAATACGTGAGGCGGTGACCTCCTGTTAGATCTAGAGCTGATAGATATTGACGTGTTTGCCTTTTGTGTGAAGCTTGTCGTGCTCCTTCGTGACAATACGGACAGTCTGCTGGTTGTCGCACCAGATCGTAGGTATACAGTCGAGCGTGAGGTTGATGCCAGCGAAGAAACGCATCCACTCTTCCATCTGCGAGGGAGAGCAAGAGCAATTCAGACTCTGTGGTTGATTTTGTGACTGTGCGCTGGACAGTTGATTTCTAGTTAATCATGAGTCCTCCAAATTTGAAGGCGTATCCTTGAGAGCTTTGGCGAGTCTCAGGCTTGTCAGCGTACAAGGCATCGGATGATCCAAAGAAGAGAGGATCGCGGTATGTAGGATCGTCAGTGAGATACTCGGCCATGTTGTGCGCGCTGGCAGAGGCTTCAAAGGCGAGAGCCTTCGTGCTGAGCAGGTAGCGCCAGGTCTGGCGGATCTTTGAGATGTGAGACTGTCCTGGGTTGATGAGGTGGCAGGCAAAGACAACGTGCGTTCGGGCGACGTCAGGTCTACCCTAGACAGCAATGTATGCAAGAGAACCAACAAGCTGCTGGTAGAGCTTCGTACGAGCAGTATCAGTCTCCTCAGTAGACTGTGGCAGCCAGTTCTCCGTTAGTGGGATGTCTGGAGCCTTGCCCACAGCCTCAATGCTGAATTGAGCGCACACCTTGTTGATGAAAGCGTCTTGGACTAGCCAGGTCTTGTGTAGAGCTTGGTCGCGGACGATGCGGATACCAAGAAACTAGGTAAGGTCTCCCATCGCTTTAATGTTGTACAGGTCTACCAGATCCTTCTTAAAGGACTGGTGGTGATAGGCGTTTAATTGATGAAACGCCATAACAATGTCGTTAACGTAGACAAATATAATAAGCCAGCGGCTCGTATATAGGTATGGGAAGCCGTTAACTGGCTTTAGGCCTAGTTTTACAAGTTGTTGACGTAGCTCATTGTACCATAGGATTGGTGACCCCTTCAGGCCGTACAGGGCGCGGAGCACCAGCATGATCTCGCCTTTAGTATGGCGGAAGGCCTCAGGTGTCTTAGCGTATAGCTTGCGATCAATCTTGGCGTTCAGGAATGCAGTAGGGACATCGTACTGCTTCAGCTCTAGATCAAAGTAGTTGGCAATTGCAATTAGAGCGCGAAAGTTACGAATCGCGAGCGTAGCAGCGTACGTGTTGTCAAGAGGGGCTTCAAGGTCTCCTCGCACCACAAGTTGAGCCTTGAAACGTGTGAGATATCCATCTCCGTTAGTTTTGTATGTGAAGACCCACATTAGTGGCAGTACCTCGCTGTCTGCAGTAGTCTTTGAGTAAGCAGTCTATCCAAATACACCTTTAGCGTGTAGATCTCGCCATTCAATCTCCATAGCGCGTCAGAATTGATCGCCAAACATGTGTGTATTGAGCTGCTTTACAGCCTTTGGTGCAGGCGGTAGCTGAGATTGATGGATTTGTGGTACTTCATCTGCCCTGGCAGAAGCCCTATCAGAGAGAAGCTCGGTTGAGAACGCTCGTAGGTAATCGAAGAGAGGCTTAGGTCCCAGCTTCGTAGCGTAAATCTGTACAGCAAAGTTGTTTAGGTCCTTTGGCTTGCGCTTGCGCTTGCCTGAGATGATTAGGTTGGTGTCAGTTGGATCAAGATTGACGTCTTGTGGAGCTTTCTTGCCTCGCTGGCGATAGCCCTCAGGTATCATCTGAATTAAGTCCTCCTTAGAGGGTCCAGGAGTTGGTAGCTGTTGCTGGTTTGATTCAGGTGCGTCGTCAGCCATCTCACCCCCCACCTGGGAGCCTCCAGCTCTTGGAGCTGAGGTTACAGGTGCTGCTTGGCGACTGCGCTGACGAGAGGTCAACAGGTCTTCGGTGCTGATATCTTCGTCCTGTGGCATCTCTGGGTATTCGAGTAGCTCGATCACCTCCTCGATCACTGGCGCAGAGGCGTAGCCATCTATTCCATCAAAGAAGAGCGTAGGTTCGAATACGACGTCGCGTGTGACGATAACAGTATCCTTTGTAGGCAGCCATATGCGGAAGATGTTGGTGCCTTGGTAGCCAACTAGGTGACTGATGAGAGTGCGCGATTCAAGCTTGTTGGCAGCTCTCAGGTCGCGGTTGTAGATATAGGCGCGATAGCTAATAGGCCTCATATGAGCGACGAGTGGCTTTCGTCCCCATACGACCTCGTACGGCGTCTTCTAGCCTAGTGCTTCAGTTGGCGTACGATTGAGGATGTACGCAGTGGTACGATACATCTCGTGTGATAGGTTCTTGGGCAGGTTAGCGTGTATGCGCATAGCGCGAGCTCGCTGCGTAAGGACTCCGCCTGCGCGTTCAATAAGCCCATTTGGTTCCTTTGTGCTAGCTGGGGCCGGCTCGTATAGCATGCCTAGCTCTTCTGTAGTGTTGATAAGATCGTTGCCAAATCCTTTCTTGTTGTCGCATCAGATGGCGACTACGTCCGCGTTGTACACACGTTGGATTCGACGGATCAAGGCCATGAACCAACGAGTAAGTGTTAGCTTGTCCTTTCGCTTGATTGTGGTGATCTCATGCCACTTCGAGTACTCGTCTATAGAGTGTAGGGCGTATTTGCTGCCGTTGATACACTCCTCTCCCACAGGGATGATGTAGATCAAGTCTATTGCAATTTGAAAGAATGGTCGTTGTGCGCGGCTCTCAGCCGGGCGTCTTGAGATGATGTGAGTCATTCGAGCTTCGGTGCAGGTCTGGCAGAGACAGTCCATGTGGTCTCCTGTCAGTTGGACGCCAGTGACGTTTGATTCAAGCTAGTCGACTGCCTTTCGACCTAGGTGGCCCCAAATTTGACATTTAAGATTCTCGATAAGCTCTCTTTGGCGCTTCCGGATAAGCCACGTGTTCACAGTTTGCGACCACCGGTCTATGAAATGTGGCCATGCGGAGTCATCGCGGTAGTCGCAGCGATAGATGATGAACCCCCATTTTGGGTGATTACGAAGACGTGAATAATCAGCAGCCATCCTTGTCAGTAGGCTTGGCGGTGTTCCAGATAAAGAAGATTGTTTGCATTTGCGTAATAACGGCAAAGGCTGTCCTGTAAAGTTCTGTAAACTGGCTCTGAGAGACCAGAGGAACGAGGTTTGGGTGCTCAGAGCGTTGAACATACTGTACTCCTGTTTAAGGTTTTTAAGCATTTACACGGGGCGAACCCTTTCCTGGAGGATAGGATTTTCCGGGATCTAATCCCAAAACAGCACCGTGTCGTTCGCGCAATGCGCGGATTGCCGTAATGCGCCGTTTCACACCAAAGCGCACTGATAGGATCAAGGCTACAGAGCTACCTACACTACACTGTAATACACATGCGGTGTATATGACACCGCGTAGTGTTTGAAATACCACAATATAGAGAGATGGTGTGAAAACAATTCTGAAGTATAAAAAACACTACTTTACCCATGTACATAAATGAAATAGACGAGTGTATATTGACAAATACATGTTCTCTTGCGGCCAACATGCAGTTTATTTAAACCTACTCTTGGGATAGTGTAAAATACCCAGCTAGGTACCGCAGTGCTGTGTACAGTACACTAAGAATGAAAGAATGTAGACAAAAAGGTCTGCATCTCAAGAATAATAGCTATACTATCCTGATGCAGGATGCACGAACCAGAATGTTACAGCCTCTATGGAGGGTTGTCGTCTGCCCCTGACTATGCACCCGTGCCACAATAGGCCTCAGTATCTCCACAATACCCATATTCACTGCAGCACTTCTCGCCAAGATCAGCGAAAGGCGATCTAGGCTCTACACTTTGGATCTTCTCGTCATTATGTAATGCGCCCTTCGAATTGTAGGTCTGAATGTCTCATTAGACACTGTATGCTCGTTGGACATTATATGATCACAGCTTGCAAAAGCGACTTCAAATATCCCACGTGACATGTTGTGGCTCTGCACTCTTATGCAGAGCTGTTGATCCCTTCTCAATCAATTCCTGGGCTTCCTCATCTTTACCTTGGGACAATAAGGCATTTCTCAACTTTGTTATTGCTTGTGAAGTCTCTGGATGGTCGGGACCGAGGACCTCCATTTGAAGATAGAGTGCCTGGCGAAAGATCTGCTCAGCGCGACTGAACTGTCCTTGAGAGAAATAAATGTCACCCGAATTTCCCAGAGTCAAGATAGTGTTATAGTGTTTGGGACCTAGAAGCTCCGTCTGAAGTCGCAGAGCCTCCTGGTTCATCGTTTTGGCCTCTTCGAATTTCGCTTGGTGCAAGAGCGTAACAGCAAGCCATTTTTTTGTAATCGCTGTGTGCGGATGTCGATCCCCCAACATTTTCACGCGAAGGGCTAGGACGCGACGATGAGTCTCTTCGGCTTTGGCGAACTGGCCCAAATTCTCTTGAGCAACACCAAGACAACTCATAGTAGCTAGAGTGGCAGGATTTTCTTCCCCTTGGACTCTCAGTCGAGTCTCGAGGAGATTTCGATGCATATCCTCGGCTTCCTGATGCCTACCCTGCTGCGCCAACGTCTGAGCAAGGTAGCCAGTCGTCGTCAAAACATTAGGATGTTCGGGATGAAGCACCTCGATTTGAAGACTGAGAGCGTTCCGATGCATCTCTTCTGCTTCCGCGTATCTGCCGTCGTCGTACATTGCCTAGGCGAGATAGTTCATACTTCGTCCCACATCGGGATGCTTCGGACCTAATACATCCTTTCTGAGTTCCAAGATCTCTCGATGCCGCTTTTCAGCTTGTCTGTAATCGCCTTGGTGATTGAGGGCCTCTGCCATGCCGAACCTACTCATTAGGCTTTCCCTGTTCTCTTTACCGGACACTTGCAGACGTAAATCTAGCGCCCGACTATACGAGCTACAAGCATCCTTGTACTCTCCGTTACTGTACAGACATTTTGCCATCTTTTCTGCTAGAATAACTCTTCGCAAGTCATCTTTGACCGGTTCAGACGAGGTAAGGAGATATTCTGTATGGTGCAAGTACGCAGTCCAAGTCGCCCGATCTTTGAATGCGCCATCGGGAAGAAGTTCTTCGAGTAGGTCCGTAACTCTGCTTATCCAGAGTTCCAATTTGACCTCGGTTCGTAACCAATGCCTCGTCGCCAGGTGTACCAGTGGATGCATGTCAAAGACAGCTATATTGTCTCTTTTTCTGACGAAAGAGTACGCCTTCAACGCCCCGATTGCCTCTAAGCCTTGCTTCCTGGATGGCTGCGGAGGCAGTAGTGACTGGGGAATTTCGTGGTTGGACACACAGGCCATGAAAGACATGAATTCGATGGCAACAGGATGTTTTCGAGTGAGTTGAGCCATCGAGACTGCCCATGTAGCTGCGATAGAATTTTTGATCGTCTGGTATCTCCCGTGGGTCTCAAATTCTTCACTTAAAACCTCTATCTTTTCTGTCTCGCTGCCTTGGTACAGCTCAATGTAGTCGTCGATTTCAGTATCGTTCTCATTAATGTAAGAGACCGCTTGAGTGATCGCTAGAGGCAGATATCCAAGAAGCGTGAGCAGTTCTTTGGTAGCATTTGGTCGTCGTACTGTCTTCTCTTGCACTAATGACTTTTTCAGCAGTTGTTCAGCGTCGTCCGGGCTCATCATCTCCAGAAAAATAATGTTCTCATGTGCTTGTCTTACTGCTATCCTCCGGTTGCGCGTGGTCAGGAGTACACAACCGAGAGGACTAGATGGGACATAGTCTATGAGCGCCGGGTTACTGAGAGCGTCGTCTGTCGACTTTTGAAAAACAATATTGATATCATCGGCGTTGTCGACAATCATCAACCACGGGTGTAATCTCTGGTCATTGCATAATGCATCTTTGACGAGTTGTTTGACGTCTGCGCCGTGTGCTTCGATGCCGGGTATTCTGAGCGCCGTACCAATCTGTTTGTAAGCTTGCTCGAACGCTAGGTGATCATTTGCAGGAACCCAAAAGACGGAGGCCTCCCGCTTTTGTGCTTTGGTACGATAAGCAAACTCTAGTGCGATCTGGGTTTTCCCGACACCCCCAAGCCCATACAGAGCCATATTGGGCCTGAGCACGTCCGAGTTTGACCATCTGTGCAACGTAGAAAGTTCTTGTTCACGTCCCACAAATTTGTCGTTTTTGGGAAACGGCACAATCCACTGAGGTCCTGTTGTGATGCGTTAACGGAACTGCTCAATCATGCATTGGCCAAGGCCTGGTCCAATTGATTGTGGAGTTAAATGGTAAGGACCTGCCTGGTGAATCTGATTGCACAAGAAAAATACTGTCTGCGACGTGAGACGGTTGTGAAGCTACATGTACTTGTTCTCCCTCAACCACTGTTGGTAGGGCAAAGATGAGTTCTTTTGCATACGCCGCAGCAACCGCCGCAGCATACTCCTGCCATTCCTTATTTTTGTGAGCATCTGCGTAGTCGCAGATACCACGTATGACAACACAGGGCAGCTCATTCATCAGACCGGCTGCCTCCATTTCGAAACACAACACACCCCCAAGGCGAGCACTAATCTCGTCTCGCAGTCGACCACTCTTTATGACCTGGTTCCCCGAGGCGATCAGTCCGTGGTGAATTCGTACTGCTTCACGTGGGTGCCGACGAGGTCTCAAAATCTCTTCCCAACTCTGAAAAGCGTGTGGATCTGCTGGCTCGGGCTGATATAAAATATCAGTATCGTCCTTTGGTCGACAAAAGCGAGGACTCAGATCTGGATAGCGCTTTATCATCTCCGATAGGTAAGTTTCGATCTCGTGGCCGCGGATTTGATGTAATGAGATGAGTTTCGAAATGGTCGTCCGAAGTACTAAGGGTGGCCCATTCAATGAGCCCGTCCGTATCCAGCCCTTGTCCTTGGTATTTTTTCCCATGTCATGCTGCACAACACCGCCAAATCCATTTGTTGGCACACTGACAACGATGTCACCTAACCTAATATCCTGATCTTTGCTGGGTACACCACCTCCAATGCCTACCATTAGCCCCATCTTAAGCGCTGGGAAGTTCGCCAACATCCTCGCAGCAACGGCAGAGGCTGGATGACTACCAATTTCGCCGCTTGGCAAGCAAACAATGACTATGTTGAACGGTCCTATTGAGCCAAGGGTGTAATTGTTGGTGTCCGAAACAGATTGAGGCAAGGTCTCATGCTCCGTATCGAGCATTGCGATGGCCGCGGTCATCTCCTTGGGCAAGGCACAAATCCAGCCGATCGTGTAGGCGCCATGACTGAACTGTACTCGGGGCATGGCGTGACGGTACTATGGCGTCGGCAAGGCTTTTCGGGTAGAGCTGATTATCGGGCAGTACTCTGTCGATGGATGAAACATCACGTCGTGCTCGAATACATCATGTGGTCTTCTCAGCTTATCTGGACCAGCCACCCCGCACGAGGCTGTTTGACCCCGCGATCATGTGCCTACAAAGCCACTTCCGTCAGTCCTTCTTGCTCGATGCGATACAAGGTGTCCTCGATATCTCACAGTTGCACTAAAATACACCGAAACATCCTCTGAATTCCATAGCCATCATGCCATCAATATCTGAACAGGACCTCATCAGCCCTGCTGGCTATTCTACCAATTCACCTCCATCTCAATCTCATTAGAGACATCGAGCCTGGATCCACCTATATCAAGGCCTTGCAAAACAGATTTTCGAAAGCGACAGGGCGTCTGAATATAATCCCATGCTACGAACTACGCCAAACACCTCAGTCTGAGTTTGCCAAAGATGGAACAATCGTCCGTAGAGGGAAAAGCGCTTTGAACGTATCGGAAAGCTCTGCCTGTCTGTATTGCGCGAACGAGATCAGACTCCCAATAAACGAGAATCATTCGATGATCGCAAAGCTTGCTAAGAGAGATGGGAGCGCTTATTATAGGGTGGTAGACAACTTATCTTGTCTTGTCAATACTTCTCGCAGAGGAGAACCCTTGCGGCATGCTTGTGGCCCTAACGTCAAGATGAACCAGTGGGTAAGAAGTAGAAACAATATTCACAATAGGTGGCAGCTTGAAGCTGATTCTGGATCGTTGAATGTAATCGACCACGACGTCAAGGGACGTCCGACGCCTGTGCCGAATGCGAATACCAGAACTACGAACAATACGGAAACGAAAGAAAGGAAAATAATGCCACTGGATCATTCCACATTTCCTACCCTTGATCATCGTGTCATGAACTGCCAGACACGTGTCTATGTTCACGGTGTCTGGGATCTCTTTCATTACGGGTGAGAAACTCGTACATCGATCAAGTCTGGTGGATTTACTGATAGCTATAGTCACGTGAAATTTCTCGAGAACGTAAAGCTGGCTATGCCTGGCACGTATCTTATCGTAGGGGTAGTAGGCCAGGAAGGTCTACCTTCCTGCAAGAAATCAGCAGTCATGTCTGGAGCTGAGAGAAGCGAAATGGTACGCGCGTGTAGATATGTCGACGAGGTCATGGATGACTGTCCCTATTTCCTCCCACCTGACTTTGGGTCTCAGTTATACATCGATTACTATGGTTGTAGCGAAACAGCCTTAGCAAAAGCACTCTTCAATCCCTTCAAGTTCTTGGAGGGACGAAGCAAATTTGTGGTAATTCCAAGGACTCCGCACGTCAGTTCGGCAGACATAATCAAGCGGATCATGGGCAAGTGCGACACATATTCTTGAATTACATAACGAGCAACATCACTGGCTGCTAAGTCATAATCGGCCTATCTACCGTGTACACACCTCTATAATCGATGGAAGAATCCCTCCAATTCGCCCAGAAACTCCGAACGCTCTGTCCGAACCATCTGAACAATATCCGCTGATTGACCATTCGTTACTGTACTCAGCTCAGACTCGCCGAGAAGGAGGTATTTTGCAAACCAGGAACGCCCTGAAAAGAACAAGAGAATGCCAGTTCAATCAAATCCAAAATTTCTTCCAGATGTCAAGTTCCTCCTGTGTGCCTTGCCACTATAATTTCATCAGTCTCCTCTCCTCTCCAAACCCTCGAGTCATACCTTGAACTTGACTTCGTGAACGCCTCGAAATCCTTCGCTTGTGCTCGGACTCTGATACCGTTTGACTAGGTCCAAAAACGGCGTTCGAGGATAAACAGGTCGATCTTCCGAGTTGATCTTCGCCAGAGCGTATCAGGCATGCAGGCACAAGAAGAAACTGTGGTCAGATCTTGGACTTACCGGATGTCCCCCGAGCGCTCTGACAGTGTCGTTGTGAAGGCATAAATTAGTCGATGATTCAAGAGCATATGCGTCAGCTTCAACAGCGTATTTCGAAGCTATTGCGACCCAGGGAGCTCGAGATTCGACGTCGATGTTCAGATCATCTGGTTCGGGTGAGTATGCACGCATACATCCATTACGACGACCACTGACCGATCACGACCTGGTACAATGTGAGTATCAACAGAGAGACCTTATCGGTAGAAGTCTTACCAGCGTGCCACGGATCACTGTCTCGTCGACGGCGTAAATGAAGTCTTTCCTTGTAGCGTACGCATGAGCTGATTGCCTCAAATAACCACGAGACTGTAAGAAACGGCGAAAGAAGGTTGTTTTTCCGGCACCAGGCAGTCCCACTAGAATTATCATGGTGGGGAAATGTTGCGGCTCAGTAACGTCTAGGTAAAGTGTTGGCGAAATCTCTCCTCCACGCTTGCTACCATGGCTGTAACATGAGCTCACCTTCGTCTTCACTATCTCGCTGCAGATCCCGTTGAATATACCATTCCGGATGGAATTTGTGGCCCAAAGGTTTCGCAGATTCTCCAAGGAAGAACACTTCAGGGGTATGGAATGGTATCCCCGCATTCAATGCCTAGAGATCAGCAAGAAGACCAGAAGTTTACATTGAATTGAGTACTCGTACCAAGTCGATCGCGACGATCTTGATCTCCCCTCGCACGTTGGAAGAGGTAGGCTTTGCCCCCATCGTTGTGGCCACACAATTGCCCACAAGAAGCGTTCCGCCGGAACGATTAAATCTCCATGTCACTGGTGGTTTCGTTTCCATGGTTGATGAGTACAGCTTGCATATATGATGTTATTCCATGTAATACGCCGCGCGATGAATTGAAATTTACGTCTTGCCTGCACGCAGCCCTCGTGTCAAGAAACTTATCTAGCAAGAATGTGCTTACGATAATGGGTCAGCTGCTGAGAACGAAGAAGTAGTGGTATTGCAAAGTCAACGAGGCACAGCGACCTCAAAATACAGTTTCCGTTGTCGTCGAATCACAATGAAATGATTCAAGATAACTATTGAAATTTAAAAGTCCCATCCAATCCGTACCACTTGTTGAGTTCAATCTGTAGCCGCCAACATTGCAGATGTGACAAATACAGGGCTCTTGTAGTAAGCCGTAAGCCGTATTGGGTGAGTCTAGAAGCAGGCTGTTATGTGCGTCACTGTAGTCGGGAGACAAAAGGTCGGGTGACAAAAGGTTCTTTCATTCGTCCACTGTGCGGCGGTTCGCCCAGATCTGAACAGGCAACCTTTAGCGACCACTGGCTGTCTCTGGCTTCCATTGTCATCCGTAACTCCTGTTGCGAAGATAGTGATGGACGGTGTGTAGAATGCGTGGGACAAGGCGGGCCAATTGATGGGGCCAGATTCAAGGGACATATTTGAAAGGGCACCTGCGAATTTGAGCTTGGCAAAATGCAGAGCAACGATGCCAAGTGTGAGCGGGCTGACTCTGCTCCAATAGCCTCGAGCCCATAAGCGCTGTACTAATTTAGCAGCAAGCCTAGACAAGGCCGCGATACCAACCAATCTACCCGCTAAGAAAGAGGTGTTGCTGATCTTCGCGTTAATTAGGGGTATTTACTTGTCTAAGAAACCAGTTTACGTCTTCCGCGATACCGTAAACAGACGAATTAGCAGTTCATGTGGTGGCAGGGCAAGTGACAACAAGGCTTCCCGTTCGCTCAGCCCTATTTAAGCAATGTACCGGCGGATTAGTAGTTAGGTGGGTGACCACTAGCGAATACCCGCTGTTGTATGTTTTACTTTTTGCCCTCCACGCATCCAGATAGTCACACCTCTCTTTTAGTTGTGTTCGCACGATGGTGTTCGTTGCTGCAAGTTCGCAGCACAGTAACATTTATAATCACAATTAATCACCGCCATAATCTACTATAAGTTTAATCTACACTTGGCAATCCCAGCAAGAGTATCCCAAACGCCCGCCTAGGCAGATTTAATATCACTGCTACAACAGCGGCGAACTCGAGCACGCGAGCTTCCTGTGGTTGTAGATTGTCAATGTTACTGCTGGTATATACCAGCGGACTGACCCATGAGTGATCTACCTGTTCACACTCTAACTAACTGATGTTGTTGTAGCATGATGTAAAGCGAATCGCGAGCATTGCGGATTATATATTGTTCTGGCGGTATTCGGAGGTTGTGGACAACTCGCTGAGGATGAGGCTGTAGACTTGGTACATCAGGATCAGTACAGTGTGGAACTGTAAGATATGGTCGAGGTACCGAATTATATGGAGCCTATAAAGGAAGATCGAGCATGTGAAAACAATTCCAGTCGTAGTGAGGGCGACCCAGAAGACCACTAGGCAGAATTCATCCCAAGATTTATTCGGATGCTGTCTTGTTGTGATCAAATTTCGAGCAGTATATTTCATGCTTTGATGGTCATCTATTCTCGTTTTACTGTTCGCCATAGCCATTGAGTGTAAACGGTCCAAATACTGGCGCCCGAGCAGATCTAGGCGAGAAAGCCGAACGCAGTGCCGAACCTAACGGAGTCAGACGTTGGCCTGCGAAGTTATGCCCATATCTGAGCTGAATTTCTTGTTGATTAGATTCTCCAACTACCCTGCAGTTAGTAGAACACATAATGTGCAATGCTCACAATTGCACCGAGCCCGAAGAAAGCGCAATTAGAATGGGTAATTTCCATTTGTGAATATAGCATTTGGTCCATCTTGGCGTGATCCGTGTGTGTTTACTAATGGTACAATAGTCGGAGATCAGGCAGAAGAATCCATGTGGCGAGACGGCAGCAGCGAGCTCTGGCTTACATCTTGCGTGTTTGTTCCCTCCAAGTCTAGTCGCTTCTCTGCAGGACAGACTGGATACTCGATGTTCCGGTTGCAACACTGGCGGTGAAAGTAGAAGTTGGTAGCACAATCGTCTTGAACCGCCGGATTTCTTCAATAAATTAGCATCTTTGACCCCATTTGAATCCAGATTAGCCGTGCTCGGGCTATAAAGGCGACACACAAGGCTGACTCGAAGGCTGTTGCAATTTGGGTCAGGAACGATGACGGTTTGCCCAGGAACATGGCGCACATGGCTATCCTACACTGGGGATGCAGAAATATCCCGGTTCACTCTTTCTTGATATGGTAATACATCAAGAGACGAGGAGCCACCCTTCTGAATGGCGAAGAAGCAGGTTGCCCTGTGCAATGCTTATAGCAAGGATATCTTGATAAGAGTATGTTGATGCACGAGCATTCAACAACTATAACTTATTGAGTATCAAGTTATCACAGTGCAGGTACCTGCCAGTAGGTCCTCGTAGGCGTACTGAGTGTTCGGATTGGTGTTCGCACGCTTCCCCAGGCTGACGATTAGCAGGAGTGCATGAGCTCATGCACAGAGTCACCGCCACGAACGAAGGGCGGGCATTCCTGTCACACATGCCGATTGCTGACAAGTGTTATGATTCGCGCATCGCAGACAATAGTATTGGTGTACGCGACGCTCGCAACCAATCCGATCAATCAGTACAGCAACGTGACATGCAATCGACTCATGGTTGCACCTCCTTGTTCGCTCTCGATTCAGGCAAGGCGCATCCGGGGAGATGAGCTCGTTCGCAAGAGACAGAAGGACACTCGCGGTACCTGTAAGGGTTCATGAATTAATAACATGGAGCAAGAGCTACGACCGTCATTGCGATCCCTCAAAGCTCCGGCCAAGATCGTACGTTGCAGTTCTGTCGCTGAATGATAGTCGCTCGGACAATTGACAGGGGCTGATGAAGCAACCTCAGTCACCAGGCGTTTTCTTGAAACAGCTCAGAAGGACTTTGATGAGGAGCTTCCTGTCCACAGGCTTTGCAATGTATCCAGTCATTCCCTTGGCGATATAGGCTTCAGCGTGGCCCTTGAGCGCGTTTGCAGTCATTGCGATGATAGGCATGTGATAGCCTTTATCCCTGAGCTCTTGTGTGGCGGAGACGCCATCCTGTACTGGCATGTTGATATCCATCAAGATGAGGTCATAAGGCACAGGCGCATGTTGATGGATGGCTGTTTGTATCGTCTTCGCAACAGCTTCTTTGCCATCAACGGCAACATCAATGTCGGGGAACCCAAGACCAGTCAACATACGCAACATAACCTTTCGGTTGATAAAGTTATCTTCCGCCAACAGCAAGCGCTTGGTGACAGCAACGTTCTTCATCTCCTCCAGATGGTCCCCAATTGCTGGTGTTGGAACTCGAAGTCCGTTCAACTCGATGTGGGGAGTTTTGACGGTCTGGAATTGTTTGCACTTCTTGAGCTTGATGGTGAACCAGAACACACTGCCGTGGCCTCCAGGATTTGAGTGGAATCCAATCTCACCACCCATGAGCTCAGAGAGGCTTTTGCAGATGCTTAGGCCAAGTCCAGTTCCCTTGTATCGCTTGGTTGCAGAATTGTCGAATTGGGTGAACGGAGTAAAGAGCGCATTTGCAGATGCTACAGGCACACCGATGCCGGTATCCACGACCTCGGTCCAAATTACGGAATTCTCTTCGTCCTCGCCTTCGAGCCTAGTATTCACATGTACAGATCCCTTTTCGGTGAATTTAGCAGCATTTGAAACTAGGTTCTGAACGATCTGGCGATACCGCAGACTGTCGCCTTCCCCGGCCTGTGGTATCCGAGGATCTAGGTGGATCTCGAATTTGACTTGAGCACCGAACAGCTTTTGTTGCGCTCGGTGAACCGAATGTACGATGTCTGCGATGTTGATGATGTCGTGGCTTATCGAGAAGCTGCCATTGGCCAACTTGCTGTAGTCGAGGATGTCGTTAATCACCTGGAGGAGGACCTCGCCGGATTCTTGGATGATGCGAGCCAGGTCCAACTGATCAAAGTCAAGCTTTGTATCCAGTAGCAAGGTCAGTGCTGAGAGCAAGCCGTGCATGGGAGTTCTGATTTCATGGGACATGTTCGCCAGGAACTCTGACTTCAACTTCGATGCCTCCTCGTATGCACCGATAAGTTGCTGCTCGGCCTTGCGTCGATCCGTCAAGTCGCGAGTGACCTTCGAGAATCCGATAAGGACGCCCTCTCTGAAGACAGGGGTGATAACGACGTTAGCCCAGAACCGGGAGCCATCCTTCCTGTACCGCCAGCCCTCATCTTCGCAACGACCATCACGAAGAGCATCGCGAAGCTCGCATCCTGGCTTATCCGAAGCAAGGTCTTTTTCACCATAGAACATAGAAAAGTGCTGCCCAACGATCTCTGATTTCGTATAGCCCTTGAAAGCCTGAGCACCAGCATTCCAAGTGGCAATGTTTCCATTTGGGTCAAGCATGAAGATTGCGTAATCTTTGACCGTTTCGACTAGAATCCGGAAGGTCTCGTTCGTGTACAAGCGTTCCTCCAGCTCCAGCCTCTTTCTATGCTCCTCGGTGACATCGTGGAACTCCAGCTGTGTGCAGTGAAGGCTGTCATTGCGGTAGATGGGAACTGCGCGGGTTCTCCAGACTTGCTGCGAATCAGTTAGGTGGTCAACCTGAGTCCATGACCCAGTTTCCTCTGCGGCCCGGAGCGATTCGCGGGCCGAGGCAAGCACTGGCAAATCTGGTCGGTCAAGAACGTGCCGCCCCATGAGATCCTCGCGTCTACCTCCTGGCAAGGTCATAACAAGGCTGTCTGATACCTGAACGATTTTGCGCGATGCATCAACGATGAGTGTAGGAACAGGCGTAAAGCGGAAGATGTCGAAGCAGGCGCTACTGACATCCTCCACACTGTCGGGACGTTTTGGCTGTGTCGGGAGATCGACAAGTGCAGAAGCCGGTGAATTTGGCAGAATTGCATCCAGGGATGCGGCGACAACGCCTGTCATACTGTCACATTCAAGAGCAGCCGGGCTATGCTGTTTGCGACGCTATGGTAAGGTGCAGCTTCGAAGAGGGTACGTATCCAGGGAAAATCGTACGAGGATTGCATGAAAAACTTGCAGAGACAGGGCCTGACCACCTTTTGAGGGGCATTGCTCCCCGGAGACGCAGTTTAGACGCACCCTTCACTCGCAACAGGGAGTTTGTGTCGCCCGCAGTGCCACTTAAGAAGTCATAAAGGGCCTGTGCGTTCGTGGCCACTACTGGCGATCAACGCCGTCGAACGCTGTCACTCCGTTCCGTCTTCATGTGCATCAGACAGAGCGTACCTTGCGCCTGATGTGTCTGCAATAAACAGCCTCTTTGCACATCACAGCCCTGATCTTTACGTGTCTCACGCTGTTTCATGTTCCTCGCTCGCGAAGCGAAAAGCCTCTGACGCAACAATGACATGATTTTATTTCTAGCCTTTCCTCCTCGGCTGGAAAATGCCAACAGCCGCAAGCTATTATGGAGACCGTTACGAGGATTCTCGCCTCGCATACCTGCCTTACACTACGGTGGATGTCTAGAACATCAAAGAGAGCGCCGGTTGTTGTCCAGAACACGTGTTTCACACGCTAGCACCGACCTCGAGAGATGAACAAAGTCGACGTGCCGGGCGGCGCGGGTCGCAATGCGCACGATTGTGACCTCGAACATCATCGTTGATTCCATGAGCCTTGACATCAAATCAGCCTCCTACCGGTTTTCTATAAGCGAGCATTGAGGGCTTGCAGGGCGGTTCTCCATCCGGGTTGTATACCGGGAAAGGGGTGTTTTAGCCAAAAATCAATTTCTTTGCCTTATTTGCCCTGTTTTTAGGGCAAGATACTCTGTTTTATACTGATGTCTCCGTCTTTTTCTGAGTCTTGAAATAGACCTCTCCCTATTAGTAATGTTTATATTCCTTGCTAAGCCTTTTCTTTGCTACCTCTCTTCCTCTGCTAAACCTTGACAATTCTTAAGGGAGAGGCTAAAATACTTGCCAAATTTCACATTTCTACCCCAGGCCCGCCTCATTAAGTAGAGGTCCAGG